TTCATGGGTTCATGGGTTCATGGGTTCATGGGTTCATGGGTTTGGGGTTTGTTTGTTTTTGTGTCGGAGGTTTTGGGTTCGGGTGTTGGAGGTTTTGGGTTTGGGTGTTGGAGGTTGAGGTTTCCGACGGGATGTGTTTGCAAAGTTTTATTGCTCTTAATATTTCTCAATTTCTATTTTGCGGGCACACGATTTCATCATCATTCAGCGGCGCGCCACCTAGTACGTATCCCCCATGAAGCTATAGCTCCTACGAAAACAAGTCTCAGTTAAAGTGACTGAGACTGGTCGCTGCGTGGTCATCAAGATAGTTGTTCATTTTGAGCAGCCTCGTGGTATGAATCAACAACAAGCAAGCTTCCAGCGTCGTCATTCCTTCTCCTTGGATGCATCCATGATCTTTTATTGAAGAAAGACCTGCGAGCAGTTTTCTTGATACTGCAACCAGCGCGATGACACGAACAATTTCGCTAAAACCGACTACGACTATGGTACGTGTTGGAATCGGGCCGAGTGCTTCGTCCACGTGTGGCACTATCGGGCCGAGTGCGCTAATATCATCGGACCATGCAGCGTCAGCATCTTCACGTTCACTGTCATCTGCAGCGAGGCGGGCAGCTGCAAGGGTCGGCGAGCATCAACTACGAAAAATGTTGAATGTGCAGCTTTATTTGGGAACGTCAAGATCAACGGCGACTGGTGTTTTGCTACGAGGGCAGCATGGAGGTAGCTCCTTCTCCCCGAGAATATCGTTGTCCTCCTCGTCATCAGTATCCTTGGGGCAGCAAACGCGAAGTTTTGCGCTCCTGAAACCGAAGGTAAAAACACTCAAACAGAAGAAGGCAGCTGCAGCACTAATCAAACTCCTCCCACATATGCCACAGGAGCTGGTCACACTTACTACTTCGTTTCTGCGCAAAGACAAAAACTTGAAGAACCTTCTTCAACTCGTATATTCACCTGCAGAACCAGCAGAATCGGAAGACGATCGAGCAGAATATGAGCGAGAACGCCGCATTTACCTGATGGAGCTACAGAACCATCGGGAGAAATTGCAGAAGAAGCGAACGCAATTGGAGGAGAGTAATATAAAACTGGATGTCGTGCGGATATACCCTCATCCAGGTCGACAACATACTGCTCAATAATGATAACAAGTCAATACCAATCTAAGAAGGAGTTGAATCCACCAGGTAGGGTTTCACGACATATTGTCCGTCAGCTACCAATAGATAGAATTAGTGATGTTATATTTCAATTTCATCACGCATCGAAATTTAAGTTTGTAATGTTGTGGTTCTGATTTATGCAATTTTGAACTTCAATTATTACGTTTTTTAGTTACAAACTTGAAATATATTCTTGTTGGTCATGTATGGTTCAAGCCTCTTGGATGTCGTGGCGTTCTGTTCTCAGTGGCTCACGCAAAGCCTCGTGCTCGACTGTCATCGGGATGATCTCGCAAGACATGAATGCCAATGATCATGAGTGCTACTTTCAATGCTCACTCAGTGCGCATTCAATGCATAATCATAATGATCAAGGTGCAGACTAGGCACGGCTGTGCTGATCCTAGTCGTATGATGCATGTTCAGTCCGATCCCTTCTGACATGCTTATGTTACTGATGTATGATTCATCTCACCCAATGAACCAAACAGGGACTACACCAGCCAGAGATCGCAACTCTCAGGCAGGAGTAACAGGATTTGCCTGCATTCAAGATTCTGACTCTGTGTCTCCACTGAGAAACGAACCAAGGCGCGGAGGCCTGTGCTCTTGTGGTCCAGCAGTTTTATTTGAAGGGAGGCTGAATAGTTTCAATTTCATAAATTTTTGCTTTTATCGGCTTTTAATTGAATTCGTTTCTTGAGGAAAAGATCGAACTGGTTTGCAAAAAAAAAAAATATGACTCTGGGGTCTCAAATTTCCTTTTTCAAAAATATAGCAACGCTACCAAACAAAAGATTTGCTTGTCAGTGGTTAGGTTTCATCCATTAGTCAAGTTTATCGAAAGCATTATACTCATTTCTATCATCGAATGTTTGAGAATCTATTGTGTTTGTTAGACGCGTCAATGTTAAAAAAGCTTATTTTTTTTCACAGGTATTCTCTCTGCAATTCGTAACCTGCCTGCTGAGCATTTTGACGAGGCGATTCTGTCGGACAACGAGCCTCACCCATCAGGCGATCGCAAAAGCGAAATTTTGCCTCGCAGCCTGCTGTTTCACCAGATGTACAAAGGCGAGATCTTTCGAGATATGGATTTTCATGAGAAAAAACGTCTTCAGACCTTTCAGAACCTCATGCGGTTGCGGTATCCGCATACGGACACCAAACGAGCGGATCCGGAACGGTTCTGGATTCCGGAATCCCAGTTTGTGTCACGCCAACGTGAAAGTGCTCGCAACAAGAATGCGAAGATGACTCGAACGAACTCGCCTGTGAATATCAGGTCCTGATGAAGTCCTGGAACACCGGCCGCAGTGGTACAGGTGGCACGTCGGCCAGCCACGGCACGGTAGAAACTTCGCAATTTCGGGGAATATTTTCGCTTTCCTTCATGATATTTTCTGTTCATGAGGCGCACTTGTTACGCTTATTACGACCCTTGCCGTGGAAAGAATGAGCGTTGTTGACTAGTAAGCGCGAACACTTCTAGTTGATACGGGATTCAACCTCACTATCACCAGACGTCATCCACATTGGTAGATCATGTACGCGTAGTCTGTGTCTGTCGATCCACGATACATAACTTTTGAAAGTGACACTTTTGTCGCTGCTCGGAGCGCCTCTTTTTTTCATCTATTTGGAAGCAAGAGCAACACGCTGCATCTGCAACAGGAACACCATCTACATGAACAACCAGAAGTTCTTGGAGTCCTGTTCATTGAAGATCACAAGGCAGAAGCGTGTTGAGATCAAATAGTTAGTTGGACAACTTGATGATGAGATCATGCACCTGTTGGAAGATGGAGATTTACGATCAATTATTTCAACGAGTCGATTGCAACAACGATGGAACAAATCGTAATATGCGTTCTACCAAGACTACAACCAACAAGTCCAAGATCAAGCTTTGTATGTAACAGCTGAACAAAAGCTGCACTTGATAAACCTCGGAATACGACGAGATTCTGATTTATCGTGCCCACGACAGGTTTCTCGTTAAGTCTATTGCAGTGGAACAACTTGAAGGAAAATCAAAATCATTACGGAGCTACAAGTAGCAAAGTAAAAGGTCAAAACTCCAACTCCTGCTCAACACTACAATCCTCTGTGCTAATCGCACGACAAAAGTAGAGATCCAACTATACGATCTCGATCGCGATCCTTGCGTTCAAATCTACCGGATTTTGGTCGACGCTTACTGTGCGAAATTAGTCACTGACTCTATGTATTTGAATTTTTTTTTTAGTGTTATCAATTTCAATGTTGTAAACTCCTATCCAACCCCAGGAGAATGATCATTCCCCGTAAACGATATTGAGTTGATCTATTTTTGCAGTAGGAGACAACATTCTAACCTGCAATACGACGAGAATAAGATACGGCTTTTTTCTTCGGCTCAGTGACAACACATAAATCGACATAATTCGACGGACTCGCTATTTGTGTGGTACTACAAGATGAAGTCTTCGTCGAAGCGATCATCCGCGACTACTGCCCCGACCTCAGATCAGGGAAGCAGTGAGCCGCCAGTGAAAAAGGTTAAGAAGGGGATGAAAATGAAAAAGGTATCTCGTAGTAGTGGAGTAGAGAGAGACACATCAGGGAATGAATCAGCTACAACAGCACCAAAGTCGGCATGCAAAGAGTGGAGCTCACCACCGGCGGTTGTTGTTGAAGATACACCAGCAGTAATCCTCCAAGAACAGGAAGCGAGGACCAAGACTAAAGCGTCAAAAGAAGGCAAGAAGAACAAAGTGCTGAAAAAAGCAGGAAAAAGTAAGAAGCTATCCGCAGAAGAAGAGCAAGAGTCGCTTGTAGCCAAACTAAAGAAGAAGGCCCTGAACGCTGGTGCTTCGTCAGACGATGAAGAAGCTCCAGCTCCAACAACACCGGCAGAAGATGAAGTCGCTAGTGCAGCTGCCTCATCAGCAGGAGCTCCTGCTACCACCAGCACCACTTCTCCGGCAAGCTGTGCAGCTACGGTGTATCTTTCTGGTCTGCCGTATGAGTGGACCAAAGAGGACATTGCAACACTCGTCAAAGACAAGGTCGGCTTGACGAAGAATGAGGACATGCCGAAGGATATTCGCGCACCTACCTGGCATGACACAGGCCGTTTGCGTGGTTATGCACATGTCGACTTCGCATCCGAAGCGTTAGCCCAGACGGCTGTGAAGCAGTTGCACAGGCAAAAACTGCCCTCTGGTCGTTGGATTGGTGCAGAAATCGCGAAAGCCGAGAAAATGACTGGTGCAGGCTCCACTGCTGCAGGATCTAGTTCGGCGCTCACCCTCGCTGACCTGATCAAGAAAGTGCGGAAAGTGCGCTGCGCACGACTGTTTGTGGGAAACTTGCCTTACACAGTGACGGAGACGGAGATTGCGGACCTCTTTGGCGGTTCCAAGATGGTCACAGCAGTTCGAATAGCGCACGAAATGCAGAGGTGTAAGGGCTTTTGCTATGTGGAATTCGGAACCTGCGATAAGGCAGTAGCTGCGTTGGAGGCAGTACAGGCGAAGGAGCCGGGACGGCTCTGGCTGCTAGGAGGACGACGGCTTAACATCGATGCCGACACAGGGAGCGGACCCAAAGCTGGCTACCACTACAGAAAAGAAGCGTGGTCAACCGGCTTTGCCGTTAAGAAGAATAATGCGCCGTGGTAGGGAACTCATCTCTCTCTGTCAAATACTTACTTAAGAGCACAGACCAAGTCCAAGTGCAAGTCCAAGACCCAGTCAAAGACGTCGTGATAAAAGAAGCGAGGCCGTTGTCACCAGACGAGGCAAGAAGATATAGATGACCTTTTACGATGTCGATGATTTCACGCATAAGACTACAAGGTTAAGGACGCACATTCGCGTCAAAATCTATTGCAAAATCATTCCCGTGAAATGAAGTCGTTTAACACGAGCTCACCAGCGCACCCTTTACGTCTCCTTCACTCAAATCGTGACAGCGAGTCGGATATTATTGCCATGATTCGCGTGCTTCTGCATATCCATGTGCAAAGAATTCTTGGCTCCTTCGCCTCCACCCAAATTGATGCTTCGGTGACGAGATGAGAGATATAATTATAAGTACGCAAAAAGGAGTATCCAGATCCACGGCGGCATATGGTCCTAACTCAAAAAAAAAAATAAACTATGGTGGTCGCGAATGAACATAACAGGGACACACACATGACATCCACTTCTAACCGCAATCAAAAGGCGGTATGTTACATCTTCACAAACAAGGAGAGAATGAAATAATGTAGACTTCTGCATGATGACGTGTCGGTATCTTCATGCGAGAGGCTGCTACTTGCTGACTTACAAAGATACCTTCTGGTTCTGTTGATGTTCCATGAACTCATATTTAACATCTGAATCTGTGAAACTGATGAGGTGCGCCAAAGAACGCTCTGTTGTGAGTGATATCTCTCTGTCTTGGTGTGCGAGATAGCCTCTAATTTGAGACGAAATGATCCGCATGTCCGCCATTATCAACGTGATTTTATTGACATGGAAATAATCTTCAGGCCTCTTGTGATCTTTTACATACGACTAAAATTATGTCTAGAAATTAATGCCTAAAAAACCCACACCACTTCGTTCTTAATATATTTAGTTTTACCTACGTTGTCATTTGTCATTCCTGCTAGTTCCACAGATCCGCACGGCTCCTCTTGAAATGTCAAGTCTGATCTCGTTGTGTTGAATTTGCGTTCTGTTTGTGATGTAAATACGTGAAGTATAGATATCTACTTTCGATCATCACTCGCATAATCTTGTCATAACTTCTGATTTTCGCTTCAACTTGTTGAGTCTTGACTCTCGAACTACGACTAGAAAAAGATGGCGCCACCAAGAAGACGTCACCAAGGAGGCCGCGGCTTCATCCGCGATGATCTTGAGCTGGTTTCCTTCCTGCGCGATCGCAAAGAGCGTGTTCGCGCAGCCATTCGAACTGAGGAGCAGGAGAAGCTATTCTCAGTCAACAGCGAGGGACTTCGGTTCCGCATTATCGTGCCTGAGTCACGCGCATCCATCCGCAGAAAAGAGCGCGAACGAGAAGCAGCGTTGAAGGCTTTGATGAGCGGCGAGGACGGAAAACCGCAAGTGAAAGCGACGGAGTACTTCGACATGATGTGGCGGAAAGACCTGCTCGAAACGTACCACACTATTCACTCCGGCAAGAACGGAACCTTGCGAAGTCTGGCTGGTTGGACCCAGGAAGGAACATGGAAAGGCGTGCAGGCGGTGCTAGCGTTAAGACCAGAAGGCGGGAACTTCTTGCAGAGGACGAGGGCAGACGAACAGCAGGAGGACGAAGAGTTGGACGCCGAGGATCGGGACCACTTGGCAGGCGCCAACGTGCGGGAAGCACAACTGATCAGGGATTTCTCGTTTGTAGTCACTTCAGGTGGGAACAGCCAGGACATTGAGCACAACAACAGCGTGAACCAAAGCAAACTCGCAGAAACCCACTACTTATGATGCGCAGTCAAGAACTAGAAGTAGTAGAGCAAAAGTTTTCACTTTCGGACGGATGTCTCCTGTCGTATTTAGAATAAGTACATTGAGATCATCATGTCACCTGTGAGTTCGCTTTAGTGCTTGTTATTGTTAACGCAGTTGATTCTATTTTTACTTGTACAGCAACTACATGATCTCCATCTACTTTCCCAGGAACATACTCGTGATAGTCTCTCTCTAAGGCATGCGCTGATGGGAAAGGGTATGGACATCGATTCGTTGCTTGGGGGGTCCGCGAGCAACCTGAACTTTTCCGACGACGGATTGGGTGGACCAGAGGACGGTGACCGAATACTGAGCAAGGAGATGGAGGCACTTTTGAGGAGTGAGGAGATGCACGGACCCGAAGGCAACGTCCACATGCGGGCCTCCAGCGTAATGGGAAAGGAACCGCATGTGACCACCGAGTTTCTCGGTCGCAAGCGTCTGAACCCGGATACCTTGGCCGAGTGGCAGGGTCTAGCGGACGAACTGCCGCCGGTCGATGCTGCGGGTGCGCAGTTCGGCGAAGAGGACGACGATGAGGTATACATGATGGACGATCAGGGAAACTTTGTCTTAGATGCAGAGGGACAGAAAATTCCGATTAGCAGTCGAGGAAATACGCCGGAGGGGGTGACTGGGGACGGGGCCTCTCTGTCAAGAAAAGATAGGCTCAAACAGCAGCGGGAGAAGGCACAGGCCATGAGTGCCCTGCTCGCTGGCATGGATGACGGAGACAAGAAGGGTGGAGGTACTTGAAGAAATAATATGCTCCACCTTTTTTACTTACAAATCATGTAATTCTTCATCTTCATAATTGGCACCTACGAAAGCGCAACGCATTGTTGAAGATCATGAATATTGAAACTCAGACTTAGCTGAAGATTATCATGTTTTCATCCCTTAAATTTCGTATTCCCTATTGATTCGTCTGTTTCATCGATCACCTTGTAGCTGCTGGTGAGGAGAAGGAGCAGAAGCGCGTGATCGATCCAACGATGATGGAGCCAACACTTGAGCGACCAGATTACGTCTTGGGCATCTTCGATGATCCTCTAGGCCTCCTTAAGACAGAAACGCTGACCAGATGGCAGCATGTTTCTGTCGCCGCCAAACAAGAGCCATCTTTGGAAGCATACCAAGAGGTCTGGCGAAGGCTGCAGGAGGTCTTCACCTCTCTGCAACTGAACGTGATTGCGGACCTTTTTCTTGCCAATTACATCCAACAGCTGGACCAGCTGCAGAGACAAGGCAGCACCAAGGATGCGGAGAAGTTGAGCTATGCTTGGATGGACTTGTCGACCTTGAGCACGGTCATCCCCTTCTACCTCAAACTGTGCTACCCGAAAGCAGACCTCCTTTCGCCCGTGCAGGCGTTCAAAGAGGAAATGATGACAGATGTCCTCAGAATTGTCTTCGCAGATACGCCGGGACCGGTACAACTCCAACTACATTTCGACATTTTTCATAGCCCAATTTTATTTTGAATTTGATTCTTGTTCGTCTTCGAACAAGGAAGTAGAAGAAGAAGATGAAGACCTACTTGTATGACTAAGTGTATTGTTCACCATCCAAGAATCAATTGCAACCTGTGGAAGTACAATATCTCTACCATATGTATATACAACACGTACGTCAACTTCTACAACAGGCTCGTAAGTCGATTCGGCGCGTGCACTTTGAGCTTGCGTGCGTGATCATCGAAGTTGCGCGCATGTACTGGCTCCAATATGCGCAAGATTGCGCATTTGATGCTGCGGAGACCGGTGAACTGCACGAAATTTTCCATAGTTTCGATCAGGACGACCACGACAGTGAGGGTGGCGGCTTGCGTGCCGAACGCATCTTTGACGTACTCGAGCGCGCTGGCTTCGTGCTCCAGGCGGACGAGCGGGTTCTGTTGAACGATTTGTATCGCATGTGCGACATGGACGGTAATGGCTTCATCGATTTCGTTGAGCTGCTCTACATTCTGCGTCGTTTCCAGGACAAGCGGTTGATGACGCAGGTAGTGCACTGCAAGTCCCAGACCTTGCATCTGCCTCTGCCCTTTGTGGAGGAATTCCACTACCTGCTGGAGATCGACGCGCGTGCGAAGGCCACAGACCACGACATTGTGTCCACGTTCAACCTGTTCGATCTTCGTGAGATTCTCCAAAGTTTCGACTTCCCAGAAGCTATTCGGCGAACCGTGCAGCGATTCGAAATTCAGAGGCTGGAGCAAAACATGGGAGGCGAGTTTACGCGCGAGGAGGCCTGTAAAATTTGCGCCAGCGTGTACGACCAGCACGACGAAGGCTTGCTGCAGTGGGCGCAGTACCTCGCTGACAAGGAGGCCGCGAGACAGAAACTCGCTGCTCAGCAGCAAAAGATGAAGGGTCGCGGCCAGCCAGCAGTGGAGGTGGAACTGACGGAAGAGCAGCTAGTAGACCAGGCTAGGGCTATGTTGCCGGAGGACATGAAACCCCCAGAGGAGACACGGCCTCCAACCTTCAAAGAGATGGTGGACATGTGGGCCGTGTCGCACTGCGAAATCCAAAAAGACGAACTCAAATTCCGCAAGTACCTGGCTTCCAGTGCTTGGGTCCAACATGGAAGAAGAATGCAGGCAGGACTCATGAAGGCGGTGTCGAAACGCAATTGGCTGGCTGCACGAATGAAGGGCAAGAAGATGCAACGGGAAATGGACCTGAAGGCCCGAGCGGCAGAACAGGAAATCCTGAAGCAGGGCACCATGCAACAACCCAAAGTCGCGGCCTCGATGAAGGGCATGATCACGGCAAAGAAATCTGGAGCCTCCTTCATGAAGGGCCTCGTCAAAGTGAAGGGCGGAGCATGATGAAAACGCAGCTGAACGAAAGTAGACTCTCTTTCCAGCAGAAGGACGAGAGAGGCTCTGACTCAGTTTACCACAACGCAGCAGATTCGAATCTCTCGAATCGATTTCTCACACGGATAATTAGTGATCGTATTCCATACTTCTAGTTTTAAGTGCAATTAAGTGCTAGTGCACCAATTCATCAATTACAATTTCTAATGCTATTTTCTTAATGCTAACACACAAAAAAAAGAGAAGGACATCTTCAACATCGTGAAAAATTGAGATAATTAACGAAAAGAATTAGTGACGCAACTATTAAAACCTCAGTACTGCGCCAAGCGCAACAATTATCATGACGAACATAATTTTTTACTTTTGGTCATGGTGTTATATGCCGCACCATAGAACAAATCAAAACGATTTTCGCTCCTAGCATGACATCATACTCGGCAGTGTGATGTCACTGCGGCAGAGCTAAAAAAACAACGAGAAATCGCCTACATTCATTGTTTATCCAAGTCTGCGCAAACAAGAAGCAGAAACTTTGAACCTAGTGGTGCTGTGGGCAGCCAAGTGAGTGTGAGACAATATAGTGCGGATCCGAACGAGCCGACCTGTGTTTCTTAGGAAGAATCTTCAACACCGATGATGTCCAGCAATGACAAAATCGATCAATCATGCGCAAGTTTTTAGGGAGCTCTCAGTTCATCTGTCGTGTCACACAAGAATTTCATCTATTTCGAATCTGTTACAACTTCCGTAGACATACAGAAAGACGAAGATGAGAGCGCTGTATGGCTGAAGTCCTACGTACTAGCAAAGTTGCGAAAAACAAAGCGCAACTTCTGGGCAAGAAAAGAAGAAATTGAAGGAGGAACTTGCTGAAGTGTGCACCAAAGGAAGAGAGTAGTGCAGTCTAGCTCTGTAGTCAATCAACATCAAGTGATCTGTAAAAAAATTATATCCACCCTCTGAGTAAGTGTAGCTATTGTTCTGTAAGGAGAGTTTGTCTTTTATCTAAATTTTATCTCCTCTCTCCCTCTCTCTCCCTTTCTTCTCTTGAGCTTCCGCCCTCTGCGTTGTTTGTCTTAAGTCGTAGGTTTCGCCATGTCTACTCTTACTTCACTGGTGGCGCTAGCTTTCTCATCTTCTCTCTCAAGTTGCTTGGATTGGCTTATAGTTATGTCTCGTCTAGGTTATTGAGTATGTGAGTGGGCCTATCGTAGCTGGCTGTTGCTGGTCTGCTGGTCGTCAAGTCCTTAGTGATCTTTTTCTTGTGGCTTTTTCTTTTCAAAGCCTTGCTGCTGCTTGCGAACCGTACTGCGCCCCATCTGAGAGAGAGCTTTTTTCTGCATCGGTATGGCGCTGGTGCTGCAACAAAAAAACACATTTCATCCAATCTCCCCTGCGTGGTTTTTTGCCGCAGCGTATCGGTGCTTTTTTCTGTGCCCCCTTAGCAGGCCCCCCTCGTTGTGCTTTTCGGTACTTTGTCCTGGTTTCTTCGGTTTTGCATTTTTCGCTCTTTTGCGTGCGAACAGACTTCGATCGGGGTCGTGCGATGGATGGAGCTTTCTGCAGCAGTGGAAGCGTCTGCGGCCGTCTGGGTGGGAGGCGGAAAGGATGCGTGAGGTGACAAGTGACGAAGAGGAGACCTCGCTGGAAGAGATAAGAAAACTAGTTTTGTGCCACTTACGCTTTACTGGTGTGACTAAGCAGCAGGTTTCTATATATGGTCTCACACCAAAATGTTGGCTATCCAATTGTTGAGCGCGTCGATGTGGGTTGAAGAAATGCGTCTAGGTGGCACCCTGCTCGTCCCGGCCTGTGTGTCTGCGTTATGAGTGAGGCGATTGGCAAATCGCTGGGAGTTGTGGTGTAGTCATTCCCTCAACCTCCTAGCTTCTTGATCATTTTGAAGTCGGCGGGTTCGTAGAGAATAGAATGATAGAGGAGCACTGAGCTTCGCGGCCTGCCGCCGGTTTACGAACTGGATAAAGCTGAGGCCGCTCTTTCAGTAGCCCCTGGCTACAAAAAAAGGAGCTTTTCGGAAATCTCCCAATCAAATCTAAATCAGTGATCTGTTAAGCCAGAGTTGCAAGAATCTGTTTCAAGAACCACCACGACCACATCATGCAAAATTTGAGGAAGCTGACTTCGGAGTATTATGCAACGAGGGCCGTCTCCGTCTGTGTCTGTCGCGCTATCTGTCATTCGAGCGAGTCTTCTCTTTTCAAGATGTGCGTGCTCTGTCTCATGTCATACTCATCATCACACTTTTCATGATTGAGTGAGTTCTGGAACTCGCAAAGAAGTTATGCCATTTCACTCTGGTGAACCAAGTCGAGATTTGTATTTGATTGCGATTACAAAGCAGGCTGCATGTGCATATATCTTTTGTTACGCTATTAGTTTTATTAGTATTCATTATGTTTGATTTCGTTGGTGTTGGAGGCATATAAGGATTCTCATTTTTCCCCCGATTCTCTTCTCTTGCTCAATATTTCCTCACAACAAGTAGTTGATTCGCATTCAAATGTCCCCCCATGTTTCTTGCCCATTCATTGGCTTTTATGTATTAGATGACCATTATGCTGAGTTAACGGCCCTTGTCGTTGACAGCAGCCATCATTTATTTCATGTTCGCAAGTAGAATTAGTTGTGATCTTAATGTTATTTCTTTGAACGAGTACAGCTAGTTGATTTTTAATACATAGGAGAAAAATGTTTTCAGGGTCCTCGAATAGTTCAATGCCGAGCTCTGCTCAGCTGATGCCAGAGTTGGAGAATACCAGGACGTCTTCCAACAACATGTCACGACCGGAATTGCAGGTGGAGACCTTCGTAAACAAGCAGATGGATCGTCTTCTCGAGGTGTCCGTTGGTATGCCGCTTGCAAGCGCTGCTGAAATTGGAGACTTCGCGATCGAAAAGTTGAAGCGAAGTCTCGTGACAAAAAGAGATCGTGAGAAACGGATGAAAGCAAAGGATCTGGAAGATTCGGTCAACAGAATGGCACGCAAGGATGCCTCGGAGGCGCGGCGCCGAGGCAAGAAAGATACCTCATCTTCGAGCATGTCTCCCACCTCTACCTTGTCGCCCTTTTCCGCAGCAAGACACCCTTCCGCGTTGGGAAGTTCTTCTTCGATGCCTGCTTTGGGAGGAGGCATAACAGGTGCAGTTTCTTCATTTTCTGCAGTAGACAGTACAAGTACTATGGGGGCAACGCCGTCGGGTGTTGGTGGAGGTCGTGCTGGAGGTTGTATTCCAGGTGGTTCGTCCTCCTTAACGAGTGTCGTCGGGCTTCTTGGTGGAGGTGCTGGTGGTGCGAGTGCGTCAGGAGCTGGCTTAAAGAGCCAAAGTTCTCTCCTTGGGAGCCTGCTCGGAGGTGGTGTTGATCCCGGAGCCTCGCCAGAAGGTGGAGAAGATGGCCAAATGAATCCTCTAGCTCTGGATCCAGGAACGGAGGTCTTAGTTTCGAGGTTCAGTCAGCGACTGCGTGCCTCGATGCTGGCAACGAGGCGGGCACAGAGCCTGGAAGCCGAACGGAACCGCAAGCTTGCGGCTGCGCGCGAACGTCTGGCAGAAGAGAAAGCAAATTCTAGGGACGTGAAACAGAACGATGCGTGGGGGCGAACAATTCTGCGTATGTACAGCACTGCGGCCGCACCTAAAATGCTAAAAAAGCGACAAACAGGTGGCTACACAACGGGGCGAGAAGGATATTACGTCACAACGACTAGTCCACCGAGTAGTGCGGTGACGACGACGCGGCCGTCCTCGTCCACATCGGCAACTTCTAATGGAGGTGAAAGTCAACAGTTATCCGACAGTACCCAACCGTCAGCACGGAGGAAAAGTAGAGCAGCGCCGGTCGTAAAGGCGACTTCCTGGTCGTGGGCTGGGATGGAGACTGGGTGGCGCGCACTGACTCCACCGCGAGTACGGACACTGTCGCGATCCAGGTCGAGATCTATGAGTCCGGCGGAGGAAGCCAGAAACAAAGGGAAAGGCGGAGCAGAAGGCGAGCAAAGCGAGAAATCGCCTCCCTTATCGACGATTATGAGCGCAAATCGATCGCCTACACTGTTGCTCTTAGACGAAGACTCTGGCAGTTCAAGTGAAGAAGACGAAGACGGTACTGTCTTTTACCCTGAGCGAACGACGACAACTTTGCGTAGCGCGTTTCCGCAGGAGATGTTGAAAGCATTTCTAGAGTGGCAACCAGACAAAGACCCGTTTATCGCGGACGAGCCACCGGAAGTCGATGAAAACGGTAACCAAATTGTGGCAAAGAAGGACTACGAAGACGATGCGGACAAAAGAGTAGAGGACGGAGTGCGAGAACCAGCGGCATCTGCACCTTCAAAGGCGGCTTCATTGTTTGGTGCAGCACGGCCTACCCCAGCTGCTAGTGGGTTCGGCGCGTTCGCGAGCGCATTTGGCGCTGCAGTAGCCGCTCCGCCATCTCCCGAGGAGGACGAGGAGGAGAAAAGAAGGAAGAAATTTGCCGACGTTTCAAAAACAGCGGATGGGGTAGAACTAAAGCCGCTAGAACAGTGGTGGCTGCGAAGTGTGAACACGTACGTCCCGATTGAACCTGAGCCGCCTAAGAGCAGTGTATCCCCAGCAGTCAGCGTAGGACCCGCACTCGGAGGGGCCTTTGGGCTGCCTAAAAAGAGTCACAATCCCTTTGCACCCTCCCCGCCTCAGCCTGCTGGCCTGGCGCTTCTAAAGGGAGGCTGCAAAAACGGTGCTCCGTCTCCACTAGCAGCAAAAGACAACCTGCCAGGACCAGGTCATGGTCTGGATTTGTTGATAAATTTTCGACGGCGCCGACGCGTCTTCGTAGAGGGTCCGAGCCTTGCGAAATGGCGCGGCCTGGCTCGATGGAAGCTGGTCATGATGGGTTCCGGGCAAGTAGCGGTGACCATGCACTACAACTGGATTTGGAAGAAGTTTGCGTCCCTCTATTGCACAGCGGATTTGAATTTTTTAGCTGATCAGTACATTGGTTATTGGCTTTGGCGGACGATGGGCGCCGGTGCAAAAATAGGCCCTTCTGCAGTAGCCCGCGCAGCATCCCCGAAAATACCTGCGGTCCTTCCCGACGGAAGATTAGGGTTAGCAATATTGGCTCACACGTCTCCGCGCCCCGCAGTATCTGACGAACAGTCGGCGAGGCGCAGTAGTCGCGTCTCGCGCAAAGCAAAAGCGCTGCCACCCGTCGACGCTAAAACACGATTCCGTGGCCGTTCCCCTGCCAGAGAGAAGAGTGCGAGCAGGCGAAGAGAACGGGAACGCGAGAATACCGGAGATCGGGTATCCGGCCCACGTTCCGGTAGCGTGCAACTCAACCAAGACCGTAGCAATAGCGGAACAAGCACCGAAGCACAGCTTAGTCCGTCGTTTCCACTGCAGCAGAGCTTGGCTGTGTCGCACTGGACCGGGTTCGGATGGGTGCCGTTGGAATTCTTGCAGCGCATCGCTGTGCGGTATCTCTTTATGCGCTATCCGGACGTTGTGAACAGGCTCCAAGACGCCCTCGGCCGTATCAGCGGAGACGTTCGTGATATTACCGTTTTGGCAGCCTCAACATCTGGATCCACACCGGATGCTGCGTCGATGATGTTGACGCAAAGCCTGTTTCTGCGAGTACTAGAAGTTGTACTAGCCAAGACACGACGTGTACGCATCGCTGAAACGGAGGCAACATTCGAATTCACGCTGGTGTTCCTGGAAGTTCTGCGACGCGCGTGGCTAGAGGAAGTACTACCGAAAGTTGCCGATGAAATCCCAGATCGAAGCCTCTGTAGTTTGAAGGAAATTAAAGAGGCCGAAGATGAGGAAATGCTCAAGAACAGTGCAGATACGCCCAACGACATTGGTCTTGCCCCCACAGCTTTGCAGAGGAAGAAAGTGCGGGAGGTGCGTCGTCGACTGCAAAAAAGGGATGCGGAGATCGGGCTGGACTCCCTGAAACGGTACCTGGACACTCAAAACAGGCTGCCAGACGTGCTGATCGAGGCCGTGGAGTACATTATGGACATGAAATTTGAGGAGGACCGCGAGGACGAAACCAACACACTTGCTGCGGATAGCAGAGCACATGACTACAAAGGGTACGACGTCGCTTTTATACGGGAGATTTTCCTCGAAAGATTGCAGATTGTAGGCACATATGGCGAGGAGTATCTCTTCGCGCGCATAGAAGAACTCCGTTTGCGCACAAAAATTGGTGACAACAAGCCGGAAACTACGCCGGAGTATGAACTTTTGCACGCGGCAGGAGGTCGTGGTGCCTTCGCTTTAGGTGCGCTTACTGGTGGAAAAAAGGGCGGCGGACTTTTTGGTGGAGGAGGTTTGAAGAAGGGCCTAGGCAGCGTTGGAGGCGGCGCGCCAGGATCAGGTGGCGGCTTACTCGGAAAAATAAAACAGTCAGCTCCACCCCCAGCTGGCCCAGCCTCTTCAGGTGCTGCTGCTCCTCCTGCAGCTGGTGTAGCCTCAGCGACAACTGCTGAAGCGGCGGGCGCAAATCGGCCTGCCACATCACCAACCCCAGGCGCCGAAGGCCTACTGGGCAAGCTGGGTGCAAGTAAAACTGCAGTTCCGGGAGCTGCAACCACTCCTAGTAGTCCTTCGCCGTTTGGAGCAGCTGTGGGCAACAAAATGCCTAGTATTGCGGGTGCCCTCGGCGGCGGAACAGCGGCCGTAGCTGCTCCTGCTGCAACTCCAGCTGCAGCAGCGTTTGGTGCTAGTGCTGGCAGCGCATCCCCACCCACACCTTCAGGGGGAAATCGCTTGGGTGGGCTGCGTGCGTCCTTCAAGAGTTCCGTGAAGCGCCTCAAAGGTGGGACTAGTGGATTGCAGCGAAAAATCATGACTCAGAGTGATCTTTTGTGGTTGTTGGCGGAAGCGTACCAATCCCCCCTCCTGAGCGAAGACTTTGCCAAGCCAGTCAGTCACTGGGTGGAACGCCTGGAGAGACAACGTGGGACAGCACCAAAGCTGATACAACATTGCCCGTTTATAGGACAGAAATTTGGTTGGTTTCGCGACCACGCGGAGCAAACAGAAGAGAGCGTCCGCATAAGATATCAAGCGACGGCAAGCGTAACAGGATTATCTTGAAATCGCTGTAGCGAACATCACATCACAAGTGAAACGTCGAAACCGGGTTCTTTGGTTCAGATCCAGAGCCTGCAAGTAAAATAAACAGTACTCAGTGTTAGTACAGTGTTGACTTTGAAAAAATATCTACTAAGTTGGCCCTTTATACTTCACATTGTTATAATTCACGTATGGTGTTGTTGGAAAGACGCAGAAATATGATGAAAAAGAGAAACTGCGCTTAGGGATATGACACAAGTACCAGGCCTGTAACGAGATTTAGCTTCCCATTCAGAAAGCAATCACGAGCCGGCTCAGCCTACGTATGGACTTGGACTGGGGCCAGACAAATCAGACACCACGAGGAACTTTGAGGCGGCAAGTTTTTGTGTGGGCGACGAAAGTCGGTTTTATGCACTCATTCAGAATGAGTATGGGAACGATGACGATAAGAAAACTACTTGATAGAGACAAGGACTACCAGATGTACGCTCGGTTCCAGGCGGCTGGGGTCAGCTTTTGTACTACTTGTGTGAGTGAAAAGTTGAGAAGAGATGCCGCGTTTTTCATCGGTCTCTGGAGAGCCCTAGTTTTAGCGAAAAAGCGAGTGAACCTGAACCTCGAGGTGAAGGAAGAGTTTAAAACAGAATCGGAGGTAGCTCCTTAGTTTCGTCAGTCACGCAATATGCCGCTGCTGGCACCTCTATGTATTTACGTATGCTCATCTTGTTGTGCACGACTGAAAACAAGTTATTGCCGTGCCAGCACCAGTAGACGGCCAATTGGCTTAAAATGACAACCATGAAGGCTCTCGTCTTATCAGGAGATGCAGGAGCAACAAGATTCTGACATTACAACGTCAGAAGAAAAGAAAAAAGATGCGGCATGTTGCAACAGTTGTCGGCGTGGCCTCCTTGGGCTTCCAACAGCCTGCGGATGCTATTCGCGTGTTTCGCGAGACGACTTCCAGGAAAGGTAAACTGTCAGGTAGCAACGTTAACTATGGAGGCGTCGCGGGACGCGCCTCAGCAGCCTCCGAGACGGCCGTGTGTGATGGATCGGAAATAATGACGAGATCTCCCTCGTCTAGCACATCAAGCAGGCTCGAAAATGGGGGGCGAGATGAAGAAATAAGCAAAAGAGCAAGTAGAAAGAAAAGTGGAACAAGGGACGTCGAGGACCTCATACCTGCATCGTCGTTTTTGGAAGTTTCTGCTTTCTCTTCAGCTGGACTGCCACTCCTCGGCTCAGGACTAGCACATCGGGGATCTGGGCCTGACACCGCGTCTTCTGCTTCTATATTGACTCGTTTTTTTCGGAGCACCGTGGCCGCAACTAGGAATACAAAGCGAGCGCTGGCAGATGGAACAAAACCTGTCTCATTCAGTCGGCAGGAAGCAGAACAGGATCCGTCGGTGAACAAGAAGGGTTGCTTTAAGCTGACTAACGAAACCGATGTGGTCTTTGAGAGCAAAGTGGCGACCTCGGACAATCGAATGAACCCGGAGCTTATGCGTAGATTTTGTCTCTGCGATTGTCATATCCCCTGCATGAACATGGGCATAGAACCACATCATATCATGTGTAGTAACTGCAGCAAAAACAATGCATGATGACCAGACCATCTTCATCACGTGTGCTATTTCCGCATGCCAGCCTCTAACTTGTAATGCGCTCAAGAATGCGAACTTGCACAAAATTTGCCTTCATACGCGATTCTTTACGACGGGGGATCGCGATGCGAGTGTGCTCACGACCTAGAATGGACTGAGATCGGCTGGGACGAGAACTGCGAATCAAAGTGCCCGAATTTAAGACTCTCGATGTGTTAATGTCAATCTCGCTGTGGGACGAGATTCTCTTGCGTCTCTCTTTCTCCACAGAAATGGGATCATTCGGAAACTTTTGTCTTTGTCAGATTCAAATTCATAATATAAATAATTAGACTTCAAAATATACCTTGCAGTTGCATTTGCTCCGGAACGTCTAATTTCAGGCGACAGCTGCGGTGGCGACGATGGATATGCGACCGTTTACTGGTGGCACAGGTGATCAGCATTTGTGATGCTGCTTAATATACTTTTACTTTAATATAGTCGGTTCAATCGCGGTTAGCGTTAAAAGACAAGAATAGTCTTCTTGGCGTTGGCGAATCGATGGCAATTGTTTTTCTAGAGAACGCAGCAATCACAAGTTCAATCTTCATCTGTCATCAATCAAGATGGACATGATGATGAGCACTAAAACTAATAGTGATACTTGTGGTGAGGTTTTTCTTTCCATTTTTACGAGTATCACAAACACAACGAGAACGATCATATTCATATGATATCTTTTGAAATGTTGACCCAAATTTCAGATGTCCAGACGAAGACCCGCTGAACAACCGATGCAAATGCCCTCACGGGAACGCCCCAACAGGCCCAGAATGTCCAGAGGACGGGGCAGATATGTGCCTAGATTGCGATCGCGGTTATGAGCTCAACGGCGAGACCTGCGAACCTGTAGAATGCGTTTGCTCTCACGGAGAAGCGAGTGAGGCCGTTGTTATGAATCATGCAATTGCAATGTGGTTGGAGGATCAATTTTTTATCAACAGTCGTCACGTACTTACCCGGGCAGCCAATCCGTGAACCCATCTACTTGTTGTACACGTGCATAGGGTCCACTAATATCCTTAAACACGTTTACACTTTACAACACGTGGTACACGACTCGGCATCTTCCGACCTCGGTCCCTTCCCTTTCTCCTCCTTCATCACCTACTGTCCCAAGCATGGCGCGAACCACTGCGCCAAGTGCTTCGAGTATGAGGGTTTCCACCTGAACGAAACCACGAACGCATGCGAGCTCAATGTGTGCCTTTGTCCAGGAGGTGAACCGGCCACGGGTGTCGACTGCGCGAAGCACGGTGAAGAAACGAAATGCGCATCCTGCTTTGACGAACAGGGCTTCGTCCTAGCAGACAAAGAGAAAGACATCGTAAATGAAGTCAACGGGACAAGGTGCATGCAGTTATGTCCTTGGGCTTCTTCTATTTTTTCCAAGAGGACCGACGAGAAAGTAGATACCTCTACTCGATATCAATCAATATTGGATCTGGAGGTCGGTGTAAGGGCTTACGAGATAAAGATATTATCTGATAAATAACAGAATCAACGACACCTTTGTGTTTGAAATATGACGCATAACTACAACTCTAACTTTTCGACAGTGCGAGTGCAAAAACGGTAAAGGTGCAAGCGGAGCAGAGTGTCCAATGCATGGGTCAGCCGTGTGCGTCTCTTGTGATGAAGACGAGGGGTTCAAACTCGACGGAGACGAGTGTATTCCGCGTGAGTGCCGCTGTGCCCATGGAGAAGCTCCGATTGGCAAGAAGTGCCCCAAGGTTATGACACTTCTACTACCACTTGAATAAAATCTTGCTCTCGAAAAAGAAGAGTAAGTATTAGTTGTACGTAGTAGTGTTGGTGTTCGAATTCGATGTTCTTTGCATCTTTTCTTCATCCTCTGGTTCGCGTACATAATATATAGTTAAGAAATTGCAGGCACCGACGACGACGAGGACTTAGTCCGAGGTCTAGCCCTCGCTATCCGCTAATCTCAGCCGTGACGAGGAGGGCGAATATTGTTCTTCCTGTTACGAAGACGAAGGCTACCACATGACCAAGAAAATAGACATCTGCGAGGTGAATGAGTGCACCTGCAAGAACGGTGAGCCGTCCATGGGCGCCACCTGTGCAAAACACGATACCGAACACTGCGCTTCGTGTAACGTGGAGGGCGGGTTCGAGCTGAATCCTAAGACGAATTCTACGTGTCGAGAAAGAGTCTGCACGTGCGGAAACGGAACCGCTGCGGTGGGAGTGGATTGCCCAGAGACAGGTACTAAGACTGAAGATTTACTTGTGCTTCTATTCAACAAACTCGTGAACAACTCGCTTGAGTGGGCCATTGCCTCTTCGTCGAGTTGTCATTGTGTCTTTGAGGACATCGACTCTGGTTCTATGGCTGGTTTTTGTTCTTGCATGCCGACTACAAAACTGGTTCTGGTTCTTCGAGATGAAAGATCAATGCTGCACAGGTTCTTTAATGTGCACAAAGTGCGAGCCTGGTTACGATTTGAACGAAGCTGGAGAGTGTCTATTGAGGAAATGCATTTGCGAACTTGGAGAGGCTGCCACGGGCACCGACTGTCCGACTGCTGGCGATGAGAAGTGCATGAAGTGCAAAGTGGAGGGGTTTCACCTCGACGACTTCAAGTGTCTGATCAACGAGTGCAAGTGCAAAGGCGGCGGGGAAGCCGCCATGGGCGCCGATTGTCCGGAGCATGGTATGAAGAAGTGTAGCAAATGCGCGCCTGGTTTTACCAAAGCAACCATCGACGACGGAGATGACCGCACCTCGAAATGCGTGGAGAACACGTGCACGTGTGAAAACGGCACGGGCGCCGTCAACACGGCTTGCCCAGAACACGAATCACCCCTCTGCGCCCAGTGCGATCCCGGATTCGACTTGGGTGCCGGGAAGTGCGCATTCCGAGTCTGCGAGTGTCAGAACGGGAAACCAGCGGAAGGAACGAAATGCCCAAAAGAAGCGTTCGAAAAGCGGGATTAAGGCTTGAGAGAATCCATCTTTTCCAACACCTTCGCCACGTTTTCAAGAAAGAACGGAACTCAGGATGCTGACCAAGATGGATCTTTGCAAGGTCTAACAGGAGGAGGTGTGTGTCAGCTGCAATGACACGGCAGGGTATTTCCTGGACGAGGCAAAAAAACAGTGTTTGCTCAAGGAATGCGTTTGCGCAAACGGTGTGGGAACAGTAGGTCCAGATTGCACAAAAGACGGGGAGGAAGTCTGTTATGAAAATGGTAAGTAGTTCCATTCATCCACCAAGTTCCTACACTCAAACCTGGTAGGTTCAATGTTGACTAAAAAGTTATTTTTCCAACCGCGGTTCATTCGCTGTTCGGATTCTCGGCAAAGCAAGGTGATAAGCACATCTACAACCGGTACCTCTTCTAATTCTTCGAATCCTGTGACGTGGAAGCTGGTTTCATCCTGAACAGCCGAACTCGCAAATGCGAACAAAAGGTTTGCACCTGTGAATTTGGAGTTGGTGCGCGTGGCACCAATTGCTACGAAAATGCCACGGAAATTACGACTTTTGACGTTGATCGTTGAGTTTGAAATTTCATTTCTTCTTGATCTTGTCGTAGGCATAGACCTTTCAAGGTGTACCAGGTATTACTAACTCTAACTAAGCGCTGCCCTTAGTAGATATAATCTCTTATGGCGGTGCCGGTGCCGGTGCTACTGCTACTGCTTCTCCTGGTGACGCGCGGTGCTGATGTTGCTGCACTTGCACTTCTCTAATACATTGTGCGCGTCGTGCGACGAGGGCACCGATTTTATGTTCGGCATGGGTCCGCCAGGCTTTTGCGTCGAGAATGAATGCTGGTGTATGAGCGGCGTTGGCGCCAAAGGGAAGGACTGCCCTGGCTTCGGTGTACAAGTGTGCACAACTTGCGACGAAGGAATGTATCTGAATGATGAAAAGGTATGCGAAACGAAAGAGTGCACGTGTGAAAATGGTATAGGCACTCTAGGCGAAGAGTGTGCTGAGAATGGCGCAGAAGAGTGCTCCAAGTGCGCACCCGGATTCGAACTTAAATTAGGGCTTCTCAGCATCATGAACTTCTTGAACTACAACGAATCTATCGTACTAAGCTAGCACAAGCACTGCTGCACGTGCACCCATATTATCAGGCATAGACATCCTTCACTCTTTTCCTATTACATCAAGGATAATGCCCAGGAGAAGGATACTAGAGTCCGCACTACAACTTCAACAAGGGTGGCTCTAATTGCAGGCGAAGGGAATGCGAAGAAGTGTGTAGCAAAAGGCTGCGCCTGCGAGAACGGCGTCGCAGCAACTGGCCCGGATTGTCCGCGCCATGACGAAGAGATCTGCGAGTCGTGCAATACAGGGTTTCATTTGGATCGCGATGCATGCGTTCCGAACGAATGCAACTGTCCCCATGGGACACCATTTCGAGGAGAAGCTTGCCCTGAGGATGGCAAACTAAAGTGTCAACCTGACGGGTGCAGTGACGGATATCATTTTTTATGATCTTGTTGACGTTGTAGTTGTTGAGCAATTATGAGGCCACAACTTCTAGGCATTTGCCATTTGGTATGTCCCGAATGTTTTTGTAGTTTTAGTTAGTTTCAGTAGATGTAGGACTGGCTACGTGATGAGACTCATGCCATTATGTCATTCAGTCGCACTGGCAGTCATCTTCATGGTCGTCTATATGACAGAGGCATTGTCAATTTGATTAATCCTTCCTTAATTCTTCCTGTTCCTTCTCGATCAACACCCTATTCTCCTCTACAACATGATGTGTGTTCCTTGTTTTCGCCATTATGTTATGAATTTTAAGAGTATCACTATCTCTATCATTAGGCTAATGACATTAGCTTTTTTTAGCAACATTACAACTAGAACTATGTTCTTGTCGTACTTGTTCTTTTTTTCCATCCGTTTCCTTTTTCTTTCATAACAAGAGGAAAGTTCGGGAAAGTGCGAGGCTAACGAGTGTACCTGCCCAGCGCATGGGGAGGCCGCAAATGGCGCAATGTGTACAGAGCATGGCGCAAGGATGTGTACAGCTTGCGACTATGGATGGAAGCTTAACGCAGAGACGAAGCTGTGTTCCGACTTCGAACCGGAGTACCAAGGTTTATGGCCGCTTTCGAAAATCATAAGAACTAAGTGTCATAGCCCGTTTCATCATTAACAAGCCAAAGCTTGAAGATCCGATTATATTTTTAATGATGAAGACCCACTAAGACTAACACTAGAGCTCTCCCTCTAAACAAATGCTATGAGGACAATGGCGATCGGGATCTGCCTGCGAGGTTGGGACCGTGGACGGGTAGCGTGGAACGCAAAAACTGGCTTAAGGCCACTCCAGAGAGCTGTCATATCGCGTGTCATAACTACGAATACTTCTCCATTCAAGCGGGTGGCGAGTGCTGGTGCGGCAATGCCGTGGATTTTGCCAAGAAGAACGAGCATGACTGTGTTCCGTGCAAGCATGATGACACCCTGACCTGTGGTGCTGGATGGCGCAACTCCGTGTACAAGCACAGTCCTGATGTCGCTTTCGCAGGTTGCTTTGGCACGCCGGACGTCGACGAGCTACGAGGACTCGACGGCGTCACCATCTACGCGGACGACAAGTTCACATTTGAGAAGTGCTACAATCGCTGTGGTGGCAAGGACGCAATCTTCTTCGCGTTTCTAGAGGGCAACAAATGCGTTTGCAGTGCCAATGCTGCTCTAGTGTCCAAGTTTGAACAATTAGGCGACGAACAATGCCTGGAGAGCCCGTGTGAGTCGGCAGACGCTGCGGCTACAGGGACATCAGATGAATGGATGTGTGGAGGAGGATCTGCCCTCTCGGTCTACAAATATGCAGGTGCCTCCGAGTGCGGACGCAATGGCTGGAAATGTGTGAACGGGGTCGCTTACCACTACGGAACACCAGACTCTGGTGATAGCGAAAAGAGAGGACCGACTATGGCTGCATTATATGCGATGCCCTCATGTAGAATTAGACAGCTTTTTTGAAATTGAAGCGATATGCCATTACCAATTAGTATTAGCTTTACTGCACAGATTTCCCTCACATTTTGACAGCACTTCAGGAGCTGCTACATTACCGCCTCTTACTTAATTGGACACGACCCTTTTCCTAGTTCATAATCCACAAGCAATGTCCCACTGGGGCAACATTGGCGATTGTAGAGAGTGACGCACAGGCACGATTTCTGCGCATGATGATGGGCGCAAAGGCTGACTTTTTCGTCGGACCACATGACAGAAGCAACGAAGGTGCGTGGATGACAGCAGATCAGAACGTGCTCCTTAAGCAAAAGAAGTACACACCTCCTTGGAACGCGGGTGAGCCCAATGATTGGGGCAAAAGGGAGGATTGTGCGGTCATCTTGAAAAATGGAAAATGGAATGATGATAAGTGCAGCAATGTCGAGAAAGGAGACCGATTCTTCGCTTGTAGCGAGAGGGAGCCATGAAGACAAACCTCGTACCGCCGCTGAATTTCTACCTGTTTTTCTAGACGAATGAATGCGCCGCATTCTGCTCCATGATAATTATTGAGAATGATGATATGGACAGGACGCATTCACTTTTATCATAGACTCGGCACTAGATCACGGCACTCACTCCCCAGCGTGGCGATTGCTGGACACGTGGTTGACCTGGTGATGATTAACACATTCTTCTGTCATGACCCCTTTGCATGTCTATATTCATTTGAAGCACTCATTTGTTTTTTCCGAATTTTCCACGACATTCTTCATCTACACGGATACATGATTACAAACCTCTTAAGCACTTCTTTTTTCCCAGGACACATCGTGTTGTTATTTTTTCCCATTACATTATACACCAAATGTATAGTACAAATTTAAGGAGATGCATCTATCACGATGCCCATACTTGGTGAGCGGTGTCACGGTGACAGTCTGACAGTGTGGTTTCCCTGTCCACTTCCGCGGTCAGCTCTCCGTCATCTGACTGCGCCTTAACGTTCATCATAAATGTCTGCAACTTTATATCGACATCGAGGACGATCACGACGTTGTAACGTGACTGAGAGGGGCAGCAGGTGTCTTTGCTTTACAACACTACCAAGTTCTCCGCGTCCTCTCCTCCATCAAAAGCTAAATTCGTTCTTTTTGCAACCATTCCGAGAAGACAGAGAGAGAGCTTACCGTTGCATCCCTGGATCATCATAACAAGCCAAAAGATGTGATCTTCTGATCTAGCACGGATCGATGATCTTATCTGAAAAACAAAGACCTGATCGTCAACGTAGTGAAAGGTAGCTGCAAGTTTGCTTTCAAGGTGGATGGCAGTTTGTTAAAGTTTATTTAGGTCATAGGACTCCGAGTCTGAGAATACACAATTCATTTACTTGATGTTATGTGGAAATAAGTCTGAGGTTCTGCGGCACACGATGTAGATGTATCAGTGCTGTGCTAAGAAATAGAAGACTCGTCTTGACATTATTCAACGAACCGTGTCTGGATTATGATTCTGATCAGCATGTTTTTCCCTACTTTCGACGGCAGCCATTTCGTCAAATTATAAACAACCAAGACTGATCTTTTTCCCTTTGCCCAAAAGAGTAGACACTACCGAGGCATCTTCCCCCACGAACACTAGCAGGTCTGCCTCTGATATTATTGTACGACTTTGAATGAGACCAAGAGAGTGAGAGAAAGTCTAAGTCTGACCTAATAGATGCTGAAGATTTGATTTTATCCAGGGCATCAAGTATTAAGATAATATTTTGTTACTCACATCACTGTATTTTCTAGTATCCTTCTTTTCTTCAACGACATCAAGAACTCCCCCCACCACTACCACCACTACCATGTCATCCGACAGCGAGCACGAGGTAACCATGAAGAGAAAGAAGAAGGACTCTTCGTCGGACTCTGATTCCTCTGATTCGGATTCGGATTCATCCACTTCAGAAAGTAAGAAACGCAAAACGAAGTCCCGACGAAAGTTATGAAACACATTTTGATTTTGATTTTTGAATGTAGTAATATTTGATTGCGCGTATAAATAGGTGGAACTTGTAATGTTGAGCAGACGTAACTCCATAGCCTGATCATGGTTGCTTTTTTCGCAGGCATTCTAATCTGTGAAGATGATAAAAAAGGCAAGAAAAACAAGGACGATAAGAAGAGTAAGAAGCACAAGAAAAGCAGCAAGATCGAAGACATCAAGAAGAGGGCGAAAGAAGCGAAAGCTGCACGTAAGACTGATAAGAAAATCCGAAAAGCTGAAGAGAAACTAGGACCGGAAACCTGTCCCCCAGAAATTCAGCTTGATTTTGATGCGTAGGCTTAGCAGTAGAACTGGAACTAGTCGCACTATCGTCGTAAGCTTACCTATGCGACTCCTCTACGCGTCATCTGCAACAGGAATCCGTGTATTGTGCCATTCTTTTCTACCTTTTTACTTCTAGTCAAAAATGGGATTTTATATCCCCATTATAAACTTGATAATGGTATTGAGTTTTAAGATGAACACTAAGTTGTTCTTGATTTGAGGTCTTGGATAATTAAGATAGTACCCTTCCTTGACCCCCAGTCATAGTAAGTTTTGAAGCAACAGCGAAAGGAGGAAGAGAAGCGTGATCGCAAGAGACGAAAACTGCTGATTGAGATGGAACACCAGCAGGGCGCCGAAGAAAAATTGCGCATGCTCGAACGCGGATTCGACACGAAAGTTATGGCACAATTCTGATAGCCATAGAGAATGAGATAGTGATAGTTGAGGTTGACGTCGATTGTCAGGGACTTACATCATGATCATCTTCTAATTTCTGAGTCCAGATGGCTTTGGTTGCCCGCGAAGACGACAGTGAGGTCATGGCAAACGCGCGAGCTCGCGCTGACGAACTTGCCAAGCAGAAAGCTGAGGAGTTACTCCGAAAGCAGGGCAAGCTGAAGGAAGCCGAGCAGTTACAGAGCCTGCTTTCTGGTGAGGCCCAACAACAGGCTGGGACAGAAGGCGACGAACCGCAGCACTGGATTTGCACAAATCCTACTTGTCGGTACAAAAATCTCTGGAAGTGGAATGAATGTCACGAGTGCGGTGGTCTCAACTTTGCGGCGAAGGCAGCCACCTTGGATCGCAGAGTCACGTCAAACCCCAACCACAACCTTTTCAGCAAGGACGGAGACGACGAAAAAAAGAAAGGCGCATCTACTTCGTCGTCAAGCACAAAAACCGGAGGAGCTGCATCTTTATGTCTAAAATACCTTTTGATCTGGTGTCATGTGAGAAGTCGTATATCACACATGAATAGAGTGGAGGTGAACGAACTAGATAATCAAATAGACTTTCGTGCTAGACTTACATGACCAGAAAAGTTATCAACAACAAAATATACCTAAAAAAATAGCTATTAGGTCTATTTTTGGACTTTGTTCTGCTTCATTTTTTTCCTCGTCTTCGTCGGCAGCTGCTGCGCCTCCGCCACCTTCGACAATGCTCGCGCCTAACAGCAACGTGACATATTCCAAATTCGTGTACGGTCAAGTCCGACCCTGGTCCCATAAAGCTGCCGCCAGAGGGTCAATCGCGGGACATGGCCAAGTTCTGGATAAAGACGCCGAAAGGGTCATGAATTTCTACAAGGACCTCAACAAGAAACTTAAGCTGGAACATCGGGGCCGCCGATGAGAAGGAGGCTGACCTTGAAAACCGAATACTGGATTGATCTTTTTGTGTAACAGGTGGACGTGGAGATGAAGAGCAGAACTAAAGATCAAAGGCGATCAGGCTTAGGTTGATAGAGTGAACTTCTAGATCATGATAATGCAGCTCCACCCTGTTATCTTCCTGAGGAGCGCAGACTACTTGTAGCACAAAACTAACGACATTTCACTATATTGCGCTCCCTCATCACGCTCCTTGCCCCTTTCATCACCAGTACGTATACAAGATGTTAGAAGACGGTGTCAGCCCGCACCAATCTACAACCAGCACATCCTTTTTATATTACGATACCCTTTGAGTTTGATTTTGAAGTATCAGCATTCGACGTCAATACTAATGTCCGTTGATGTCTTTATTTTATATAGAAACATCCCAGATGAAAATATGGCAATGGCAAATGCATCACCCAGTTTCTTGTCGCCCAAAGGCAAAGGCGTGGACCTCCAAACCCTAGCCCCTTTCTCGTCCCATGAAATATCACATTTTGCTTTTTCCTCTTCCATTTATGTTGTTGCGAGCGGTCGAGACGAATGCGTGACGCGTGTGTTGACGAGATTTATCTTTATTTGGCGATGAGAGTATCCACAGTTTTTCTGTGCCAGCAATGAACTGACTGAACCAATGATGGAGGTAACGCAGCGAGGAACCTCGAGGTCGAGAGCTACTGAGAGAACGTTAGTTACCAATAGGACTACTTCATGTAGAGTATTGCTAAGTCTGTTTTTTTTTCTAGCGTGTGCGTGCCGAGTCATTTTTGTAGTTTATTTTCCGTGCGAGTACCCTGGCGTAGATACTGAAGTCGAGGATTTCGATGCCTCTAGCTATAATTGTATAAGTGCTGTCCACGCATCAGAAATACAATGAGCAAGCCGACAACAGCTGTCCTCAGGAAGCTCCAGGCAGTACTTGGCACTGCAGTGCTGGACGACAAGGGCAAAGAGGACTTGATATGCCGCATACTAGAGGCGGCAAAGGTCTATGGCTCGTCTGCAGCGGAGAAGACTACGGCAGATCAGGATGTTGAGGGGATGTGTATGGAGTGGTACTGGATCCCAGGTCGCATCGAACTGGTTGGTAAGCACACCGACTACTGTGGCGGCGAATCCATCGTCTTTCCTGTAAACCGAGGCTTCCTTTTTGCGGTCGTCAAGGTATCACCAGGAGATGACGACGGGAATAAACCAGAGGCAGAGAACAAGATGAAGATGTCTAACCAGAAAAGTAGGAAAATGACGGTTATTCATTGTCGTGATGGCTCTCCTAGCCTAGGTGCCGGAGAACAGAAAAACGAGTGTTGGAGTTACGCCTGTGTTTCAAACAGTGAAGCTGACAGCAGCACTGCTTGTTCAGAGGAAGAAGATGGAAAAAATATTATTAGTACAGCTTCCAAACCTAAACCCGAGCAGTCTCCACCCGGCTGGAGCACCTACTTCCGTGCTACCTGGGACCGTTTACGAATGAACTTTGGTATGACATTCACACCGCGCCGCATCTATTTCGCCTCCGACCTGCCAAAGGCGTCCGGTCTGAGCAGCTCCTCTGCACTCGTGGTAGCTGCGTTTGTGATAGTGGAGCAGGATGAGATTTTTGCGAGCCAGGAGAAGCAGAACAAGATTCTTTCGGACGTAGTTCGTTCATGGAATCCAGAAGACCTTGCAGCGTACTTGGGATGCTGTGAGAATGGCTCCGGCTTCTCGTGTTCATCGATGTCTTTGCCTGGGAGTCGCGGTGTCGGAACTTTTGGCGGGTCTGAAGATCACGCGGGGATTTTGAATATTGGTGGCCTGGCAGGGGGATTGAGCCGGCTCTGTTTCATGCCTGCGAAGGTGATTGATGCTATCAAATGGCCCGTAGAAACGTATCACTTTGTAGTAGCAAGCTCGGGTGTGGAGGCACACAAAGGTGCAGGCTCAATGGAACACTATAACAACGCGGTTCTTATAGCGCGGGATGCGCTGGAAAGAATCAATGCTTATTATGAGGACAATGTTGATAAACGAAAATTTGCCTCTCTGGGTTCTTTTCTAGCGAACGAAGGCGCAAAAAAAGCAAAGAAAGTTCTCCAAGAGATCTATGCTGAAGTATCAACCGCCGTGCAGTGGCACGCGAACGCAGTACCCGGAGGAGCGACGACAGCGGAAACTACAAAAACTGCATTCATACAGTTTGGAAGAGTACAACAATTTCTTGACGAAATGGAGGTCATCGAAGAACTCGCGAAACTGGTAAAAGAGCTAAACGAGAAAACAGCACCAGACCGATCACAAGCTGTGATTGAGAAGTTAGCCAGCTGTCTTCAAAAGTCGCAGGAAGGTTCAGAGAAGTATCTGCTGAATATCATTGAGGAGACGGCCTACTTACCTCGATCAGCGTTGAAACTTGGTGCTATTGTTAAGGCTGATTTGTTTTCAGTCACTTTTACCTGATGACAGTCCCCACCACATCAACATTTTGTTGCGCATGCAAGTATAACGTGAACGAGGAGATCTACTTAGGGTCTCTTTTGGTCTAGTACCCAGGTGGGCGTGCGTATGAGTATGCCAATAAGATATGTCAGGATCCAACTGTACTAGTTGGGGGTTTTCGGCTTGTTTTCCTTGTGAGGACTCACCAGATCTAATACCGCCGCGAGCGCATTTGGGGCAGGATTTGGAGGGTCTGTCTACGCGATTGTACCAGCTGACAGGTCGGAGAATTTTCGCGGACTCTGGGAGAAAGACTATATCTCGAATTTCCCACAACACGAATCAAATTCTTGTTTCTTTATTGTCAAAGGGCCTGGTGCTGGTGCGCAGCGAATAATGTAATGATACGGTGTAGTACTAGTCTCTATTTCTTCTACTTGGTACTTCTATGATTTTTCTATGACACAGAGACAGAGAACTACCTCAGAGCCAGGGCGAAGATGAATCTGCATCTTCGCAATCGGTAGAAAAAATGGTGATGAAAATGTTGATGTTGTTCTACTACTTCCACAGTAATTGTTGTAAGTATAAAATTATGCACGACAATCTCAATGACAAGGTCGACAATTTTGACGTCTCTGAGGACTCAGGCGACCTTCAACAGGGTCTTGAGTGGATCCAGAACTAGAAGCTGACCACGCGATCTCGATCTCGAGCTCCTTCTTCATCTGGCATCATGTTTCTGGCTTGTTGACGCGGTCTTGTGAATTGCATCTCCTAATTCTTCATGAGAAAGCTTAGCTCTGCTGGTTATCGGGCTTTATGTTTATCTTCTTTATCTTCTTGATGTGGACGGTGCCTCTCTTGAAACTCTGCTGTGAATTACGAATATAAGAGATATGGAAAATAGAGTGTCTCCTTGCTAGTGTGTGGGTGTTTCTGTGTTACTGAAAATGGCAATTAATTCTTTCAGAAGGATGATGTGGTGTTCCCGTCTGTGTCGCCATGATTTGTGCCCCTGTTGCCACTTCTCACTTCGTTGATGTTTTTCTCCTACTTAAGTAGTTATCTTTCTTGTCTTCACAGATGGCATAGTCGAAGATCATTATCATCAATTGGTTCACCTTCACGTTCAGCACTTTAGAAGCAGCATCTGTTATTTGTGGTAATATGCGTTTTTCCAGGAAAGAGCCTCTCCAAGTAATCTCTGCTGGCATTTGGTTTGCTCATTTCGTTGAGTTAGAAGTTTTAACAGTACTAGAGCCAATACTAACTAAGTCTAAGGGTATCATGTATTCGTTGAAGTGCGGCAGTACTAGTTGACGTCTAACTATTGTGTACTAGTTTTCGCCTGCTTTTGCTGAAGAGATGAGGCGAGTCGTTTGCTCCTACGTTTTGGTCTGCTAAAAGCCAGACCTCTGCCCGACAGCACTTGATCTTACCCGCAGGTAAGACGCAGAGCAGAAGCCACGTCACGGCTAGATCGTGGCATAAAGCGGCAACAAAAATTTTACGCTCACTTTCAAGTTGGCGGTGGGCACGTTGAGAAATAAGCGAGAACGGGAAAAGAAACGAAAACGATGGTGGCCTCATCGAAAGCTGCGCCTGCAGCGGGGACTGCGGCGGCGTCATCAAGTTCCAGCTCATTCAATGTGACACCGCAGCCCGTATCGGAGCCTATCTCGCTTGATGGCCCGACTCCTGAGGGTGAAAAACAACGTGAGCCACTGCTCTCTGCGCTAGACAGAGACTTTCCCGCAGAAAGCGCAGAAGGACTGGCAAGGCGAGAGCGCATCTTGGAAAAACTCACCACACTAGTGCAAGAGTGGACGCACGAGGTAGAAGACTTACTGAAGTTTACTGTTCAACGAACAAGTTCTTCCTTCCCGCTTGCGATTTGCATATCGATATCTTCAAAAGTTAGAGTGTCAAACTACACAAAGAACACAACAAATTTTCATAACTCGACGTGAACGTGATCTAAATCCTAAATGAGAGTTCCTATCCACGAAGTAAGACGATTCAGATGCATCTACTACCCCTCCATAATGTTCAACAACATACAGGTCGGTGTATTGAAGCGAATGATGGACGAGGAGAGTGCGAGGGAGGCTGGCGCCAAAATTTTCCTGTTCGGGAGTGCGAAATTAGGTGTGCTGACTCCGAACAGTGATTGCGATTGTGTCTGTGTCGTGCCCAAACATATCACTCGGGATGACTTTTTTGGTAATCTAGTCCCAAAGTTGCAGGAACATCGGGACTTTATCCAGGAAATCAATCCTGTACCGGAGGCGAACACTCCGATTATCGAGATGAAAATCGAAGGCGTTGCGGTGGATCTCGGCTTTGCACAGCTAAACGTGCCGACTCTGAAGGGAATCGAATCACTGCAGGTACTAGGATCAAAATTAGTTTCTTGACAATCTAATGTTTGTTTCTGCACCTCAAGCCACTGAGAGCATTGCTACAACAAAATGATAGATAGAGTCTTGTATTTGTAAGTTTTTTTATGGCAAAGATGTTCTTCCCAAGCATCCGCATTCCTATCGTTGTTTCTCTTTCAGAATAACGATCTCCTGCGCGGATTAGACGAGAAGTCGGTTCGGGGTATCGGAGGAAACCGAGTGAATCAACTTGTTTTGGATCTAGTACCAAATAAGGACGCTTTTCGCGAAGCATTGCGCTTCGTGAAGGCTTGGAGCAAGGCGCGAGGCATTGCAAGCAATATGCTAGGGTTCTTCGGAGGCATCACGTGGGCGATACTGATTGCTCGGGTATGTCAGCTGTATCCGAATTTCAATGGTCCGATGGTCATCCAGCGCTTCTTTCGGGTACTAGAAAGTTCTTGTATAATAACAAGAACAAGTGCTACTTAATAGACAAATTCAACATGGTACTAGCATTATAACTCACATTGATTCACTAGTACTGCTGGTGACCGCGACGTTCTTCTCGTGCTATGATGTATGCTTGTTCGATGTTTGTATCATGGACTTTCCTCGAACTCGACCACAAGAACTATGACCGTTTCTTTGCCTACCACAAATAGGTTTTCAGCCAATGGCACTGGGGTTGGAATCGGCCGGTTCTATTGACAAACATAGTGCATGCGCCAGCCAACAGTCCGCTAGTCAGCCTCCGAGTCTGGGACCCGCACAATAACCCACACGATAAGTACCATTTGATGCCCATCCTCACGCCTTCTTTTCCGGCAATGAATAGCACTCACAACGTGAGCGAGACGACGAAGCGAGTTCTCATAGCAGAGCTCAAGCGTGGTAGACAGTACGTGGACGAGGTATTCGCAGGTAGAAAAAAGTGGACAGACGTCTACGCGAAGCACGTATTCTTCGCGATGCACAAAGACTACATTCGTGTGCAATTGGTTGCGAAAAACGCCGCTGCATTTTCAAGGTGGGAGGGCTTCATTGAGTCTAAACTTATGAATGAGACGCCATTCAATTTAAGGAGATCTTATCACGTTTTGGCACTATTTACCCCACTAGGTAGCCCGTCTACGTCCATTGTCGACCCTGGTAGAAACAAAGTTATTTCTTTGCACGATATTATTTTCTCCCTCTTCTAATTTTGTGAGGCTTTTCGTGCGGAATTTGGAGCAGGTTTGCCCTGGATTTGAGTTCCGTCCTTGGCCAGAGAAGTACGACCTTGGCGATGATTCCAAGAACATCCTGAGTAACTGGCCAGTCTCAAAGCAGATGTTCATCGGCGTGTCCAAGCAGAAGCAAACGAGCCACGAGGACGCTCCAAGCGAGACCGCGGCTACCGATTTTCGGTTAGCGGTGGAGAGGTTTGTGGAGAACCTAAGTAGCATGATGAAACAAGAAGGCTATTCGGAGGGGCAGCAAGATCTTTTGATCACCGACGGAAAACGCGAGGAGCTTCCATTAGAGCTCAGGGTGCTTGCAACGCCGGAAGTGATGGTAGTAAAATAGTTAGCTTATCTTTAATATCAAGGGATCCTCAGCTCGTGGTAGTGTTGCCTGAAATAGATTAGCAGAACTTCTTGATGAATGAAGAAGAAGATCTGCTAATTGGTTTTGTAGACCAAGATCGTACTACTCTGGCAGGTCCAATGCAACCACATCCACGGACATTGTGGATGACAAAGCTAGTGCATGTAATAGACACCTTATTGTTATCTTACTGCTACAATAGTGTTTTTTGCTGATGATCATGCCCCACCACAACAGGTAAACGAGCAGCCGGTTGAAGGCGCTGCGGCTGCTATTGGTAAGCGGGAAGCTGAAGTAGAAGCTAGCACCATTGCGACTGTGATTGACCATGCGACAACTGGGCCTGAAACCAAAAAGCGGAAGAAAATTGGCGTCATGTTGGCTAGTAGTTAGAAGTACCTCATAGTTTTGTGAACGTGAAGAAAAACGAAAGCCGCACCTCTATCACATTTCTCGAACTTGATGAAGTCCCACTTCTTATTACATTTACATTCATTTCGCGCATATCCGAATCCCACGCTGGAATCCACGTTTGTTAGCATTCAACATTGTTCACATCGAGGAAAGTTGTTGTGTATGAATAACTAAGTCCGGTACCCCCGTACAATAATATTTTCTTGGGGATAAATGTGAAAAACTGCTCCACACAGGGCGCGTCTATGACGTCGAAAAGGGTGGCATCAGCATTACATGAAAATGCAAGCCCAAACGTCGTATCGGAAATATCGTCATCGTGTTCCGATGATGAGCTCGTCGACATTCCATTTTTCCTGAGGAAAAAAATTACAACAAGTGGCAGACACAGATCCACCATACGAATTAGGATATGAAAACGACGATCGATAAAAAGAAGTTGCAGAATGCGGTCCGTTTGATGAAAATGAAAAAGAAGGTGGATCAGAAGTTTAGCTCGCTGGTGGCCGCAAGGAGATCTTCGCGTGGGTGCGGACGCATACCCGTTCGCTAAATCTACGAATAGAATTCAGGTGATCTCTCTCGTTCAGTACCAAAAGAACAATGATTGGTCAGCAATTCTAATACTAATTCACTTCAATCATATGCATCTGGTTCTTCATCTTCTATCATAATATCATTTGCTCAGGCCATGGCCAAACATCATTTCCCTGACCCACCCACGACATTTTTCCCTTTGTATAATTTTTCCCCGGCCTCTACCTGCTTAGAAAATGTGTTTGTGACCTCAGCGCTCAGCCTTGTTGTAACTATGAAAAATATGACAGAGTTTACTATGTGCTACTAGTTCATTATTTTCGTTCTGCTTTGGGTAATGGAAGTTTGAAGTTCTTCTTCTGGACGTCTTCAGTTTCAGATGACCAGTCAAAATCATCATATTTAGACATCAGATTAACATCTTAATCATTAGATTATCTGCAAGATGTTTGAGAAGTGGGCTGACAGCGACGGTTCCTCCGATGATGACATGCTGGTCATCTCAAAGCCCGCTGCGCCGAAGCCAGGAGGACAAGGCAAGCAGCCGCTCTCGTCATGGGACCCCATGTCAAAAGTTGACAGGCTTGCCGCGAGAAGGAAAGCCGAAGAAGAGAAGAAACGGGCAGCTATAATCGGTTCAGACGACGATAAATCATCTGATGAGGAGCGTGCGAAACGGCGGAAAAAAGGCACAGGGAAAGGCAAAGGAGGTGCTTTCAACCTTTTTGACTCAGCACCAGAGCAGACGAAAAAGGCGTCCTCAGGTCTGCTGAGCTTTCTTCCTCCGCCGAAAACTGCTGGAAGTAACGTGATTGCAGTAAAGGCGAAAACGTCGGCAAATGGTAGCTCATCGAGTGCAGCAACTGCGGCAGGTGGAGCTGCCGCTGCGTCAACTGCACCCTCATCTGTGGGTGCTTCAGGGGGCTTTCCATCGTCATCGTCAGCCCAGGGCATCAATAGGATACTGCCGACCGGTATGCTGTCGAGAAAAAAAGCAAATTCTACTAGCGTTTGCGCGACTGCCAGTGCCAAGGTAGCGGCTAGAAATATATCTAGAGGACCTGCAGACTATGATGACAGTAGCGACGAAGACGCTGGCGGTGACGAAAAAGCAATGTTCACGACAAAAGAGATAGATTACTCGAAATATGCAAAGCCGTCAGGAAGCAGCTCTGCTGCTGGTACACAATTTCAATTGATCGTGATTAGATCATTTATCTTGTTCCTCGATCTAGGACGGTACTAGAACTACGGCAAGAACAAGACTTCAACCTAATATTAGAGCTATTGACGTGACTACGTAATTGTACTAATTCTACAGCATCCACTACTACGTAGCTCGAATTACACAATGAACAAAACCCCATCCCTAACCTTCTACACAGGTAGCGATAGCGTAGCTGCGCCAGATCTTTCAAATGCAGCAACGAGCTCTTCGGCAGGAGTTCTTGAAGGCAATCTTTATGTGGACCCTGCAAAATTAAAGGCCGAATTCTTGGCTCAGTACGGAGGTGCCGAAAACCTTTCGAAGCAGGAGCTCCGGGATCTCGAGGAGGCGTTCGAAATGCAACAACGCGGCGGCGCCGTCAAGACGCTCGACGCGTCTGAGCTGTACAACGAGAAGTGGCTGGAAAGCAATCCGGCCTACATGGTTGAACTGCTCGAAAAGCGCGATTCTGAGCGGGCAAACGACGCAAACAGCCTCGTCGGATACCAAGTGCAAGCGGGAAGTACGACACAAGTCACGTCGACTCAAAAGCGGAAACATCAGATCACGTATCTGGCAGCGAAAGCGCGCGCCACACAGCAAGAAGTCTCAGCAGCATTCGGCTCAGGGCATAGCGTGCGCAATGAAGCCGGACAGAAGTACGGATGGTGAGTGTCTTGGCCATTTCCTTGCTTTCTGCTGTCCCGCAGAGGCGTCGCGGCTTTTATCTTTACACGACAACGCTCCTGTTTATACCCATCGATTCTTTCTGAACATGCTTACGAACTCCCATTTGTGAAAGGACTACGTTGCACCAGTGACAACTTAGAATGAAGAATTTGAGCTGCCTGCAGTAGAAGCTTTCAATGTCTTGACTAGCTTGAGGTCACGATGTTCGACGAAAATAACAAAGAGAACTACATACAGTTTTAGTGCGATACGAAGTATGTTGTCGCAACAACTGGATTAAAATAGAGTAGCAACAAGAACAACTTGAAGACGTTGACAAAGTCAATATCTACCGCAGTAAGAATTAGAGTTCATGTTTATCTCGTTTTCGTTCTAGTCGAAGTCGAGATGAGGGAAAAAGAGTGCCTTGAGTCGTTGATAGTTGTAGTGCGAGACTGCCTGAGATTTCGAAGATGAGTGTTCGTAGAAGACCAAGGAGTAAGAGTGAAGACATATGGAAACTATGATGTCGAGAGAATCGTCGAAAAACCTTTATTTAGCAGCTCGGCATATGACAGTTCCAATTCTTATGGCTTTGACTATGCGTAAATTACATATTTTATGAGGAGGGAGGGACTCACTGAGATTGACTTGAAAGTGAGACTTCTATAAATTTCCTAATACTACGTCTACAACGTGAAGATTTCTATCAAGCTTGTTATAGACGGAAATTAGGTCCGTCTAGTTGCAGATGCAGCTGGCTAGGGTAGAGGAGGTCGAGGTAGTACTACAAGTATAAGGGTTCTTCTAACAATAACAATGGTGTCGACCGCAACTTCAGCGGCAATGAGTTGCAGAAAGGACGAACGGCTACACTCGATTTGAGTGCGTGTCCTGCTCCATCTAGCCGCTCGCTTCTCCGATTATTCGAAAGCCTCTGACTCAGCGTCACTTTGAGGACGAGGAACGTCGGACAAGATTTGAGGCTCAACGCTGATCTGGAGATCTGACAGACAGAAACGGCGCACACAATATTCCGCACGAGGCTTGTCCTAAAACGACGAACTCGTCTTTCGGTCGAATACTCGAATCACAACCGCTTGTAGCACATCAGATTTGATTACTGCTTCTGCACTAGTAGTTCGTTTTTGGCAGAAGACATTCAGCTGCGAAAGCGAAGTAGCATCATAAGAATAACATCGGAAGTAGTCCAGTTCAAATCGAAAAGATGGCGCCGCAAGTGAAGCCTGGTGAGGCCAATATTTTTGGCAAGCGAATAGCTACGGCAGAACAAGAGGCGCTAGAGGCAAAACGAGAATACAACATCAAGCTCCGAGAAGAACGATATGAGCGAAAACAGGCAGATCTCGCAGAGCAGAGGAAGCTCAAAAAGGAATATGAAGCCGAGGCGAGGCAGCAGCGGAAGCAGGTGGAGGCCATGAAAAGGCAAACGGAACTGAAAGGGGGACTAAGCAAAAAACAAAATAGTACTAAGTCAACTTAATGTGTTATGCTTGTAGTAGAAAACGAAAATCTCCTCAAAAAGCGTAACACCACCGTGATCAGCTCCAGCACGGGTTTCTTCATAGACGCACATAAGACATAACTTGTTCTTCGAGCTTATAAGCCTATCTAGGTAGATATAGTAAGTTCATTTTTGAATATTGTTCGTCATGTGCATTAGCATTGTGCAAACACCAACAGCACTCTTCCAATGAATTATGGTATTTGACTTCGTAATTCGTGATTCTTCCACATCATTATCTTCAGATATCGAGGATGAATACCGAGAGAGGAATCGAGAAGCAGCAATATTGCGGAGAGAGGAGCGGTGGCAAGCTAGGACGCACGAATACATAATGAACCTTTTAGACGAGGCGCAGGAACAAGAGAATGAAGAACGGGAGAGTAAAATGGAAGCAAAAACAAAAGTGCTGCTTCAGTGGAAAATGGAAGCAAAACATAGAGCAGATACCGCTGCGTCACAGGAGCAGCTGGAAGAAGTACATTATTTTGATAGAATAAATTGAACTGCTGACACTACTTATCGATGTCGATTTTAGTGAAAGTGAATCGAAAGCCACAATATCACTGACTCTCGATCATACCAAGCTGGTTTTTTACAGGCACATCGCTTCTCGCGGCCTCAACTGATGATCTTCAACAATGCATGAACTCATGAAGAATCCCACGACCCCACGACCAGGTCCGCACAGAGACATTGCAGAAAAAAGAAATGAAGCGTAATGCAGCTGAATTAGTGCGTATAGACGAGCTAAAGCAAGAGGTAGAGGAAGAGCTAGAGTACAAAATCGAGTGCGTGGAGCAGGGAATACCAACCCAAGTGACGATGAACGACTTGGTCAAGTCTCTCGTACCTGTGCCAGCAATATCGGAACTATTCTGCGCAGTAAAGAGCGAGTTGGACGAGATCAAGTACTACAATTGTGGCTTATGATATTTTAGTAGTATGTAAGAGTACTCAGTACTGGGACTCCTGAACCTGGTTGTGTAGCTCCGTGAAGGTGAAGCCGCACTGCGGCAGAATTGCTGTTTGTGATGAGATAGAAGGAACAGGATTCTTCCGTATAGCTCCACTACTGGCGGGGGTGCTACCTTGCAAGAAACATTTTGCTTTCTCAATTTTTTCATATTCTCAATGATCGATCTCCACTATTACGCCTAGTACAGGTATCTGAAGCATGTCGATTTGGAACCACTAGCGAAATTGCAAGGAAAGCCGCCATTGCTCTTTGTGAAGCAGCTTGAGGAGGAACACGAACGCAACAAGCTTCCCACACCATCCTCGGTTCCAGTTGCGCATTAGTTAAAGTCTTGTTAAGGATAACAAGGACGCGGGAGGTTCTGACGATCTTCAAACAGAATTCGCTTCGAATTACTCTCAGTTTCTTTGTGGAGAATCCTGCTTCTCATGATTTTCAATCAGACTTCGCGTCGAGTTCGTTTTACACACATTATGCAAATGCTAATAGAAGAAACCTTCATATTCCGTTTAAGAATACAGCTGCCAGAACTACTGTTCTACACTCAATTCGAATTCCGTTTAAGAATATACCTGCTACCAGAATTATTGTTCAACCGATCGCGTTGCTAGTGTTAAAAGCCACTGCCAATAAGATGTTCAAACTCGATATTTCGTATTTACCAATCGCGAGTAGAAGATGCAGAACTCGATAAAGATGTCGCGTTCTAGGACATGGAACGACAAAGGACTTCTGCTTCCAAGCATTTCGCGTGTAAACGACGTTTGTTGATTCGATACCCTGCTTCTATGACAACTTGATTCCAGAATTAAGTCTACGTTGTTATCGACGTTCATCCTGGTGTTATTCCAATATCAAGTCGCTAGCGGAGGGAATAATGCCTGAACAAGTTGTCCATTGTGGATTCCTGACAAGACAAGAACCAACATGTATCTACTAAAGAATCCAATGCGCACATTTGATGCTTTTAAAAATGAATATGTCGCCGAGCTGGCGTCCTCAGCAGGGCTGCAGCCGTTGTATAGAACAAAAAGCAAGAAAGTTGTATCTGTATGTTGACTGAACTATGGTCATCACGACAAGAAAACCTGTGACCAGACAGCATGAACGCCCGTGACCATTTCCATGTTAGTCGTTGTCCAGTGGAGAACGCGTCATTGGGAAATGTTCAAAAAAGAAGTGGCGTGTTTAATGTTGCCGTGATGAACAACCGCAAAGTAGTATCTGAAGATAATTCTGTCTACGGAGTCGACGAGCGACTATCAATATTGTAGAGCATAGAATCGAGTGGAGAGCGGACGAAGTCAGTTTCTCCAAACAACATCATCACGGCTCGTGCATCATCTTTCTCATCATTAACCTCCGAAAAAAAAAAGGAAAAGAAATCTGTAGGTGTCATGCATATGCGAACTTGTCACCTACTTGTTCTCACAAATGACTTTTACCCGATGTTTTCGCTCTGATCCTCCATTCATAGACTTTCACATACCTGGTAGAGATTGTACAGACAGTACTACTACTAATACTAGTACTAAAGTACTACTACTGCTACTACGTAAGCCGTGACTCAAGACATGTTTTATCTTAACTTCGTACACCCGTGTCAACATGTTTTATTTCAACACGCTCGATCTCAATTTCAATACCACGCAGTCGAGACTTTCGTTTTTGAATCTTCGCCTAGAATTGTAGTCAGTACTCTCTTAAGACAATGAACTGCACAACCAGACCCGGACGACCACGAACCGGGAACACACAATCAACGTCATCGCAATACCGGCATCCGTTTCGCAAGAGTGAGCTTGACGAACCCTCTTCGCTTCGTGATAAGATAGAAAGGAGAAAGATCGAAAAAGAGAACCTGCATCCCGTCCATCAAGCGATATCTGGGGGGACCAGGAAAGATGCGTCCGTTGATCGACTGCAAGGCGCCAGCAATATTTTGCATGGGACGACAGGCGTTAAGCCAAGCTACCAGTCTGCACATCAAAAGGGGAAGATTGCATCGGCTCGCCGACAGGACGACTACATACATCACTACGGAGCGCATATAGACGAGTCTGCGCTTATTTACGCCACTCGGGAGGTGGTTCTTGGACATGGCGCGCGCATTGCACGAGACGTCCAAATTCGGGGTGATCTAGGGAAGATTGTTCTCGGTAAGCAAGTGAGCGTCGGTGCTGGCGCGATTCTCCGGCCCGCTTTCGGAGGTGCGGGGGGAGCAGCTTCAGGAGGAAGTATAGTTTCAGCAGGAAACTCGACACCTGCTGCGACGTCGACGACACCATCATGCTTGCTAAAACAACAACATTTGTCGCTTCACATTGGAGCGAAAAGTAGTATCGGGCGTAATTGCGTTATCCGAGCAACGAAAATTGGAGAAAGCGTTAGTATCGGAGCAAACTGCGTTATCGGAGAGCGCTGCGAACTGCGGGATGGATGCAGGCTACTACCCAACTCTGTCTTAGTCGCTGACACGGTAGTGCCACCGTTTGCAATCTTCGGTGGTGCGCCAGCCTGCAATGTGGCGTCTACATATTCGTCTGGGATCCCAGAACGAGGGTCAGGACAGAACTACACGTACGGCGGCTCGTCAAGTTCTTCGGCACTGCTATCGGCGAGGAAAGGACGGGTTCGAGACGGAAGCGCAGACCAAAAGAAACATGAAGATGTGAAGCTTACCAACGCGAACGCAAAGAATGCAGGTCCAGCAGCGGATGGGAGTCCGAAAATAGGTGGAATGCGACCCAAGAAGACAAGAGCAACAAGAGGTTTGCCATCGGGTTCGCCAAATTCGCCTTTGGAGTTTAGTTCTGACAACGTCGACGAGGACAGTGGCTCTTCGAGAGCGGTGGGTAGCAGCCCAGAACAGCTGAAAGCAGTGTCGAAACAAGACTCGAGGAACGACTTTGACGAGATGAAAAAGCCATCTGGTCGTGAGGACAAGGCGAAGGTTTATCATGATGTTGATGGAACAAATGGTCGCTCTACCACTTTTTCTTCTACCTCGGCAAATGTTAAGATGATACCAACCGACAGCGCTACGCCTACGACGCAGGAGCTTGTGGTCAATGGAGCGACAGGACACGAGCTGAGTACGTCAGGTGGTCGCTGGATCTACCGCAATCGCGATGGTTCTTTCGGGCTGTTCAAACCGCCTGAAGGCGTGACGCGAAAGCGGAGCGCGGATGACAGGTCGCGCACCGAAGGCCTTGTGATTCCGCGGGAGAACGAGAGCGATGCTAGGGCGAAGAGAAAGAAGAGCCCGGACGAGCAGCTATTGTCATCGCGTAGCGAGAGTGATAGTAAAGTCGAGTGTACAGTCGACGAATCTTGTGCGCCTACAGTGAGGCAGAGCCAGAGTGGTGGTTTCCTCACATACCTAGGAGTTGCGCCATCGGTCCAGCAGGAGTGGAGGTATGGTATAGAGGCAAGCAAGAGACCTAAGACGGTTGAACGTGTAGAAAGCCACGACAAGTATACGAAACCTACACCGACTTCATCTATTAACGCAGCGGGACGAGGACAAGAACAAGATGAACACGTACAAGTAGAGACCACAGAAAAGTTTCCATCAACATCACGTTACGAAGATCAACATCCGGATCCTTCTGTTGCGGAACGAATGACATCCTCACTCGGCAATATCTTTATTCAGCTCTCTCCCATAAAACTCGAGACTTCGCCGCCACGATTGAGCGTCGCGTCTTCACCAAAAACAAGAGGTGACAAAGAAAGAAATGCTCACGTAAGCAGGAGTGGATCAGATTCAGAAGACAACATTCTAGCTCGTTTGGGTGGCTTATCTCAGCATCGCGATGAGGTAACTGGAGGAGCTGGGGGAAGTAATTGTACTGCCGCTTCTCCCGCTGATCTTATTCAGGTAAATAATCCAACACGAGAACATCATGGACAACCAGAACTACGACAATCTGTAACGGGTCGATCAGGTTCAGGCAAGAGCAGGGTGTCGAAAAAGCCCAAACGAGGATCAACGAATGTAGCTGAAACCGGTTGTCTCAGGAACTTACGACCAAGCGAAGCTCCGGACATCGACACTGCGATCATCTTCGAAAGTCCCGTGCTTGATGAAGAGGACGAACCTACTATACATGACGATAACGATAAGTTTCGCGCCGATCATAAACACGCAGTCATGATGTTGACGAGTTCCGTTTCCAGTCCCCGACAGGATGTTGCCACGATCCAGGGTCCACCAGCAGCCCCGCTCACTGCCGAAGTTTCGACCGGACACGAGCAAGCAGTGGAGACAGAACCTCACCACTTCATTGACGGCAAAATTTCAACACTCGATTCACCTCATCCTCAGCGCATGCCGATAGTGGAAGAAGTAGGAGTACATCGTCTGGATAATTCGCAAGAAATCAAACAAGCCGAGATCGAGAAGAATTTTCATTCATCTTCTGCACCCACAAGCACAACACCAAGCATTCTGGAGACTGGTATTGCGACGTTGGGTAGTTTTGTCGCTGATTTGAAACGGAAGAGAAGCAAAGATTCGGCAAGGTCGTCTCCGATATCCCAGGATCATGTTGAAGACCGGGCTCCGCCCATTAGCTGCTCTGAGCCTTGCTCCAAGCAGGAAGCAGGAACTCCTCCTGGTGTGACATCATCTCTCATTGCCGTGTCTACTGACGACGTCCGGTCGGCGGTCCAATCGAAGACGATGGGATTAGGACCAAGACCTTCCCCAGTTTCTGTTTCTTCTACGGTGTCTGAACGCTTTGCCGCGTTGCGAAATCGAATCAAAGCCAATATGAATCACAAAAACTCCAGCTCTAGCTCTACTGCATCTGCATCGAAATATGAGGATAACCCGCCTGAATCTGAAAGGGAGACAAGCCAATCCCACACTGCTGCACCTGCGCCAACATTGCGAGATCACCCGTGGAAAGCGCCATCCGTAACAGATACTTTAGCAGCTAGAGGGGTACCAACCCCTGAGAATGATCATGACTCTTGCGGTGCTGGAACTTGGGCGACTGCAAAGAAACGAGAGGCGGGATACGGTAAGGGCGATTTATCGCACCAGCTACTCGAGGACTCTAGCGGGCCGTCCTCTTCTGTGGTGCCCTCACGTGTTTCTGGCCGGCTCCAGACTTTTAGGGAACGCCTGCGTGACATCGGGAAGATTCGTGAAAGAGGACAGGCACCAGCCCCTAGTGGAGAGGGGCAGCAAGGTCAACAGCGTGCCGGAACTGCTTGCAGTGGGATGGATCCGCGGCTAGTACTACTGGACTCGAAAGCGTCCTCACCAGAGAGCGCTCCTGACAGTAACGGCGCCATGGCACCAGGAGGCGTATCAACAAATAAAGCGCCTTGCAAAGGAAGTGAAGATGGCAAAGGGCCTACAACTACAGGGGGGGTCATGCTTGATTTTGATAAAGGGCATAGTAATAATTCAGCATCGTTAACATCTTCCGAAGTTATAGCAGGTCAGGCTACATGTACATCTGCGGTCACTGGCGCGCCGGCGATTACTGTCAAAACTTTCACAACTACGAGTGTCGTTCCGGCTCAACCATCAAAGCCGCACGGGCTGACTGACTCTAGAAGTGTGGAATCTTGTTCGGCACGTGCACGGCAAGAGAAGTCGTCAACAACTCGATTGCGAAGCAGATCACATTCGAGAGAACGCGAAAAAGGGCCGCCAGCTGATTCACAACGCTTCAAACCAGCCGCCCGAGCGCCAGGTCGAGGAGAAGGAGGAGGCTCTAGTACGTCGCGGGACGATGTATCATCTTCTTCGCACAAACCACAAGTGTTCGGCAGAGGTGCCATAGGAACAGGCAGTGTCCTGAAAAAAAGTAGTGGCGCCACCTTGACGTCCACGGATCTACTCGGAAGCCGGCCCGACCTCGCGGGTACGATGAGGAAAACAGCAGCCCCAGCACTGGATGAAGCGCTAGTTCGGTTGCAAAGCTTCCTGGACGCGCAGCAACAACAGCCGGAGCACGTGAAGGATTCGTCACCAAAAGACGGCACGGCGGTCGCAACGGCGAACCGGCTCAACATAGCAGAACTCGATATTCTGCTCGGCGCGGCTCGTGCTTGCGGCGCCACGGGATCGCAGCTGCAGCGGGGAGAACGTAGAAAGCAAAGCATGTTGGAAGAGGTAGCGAAGACCGAGCTTTTCGCAAAGGCGAATGAAGTAGTGTTCATCTCATCATCAGGTGTTGCCTCGACGGCCTCGGCCACAACTCAGACTCATAAAGTAGGAACAAGCGCTTCGGAGGCGGTAGATTCGTCTGCTTTCGAGGTTGCGGTAGCCCATGCTCGTGCTGTTGGCGTGCATGCCCTGACCGTACAGCGCGCAGTTCGAGAGCGGGCTCGAAAAGTTAAGGAAGCCGAGGCAAAGCGCCAGCGGGACGAGAGCAAAGAGGCGGGAAAACGTCGTATGGCAGAGTTGGTTCGACAGCTCGACGACCTCACGGACAATTTGGAGCTCGGACAGCCTTTGCCAACCGCTCAGATAGATTTTCTTCTCGGCCAACTGCGAGCTCTCCAACCACCAGAAACAGCAACTTCGTTAAATAAAAATAGCGCAAACTCTATTTCTGGTTCTGTTGCTGCACCTTCGTTGGATAAGTCTTTTGAGAAAAACAATACACTTGCATCCACTTTTGGAGGCGGAGGTAGCATTTATTCTTCAACAACATCGAGTAGCCGCGCAACTCTCCTCAACAAGACGAAAGGCGATAGCAGACGCGCGTCTAGTGGCGCAAATATCAGGACCCGTTCATCTTCACCAGGAAGAAACAGTGTCACGCAACAGACGTTGAGACGTATTTCGTCAGGTGGAACCGTCAATGCTGCTATGCAAGCTTCTTCGAGCCGCGCTTCTCTCGCGTCGACGACATCTGCCGTCTCCGCTTCGGGTCGATGCTCTCTTGGTCTCAGCATTCGTGATCGAACTGGGTTTTACCAACAGAAAATCAAGAACGTGCTCAAACTGCAAAAAGAAGTGGAAGAACTTTGGCTGACAACAAGGAATCCTGATGCTCTTGAAGAAATGCTTGAGCGTGCCGAACATGAGTGTTCGATGCGCACGGACTCCCAACGGAATGAGGTAGAGAAATTGCGACGCACATTAGGGAAAGAGACAGAATTGCTGCAGATTAGTAATGCATGGCATTCCTCATCCTCAGGTGGTGGCTTAGGCCGCTTACTTACAACTAGAGGTCCAGGTTCCTCATCAGGTCATGAACAACTGCATGCTATTGTCAGCGATGCCATTCATATGGAATGTTCGCCTATAGCAATCCTTTCTGCAGTTGAGATTTGCACTCGCGGCACGACGTCGCAAGTAGATGGAGGAAATCCTTCCGCTGTCTCGGTTTCGGATTTCCTCGCCGCGTTCGAGCGCCTACTCGACTACGCGCGGTCACTCGGAAGTCAAGCGGTTGCGCCAAATTTTTTCCAGCGACACAACCTTTATGTTACGAACTTCCTTCCAGAGGCAACGCGGCTGATGACGGTGATGATAGATAAGCAACACGAGGACCAGGAGGACGACGCGATTCACCTTCTTCACGACTGGCGCCGGAAATTACATAACGAGCTACAAGATCTCAAAGGGGCAGTGCGTGTCTATGCACGCATTCGGCCGCTCTCTGAGCGTGAACGGAAAATGAATGGCACAAAGTCATCTTCGGGAGATGGAGGTGCTCCTGATACTGTTTTTAACGCAGAAGCAGATGGAGGAGAAGAAGCCTGCACGCCACGTGGTCTAAAGAAAAATGTAGGAACGCTACTATTTTCTGGTATCCTCGATCATTCTGAAAATAGCAAGACCTCTCCTGGCGATGGCAACGCAGGAAGAGTGACAATCCTTCGGACTCTGCAGGGTCAGTCGACATTCTGCACAACCTCGTCGAAGTCAAATGCTGCTTCCACAGATGGTCTGCAGAGCGGAGAAAGTTTCGACTTCGATAATGTTTTTGGTCCGGAAGCAACGCAGAGAGAAGTATTTGCGGATTGTGCGGATCTCGTGCAGTCTGCGTTGGACGGTTACAACGTCTGTGTCTTTACTTACGGCCAGACCGGCGCTGGCAAGACTTACACCTTGCTTGGTGACTGCATCGACGTTGCATCCAGCTGCGTAGGTTCAAATTCACCAAAACATGTTGAAGCCGAGATGCCAATAGGAGTCGCGGAGCATGGCAGCTTTGGAAGACATGGCTCACTGAGAAACGATAGAGCTTTCCTAAAGGTGTCTGCTGCACCTGCATCTAGTACAGCCCCACAGACCAGCACGTCAGCCAAATTGACCTCCTCATCGCCACCAGAGACGTCGTTACCACCTAGCGCAGGAGTTGCTCCGCGCACGATCGAGCACGTCTTCCGGCTTCTCAATGAGAATCCGCGCTACGCGACACGGGAAGTACACGTGACAATGTGCGAGCTCTACAATGCCAAGCTGAGAGACCTGCTTACTGATGATTTATACACTCCTTTATCCCGTTCCGGCTCAATGTCGTCCTTTTCGTCCAAGAAGCTGTCTAGTGTTTCCACTAGGCAGCGGGCAAAAGGCGGTGAGAAAGACCTGGGGGATTGTTCGTCACCCGAAGTAGAGGAAGCAAACGGAAGTCAACATGGGAAACCTTTATCGACGGCAAAATTGAATACGACTCGCGGCCGGCGTAGATCTTCTCGAGGCAACAGTGTGGGGCCTAGAGGAGACCACAAATCGTCAAACGTGCTGAACAACTCGACAGGCTCCGCTGGAGTGGGTGGCACAGAAGGCGCTCGCGCTGTGTCAACAACTAGTACGAGTTTGCTGGGTGGACTGAATGCCAACACCTCATCCTCGCGAGTCACTAACGCTTCTTCCGGAGGAGTGTCAGCAGATCTTCAAGTAAAGATTTCCCCAAGATCTGGGCAAGTGCGCATCCCGAACGCAACGGAGCGCCTCGTGACTAGCAAGCAGCAGCTTTTGCAGATACTCGAGTTTGGAGTGCGATTGCGCCGCACCGCGGCGACAAGGATGAACCATGACAGCAGTCGCAGCCATTTGTTGTTGTCAGTCTACATCCGGGATCGGGAGGCCCCGGACTGCACAGGAAAAATCACCTTTTGCGATTTAGCAGGCTCAGAGAGGATCAAAAAATCTGGTGCGTCGGGAATGGCGATGAAGGAGGTATCTGGTCGCTTTCAATTGTAATTGGAACAGAAGTGAGCGATCATTTCAACATTTGCTTAAGTAATACATCTATATGGACGAGCACGAGAGTTGTGGCTACGCCTATTTCTTCTGCAGCGCGTTCGCGACTATTGCTATTCTCATTCAATCTATTAATCCGATCACCTTCCCATTCTCTCACGACTTTCTGAAACTCAAACTTAACCTCTCCTCAGGCTGTCGAGATCAACAAGTCATTGTCGGCTTTAGGTGATGTTTTGCAGGCAGTCACGGGAGGTGTCCGTGGCGCACCCATTCCGTATCGGAACCACAAGCTGACGCAAATTATGCAAGATTCACTTGGAGGATCCAGCAAGACGCTCATGTTCGTGAATGTTTCGCCATGTGTGTCTGCTGTGGACGAAACGGTCATGAGCTTACGCTTTGCTGCGCGGACGAAAAAGGTTGTGAACAATGTCAGATCTTCCGCCTAGGTATTCCTGATTAGCCCGTTAGAGTTAGTTGATGAAAACAGCGAAAGGTTATGAAATGTTGCAATTTTTGGTTTAAGATGTAGTTTGGGATGCTGCGCAACAGCATTCGCGATTCGATGAGAAAAAGGCTTTTGGCTCCAAGGCCTTTCACCTTTTTCACGCTCTGCTGCTATCATGTAACGATAGGAATCAGAATCTGCGGCGAAGGCGACATTTTGGGCATTTACTTGTATGGCTCAGCCACGAATCGAAGATTGCGCATTTCCATTTCGGTCATTAGAAAATTTGGTGGTAGACTTTCACATGAAACTGGGTACTCGCGTTTTACATATCAAAAGAATTCTCGGTGTCGGTGTCGGTCACACTCACGTGAAGAAAAACTGGATCCGTGAGAAAAAACAAGATCGCAGCAGCTGAGGGTATTGATCGGACCAAGAAATCGGTTTGGCATTATATGTGTTGAAGTTGATGCTTTGTATGTGTATGCTGGGCTGATCCAAATGAAAAGTCGGTACTTTATATTTATAATCGGATTCTCATTCTAAAAATTAAAATTGAAATTAACATTTCAATCGCTCCCGCCTGACCCCGTGTGACCACGACATCCCATGATATCTACATCAGCTTAGCAATGTTGCAAGAAATAGAAATCACTGCGATTCTTCCCAATCACCAATTGAGCTGCTGGTGTATGAAAGTGATTTGTCAACCCTTTGCGTGACGCTATTGTTCGTTGGTGTCGGCCTCGGCTCCTGGCGCAAAAATCAATAGAGGCTGAAGAGCTATTAATCTGGATCCGCAGCAGAGGCAGAACAAGTTTTAGATTGATGTGAGGTAGTAGTGGTTTGGTCCTCGACAACAAGAAAAGATGGCGGACGCACGTTCTATATACAAGCTGCCGGTTACCTTCGCAAAGAGACCGGGCACACCACTCCCCAAGCCAGGAGAGTACTGATTTCTTTGCTTGGCTCTGTGTTTTGGGATTAGTGTTGTTGTGAATCGTCAAATCTATGCTCATGACTTGCATCTGCAACTTCATCTATTACTTTTTGTTTACGACAAACACAAAAAACATTATCTTCATGATTATGCTTCCGCTTCGTGAAAAATTATCGTCCTCCAAAGTATCGACGACAATAAGAAAGCTTCACCGCTCATCAGGGAGCCGCGAGAGGTGCTGTTGGCACTCAGAGAACAGGCTACTGCAGAGGGGGTTTCATGGTCATTGGACGACAATGTTAGCGACATACGCATGAGCATACAGCACTACCGTGACATAAAGGCTGGCACCCATAAGAGACTGCCGAAGTTTTTTGACGCTCTCACAAGCGGAGCAACCGAGACGGAGCGGCCAAAAACACCACCGATAGAGCTAGCTGATGAAGAGAAAGGTATCGATTCCTATTGCATACTTGTTTTCTGTTGTAGTTCATTGAAGCAAGATAGATGTGCTTGTTGTATTTCAATTTCATGAGCTTCAGCCGATTTGAGAATCATATAGCATTTTGCTGCGCTTCTAAAAATTTACTCGTGTTGTGACAGCTGAACGACCTATATGACCAAGGCTCTCAGTCACCTCTCGTCCTTGATCGGAAGTAGATCACCATCTACGAAAAACAGCAAAAGCGCTGAAAAAGAAGATGGCAGACCCAGCAGCGAGATTGAAGTCGTCGGCGATAAATATGGGCTTGCCTTTTAGCATGTACCATTTCTGCTCACGTCTTTCTAAAGGTTTTTGTTTTTCCTAGAGCGTGATTCAAGGAGGCCTATCGAATTTTACCAACATTATCAACTTCTACAGGACCGGCGTAACCACAACCAAGACCCAGGATAACAAGACAGAAGCTAGCCGTCGAAACGTGCGACTGATGGAAAAGCTCGCGATGATAGACGAGAGCGCGCAGAGGCTTCAGGCAATGTTGCGCGAGGAAACCGCCAGTGTTCCTGGTCAGCAGATACCCGATACAGCCCACAAAGAGGCGCGCGAGAGGCAGAAGGCAGTCTGGCAGGCGAATATAGTAGATATCGCGACGCGGGATTTCCAGCCAAAACGGCCACGGTCTCGATCTGCTCTCAGCGGGTTCTCCAATCGCAGTGGGGTACGAGCGAGAGCCGGTCTGACGGGTCCCAATGGGGGACCTTCGCTGACTTCTCTCAAAGTCTAGTCGAGATAAGTCCGCACTCCTGCATGTTGGGCCATCGAAATTAATTTCTTTCTGATCATAAGCATGACGTTGCATTAGAATTGTGTTGCATGATGGAATAATTTCCACTTTTTGATTTCAATCTCATTGTCGCTAGCTGTTATCTGTAAGTAAACAAATTTCAATGTCGCAGTCCCAGTCGCTAGAGCCACGAGTAAAACACTTTCAAGGGCATACTAGATCTGGACTACAATACCGAACATTACCCCGATGCGAACATCAACTTGAACATAACATAAAAAAGAAACACTCGTCTCGACACGCTTCCTTCTCTGAATAGTATCTGTTAAACAAAGCAGCTGCGCCTGCGGTTGCAACCACTGCTGAAAAGAAATGCGCTTGAATGTATAGATTTCCGATAGCCATATAGTTGCCTGACGGCTTCTTCGAGGTGTAACTTGTATAGTAGGAAGATGTGCATCATCTCTCGGTGCTATCATAATCATAGGTACTTGTGATTCAATTTTTTATACATTTTTGGTTGCTGTAGCTGATATTCTTTCATATTTGTTGAGCTCTATTTTTGCAAGAACCAAGATAGAAGGTTTCCTATACAAATCTAATTCTTGGATACATCTGGAGTTGACGAGGACGACCACGCTTACAATTCATCACGTGGCTGGTGAAATCATTATGATGCTGCGATCAGCTATTGCATTACCGCGCTGTAAGAGGGCGGCGTCTCAGTCGAGCTCAAGCCGGTCATGCGCACGTCAGCTTTTCGAAAAGTAAGGTAAACTCTGTCCAGCACGAGCGGGCTACAATGGGCTATCTTAGTCTCGTAGAAGCGCAAACGCCTCCGCGCGCAGCTGTACCAGCGATGATCATGATACATGATGCTGCCTTAGAAATGAATTAAGTAGAAGTCTAACAGATCAATGCGCGTGTAAACCAGCATGATGCCCATGCTTATGCCCTGGTCATGTTATTTTCTGATTTTGGACGACAGGAGGTCGCTCCGATCAAGAAATGTGCCTGAAATGCGAGCGAAAAATAAGTACTAGCTGGTGACCAATGAAATTGAACGGATGTTTTTCCATTTTCGAGCTTAAGTAAAAGTATAAATATGTGAGCTGGAGGCAGAGTACACTCACACTGATCATGACAGCAAGAACTATCATGACGGCATCGCCCTTAGGCACCGGCGCAGTTGTACAAGAAGGATCTAAAGCATGGCCCCGAGACCGACGACGAGACCGGTATAACCGAACAAGTCTTGGTGAACAAGAAGTTTTCAATTTCAACCTTTTGCACAGGAAAAATTCGACTTGATCTTTAGATGGCAGCTGCGTTCGAAATCATAGAGAAGCCAGTCAATGGCGTCCCAGTGGCAGGTCCGCAAGGCGCGGTGGGCGGCATGCCACCTCTGCAAATCGTGCATGCTCCGATGCAGGCACCCGCAATCGGTGTGGTAGCAGGAACAGGAGCCGCCTCTGCATCCTCGCAGTACCAGGCTCCGCAGCCTCTTGACTGGCGAGATAGTACATATGCTGGTAGTAGTACACCACAGGAGCGCACTCATGAGCTTGCGCAGCAGTACCCGCATTTGCCGGCGAGCATGCTGCCGCCTACGAGTCCGAATCAGCCTGTAGAACTGTCACTTTACTCGCAAGGTGTGACCACGGTACAGCCGCGAATGGTGGGAGTCCCAGGAGCCGTGTACGAGCCGGGTCCTGGTATTATGATAGAGACATGCACAGAGTTCTCGTCCATAAGCATATGTTTGACACTAAGATTGATGTGGTAGTGGTTGTACTCCCAGGTAAAGAACAGAACCATCTTCTGAAATTCTGTCTCTTTTGTCTCGTAGTCGACACATTATGTGAAGGTGGATCAACATGATCAGCATTGACGTCCAGGTGCTATGGACGCACCACCAGACCGAACGATTTACGGAGAAAATAAATGGGCGCGCTACTTGATATGGGGCCTGCTCGGCGGTTCTCTATTGCTCATTCTGATTGCGTTTATTGTCGGCGCAACCGCCGGTTGGCGAAGCACTGGCTTCATCGTGCTAATAACCAGCGGTAGCCTCCTTTTTTCTGTGGTTCTCATAGGAGTATGCATGGGACTGGGGTGAGTAAATGGAAAAACTTAATGCTGGGCATAGCCTAGTATCCGCGATGTACAGTACGAGTACTGTAGAACAGGTTCTAAAATTGGTTTCTCCGGTGGATACAGTATCAGTGAGAATTTATGATTATATCCGAGCGTCGTGTCAGGCATGAGAGCGCTCAGCGCGATCATCGCTCCCGCATTTCCTGTTCTTCTTCCGCAAACAACATAGTCATCTCGTCAAGATCCTAATCGGTAGGATATTAGTGAGATCATGCTTCGCGGCGACATGTACAGCGCCGGCGGTGGTAGAGAATCAGCTACTTTTTGAGATTTTTGAACGTGTCATGAAAAGCCTGGAAGGATCCAGTCCACTCTCTTTTGATGTGCAATGAGACTGACTTCTGCCTGATTCTCAATTTGGTCTGTCCCTGTCTTGCCGCACATCGGTGCTGAAATTGAGTTATGTATGAGACGTTAGAAGAATAAAAAGCATAACGTCGGTTCGGAAATCAATTCTCGGTTCAAGAGCATGCGCTGGACCACATCGGTAAGTATTTCTGTATCTGCTTTCCGTTGCTGCTTTTGCTGTCGTCGTTCTCATGATCGGTTCCTCTATGGGTTTGTTTGTCCCAGCACTGCGTGACATTGATTCTGTATCTTAGAAGGGAGTACATAAGAGTTCAATCAGTCAGATGATTGCGCTACTAGGACAACGAGTCATTGGATCTTTTACGCGCGTCGAAGACATAGAAAAGAGATAGTTATCTCTCTCTTTTTTGACTCATTCAACATACACCTTCGTACTTCGTTGCTCGATCTCTAGAAAATGGTACGCCGGGTGAGTTCTGGCCGCGTCTCTGTTGCCGCGGATACAGAGTTTCTTGCTGCTGGGCAGATGCCGCATGCCGAAGAGACGGCGAAAAATTCAAAAATGCCAGGAACAAAAGAGGGGATCTTCGGTGTTCGATATGGGGCTGCAAGTTTCCTGGAAGAAATGGAGGATTTTGCGCCGCCTGCAGCAACGGCTAAACCTGGCATTCGTACTGCTGCAAGGGCGGCTGCTGCGCCAGCTGCTGTTGCAGCACCAGAAAATCCAGGGCCTGAGCCACCAACGTCTCCGCCTCGTGGTCCTCCAGCAAATCCGCCTCAGGCGGAAACATCAACTGGAACTGCGAAGTCCAAACCTGCAGTACCAGGTGCCGCTCCTGCAGCACCTGCGCCGAAAGCTTCCGGATCTGCATCCGTGTCCGCTTCAATAACGAAAGCGCCTGCAGAATCGACGGCTGCAGCCCCTGCCCCAGCCCCAGAACAAATAGCCGCACCAGACCAAGCACAAGCAGCCGCACCAACCGCAGCGACTTCCAAAACGCCGGCACGTGCTGCACAAGCGATGACCGCTTCAGCACCGACGGCACAACCGCCCCCGAATCCAGCACCTGCTACGCAACCGGAAACCGCTTCAACATCAGGATCATCTTCAGCAGCTGGCACTACAGCGCCTGTTGCTGCTCCACGACTACCTGATCAGCCTGCGGCGTCGTCAGCAGCAGCCGCTGCCGGACCAACGTCGACGTCAACTATGACCACCACAAGCGCAGGACAAGCCTCTCAACAAGCAGACCCAAAAGACGGCGGCGCGTCTTGTTTTCTTTGCGATTGGCTGGGGAGTGACGCTGCTGAGGCACCAGCCAAAGCTGCTGCGGAAGAGACGACGAGCAACTCCATGTCACTGGCTTCTGCTGCTGGTAGCATGGGGCTAAATCCTGTCGCAGGAGTGGGGATAGCCATTGTTTTGGTTTTGTTGCTTTGCTGCTGTTGTTGGTACTTCAATTGGAGAAGAATAACCTGTATCCGGAAAACCTTGCTCTGCATAGGCTGGGATAAGTTCGAGAAACTGGAACTCGTCATCTCCGTTCACGCAGCTCATATCGTCACAACAAACAAGCGAGACGAGGGGAAATGTAAGCCTAAGCGGCTTGTTGTCAATTACAATTACAATTAGGTGTGATTGAAATAAAAGCACCAGGTGTTTCTATCTTCAGGTTGTGTTTCTACTCCATCTACTTATCGAAACTGAAAAGTGATAGGGGTCATATGTTTTCATATTCATCCAATCCTCGTCTTCACATCAAACTCATACTTGCCAACTAATATCCTCTGTGTTTGTGCTTGATTTCAGACTGCGTGAAAATAAGCGCCGGCGGAAAGGACTATTGGACTCCGCAATGTACCAAAACGGGTCATTTCACTGCAAATTTCAACGTCACAGTGCCTCAGGGCTATCGGAAGATTGTCGTCGAAGCTTACACGATCGAGGGCAGTCAGAAACTGCGCATGGCCCAACGGATCGTCGACGTGCTAGAAACAATAGTCGCGCGCAGACCATACGGTTGCGTACGGCACGAGTCCTTCTCTATCGTGAAGAAAACGGATGGAATTTATGAACGAGAACGAAGATCCATTTGTAATTGCATTTCCATACCCATAAGTTTGTGGAGATGAATCCCTTTTATCGTCCCCTTCCCATTCAACTTAGTCAGGCAGTTACAGCATGCGCATGCTTGTGTATTGAATAATTCAGAATGCTGCAGTTCAACACTCCACTCTTAGCTACCTTTGTTGACTTGACTTGATGCACGACGTGCAACTAGTAGTAGAAGCACGCACCCAGTACGCACCCCTTTCATTACCTCCCGAATTCCCTTGCCGAGGGTTTTAGCAGTGGACGCGTCGTGCTTTCTGCTCAGTATAAGGAGGACGTGGACAAACAGACAACTGATCAGATTCGCGAGATCGAAGATATTGTGCAGCATCCGATATCTGGTCCGCTCTCTGGTCAGCTTTCTAAGTACTTGGGCACGCGGAAAAAACTCGAGAGCGAGGAGCTAGTTGAAGCAGCCCAGAAAATATTGCAGGGCGTTCTCATAGCTCGCATTCGGTGGGTATCAAGGTTGGGGATGTTGCGTACGAAGTACACGACAATTTTTCAAAGAGAAATACCATCGAGTTCAGGAGGCGGTGGCGCAGATGACCGACATCGGAGTCCAAGTAGAACAAGGATGAAGAAGCAGTTGTTTTTTGGAGTGTTTCACAAGGAACAAGACCGCGACGCGCTCAACACAAGGGAAGCGAAGGTAATCACGAGTATGCTTCTGCTAGTTTTTAGATCATGCACGATGAAACTAGAGCTTGATTTTGAATTTGAGGTAACCAACTACTGAGAAGTTGTAGAATTAACAGCCTCTTCAACTTTCTCAACATTTCCTCTTTTGCTTTCTCTTTCGTTTTCGTGCATTACTATCACTATGAATCAACTTCAACAACATCCTCGTCTTCAGGCCCTTTGCAACCTGATGAATATTTCTGCCGTTGTCACCGATCCGAAGAAGCCGGACTATGTTTGTCTGAGATACGTAGAGGAAAAGCACGGACCGGCGACTGATTTGTATTTCCAGATTGTGGAGCAGCCTTTATTCATCGAGTCGATGCACCTCCTCATCGAGCTGCTGCGAGCAATGAGGAAAAGAAGGAAAAAGGGTGGGAAGCTAGCACATAGTCCGTGACGACTTCTTGAATATAAATATCTACCCCCCCTCATTAGAATTAGAAATAGCATAGCCACAGCATTGAATTCTCTTAGACTGAATGCGTATCATTTATTGATATTTCATCGATCATCTAATATCATGGTATTCCCATTCATGCGATTCCCATCAAACTTTTCTTTCATTGGTTGGTAGATTATACCGTTCCCGTAGAGCATATTAACGAGATTAGCATCATCATGATCTTCATACACTTCCATATTTTCTATCAAAACTTCGACTGCCCCGCCCAATATTCAGTCCCTTTCATACCCCCTTCATGGTTATGGAGTAGACCCCCCTCCTGACCACGCTAATGTCATCGCATAGCATATAAATGAAAATGTCAAGGTAAACACGAACTACATTCACAAGTCAAATTTCCGCGAAAATTTCTAAGATAATGCTTATCATAAGTTACGCAAGTACGCATATTATGGGCAAGTGCTCCTTTGCCGTAGTAAAACGTCATGACTCATTCAACATTTACTAGTCGTAGCTACCTCGTTACGTCTCTCAACCGCTACATCATCGTAAGCATCCATTTTGATGCATGCATATAAATATCTTCTTCCTCTTCTACTAGTTCCACTGCATGATCGGAAAATTCCAAACTACTAAAAGAACTTCAGACTTATCCCGACATGGCCTCATGTCAATGGAAGCCTTCACACTAACATCAATCCTGGCTATCAGTACCTAAGTTGTACGCAGGATATCGCTTTGATACAACTTTTCGCTATAGTTGTTTGCAGTTCATACTGGCAGCCACAGAATCGAACCCCAGTTTCTCTTCTTGTGAGATTCACCCATAGAGGACCTGCTCCTCACTCACCTGCCCGAATTACACAATGGATTATTCTCTTCTCAACATCACGCAAGGGTTTTGCTCGTCTGCGCCGGCACCAGCAGAGTGGGAAGATCGCCTTATGATGTTGTTGTATCAGTATTCAGCGGAAAAAGTATTCCTATCGATTCGGCTGTTGGGCGGAGCTTTTCAAGTATTTTTGATGGGATTCGATGATAGATGACGACTGGATTGTTGCTCGCAGACCCGTCGTTGCTATCGTCGTCATTTCGTTCTAAGCAAGGTTTTTTCACCTTTCGTTCGCTATTGGAACTTATGCGATTGATGGAAATACTAATCCCGCTATTCCACTTGATTCATTGTGATGTATTGTCCGTGCGCGTGGCGAAGGCAATTACTCGAACGTTAGAATTTGTCGTTGTCCGAAAACAAACTAACCCGTAGCAAAGGAAAAACAGTGAGAGTGAGTAGGTATTAGAAATAGTAGAATTCGCAAACAAAATTACCCAAAGTAGGATGGGTGAAGACGAAGCGGAAGAGGTCGCGGAAGTGCCGGCTGCAGAGCAAGGTGACGCTCCCGTCGAAGAGCTCACGATAAGTGCAGAAGATGGAGGTGCCCAAGTTTAAGCTCTCGGTCTATAGAAAATCATCATGATCATGTTCACCACAAGGCTCCTCTGGTAAGTACTTGTTCTACTTCTTATTGTGGTGTTCTACTTGTTTCTTGTGATTCTCCTTGAAAGTAATTGTGCCACAAAACCCCACTTGAGATAAGTAACCGAGATATGTCTTTTGGTTTTGCCAGAGGTGCTCTAACAAAAGACAGGAGAGGATGGGGGCGTGGGAGGTGCTCTTGAGGAGCCAGACGAAGGAGTCTCACCAAGAAGTATGCACAGTATAGCTGAGGAGAGTGGCAATTTAGACGAATCAACGGGTGGCGCGGGTGCCGATCCACCAGTAGCAGCGGCGGTAGATGCAGAAGCAGCGCACCTATTGGAGGACGTGGCAGAGGAAGGTGATGCGGACAGTGGAACAGATATGACTCGGATTTCCTATATTTGCAATGATATAAACGCGGTTTGATGTAGTTGTACTTACTCCTACTTTATGAACGCGGGTTGATGTTGTACTTACTCCTACTCTATCAATAACGCGGGATGATGTACTTACTCCTACTCTATCAGTTTTCCCATTTAGAAGCGGATGTAGCTATGGACTATGGTGCATAGATAGTTTTGATCTGTGAAATCGGGATTGCTACAATTTCAAGTAAGACGCTCTAATGCAGATGAGGCGACAGCATCAGGAAGTCGTCGAAAGCCGACTGGCGGTAATGAGGCAGACGGCGCTGAGGAGGGCGGAGATAGCGCCGCAAGGCCAGATAGCAAGAGTTTTGCGGAGCAACAGGAACCAGATTCACCCGGCGGCCATTCATTGGAGGCCAGCCGCGTTAGTACAGGAGATGCAGAGGAGGTAATCACCTTTTCTTTACTCTACTAGTCGTACTTTCTTCTACTTCACGATTACGATTTGAGACTGAGTACTTGTAATATCAACAACCTTCTAAAGGATCAAGTACACGCAGTCTCCTGTTGCTACATCCAATTTCAATTTGATCTATCCCCAACTTTCAGGTCCTGAAGGCAGAATCATCTTCGTCGGAGGAAAATGGGGAGTCGCGGTTCCTACGTACAATCAATTCTTCATCTTTTTGTGTCCAGACGCACGAGGACGTTATTCTTGTCGTCGTGATAACTAGAGACGAAGAACATAGAGTGAATGGATCGCTTGGGTGTTTAGCTGTGTTTGTCAGTTTCAAACGAGACACTGCCAGACACATCAACACTTGACTTACCATTTTATCTATTTTTTTCAAGTTCAACAGGCAACAGCATAACTTTTGTCATTACTTTATTTGGTAAAAAATGACATTAATACAAAAAGAGCGCTGCAACAAGTTATGCTTTCCTCTCATCTTCAGGTGACTTAATCAAAAGCGTCATTTCGGCAGAAATAGTGTCGCTTCGACAGAGTGCACCAAGCGAGACGTCGGTGGAGAGCGTCTTCGGGGATCCTATGAGTATGGAGGAGGACATGGCTGAAGAACATGAGAAAGACGAAGAGGAACCAGAGGAAGAAGAGGAGAAAACCGACGGTCGGAAAAGTCCACCATCAAAAAAAGGAAGCAAGCCATTAGGGGTAATGATGATAGAGTCAAATTTTCTCCATCAACATGGGTCTCCGTCTCACGAGTATTTTGAGCCATAGGCACCATGTGCGAGGTATCAATTGCACTGTAATGCTTGCTCATCTTTGACTCCAGGCCAAACGGAAAGCCAAAAGCAAGGCAAAGGCGTCAAAAGCTGAAAGTAAAGCGAAAGCAAAGCAGAGTAAAGCTAGCGCACCCGGCTCAGAGGCTGCGGGTGCAGATGCCGCTCCAGGTGGGGAGTTAAGGGTCGTATCTCTATCTTACTTGCAGAGAAATGATTCTGTACTCGGACGACCCTAGCATAAGCATTCTCATAGCCTGAGTTTTGTTTTTCGTGGCACTTGGATTAAAGGAATGGAACTAGATGACGTACAGAAGCAAGGAAGGTTCATCTCGAAGGATCAGAGATCGGCCCGGCTTCTTCAGCCAAATTTCGTAGCATGTCAATAGGCATAATCTGCGTAACTAATTGTACGATTGCTGTAAAAGTGGATCCACTTCTGATTCATTACTTCCACCTAAACTAGCCTGCAGTCATACTGCCCATGCAAGCCACCTTGGTGAAGTTTGATTGGGGTCTTTTCCTGCTAGCTGAGCGCTCGACAGTAAGTCACTTAGAAGCTAGTCTACTAAATACGGCTCCTTAGACAGTTGAGCTTCAACTGTAACACGGAGCGACCACGTGACACTTGGAGACAAATGAATCATGACCGAAAACCCCTCTAATAATCGATGCGGACAAAGCCGGTGATGGAGCGGCAGCAGCGGACGCGAGGGCAGGAGATGCCACAGGAGCACAGCCTGGAGAGGCTTCGCAAGTAGCGGCACCGATACAGCCACAATTCGATCTGGACAAGCTGAGAGACGAAATTAGGGACATCGTCCGCGTTATCTGGAAAGAGGAAGTCACAGTGGAGAGCAAGAATGAGGTGCCTAAAACTCAGTCGCTTGTCGTATCTAACGATCTTCAATTACCTCTACAACCTCAACCGCTACCTTGCTGAATACATAAATTGAAACAGTTCATCTGGTGATCTTGTTATGAACAAGGACCAAGCCTTCTTGCTGAAGAGCCAACTCCTTGATCCCACTAACTTCTTCAGAAACAACTGCTGGATATTCTACGACTGCGGGATAGCGAAGTGATCCGAGCGCACGAGAAGGTGGCGGAGGTAACGGGGCTGCTTCTCGCAGCAGACAAAACTCTTGAAGCTATGAAAGCGCAGGTAAAAGACGCGGAAAAAGAGAAGGATGCGGTACATCGTTTACCTCTTTAGGTGTGTTTTTTTACTGCGCGTGCAGTCACTGTTCATCGAGTCTTGCGTTTTCCCTTAACGACCTTAATATACTGTATGTGATACAGCGCTTTACAGGTATGTATGTATGATGTCAACGTTCGTCATTTCCATAAACTACGGACTATGATTCGGTCGAACAGATATTAAGCTTAATCCGTCGCGGAGCCCTGACTTGCGACAAGACCACGGTCCTTGGTGGCATCTATAAACAAGAACATAATCGATCTTCGTTAACATTATTTGACATCAAAATCAACTTCATCAGCTCCACGACCGAATGATAGCGGCTCGTGTGACCGAGCAGAAAGCGACTACTATCGTCGATGCAAACACCAAAAGATCAAATGATTTGGCCCGTGATCTAGAAGTAGAGAAGAAGCGACGGTTAGACGAGCGGATGAAGCTAGAGGGTATGGTCGAACAGGCGAAGGAGGATCATCGAGTGGAAGTACTTAAAAGAATTCTGTAAGAAGTATTGAAATTCTGGATCAATGGCTAAAAGGAATAGCAAAAAGTGTGACGTCTTTCACTTCGAACGAAGATGCTTTCTCCAAATTCATTGAATTCCATTTTGCTAACGATATTTTCACGACATTCATCTTGTCTCACAGCTAGTTCTACTTACTATCCTTATCGTTCGCATGGAAATGAATGATGTCGCTCCTTTCATCAGGTAATGGCCTATCGACGGGCGCTGTCGACGGAGGAGGCGAAGGTCGTTAGCTTACAGAGGGAGTTGAAAGAGTGTAGGGAGAGAATCGCGGAGCTAGGAAAAGGCGGTAACGGTACCGGACTTATCGGAGCGCTCAATACCGGAGGAAGTAGTAAGTTCTATTCGACCGGCAGTGGCTCCAGTAAGGCATACCACGGAAATCGTGGAGCTAAGGGGAAGAAAAAGAATGGCACAAAGTCTGTCGAGAGTATCTACACTCCTCTCAGCAGCACCATGACGTCCCTACCGAAGATCAACAACTCGACTGGAGGGTTTTCGACTAGATAAGCGCGGTTTCTACATGACCACATGAAAAAATTGTCCGAAGCAAGCAAAAAAAGTTCAACACTATGCATGCTAAACCATCAACATAAAGTAGAAAAACACCATAAGCATAACAAGATAGTACGTATTCGTCGCTTGAGCATTTCCATTTTTCCTGTTTCCCACACTAACTTCTCAGGGTTAGCAGGATTCGAGGCAAGCTCGACTTGCATAGCGATAGCGTGCATAGATAGTGTCCAAGTCAGAAGTGAGATTCAGTGAAATCTACAGAGTGGAGTCCTTTCGCATCGAACTATTCATACTACAAGTCAAAATTCTTCATGCCGTTGGTAGACTAAAGTCATAATCCATAAACCTGTAACAAGCAAAAAGTCAAGAAGATGTAATCAAAGTCTGTTGAATAATTGTTATTGTCGCACTCGCACATCTAGATCCACACTTGCAAACCACCAAAGATTGAAATTATACATATGGAGAAGATGAAGATGTAGACGAAGATGATCATCATCACAACTAATGTTTTCTCCGAAAAATCACCTCATAAAGGTATGTCACATGCAAGAACTCTTTCCAAAATTAATTAGACGCCCAACATGTCGCGGCCCCGAGGAGCTCTGGAACAAGCACTGTCGATTTGATAATGACTGCAGAAACATGCAAAACCACACTTGTATTTGTTGCAACAAATAATACAGTCATAACAAATTTATCTGTTCAGGATCGAGCCCGCAAATTCGTACCAGTTCCTCTCTAAAATTGTACCGCAAGAGATGATTAGTCATAAACATAACAAATTCAAAAAAATAGTTCCTGTTTCTCACAACTGTTTCTATGATATTAACTGAATCAGCAATAGAATCGATGGATGAAACTATGAAAAATGTGTAACGCAAGAATAAGATTGAAGCGAATCCTCGTGAGGCGTGGTGCTCGCCTAGGCCATATTGTACATACGCCCTCACACGATTTCCAACTGCACTAGACCCACCCATAAATGAGCAGAATCTGGACGAGTATATGTAACACCAACGTGCTTTGTTTGTTTCTTTGAAGAGAGGCAGATTGAAAGAAGAACACCGAAAAACGACATCTTCTGTCTTATCGGCGACTCTTGTGTCCACTGTATTTGAGAACATGACCGCCAACCTGCTTGAAGTTTGATCTGATTTTTTTTTCTGTGCAGTCTGTCTTTTTGTTTTTCTTTTGAAAACAAAACATCGGTTGCAGTCGGTCTTTCTTGTTTTTTCTTTGAAACGACGCTGCATGGGTTTTAATTCTGTGAAGGAACAACACGAAGTTGCTTTTATTTTCTTGCCGTGGCCGACGACATAGTCTCTTCGGTGAAGTAAATCGACCTCCGACAGTTTCAGTTGTTTCCATTTTTTTTAATGCATCCGACCGTTTCTGAACATTGGCGCTTAATAAAAATCGAGAAATAGCATAGGGTGATTGATAATCATCGCGCATGGTGTAACGACGCTGATACCTATAATGACAATTATGACTAAATCTCACTTTGATTATTTTGGACTAAAGACATGAGGCAGTTTAGGCAGTTAAATTGGAACTAAACTGATTCGTGATCAGGGAGGAAAAGGCTTGAATCCGTCTCATTTTCCCGCTCATATTTCCTAGTAGATAGTAATATCGTCAATATTCATTGTTTCATAACTGAAGCTGAGTACGAGTATCATTTCCTCCAGTTATTATCATTCTTGTTCTTCTCAACTCATTTCGGATTCGATCTCTAGTTGTCAACAGTGTAGTATCGTTTATAACAAAATCAAAAACCATTTCAGACAGCTGCCATCAGTACCAGAAATTAAGCAACTTTCTTCCTCCTTGCAAAAAACAATGGGTCAGTCACACGTCGTTTTTGTGATTTTGCTCAAGCAGCAAATTGCTGCGTAAATATCTATGGAAATGCCGATATCTTTTGGCTCAACTGCTCCCTCCCGGAGCAGAAAAGATGCTATTACCAAGTCTACAGCCAGTGCCAGCACTTCCTCGACTATCGTGACGTCTGCAAGACCGACACAACGTGGGCGCGCAGCCTCAGCTTCCTCATGCAGCCCGGTCCGCCGTACTGCGTCCCCCAATAGCTTTTACCGTCGTGGTGTTGTAATTGATTCTTCATCTTCTGGAGCAGGTGTGTGTCGAAATCGGGCTCAAGAAAGTGCCAGACCATTGACGAAGCCGCGACATTCCAGCTCCCCGAGTCAGAGTCGCGTTTCGTTTCTGTCGTCTCGTTCCTCACATCAACAAGGCGCTGCAGGTGTTCGTAAGCATAGAAGTACGTCAAAGAGCGTTGAAAAAATGGATGGCAAGAGCAAGGGTTGTGTTGTATTCGGTTATAATTCACTTGCTGGTGCCTGTGCCAGCACGACGTTATCTTCTGAGGGAAACTCTAATTACTCGGGATTCTTCGGAATGGGGGACATAACCGCGAGCACAATGGCACCACCTGCAGCCTCTACCTCGTTCCTAACAACCGCAACGACTTCTTCTCCTGAGGAGCCATCCTCTATTGCGATGCTGACCAGTGAAGAGTTTTCCCCTCTCAAAGAGATCATTGACACGTTCAATAAAGAGCTGGAGAATTGTTCTCAGCCGACAACGACATTGACCGCGGCGGACCAGGAGGAGGAAGCACATGTCGAGGCAGAGCTCCCATCATTCTCTTCGTTGTATCAGTCTGGATCATCCGGTGTTGGCAAAACGAAGACCAGTAACACCACTGATGTGAACGTTCGGCATCGGGACCAAGAGCAACTTGAGCGTGACCTGTTACGTGACCGCAAAACTTTGGAGCTCGAATGCCAGAAGCACATTACGAATGCGCTCTCGCGTGAGCGCAAGCGCCTCGCAGAACGTGAAGCCGAGTGGAGCAAGCAGATTCAAGAACTGCTCAAGGAGAACGCCCAACTCTTTAGCGATCTCGAGACGTGCAAAGGCAGCAATCGCAGACTTGAGGACGACCTGAAACGCACGAAGTTGGAGCTTCAAGAACTACTCACATCCTCTTGTTCAGCTCAAGCACCAGGTCAAGTAGGAAGTCAACATCAGAGTGAAGTCGCCTCACCGAACACTGCTTCTCAAGTTGCCCAAAGTAACAACATTTTAGCCCTCCCACGGCTCACGGAACGTCTGCGTCGCGAGCAGCAGGAAGCGCGCAAAGAATTGGACATGTGTCGAGAGAAATTGGATGCGGCACTCGCTGACTTGCGGACAGCGTACCACCAATCTGCCAAAGAGCGCAATGTCTTCGAACACGAGCGTCTTCTCTTCGCCGATAAGATTCGGGAGTCTGAGGAGGCAGTCGCGTCCTTGAAGGCCCAGGTGGAAAATTCCGGAAAATTGGCAGGAGAATTGCAGCTAACAGCAGCGAAGCACGAGCGCGATGCTGTGACGGCAACAGAGCGCGCGAAAGAAATGGAGAAGAAACTGGAAGAAATGACGCGAAACTTACAGATGGAAGAAAGCTCCCGTCTGGCATTGGAGAAAGCAGCGACACAACTGAAGTTGTCTGCACTGCGCGAGACTGACTTCCTATGCTCGGAGCTGAAGCGCGTTCACGGAGATAATGTTGAACTGAAGAACGTTTTATGCGAACAAGCACGCATTCTGGACTGGACAAGGGTGCGCAACGTCGTTTGGATGAAGGTATCAATCTATTATTGTGATATATTGTTACTGTTAGTGTGTGGATTAATAGAGTAGTCAATCTCAATTCTTACATGTGATTGTTAAAGCAGCAAGTAGTACTAGACGTAGCTTTTCTATGTATACGCACATACCAGTGTTGTTGAAGTTTCCCCCTCGCGATGGATAGGATATGTTGGTGGAAAGACAGCTATTTTTATATCCATTAAGGTCTCGTTTTCTTCGCATCTTTTCGATACCATTACATTTTCATTTGGATTTGCAATTGGATTCTACTAATCTTTCTTACCAAATCCATTTTGATCTCGTTTGATTCATTCCTAGAGAAGACCTCTTTCATCCTGAATTTTCTCCATTTTTTCCACACGAACAGCATCATCAGAGACACTGGGAGCGAATGTCGCATACTCGGACGCGTAACGCATTTGCCTGCTGGCGCAGTCTTGCCAGTGCAGAGTCGTCCTTTCGAAAGCGTGGTGCGCGTTTTGTTGCGAACCAACGTTCTAAGGCCTTCAAAACGGCACAGAAGTCAGCCTTTTCCGCCTGGCATTCGACCGTAAGCCAACGAAAAACGCGCAATGCTGCTGTAGACTTGATGAGTCCGCGAACCATGATGGGAAGTGCAGGCACAGTCTTCAGTCCACGCACTACTACCCGGTTACGAAGCGGGCTCTCTAGAAGTAAGGCTGCAGAACCCTGGTTTTCGCAATGGAAGCGCGTTCGTGATGAAAGTCGTCTAGGCAGGAAGTGTGGACATCTCGAAGCCACCTTGGAAAAAACGCGCGTCCATGCCGACCGACGATGTGCAAAGGCACTCCTCCAAACGTCAGTACGTGGTTGGCACCAGCGCACTCGCAGCGCACGTGCGACAAGCCGCGTTTTGGAACGACGCGTGCGGCAAGAGGAGACCACCGTGACGTCTGCCTTTAGTCAACTTGCTTTTTGTGCCTGGGACAAGCTGGCTGCGAAAGGGCAAAAAGCTGACCTCGAAGAACAACGCTGCAAGCTGGAGTCCAAGGTACATGCGCTACATGCTACGGGTCTCCTTCGCGGATACGCCTTCATCGAAAAGCGGGGAGAGACTACAATGATGGCTCAGGCATTCACGGGTTGGTGGGATGCAGTTTCTGATAGCAAATTGACCTACCTACGTCATCGAGTGGTGAGCGAGAAATTTCACGGCGGACTACGTGACACCAAGCAAGCTGTATTGCTGCTCTGGCACGGAGTTTCGCGCTCGCGGGTCATGCGGCGCGAGGTGTGCGATAAGATGTGCCGCAGTCTCGAATTTGATGGTACTCCTTTGATGCAGGTCGCGTTGGCGCACTGGCGAATCGCGACGACTGCAGTACAAAGAACAAAGGCGGAGGACACTCGCGAACAGCTTACCAAACGATTCCTTGGTCGCGCGACGTTGCATAGCGCGCTAGAAGCGTGGACCAAAGCTCACCAGTCGGACCGCAAATTGACGGCGATCGAAGTACAGAAGGACGCTGCGCGCGCGGGTCTGCACTCTGCTTTTGCGCGCACAGAAGGTGCGTTTTTGCGACGCTCTGTTCTGGCGGCTTGGCGAAACAGCGTTGAGGGCTCTGTCGAGGCGGGGAAAGTCCGTCTTGCGGTGGAGCGCACCTTGCGTCGTATTACGCGCACAGCTGGCGTGGCCCTTGGGACGCCTTCCATCTTTCAGAGTGTGTTCGAGCAATCACCGACGAGCAGTGGGAAGCCTGCGCTGCTGCCACTACCCGCCTCAGCGACAGCGGAGAGAAAAGATAATATCAATACTTCTACTGTCCTCAATGTTCTTGCAGGAGCTGAGGTTGACCCAAGAAACGTAATGGTCGGACCCGCTGTTCCGCCTTGTGCCGAAAGTCTACCAGAGTTGCCACGTCAAACTTCGGGAAGCGCAGTTGGTGATATTTGCTTGCAGTATGAAGATCGCATTGATGACATCGTTTATGCGACGTGCGAGGCGCGGCTTTACAAGGATCGTGTGCGTGTGGTCTATCAGGCCTGGTGCTCAGCGACTCGCAGCACTCGGCGTGGGTACCACCAAAAGTGCCAGATTTTTGGTGGCTGGCGGCTGGACACTCTGCGGTCGCGGTTGCAGAAGGCAGACGAGGCCAGTGGCGCGTTGGTGCAGAAGTACTTGCACTCCATGTCGGTGATGCTCCGCTCGGCGAGTGACCGCCAGCATGTACAGGATGTCGTTCACGAATGGCGCAAACTGGCCAAAACCGAATTGACGTCGTCTCGCATCAAAAAGATGCGCGATCACCAAGCGAGCCTACTTGAAAAAACGCAACACTTTTCGCAGTCGAGCTTTCTGTTGGCTGGCACAAGTCCCGGAGTTTGGCGCCAGACGATATTCACCTCTTGGTCCGCGCTGGTGCACGAGACGAGGCGTGCAGCCAGCCTGCGCCAGCGCATGTCCCGGCTCACGACGCTGCAAGCCGACATCGCAGATCGTGAGCGCTTGAGTGCACAGCTGTATTTGCGGCGCGCTGCGTGGGGAGCCTGGCGTGCTACCGTTGCTCAACTCCGGGCGCAAAGGGACGCAGCGCAAAAGCTACTCAGCGTGTCTGCACAAGCAGCATCCGCCAAGCAGACGCGCGCGAGCCGCGACTTGATGCAAGACGTTGTCTCTAGCTGGCGCTTCGCAGTTCGCGATGCTCAGATTAAACAGCTCCGTCACACGAGGGATCGCCTTTGGCCACGCGCGCTCCGTAGCTTCGATCTTCTGCAGGCACAACAAGCTGAAGCGCTTCTGCGTGATGTCTTCGATCTGTGGGTCACTGAAAGCTGCGAAAAGCGCAAGCAGGAACGGCGTGAGCTCCTCACACAGCGTGCACACGACTCAGCAATCGCACGGTTGCGCATGGCTTTTGGCGGCTGCAAGAGCGTCTTTCTGCTCTGGGCGGATGCTGTCGCGATCTCGAAGCGCGAAAAATTGGAGGCGCAACTGCAGGAGGTACGCAATTCAGCAGCCACGCAGAAGCTCCAGATAGCCTTTGGGCATCTTTTGGTTACCTCAGGAGGCACAACGGGCAATAAGGCAGTGCTCCAAAGCGTACTTCGTGCCTGGGCAGAAGCCCTGCAGCAAAAGCAGGTTGAAGCATTGGAATCGCGTATGGCAGCTGAGCGCAGTGACCGTGCGTTCGCGAAATTGAAGCAGCTTTTTGCGACATGCCAGTCGAGTTTCGCAGCTTGCGTACTCCAGGAGTGGCGCTCCTACGCTGCAGAAGTCAGAACAGAACGCGCTGCTGAAAGTTTGCGTGCAGAGCTCACAGACGCGCGTACTGCGAGTGCACTCGCCAAGCTCCGCGCCGCGTTTGGCCCCTTTTTGGCGCAGCGCGAGCCTCATTGCATGGTTGGCGCCACCATTGCAGCTTGGCGCGAAGTAGCAGTTGAGCAAATGCGACTGGCAAAATTGCAACGATGTCAACTTCAACGGGATCTCGCGGAAAAACGCTTTTTCACCTCAGCGGAGCGTGCACTGGTCGCAAAAGGGTTAACGGCTCATCAGCGTGACATCTTTGACGTATGGGCGACGCATCTGCGGCAACAAAAGAAGGAGAGACTTTCGGAAATCGAGGCCCGACGCGCGTGTCGTGAATCCAAGTTCAAGGCGTTTGCGGCGTGGGCACACTTGGCTCTGCGCTCTGGCCGATTGGAAAAGCAAACGCAGAGATTGCTTGGAAAGCTTCTTGACGAGAAGGCAAAGTCTTTACGTGCGACTTCCTGGCAGTCCCTGTTCTCGGAGTGGGCCCGAGTAACCACGGAGAGTCGCCAGTCGTGCTTACGGGAGCGCCTCCAGGAAGAAAAAGCAAATGCCACTTGCGATCGCCTCCGCTTGTTGTTCGGGTACGATGAGAAGTCGCTTCTGCGTACGACGATTGCTGGCTGGTTTCGCGTCGCGGTGCTGGATGCCCGTGAGGAGCGGCTTGCAAGTGCGGCTGACGCGCAAAAAATGCGCTTAGACTCATGGATGGCGGAAGTTCGCGGGAAAATGATGGACGCTCAAGACCGCGCAGTGCTGCAGCGGCTCCTCGGCGCTTGGCGAACGGGTGCTGTCGAGCAACGCTATACGAGACAGCAGAAAAGCAGCGAAGGGGAGCTTGCACGGTTGGCCGCAAGCGAAGAGGCAGTAAGAGCACACTCCAGTGCGTTGGTTGCACGCTGGACTATCTGTATTCGCAAATTCTTCGAAAAGAGATCCGCAGGAGGTCCTTTTGGGAATATTAGAGACCACGGCCGCTCCTCGAGCTCGACGACTCTCGATCTCCCTAATTTGACAAGAAACCTGCAACCGGTAAAGGTAAACGAGACAACAGTCTTTGCTCACTGGCACCAACAAGCACAGCAACAGATTCGCGAGAGTAGACTTCACCATCTTCATACCGTCATTGCAACGCGGAATGCTGAGGGTTTGGAACACGCTGCGTTGCGTGACGCGTGGTTCCGCTGGTCGGTTTCGGTGCTCCATGGCAAGTTCAACCGCGAAAAAGTTGGCAAGCTCCGATGTTTAGAGGCGTGCCAGGCAGCTGACTCACGCGAACTACGAGCTCACCGCCTTGGTCAGCTCTTCTTCACTTGGAAGCTCGTTGTTTTGACCTGGCATCGCGCATGCGAAAGACTGCGTTCCGCATCGCAGCGTCGCGAAAACGTTCAACTCAACACACGATCTTTTTTTGCAGCCTGGCACAGAGTGGTCATGAATGCACGAATGGACTGCCAGACGCGACGCATTCGACGCCATGGCAGCAGCATTTTGCAGATTGGTGCGGCGTTCACTTGCGCTCACCGTGGGGCAGCCCTGCACCACGTTTTCCATGCATGGAGTAACGGACACTACCGCCTCAAAGTCCAAATGACAGTGGCAGAAAATCGCTTTTTACGTCTGCGAAAGCAAAAAGTCCTGGCTTGCACCTTCCACGGATGGAAATTTTCTGTCCTGGGGCGCGCGGTCCTTGAAGAGCGCACGCGGGCGAGCTTAGACAAAGCTAGCACCGCCACCGTGTTGTGCAATCTTGCAGGAGCAAGTCGCAATCGCGCCTTGGCGGAGCTTGCGCTGCGTTCACTGGGCCTGTACACAGCTTCTCAAAAAAGGCAGCGGCTGTGTCAACAGGTGATTCTCCGCTCTGCTGAGAGTGCGGAAAACCAGACGGGTATGCACACGCTTCTCGCGGCGTTTCAAGCGTGGAAGCAGCTACAACGTTTCGCTCGCATGCATTCGTGCGCCGGACACGCTCTCGAAGCTCTCAACACCAAGTTCTATAAACGCCGCGTGATTACAGCATGGGCAGTGAAAGTAGCTTCGGGCAAGGCGACTGCTGAAAATCACGAAAAAGCAAATGCTAGCGCAGCCCTCATGCTCAGAAAGAAGCTCCTGCACACTTCTCTTCTGCGTTGGTCAGCTGTCATTGCGCTGCGCACTGAGCGCCGGCGTCGGCACGGCCTTCTTCACCGTCTCAACTCGGTTTACCTGACGCCTGAGCGAGAGATCCGTTGCAAGGTGGATGTTGTCCGTGCTTGGGCTCGGACGGCGCGGGTTCGCGCTTCGATGCGGTCGAAGTTACGACATATGCGACGCGAGCGAGCACGTTCTCTTTTCGGCGTCTGGCGAGCCGTCACCCGCAGTTCACACGTCGCGGACTGTCTTCACGAGGCCACCAAGAACTGTCGCTCACAACTAGCCAACGTTTCAACCTCAACGCCTGCCGTACATAGTATCTTGTTGTTGCGCGAGGATACTCCTGATGTCGCAAACACGAGCAGCCGCTACGAGATGATTTCGCGGAACAGTCGCCGAGCAACATCCCAACGAAATACAACAATAGACCATGAGCATGAGGTTCGTGTTGACGTCAAACTTTCTCCGCGGGTGAGCACTTCCTCCTCCTCCTCCTCCTTCAAACTTGCAAAGAAATATGGAGAGCAGAGCTGGGATGTTGATAGTGACAACGACATGTCCGTATCATTACGATTCTAGCTTGGCAGTAAACTTACACGCGCGAGGGCTGCTGCTGAAAATTGGAAGAACTAGTAACGCCCAGGGATTATTGTCGTTAGTAATTTCGACATCGAGAAGTGAGTCAGCGTATGCAGTTGTAGCTGGAGTTCGACATATTCACAGAAAATGTAGAAAAGATTGCATCTCTAATTATCTAACGAAGACCTCCACAAGTATTTATTTAGTTTTGACGGTTTTGTAAAGCAGCAGCAACAGCAGCAGGTAAACGATTCTCAAGTCATTTTCACACTGTAGTCCATAGATATACCTATTTTTTTATATGTAGATACGCTTTGCCCAAGATTCAAGGTAGAGTACATATTTATTAGTAAGTACGCCTTACTCTTACATTATGAATATAAAGCTAAAGAATAGTGAAATACTAGATGAAGTTGAGCATACGCATACCTCCAACTATAAAAGCATCTTCAAGTCCTTCTAGGAAACATCTAGAAGTAAAAATCAAGAAAAACCGAAACCTATTCAAGCTGAAGTGAAATTACCTTTTATGTTTACCTGTACAACTACAACTACAACTTAAACTTACTACATAATTCCAGGGAGGCCGTCGCATATTACTTGATTCTCACATATTAGGCATAGACATGAAGCCATCGCGGAGAAATCTGAATGACTCTAGTTCTTGTTGGATGTTATATATGATATACTTATACATAGCCCCAAAAAATTCATCCACATAAAGAAAACAGTACTAAGCCCAGATGTCAGTCCGACAGTCGAAGTGAGAAGTAGTATATGCATAGATGACCACAAACTCATTTCATACAACACACGCTCCTTTTTCTCTGTATACCATTTTGAAGTCTGGGCCTGCATCGGGATCGTTGACAATCTTTTTATATTTAGGTAAATGAAATAAATATGTTTATGTTATCTCAATGTAATATATTGTTGGTTTTGATCATCGTATTAATTGTCCTCATCGGTCAACATGTTTGAAATTGAAGGACAGACGTAAGGATCATATTTCCGATTGTTGGTCGTGTCGGAGAGAGGAACACATAGGGTACCGCATAAAAAGTAGAAGGTTTTATGACCAATATTGATACTCACAATCTCAAACGCAACAAAAGAACGCTGGTATCACAGGAGCAGGGTGCATGTCGCTAAAATCATAGGAACAGGAGCAAAAAGGAGGCAAAGAGAAAGACCACCAAGCGCCAAAAACTGCAAGGGTGGCGGGCACAATACTCGCCAAACCCGGGCGGGTGGGGGTGCTGGAAGTTCGGGACGCCGCAGAGAGCTGTATATTGTGTGGCGCGTGCTTTGTACGGTGTCGCGTGACCTGTGTCTTGTGACCCGTGCGGGGTGTCTTGTGTATTGATTCCTGGGTGCGGGGCGCTGACAGACTTCTGAGCGCTACGCTTGGCGCTGGGTGCCTGCTGGGCGCTGGGCGCTCTTTTGTGTGTTTGGGACCTGATTTGAGAAATTTTGGGACCCGATTTCTTTGCTGAGAAAGTCTGCGTGCTGTGTGTTGTGTCTGCATTGTGGACTGTGCGTCGTGTATTCATCGTGTGCCTTTCCCTGGGTGTTGGGCGCTGGGATTGGATGTTTGGCGCTGGACGTTGGACTCTGGGCGTTGGATGCTGGGATGTAGGTGCTGGGTTTTTGGTGCTGGGTGCTGTGTTGGGTGTTTGCTGACCTGGGCGCTGGCGCATAGGCGCTGGCCTGAAAATTTGGGACCCGATTTGAGAAAAATTGGAGGCTTGATTTAAGAAAATTTGGGACCCGATTCAAGAAAATTTGTCATGACTTGAGAAGCCCGCTTCAATCAACGACTTGAGAAACCCGCTTCAACGACTTCAAAAACCCAACTCAACGACCCAACGACTTGAGAAACCCGACTCAACAACTTCAAGCAAGAACCCGACTCAACGACTTCAAAAACCGAACTCGACGACTCAACGACTTGGGAAACCCGAGTCAACAACTTCAAAAACCCAACTTAACGACTCAAGGACTTCAAAAACCAAATTCAACGACTCAACGACTTCAAAAACCCAACTCAACGACTCAACGACTTCAAAAACCCAACTCAACGACTTCAAAAGCCCAGCGCAACGACTCGAAAAACCCAACTCAACAACTTCAAAAACCCAGCTCAACGACTCAACGAGTTTAAAAACGAACCCGACTCAGCGACTTCATTTCTCAATACTCTGCCCCTGACTATAGTTATGCCATAGGTTGCGGTTGCCTCGGGACATGTACATAAAGTCATCATGTTTAAGCTTCTTCCAGTTCTTGTACCATTAGAACAGTAACAGACGGGGAAGAAAATGAAAGTGAAGCAAATATTTTCGATAAATCAATCTTCACAATCTAGCTCAAAGTTGAAGCGTTTATCCCTGTTCCATTGAGAGTGGGACGAGAACAAGTGGAGAGACACGTCGAGTGACAAATCGCAATTAAGCTATTTCGGTTAAGAGCTCTCGCTTGAGATACAGTTACATCAAAGACCGACGTAATACGTGAGTAATCGGATGATGGACATGTTGAGTATCGGTTATTCCCAATCCAATCGGTTATTCACCTTCAGAATTCGATGTCGATGATCATGATCTTAAAGATTTTATTATAAGATTCCCATTTCCACACACAAAAAACAAGTGAGCATTGACGTTCAGGTTCACATTGGTCACTTGATAACTTGTACCTGCCTCTGCTTCCAGCATGTGGAAGCGTCTGCTTCTTTTCGGAATAAATTCATTGGGACTGAGAAACATTGTGAGACCATGACTAGTTTTTTGGTTCTTCGATAGTTCATCTTATCATATGAGACATTGGGGTGCTCCTTTTTGGCAGCTCTTGTGAGTTGAATGAGACATCGGTGCGCGAAGTAGCAACTCAACTGACGCGGACCGACGTGGATGAGCTGCGTTCGGTGATTCCTATGGATGGTGCTGGGGAAGCCTGCAACTGGTAGGTGAGGCAAGAAGTGATGAGAAGCGGGATAGAGACAGAGTTAGAAACCATAGCATTGCTTTACTCTGTATATGCGTTCGTAATTGAAGAAGTCAGGAATGGTGAAAGAGCAGGAGGCTTGGATTAGGTTTAGGACCACGGACTTTGCGTGAATGTTAGGACTACATTGACAACACTCATTATTGGATACATATTTAGAGAAAGTCCGCAGCACTATGATGACGCTACCGCCTGGTACTCTAATTATTCATAGGGAGGCACTCCGAGAAATAGTAGTTGCCCTTGCCCTCTCTCTTTGTCAAAATCGTCGGCTCGTGGTCGTGAGTTCAGACTCTATGTTTTGTCGAGCTCGAAGTCGAACAGAGTTCCTGCAACTCTGCTCTGCTTGTTTCGCATAGTCTAAACACTCGACCTGCATCAGGACTGCCTATTCACACTAAACCCCTTGCGACTCGCAGATTTTTTTTGTCGTGTTATTCAACAATGTCAATGTTGAATATTCCTATTTGTTTCTTACATTATTTTTACTTTTACATCTCAGCTTCCGCTCACTCGAGATCGTCCTTAATGCCCCTAGCTATGTACTATTGTTTCTCTTTCTAGTTCTACTTCTACGACGGCGCATGACATCCCCATTTGGAGCGAATGCGAACAATGTCAATCAATAGAAGAACTATCCGCATCTGTATGCTACCCGATTTGTAGAAATTATCGGAGTTGTCCCCAGTTGTTTTCTTAGATGACAAGCCCGCTCGTCTCTTTGGTATCGTTTTTCAAAATTGTTTTTGTAATTGTTGGTCTTTGTTGTCGCAGAGTGTAAAGATTACCCTGCTCATGCAGGCTTCTACTTGTTCTGAGCCTGAAATACGTTAGAACTAGAAGAAGAAGAAGAAGAAGAAGAAGAAGAACGATTATACTTTATAACTGTTCAAACACAAACGAATTGAAGATATCCACCACCTTAGTCAACGGGAAAACATCCTTCGAATTGATCCTAGCAAACAACACGATCGAGCACAGCATCATGTCCGCCTCAATAAAGGACCTGGACTTGGAGTTTCCAACCATGCGGCTTTTTCGGAGCGTCGAGGACGAGCCGTTCCCGCAAGTGGCGGCATCGGGCAAAATGGACACGCGGCAGCCTGAGGAGAATCCGAAGCAAGTTTCTGTTACGACTTCATCTACAAAGAAAGCGGGAGCAAGACCACCACCTGTTTTGAATTATCGTCTGAAATACAAGAAGAGCGTCGATCTGACAACCAGCATAATCGGAGGGGACGGTGCCTATACTGATGGAGGAGTTCCGAAGCCGCTGACGCCAGTGGCGTATCCGAGGAAAGGAACAGCGGACATGTTCAGAAGCAAGACACCGTCATCGTCAAGTACAAGCACGACGTCTGCTTGGAAAATAGCTAGCACAAGTGCGCCACTAAGTACTACTGCAACGGGAGTGAAGTCACGCTCTTTGGGCGGGCCCGCGACTACATCGGCGCTGAGTGGACCACAAGAACTTCAACTGCCGTTCAGAAAAGCGATAACGCCAGGGCGAGTTGCATCAACTAGCCTTCTCGTACCGTCAGGATCCTCCAGCGGCAGTCCTTCCGACAGTGGAACAGTGCCTTCGGATCGCAGCCGACGGTCGGCAGCTGCACAAAGTGAAATGAGTTTGAGTAGTGGCGCATCATCATCTGGCGGATGTGCTGGCCACGTTTCCAGTGCAGGAGGTGGGCCTTACAGGAGTAGGAGTGTATCTGCTTACAATCAACAGCGGATAGTGCAGCCGCAGCTTTCTCTCAAAGCGCCAGTCTTTCCTGGCCTGGGTGGACCGAACAATCGCCCTGGTTCTTTGCTGCGGACATCTTCGGCCAAGGTGTTCCTGTTCGCGAAGGCAGGTGAGTCCGAACGAGCTGCCAGACAAGCTTCATCATCCGATCACTTGACTACCGGTGATGAGGACACCACTCCAATGCCTGCGCCGAATAAAGAAGATGCTAATCACATCGTTGATGACACCTCAACAGCTGGCGCGGCACCAGTGTTGAAGGATGAAGGGGAGAGTAGCGCACTCTCTGGAGATGCTGTGAGCAGTCCGGATTTCGGAATCAAGCAGGCTGGCGCATATTCTGGGGGGGACAAGAAGAGCGCAGGCGCAGCACCGCCACGAACATCTTCCTCTAAGGTCGCGCGGATAAAATCCTCACCGGGGCCCTCTGCTGACGAAAGTCGCAAAGTCGTGACAAGTGGTCCGCCACAACCACGCTCGTCCCCGTCCAAGAGCAAAAACCGCATTTCGGCTGGACAGCCCGCCTCTGGCAGCGGTGCAGCATCTTCGACGTCAATACAGGGCTTATTGCAAAAGGCACAAGTTCGTGAAGATGGAAGGGCTGCGAGTGTTGGGGCACTGACGCGTGTAGGGCCCTCGCGTGGTAGTCTTTCCCAAAATTTCCGCGCCATGCAGACTCCGATACGCCATATGCAAGCAAGCTTGCCATTCAAGTTTACCGCATTATCAGGTGACGAAAGTGATGAAATATCTGAGAAAACAGCAGCTGATCGACAAGCAGGGTCTGTGCCACCGCTGAACCTCTCCGGTATTCACGGGAATAAGCCGCCAGACCCTCTGGTTATGCGAATGAACATCCGCAGCAATAAGCCGTCCAAAGATGCGCCAGACGGGGAGCCGCCAAATCCAAATGTTGAGGTACTCAATCTGAATCTGAACTACTTTAGCTTTATTTTATTGTGCAAGTACGTACGACTACGACTGCAATTTTGATTACTAACCGCAATGCATTTGCAATTGCATGCGCATGTTGTCGACGACAGGGATTCTCACTAGAACGTATCTCACCCCCTCTGATATCGATAACTTGAATCACGCAGGTGATCATGCACCAGCAACAGCAAGAGCAGGCTTCGTTTAACCCGTTTCAATGGGGGGCATCGTTGGCCATAGCACGCACCATGCACGGAATGGGAGCCTCAGGACTGCTGGGCGGTGCGCGCGGTGGCAGTAGTGGGTTCGCAGCTCCCGCGAAGGCCATGCAGCTCCAAGATGCCAGTCCGATGTTCGAGAAGCTACCTGTGGTGGCGATTGACGACTACGCAACTCAGCTCCGCGCAAAGTTAACGCAGGGACTGGTGCCTTCAGCGGGTTTGGCCGCGACGCCTACAGGGGCGACGCGGTATGCCTCGTCCGTACCTTCAGAGCTACAGGGAGGTGCTCCTTCTGGTGGTGTCGACAATAGGAGCAACAATCTTCCTCAAGCACCGCATCAACGGTTTTCGCGCTTAATGCCGCCACCGTGTCTGCACATTCCTCCACCGCCAAGATTTCGGCCACCAAGTGTTTCTCCCGTACTGGCACAGCACAATAACAAGCCTGGAGACCCGCTTGTGCGAAGTCTTACGCCGGGCGGCCGACTCGGCGGCGGTGGTCCGCGAGGTCGCTCCCCTGGACCAATGCTCGTGTCACCGCATTTTCAACCGGCAGGACGCTCGGGTGGTGCGGTTAAGAACGAGAATTCTCCACTCCAATCGGCTGCTAAACCTTCTTTAACTATGGGCGTCGCACCAGCGAATTCGTCTATTACGAAGAAAAGCATCGAACAAGTTCGGGGAGCTGGATCGTTCACCACGGGTGGCAGTAGTAGTTCCACATCAAACCCGTATTTGCCGCGTAGCAGTACAATCCACTTCGCACCTTCGAATGACGCGGCTGAGCAGCTTTTGTCAGATGCTGCTACCTTCATTCCTTCTCAGACAGCAGAGAAATTCAAGCGGCAGATGGGCGGTGACGACTTCAGACACAAGATTCGGCACGAGGGGTCCTCGATTGAACCGAAAATAGAAGCGGGAGACGACAAGCGCAGAGGGACCATAATTGCGACTACATCTTCACAGCCAAGGACTACTAAGACCGGTGGCGGTAGCCCGGCTTCGCGGTCGACGCGCCAGAATAAGGGTGACTCACCGAAGCGAACGTTTATGCTTACTCGATCGCCATCACCCGCCACCAGGGCGAGTTGCCAGGGATCGCTGAAAATTGGGTACTACTTTCTACACTAGCTCTTGCACGACTAGCACACTTTTCTGGGACATGAAGTGAATGAGCAGTGTTCATTGGATCCAAGAGGACTACACCAGGATGAATTTGCGTTTGCGATGGAGCTTTCTATTTCTTTTGCATTCACTTCGTTCCCAGAAAGGTGTCAAATCTTGCTAGGTAGGCGTATTGTATTCTCACTTGTCCACGACCTGTACATCACCCCCATGCCCAGCATCATCAACGTAATTATACAGGTCTCCATCGCCGCTCGACCCTAATATGCCAGCTACATCTATGATGGGCCGTTGTAGTAAACTTTCAAAGTATTCCGTATCCGCCTTTGAGGAGCTCGAGCCGACGACGACGTTGGTGACCGGCGTTCTAGATACTAGCAAGGTGCCCATATGGGGTATCTCTCCGAAAATAGCACTCCGCGACCCACTTTCTCGAAATGGATCAAAGAAAAGTCGCAAATCAACAAAGTCCCCATCTCTCGAAGGGCACAGAAGGTGATCGAAATCGTCTACCTATCAGAATTAGATTCTGGTCATTTTTACCACGCTTGGCATTCGTATCGGACGTGGCCGTTTGCGTGGTTTCTGCAGGATGTTATCAATTTACAGATCTTGTTGCACTACCGCGTCTCTTGTTTGAATGACTCCTGATCAATATCAAGCTCTTTGCATGGAACGGCTTCAAGAAGAGAACTCTTCTCGCTATTTAGTAGTTATTCCTCGATACATCTTCAGGTCGCCATCGGTTCAGCTGCGCACGCGAAAAACGGTTAAGATTTCTGCTGATGCACAGTCGATTACTCTCGAGGACGAGGTGGATGAAGATGCACCCACTGCCACGGGAAAAGCTGCGTCAGCTTTTAAGTCTTCGGTCCCAAAGCGCGCTATCAGACGTCTCAGTGAAGCAAGCATACGCAAGATTTGCGGTTTCACCTCACTAAATCACAACATGGTTACCGCTGCAGCAGCGCTGTCTTGCTTAGACAACGAGGACGAAATCGGGTCCCTCCTTTTGGAACTCGACTGCTTTGCGAAGGTAGTATAATTGACTGTCTAAGAGAGTCAGCGACTTCTCCCGCTCCTATAATTCGCAGGAAGTAATTCTGATGATTATAGATTCTCATCAACATCAGCACAACAAAAATGGCTCGTGATCATGAGGTGAATCGCTGTTGCAGTGTTGGTCTTGCCTCTCCGCTTCCTGCAGTTCCTATTTTTTATCAAATTTTCATCAGGTTGAACGCTTAGACTTGCTGAAAGACGTTAATGGTCTGCAGATGGCAGATCTTATCACAAGTCTAGAAGTCTATGCTGGCGTCCGACATCGGGGCGAATTCCAGCCTCACACTGATGCGCTTGCTTATGGCTCTCATTTCAGGCACTAGTATCAGAAAGTCCTACAGGGAATTGAAATTCGAACTGCTTCTACTAGCACGTCACGAGTTCTTCCTCTCCCAGCGGACTCCAACACGGAAATAAAAAATAGATTTTCAACATCTTTTTAAGCACTTATACTTACATGGAGTCAAGGTCAACAAGAATAGGAATACAAATACTTTTTACCGTCGATTGTAGAGTTTCATCTAAGTCCACCTGCCTGATGGACGACGAATCCAGTGGCCAGACCGAGCAGCTATTGTGCACTCCAATGTGGAGGAAAAGGAGGAGCTTCGACTTGCGATGGAGGGCGACAAAAAAGCGCGCTCCCTCCGACGCATACAGAGGATGGTGCGACGATGGCTCTTTTTGCGTCGCCTGAGCGATTACGTCGACCGCATCGCGGACTGGCGTGAGGTCTTGACCGAAATGTCCATAGCGGAGTTGAGATTAAGTACGGCCATCAGGATTCAGCGGCAGTACAGGGTGCACCGGGCGCGACAGCGATGGCACGACACAATTAAGCTGCGTGAGCGCCTCATCACGCAGGAGCAAGAGGACGCGCGACGCGAGCGAGCAGCGCAACGAGAACGGAAACGTCTTCTAGAGCTAGAGAAAAAGCGAGCGAAAGAGGAGGAGGAGCGGCAGCGCGAACTTGCGCGGCGGCGTGAGGAACAGCGCAAGCGGGAAGAGGAGGAGCGCAAAAGACAGGAAGAGGAGCGGCAGAAACAGTACGAAGATATGGTCGTGCGCAGAGTGCAGCGCATGTATCGCTCAAGAAAGCTCCGCCAGAGCATTCTAAAGTTGGTCTGGGGCGCCATGGACCTGGAGGAGGAGGTGAAAAAACAGCGGAAACTCGAGGAAGAGCGCCTGGCGGAGGAGAAAAGGATAGAGGAGGAGCGCTTGCGACTAGAAGCGGAGAAGCAGGCTGCAACAGAGGCACTGCGGAAGCAGGAAGAAGAAGCGCGCGAAAGGGAGCGCCTGCGGCTGGAAGAGGAAGAGAGGCAACGCAAAGCCCGAGAGGCGGCAATCCACAAGATCTGCGTGTGGTGGAGTCGTCGGAAATTCCGAACCCGATGTTCCTTAGTCCTGAGTCGACGAACGAGTCTCTCTGCCATGATCGTCGCGCAACAGATTCGCACGCGGGAAAAGCTCCGTGATGATGCTGCGAAGAAGCTACAAGGATGGTGGCGAAAGTACATTTGCTACAAGACGTTTCGCAAGAAATGGTCCTACGAGATTCATGTTCGCGGGCTTCGAACACGCATGCAACTACTGAACTCGAATTTCGACAACAAGAAGTTCCACGCTGTCAAGATCCAGCAGTGGTGGCGATCCTACAGGCTGCGCGTCGCTTGGCGACAGCGTATGGTGCCGCTCATCAATGGAGTGCGTGAGGCGAAGGTGGCTAAGCGAAAAGAGGACCGGCGAAATCGATGCGCCACTGCAATCCAGCGCTCGTTCCGCATCTACTCCTTCCGTCAGTGCGTACAGCGCGGAACCCATGGCCCGCCTGAGCGCCGGCTCACAGCACGGGCCGCCGCAATTATTGCACTGGAGAGGCACGAATATGAAAGCATGATAGCGAAAAAACTGCAGAGCCGGTGGCGTCTGAAAAAACTGAGGGACACCATCTTCGCTTCGAGTGTGGGAGCTATTGACCTTGAAGGCATAGTGCGTCGACAGTACGAGAAGGAGGCTCAGGAGCTTGCGGAGCGGCTTGAGCGCGAACAGCGTCTGCTTGAAGCGCGATGCGGCCAAATGCTGACCCACTGGTGGCGCAGTACGGTTTTACGCGTGCTCGTGACAAACGGCAACTTCGCGCGCTGCGTTTCCCTACAGTGGCAAACTGAAGCCGTGCGCGTGCTCCAGCACAGTTTCCGCGATGGCTCTATTGGAAGGTGGCGCGTCAGCAAGAAACAAGAGGCGCTCATGAGAGCGTGGAAGGAGGAGCAACGGTTGCGGGAAATCGAAGCGTTCCGAAAAGAGCGAGAGGAGCGTCTCCATGCTGAGCAAGAGCGTCTCAGGTTAGAGGAGGAGGAGCGCCTGGAACAGCTGGAACGCGAAAGATTGGAAGCGGAGGAGGCTGAGAGGCAGCTTCAGCTGGAAAAAGAGGAGCGAGAAAGACAGAAAGCACTCGCCGAGGAGGCGCGGTTCCGAGAACTGGCTGCACAGGAGGAAGAGAGGCGCCGCAGGGAGGCTGAGGAAGAGAACAGACGGCGAAAAGAGGCAGAAGACATTCGCGAGGCAGAGATCGAGCGCCTGCAGCAACGACGGTCACGGCAACGCACCGGGGCCATGCGAGATGCTTGGAACAAAGAGCTCGAGGACGCTGCCGCCGACCGCCGAACTCGAGAGGCGATAGAAGTGCAGGAACTCGAGGAAGCCATCCGAAAGCAGGCCGCAAACGAAGAAGCGATGAGACTCGAGGCGGAGAGGAGAGCAGCAGCGCAGGCGACCGCGGACGCTCAACGCCGGGAGGAAGAATACCGCCTCAGCGAAGAGCGTGCCAAGGCAAAGATGTTTGAAACGGCAGAGACTGTGCGGCAAAGTCTAGCCGGTGTCGCGAAGCGCGTTGTGTCGAAAAAAGTAGCTGAAGACGAAGAGCGTGCTGAGCGTGAGCGAATGAAGGTCGAACGCCGTGAAAGATATGACGAAGAGACGAAACGGAAGACCGAAAAGGGCCGCCGCTTGATAGACGCGCTGAACAAAACCGCGGACGACAGCAAGCGTGAAATAGCGCGCTCACGCTTAGGAAATGCGACTGAGAAAGCACGCGCGAGTGCGCACGAGCTGATCCAAAGGAGAGACCGCGTCTCTGCTATCCTTGGCGATATAGAATCCCGCGCCGTGGCGACGGACAAGGAGGAACGCGCGGCCAAGGACAAAGAAAAGCATGACCGTGTGACTGGCTTGCTGCATCGGGCTGGAAATCTAGCTCTCGACCAGGGCCACGAGAAGATAGCGAAGAAGGACAGCATCGCCACGCTGCTCTCTGATACTGCTCACGCGGAGTCGCAGCGCCGGCAGAGCGAGAAGGAGAGGCTTGCCTCTCTGTTGCATGGCGCAGGACAACGTGTCTTGACTGGTGCGAAGGCGAAGCTGGCCGAGAGGGATCGCGTAGCGAGTCTCCTGAGCAACGCTGCGGCAGCAGAGAAAGAGCGTGTTGAAGAGCATCGGGCGCGCATTCGGCAATCCTTGCGGCAGGAGAAGGTCGCCGAAGCCGGGCAAAGGAAGCTGACGCGCAAAAGCACAGTAGCAGCCATGCTCTTTGACACAGCTGATGCGGAGCGGCGCCGAAAGCAAGAAGAGCGGAGGCGGCTTGGCGCACTATTCAAGCGGGGGAACGCAGCTGCCGTCGAGGAGGCGCTCGAGATGTTGGCAGAGAAATCTCGACTGCTGAAACTATTGTGCAGCACCGCGGACGGCGACGGGCTTCGCACAAGCAACGAGCAACGCGAACGAGCGCTGGCAACTGTGGAGGAGACCTTGGGCCCGAAAGCGGTCCTGGTAGCAATACAGAAGTTTGTGGAGTGGGACAAAATTGTGAAGATGCTCACTGAGACGGAGGACGCCGAGCGCGCACGCACCGAGGCAGAGGCGCAGAAGTTCACTTCATTCTTCAAACAAGGCGATGAAGATGCACTGCTTGAGGTTCAGCACATGCTGACCGCGAAAGACGAGCAAGCTGAGCTTCTATCTTCCTGCACTCAGGATGTGGCAGAGAAACGCGTCCGGGACGAGGACAATGCCCTGTTAACCGCATTGTTCCGTCGTGGAGGGGAATACGCATTGAAAAAGACCATCGAACTCTTTGAGAAGCGAGATGAGGCTGGCTTAGCAATGTGGCAGCACACGATCCAATTCACCTCAGAAGACGGAAAAGCTTCTGCAAGTCAGGAGGAAATCGCTGAGTCGGTGGAAAGTGCAAAGGCGCACGACCGAGCCAAGATCGGATCCCTGTTTAACATGAGCGCGGAGAGCGGAATGACACAGGCACGTGAGATGCTGGGCGACAAGATTCGCGTCTCGCAGCTTCTTGCCGACCCAGCAACGCAAGCGCAGCGAAGGCGGCAGCGACTGCGTGGCCTGCTTCGCGCTTCAGAAAATTTTGCCGCGCACCCAGACGTGTCGGAGGCAGTTGCCCCGCAACAGCGACTCGCGGTGCTGCTTGCCGATCACGCAGCCGCAGAAACGAAACGTCGTGAGGAAGAACGGGCGCGCCTGTACGGTATCTCAAAACGTGAGAGCCAGGCGGCACTTGTCGACATCCAAAGAAAGTTCGAGGAACGGGACAGAGCTGCGGAGCTAGGGTCGCATGCAGGGCGAGCGGAAGTTCAGAAGGGACTTGCAGCGCGCGAAAAGCTAGTCGAGATGCTGCGCAGCGCTAGTCGGGATGTTAACGGACAGGAAAAAGAGCATTTTTCAGGCCTGTTAAAGAAAGCGGGTATGCATGCCCAAGCAGAGGCGCTGCAGCGAATTGAAGATAAGCAGCGCATCGCCCAACTCCTCAACGCAGCTGGAGACGCGGTGGCCGAAAAGCTAGTGCACGACCGAGAGCGCTTTGCGGAACTGCTGCGTGCTGACAGTGACCAGGATCTTGAACTCGACGATGCGCCTGTGGCCGGTGAGGAAGATGAGGAAGGCGCTGACGCAACGACTACAAATACTCCGAAATCGCGCACTTCGTTCACCAAAAGAGCATCTGCGATGTTGCTTGCACCGCAGAGAGCTTCGAGTCACGAACGATTCCAGGCGCTCCTGACCGAGTCGGGGCGCGCAGCGGCGGAAGCAAAGCTCGAAGAACACGAACGGCGTGTGGAACTCCTCAAGGAGGCTGGCGAGCGCGGACAGAGCGAGGACGCAGAAAAGGCAGCGGCTGGCGCCTATCTAGGCTCAAGTGCATCTCGAAAGAGCGCCGCCGCCGCCTACCTTTTGACTCCAGAGGGCCAGGCGGAAGCTGCGAAACGGCGAAAAGAGAATGACGAACTAGCGGACGTTCTGTTAGATGCGGGTCTGGTTGCTTCGGCCGAGGCTTTGCGCAAAATGCACGACGGGCCGGGACGAACCCAATTATTGCTGGAGTCTGCGGCTGCCGAAGAGAAGCGCGTAGGCGAAGAGCGTTTACAGCTGCACGAGATAGCGCGCATAGCGATCGCGGATGAGCACGAGCACAACAGAGCACACGCGGAAGACGAGGAGCGGCGCCAGATCGAGGAACGGGACACGGCGGTGAGACTCTTGAAAAAAGCTGGCATGCATAAAGAGGCAGAGGCGGTAAAAGCGATGACAATTTTGCCAGTCCTCGAGGACTCTGCACCAATACCTGCAAAGGCATCTTCCTCAACGAAGCGCGATGAGGCTGCTAAGGAGAATGGGGACGTCGAGGGACCCACGTCTACTTCTCGCGGGCTTGAATCAGGTCCAATGAGAACTCCAGATACGTCCACACCAGCTCCAGCGATCAGCAGAGGGCAAAGCCGTGGGGAGTTCGTCGCGGGGCCTGCTATGACAAATGAGCAGATTGCGCGAATTTTGCACAGTGCCTCGGCAACATTGCGTGCGCATGCAGAGGAAGAAGAGGCGGCGCGAAAAGAGGCAGAGGAAAGCAAGAAGAAGAGTGCGCGGCAGCGACGTTCAGAGCTTACCCAGCTGCGGCTTCTCGAACACGCCGAAGCCTCAAAGGAGTCGGCCGAAAAGAAGTTTGATAAGCTTGAAGACTTCATGAAGTACCCGACTGCAGGAAGCACTAGTGTACTAAGACGGCTAAGCAAGGGTGCCACGGCTGCATCTTCGGGTGCTGAGGGGGAAACGCTTGGAGTCAACGTTGAACCTCATATCGCCCGTGCAGCTTCGTCTTCGTCAAGTGGCAGCTCGTCCAGCGGCAAAGATGACGAAGCGCGCGAGCAAGAGGCAGCACGCGTGGCAGGCGTTCGCGGCAAGTTGGTGCAGGCCTTACTGAAGTCCGCCCACACCGGCGGAGAAGTAGGCACCACTGACATCGATGACCTCATTCGAGAACTCGTACACCATCGACTTGAAAGCAGGACGGGGGATAGAGTGGGTGAAACAGAAGACGCATCAGCGATACATGACTTCGTAGACCCTGCGACTGGGCTATTTCGTGGTGATGCAGACAAAACTGTCATGGCGCAAACTAGTGACGAAGTCCTAGAAATTCTCGATTCTCTTGAGAATGAATTCACAAGTGCAATGGCCGTCAAAAAGCTTGTGCGAGAGCACACAAAGGAACTGCGGGCCGCAGCTGCAAGAGGTACTTAGATTGATCTGGTAAGAGCGTGAAAAATGAATATCATCATCAAAAGACAACAAGTCTAGATGTATATTTGAGATCTTAAAAAAATTATGTTTATAATGGTCGTGCCGATAATGATAATAGTTGTTTTGCTCAATTTCTATGTCTAATTTGATGTTGAAGAATTTGATCGTGAACGTAAACTTTTTCTCCATGATCAATTTTGGATTTCTTCAAATCTCTCTTGATCAGATGTGCGCGTAAAGAAGCTTGTATCCAGCATAGTGAAAGACGCAGCGACTACTCCAGAGAAAGCAGGCGGCATTGAGTGGAACGCAGCGACAGCCGAGGAAGTAACCACTGCACTGGGCCACGGCTTGAGGTTGCTGCGGATGAAAATCTACACTCTAAGCCGCTGGGATCAGGAGCTGAAACAGAAAACAGAGATGACCCAAAATATTTCCCAGATTCAACAGGCTATCAAGAGTCGCGCTTCAGCAATGTCAAGCAGCGTCCTCCCGTCAGCAGCATTGTACCAGCAGCGGCTTAGTGCGGCTAGTGGTATCCCGACTGCTGGAGGAAATAGTTTGAGGGCATCTTCGTCAACATCGTTATTAGCCGGAGGAGTCGGTGGAGGTCCTAGAGCAGCACTAGGTAGTGATGCACGTGTGGTACAAAATGCCGGTGGTCAGGAACTACGTAGACCTCGGTCAGGCGGTTTGGCTCCCTCAAGTGGAGGCGGAGCAAGTCCCTATGGAGGAACCAGCGTCGGCATTGTGTCCCGCTCTAGCTCACGAGGCAGCGCCCAAGGTTCGCCCTCAATACGAGCTTCGAGAAATGTGGCTCAAATACAGGGAGTTCGCGCAACTATCGTCGTGGATCCGGCGACAAGGCAGAGCATCGCTGTCGCATCAACAAGTTCCGCTGTGACGACTTCCACTGGAAGCGTGGTGAAGCCGAGCATAGGTGCCTCACCCAAAGCGGTCGGTAGAGGCGTTAGCCTAGCCGCTGCAGGAGTTACGACTGCATCTAGTACAGCTGGAAGTAGCAGACCGGGCACTTCTCTTACGGGTCCGACATCCCGAACATCGACACCAGTTGCCGCAACGGCTTCCCCATCATCCTCGACAGCTGCTAGCCGGCCGGCAAGACCTATTGTGTTGAATAATGCTACGACGGCGTCTTCCTCTTCACCGACACCATCGATGGCTGCGCGCTTTGCGAAGGCAGCTGCCCCTCCTGCAACCACAGCCCCATCATCCTCCCCATCAAAAACTACAAAACTTACACCCGCAGGCGGATCAGCAGCTGAGTCGTCTCCGTCCTCTCGCTCTGCTGCAAGAGCCACAAGAGCCCCAGCAGCGGGAGTTTCTTCTCCCTCAAGTAGAGTCGGCGGCGCTGCAGCGCGCACTGCGGTTGCAGCCAGGACCATCCCTGTTCGCCCTGGCGCAGCAGGCACAGCCGCCAAAGCTTCCCCAGGACCCTCGTCCTCGGGAGCATCCGCATCGTCGCCCAGTAGGGTAGGAGCTGCGACGTCAAAGGCTCTAGCTGGGGCCAGAGCGACAGCAGGTGCCCGCACAGCTGTTCCCAAATTTGGCATGAGCCATGCTAAGGCGGCCTCTCCAACGGCTTCACGTTCGCGACTTCCTACGGCTGCGCCGTCTACTGGAACAGGCTCCGGCAAGAGCAGTCCTACCTCGACGGCAAAACAACGGGCGGCAAAGTAATTTTCCTAAGGCTATTCCTGTTATATAACCCTTAGATGGTAGTTGTATCCTATAGATATTACCGCAGTAACAGTATTAATAAAAACGAGTTTCTCGTTGTTGAGTACTCGCCTTACAGCATAAAGTAGTAGCAGCTTCTCCGAAGGTTAGCCATAGCCCTGCCTCTCGACATCAACGAATTACCCTCACAGCTTACCGGTAACACAGTTAGGAGACCCCTTCTTAGAATTATAGCATATCGATGAAAATCATCTTCATCCATTTTTCTGTTTTTCCTTAGTTAACGCATCAAGAGATGGAATTATGTAGGAAAAAAGGATAGCAACATCTTCTTAGCCGTGTCGCCCCTTAGACACCAGCACGCAACATCTAAAGAATACAGGCCAAGGGCAGCGCCTGACGCTGAGGCCGTAATGAAATTAAAACTCGTAGCGCCAGTTCCGAGAACAACGTTAACAAGCCCTAAATCTTCTCCGAGTATTGATAGCAATCAATACATCATAGCACAAAGGAACATCAACTTCTACTTGCTTATGCAGTCATATTTTCTCAGCGGCAGTGTTCAACTCTGAAAGGAGTGTACCTGCACGCACTGGCACTCGCATGGACTCTGATCATCACCATCACTGTAACTACTCGTACTCACATACTTATCATATATTTATAATATATGCTTTACTAACCTCGATAATTTGTTTCCCTGTCATGACAGGTATTTTTCCTTGAGCTTTGCTAAAGAATGAAATGATCCAAAATCGAAGTGAGCTATGGCGTCCACAGTGCTGAGTAGAAGCATTAGGCTCATTGTGTAAGTCTTTACTCGAAGAACTACTAGCACAGCTACTAGAAAGTAGTACTAAGGTGACAATATCAATATTACGGCTACGGCTCGAGTGTTGAAATGACATTGGACGGACGTTAATGGGAGTAGGTAGCTGCTGTACTTCAACAAGAATTTCATGGCCGCGCCGACGTTGACTGTGCAGGAGCAATGAATGATTGGAGGTGGTGGGTGTACTGCATTTGTTGTAGTTGTATGGCACTACAGAAAACGCAAGTTAGGGGACACTGAGATGATATTCGTGTCTTTCGTGTGTGGAGTAAAGTACGGACACAATCACGAGCGAATGATGAAGGCATTTTTCGAACTAGGCTGAGGCAGCTTTGTTACAGGGGGCTCAACTACAACTACAAGTGCTGGAGGTTATTTTAAAGGTGTTCGGGTATGGCTGATGATGATCATCCTGATGATTATCCTCTAGGTTTTATCTGTATCTCGATTGCCTTCTGCTGGTGAACGTGCTTTGTCTTTCTCGGTCATCGCTCGTTGTTCGCAACTATGAGGTCGTTACTCCTCAGCGAGCTACGTTCTTATTCATCTGCTACACAATCTCAATCAACAACAAGCCTAAGCCATGGCGTCTCCTAGTACGAGTCGAGCTCGAGGCAAAAGATCAACCGCACCAGTTGTGCTCATGAACATGATATGACGCCCTATTGCATTAAGTTTTTCGTCAAGAAGGAGAAGAAGGTGTGTGTAGTTGTTGCAATCTGCAAGAAGGTTCGTTCACCTAGGATCATTGGTATTGCATTCGCCGTGCGCTGTTAGTAAAGCTGAGCGCATTGTTCTTTCAACCCTGCTGTACCCTTTTTTCTTTTTGGTTGCATGTGTGTATGTTGAATCAACCATGCTACAAGAACTTGAAGTATAATTTTGGCATGAGACAAGATGCATTTGCATGAAACAATATGCATTCGCTCGACCTTTTGTGCTTGTGCTTGTCTATCTTTTAATTTTATCCATCTCATACTCATCCGTCATTGCTTGTTACATAAAAAAAGTTGCACTCCTGCTAGCTCAACATCTAGTGCATTGAGTGCGCATGCAGAATTTGAATCTGGGTCTGGGTCAGAATGGAAAAGATAAGTAGAAGTCGTTCTTCTATCATTTTTACATCCAGAATAGTCACTATGACAAATTATCACCATCGTTTCTTTTCTCAGCGCCGTCAGCGAGGAAGTCGAATCAAGTACTACAAAGAACAAAAGTGTCAAATCCAAAAGTGGCAGCTACTACACAACAAAACTTACTACAAAGAAAAGCAGTGCAGAGGCGAATCGTCAACTATTATAGTTCTTGGTTCCTCGGCACCATCGGCAAGGAGTAGAACTATGTATAACTAATAAATATATAATTAAATCAATATGAATATGAAGATGAAATTCAGTCTCGCTCGCTTTCGGTACTAGAGGTAGGAATTATCTTCATATAGATTTAGAATTAGATGTATTAGTACTTGGGTCTTATAAAAACGTAGAGGCTGATGTACTAGTTCAATCATATGCATGGTACGTCTAACGTGAATGAGATTTGCTGCGTCGTCAGCATCTGTTTCAGTCGAATAACACGAACAAAGTACCCAACATGCCCTGTGATGTGTGATGCGCTTAGAAGGATCTTTTTTCTGCCATCTTAGCAGGGCATCCAGGATACGAGCCCGTAACTTGCTCGTGCACGGACACAAGAATAAACAGCAGCCGTCGTCGCACATGGAGGTTGGTCTGTTGTCGAAAAAAGCAGCAAGATGCGACGTCAATTTTTCTCGAAGCAACGTCGGGCTGTTGCGACAATATCGGATTATTTTAGGTCGATACCGGTCAAAATGCCCCTGCTGATGTTTTCTGTGTTTCTTGCAGGGACCTCCCCGACCGTCGTACATGCAACAAAAGTAGCAGAAGTGGCGGGAAGAAGATTATTAGCAACGCCAAGAAATAGTAGCACCACCGCGGGCGGGCTTGAACTCAAAAGTGCGCTCAAGAGAGACACAATTCCGCAGAAGTTTACCTCCAGTACCAATACCCCACTCAACGGAGATGAAGAAAAGACCGCTGAGAAAGATTCACCTTACAAGGCGAATGAAAGTATAACGGAGACGCGACGCGACCAGGAACACTTACAACAAGCTAAGAGCTGGCCTGACTTTCCGGACAAGAGTTGCGGTTCAGGAAAATCTGCGTTGAGGGTGCGCTTCTCTAGGTTTCAAAGCGGCAATGACAGATGCCAAAATTCGTCTTGCCTCGACAACCTTGCGAGCGATGAAGATGCTAGTGATCAGCCTGTTCCTTACGAAAAGAGTTTTCAGCTATCTATCACCGTGAGAACAATGAGTCATCTAGAACTAAATACCACCACGCGAGTGATCATGTTTTCCATTTCCGTTTTCTTTACAAATAATTAGCTAAATGCAACATGAATTAGAATTTGTAGATTTTTGAACTTGAAGATTGACACGTACTAGACATTCATCATGAGTGCAACATTCACGCGTAGAACAAAAACTTATTCCCGAATGCGTACGACTTCAAATCATGATGAGCTTGCTCCTGTGATCTTTTCATTCCTTTGCGGAAGTCCATGCGTATGTTTTACCTGCTTTGTCCAGCTCCTCATCCTCGTACTCCTCGGAAGGAGAGGGAAATGAGGACGCTGACAGCGCACACGATGAAGACGAGGGTGACTGCTCCTCCCCAGAGAATCGCGAAGAGTCTGACGAAGATAAAGGAGAATATAGACAGACTCACCTGGGAGCGGAGAATGAAACTCGAGTGCCGTATACTGCCAATGCTGGAACCGGATACACGCAGGAGGTACCTTATTCAACAAAGGATCGGACCTACGGAATCGAAAGCGAGGGCTCTACGTTCCCAGGAGTACTAGAAGATGATGGAAATAATTTAGTCGAGCACGATAATTTCGCAAGTAAGCTGCAACTTCCTCTTTACCCGGCCACAAGTTTCAAAAAGATGCAAGAACAGAGGAGGGAGAACGCCATCGAAGTTGATAAAAGCATGGCTGAGGAGCCAGAACCTGATACAGACATCGATCCTAGTTCTGTTCGCGACGCGGACGCGTTCGAATCGTTTTCGTCACATGATATGTTGGAACCAGTATCAGAACAAGACCGAAAAGAAAGTAATGGCGTCTCGATCTCTGCTTCAATTGAGTTGCAAACGGGAAAACTACAGACGGAGGAAGCCGGAAAGCGAAAACGGAAGTCTTCTAGAAAGAAAGGCAGAACGATGGATATCACTAGTCACAAAGAGCAAGTTGCGCAGACGCTGGAGGCGGCGAAAGGTAAGAGATTCGCGACTGCTGCTTTGGAAGGAACTCAGCCAATAGTTATTGCTTCTCGACAAGAAAAGGACCCGAGGGGTTCCGCGGACACGGCACACTCAGAGAAAAAGGGTAATAACTCGTCGCTCGAGAATGCGCGAAACGAAAAACGCGATAAATTTGTTGAGATGACTCTTACTCAAGAACAAGATCAGGGTTTTAATAGTAAATCAAAGGGTGGACAAGGACATCGAAACCCAATTTTCCGGAAAGGGGGAGCTGCCGCTGGATCAAAACGACCCGAATTGAGCAAAAAGTCGCCACGTTCTCCGAACAACAGGACGCACACGCACAGCGGCGCTGAAGATGATGAAGGTGATGCAGCGTTTTCAGAGGTTCTACGCGCACATGTGATTAGCGCCGAGGACGAAACGCTTTTTCGTTGTCTGTTCCGAACAAGTCGAGAGCTCACTAGTAGCACGTGCTCAGCGGTGCACTCTTTGGCAGAGAATTGGTTAACACTTTGTGCAGCGCCGGCCAAGTTTCTACAAGAGAACATAGCTGATGAGGGCGATAACTTGGCAGATGCAGGTGCTCAATTAGCGTGGAGCTTCCGCTTCGGCCGAGCTGGGGAACTGTGGAGAAAAACAGTGGCCAGGAGAAGTCATCCTGATCCTAAAACAAGTCGCTTCGACGTTACATGCAAAATAGACGACGCAGAAAGAGCCGCGGGGAGTGCATTAGAAATGACAAAAGCAGAGGAGTCAATAGATGACGACATTTGTTCCGTATCTAGCAACACTACCGGCCGCCGTACACCGAATGGATCGATGCCTGCAGATTCCGTGGAGCCTTCAGCGCGAGGCTCCCCTGCAGCAACAAAAAGCGACGACTCGACCCCCAGGGTCAACAAAAACTCAAGTCCCGTTAAATCCACCATGGCGCGTAAGCGGGAAAGGCGATTGCAACAGCGCGGCAGTCAGATGTCAAACAAAGATGTCACAGATTATGAGGCGATTGAGTAAATGACATCATCGGCAATACCCCGTATTTCTATCTCCTATACATAGTACTCCTGTAGGCGTATAATTTGCGTGCTAATGTTCGAGAAAGTCATCGAATTAATGAACAATTTGGAGATGGTGGCGTTTGGTTTTCGACCTACTAGACCCTCTTCATTGCAAAGCACAGGAAGCAGATGCAGCGTTGATACGTCGTTACGGCGATCGTTGTGGTTTCATGGCGGGTATTCTCTGGCTCCTTCTGGCTGCGGCCGCTTCGTTCGGAGTTGGCAACCTTGGCCCTCCGGGAACTGGGGGTGGCCTTGCGGATGTGACGCAAGCTAATGTCCAAAAGTGGGCGCGTTTGCTATTGTTAAGGCTTTCGATAGCGATACTGACTCATCGTCGACACAGATTACTTAGAGGCTTCTCTAGTACTTTCGCTGACAACAAGAAATACGGACTCATCCTAACGACTTTGAGATCTCTAATCCTAGGTATGGGAGATACCGATGACAGTCATGGCGTGGGCAGCCCTTTGCCATTGTCGTCTGCAACGGCGTATCACTTTCGATATTTGCCTGATTTTCTTCCCGCTTATCCCGCGGAAGAATACACAGCTGCTCTGAAACTATTGTCATCTACCTCTTCGGCTAGAAATAACATGATCACGTTTTTCCCGCCGAAAAACCTGCATGCTGAGCAGGATAAAGTGGAAGAGAAACAGCAAGGCGATGATGAGAACAACCCTGTTGTCGTTGATGTCAACGAAATAAGACAGAAATCATTCAGAATCGTTGAAGCTGACGTGAACGCAGCTCACGATGGGCTGTCTGGCGTCCAGCAGGAGGATCTCGCTCGCCGATTTCGGGCGCTTAGCACATCAGATAACGGAGAGGCTGACACAAGTGCCACTGCTGCATCCGGTAATGACGAAATAGAAATAAGGAATCTGACCGTTACATCTATGATAAGCAAAAGCCTTGACATTGACACGCAGCAACAACCGCCTGCGTGGATGACTCATCCTGACGTTCCAAGCCAAGGACGAGGTGGGAGTGCGAATTCAGATGAAGCAAAGACATCGGGTCTGTCGCTGTCGCAGCCTGCTCATCTTCAAGCAGATGCTAAGGAAAAAGTTCCGTCGACTAGCACACAACAGAATGAACTGCTTACTGTGGAGGATGAGGAACATCAACATCTACTTCATGGAAATAAAGAAGATTCAACTACAGTAGACTCAGACTCAGCATCTTGCCAGTTTCCAGCTCCGCCTGCTGTTGGGATGATTGAAAAGTCGATCCTTCTGTCAAATGAGAGGTGGCAAACACGTGACGACATTCCTGCAGATATTCTTCCTTTCGTCCGCAGAGCAAAAGACTGGGGCTTGCATTCTCCCTTTTGGTCTGTCAGCCCGCCCCAGTGCGAAATAGAGGACCCTAAAACCGTGGATATTGGTACTAATCAGATGACGATGAAAGACAAACTGAGGTATAGTACAGTTTTAGTTTTTCGTTCTTGTTGCTCGTTCTTGCACTTGTTATAGTTATAGTTATTCTAAGATTAATTTTGATAAATACCGTTGCTACAACGACGTCTCGAAGTGGTCGTATCATCTCGATCATCATGTCTTGTCCTCTTTATCGTCGTGTCGACCGGATCTATTGTGCTGTTTGTTCGATTACTACTTTCTCTTTCTAGTTCTGGTACTGGTATCAAAATCACGGCAGGCTAAATAGAAATGGTGACTTCACATTCTAATTCTGTTGCAAAAGTTACTAAATACAAGTCAAAATCAACATCAACAACCCAACTAATCTATTTCCACAGAGGACAGCGACATGATCCTGGTGGCAGCTTCCGGCAAACGGCGTTCTCCCTGGGTTGGACTCTTTTCGACTGCGAACCTGTTCGACAAGTCGTTGATGTTGACGCAAAATGGATATGAGCATGTGGTAGCTGTTCATCCGACTGCTGACCGGATGCTGCCTTTGTTTGTTCTTGACACGGATGTGCCGACGTGCGCTCCAAAAAAACCAGAAAGTGGCCTTCTAGATAGTGTGGAAACGTGCAGTAAAGCTCTACGCGTGGAAACAAGCGATGATCTAGAAGCAAAGTGGCGGATCAGGTATCCACACTTTTACGAAGGTACTACGCAGACGGTACAGCCACAACACTTTGCGGAGGATTGGGTGGACTTTGCCCATCGACGAATCATGTCGCTAGCACGTCAAATGAAAGTGGCTGAGGCTGAACCAAAGGCTGAAGGGGAAAGAAAACTGGAGGAAGCATCGGCTGGTAGAGGTGAGCCGGAAGTTGGACCATCTGCGTTAGAAGTTGCACCCGTTTCTCCTGAACAAGCCGGAGGAGATGTAGGCGTGCGCATTAAGGACTCCTCTTCGTGTGCTCGAAGGTCGAGTAAGACGCATCAAGAACTGACAACATCCTGCTCCTTTGAAGAGATTCTCGCACGCCGCACCAAACAACCACTGCTGGGTCTTTCGGAAGTGCAAGTGTTGCGGATACTCGTTCAAGTAAATCTAGAGGCAGTGACGTGGGGTTTTCTTGGGACATTGGATGGTGACATTCAAATACTCGATGCTCGCGACGAACAGACATTGCTTCGCGAGTCGTATCTGATTCCAGACAGACGCCCTGCGCGAGCGGAGCTACTGTCGTACCTTCGAATCACAGACGATAGCACCTCCGGCTTCACCACGCAGTCCCTATGCATAACCGAACACTTGTCAATACTAATACAGATACATACATTTACATACTTATATTATAATAGAACATTGTATGAGCATGTCGTTGTATTAGCAGCTGGATTAAATGAATTATATCATTTTTTAATACGCTGTGCCTGCTCCCCTGCGAGGAACAGGTCCGCAAGATTTAGTAACCTGCCGAGCAGCTCACGAAACGAGTTACATATTTGTGCAGGTTCTCTTCCAGCGCTCAATAAGTTCATTTTTCATTCAATTTAACATTTAAATAATGAACATCGTAAACAACACAAGAAGACGCATGATTCTATGTATTTGTATTTCGAGCTTCCTTCGGCGAACCGCTAATGTGGGAAGATGCGAACGTCGCCATTGGATCAACGACTCCTACTGAGGTAGTAGAGGCGCTCTGTCAGAGGCAGTTTGAGCGTTGGGAAAAATTGGAACCGGGCATTGCTGGCACTAAAGAAGATTTTACAAAGCAGCTGTCAGATGCCCATTCCCGTTGTTTACACGACGCACGCCGTGTTCTTCAGGTCGGCCTCAACCCGCATAATTATGCTGGTGTGCTACTTCTACTTGAAAAAGAGAAAACACTTACTTTACTAGGTCTTGTAGGACTAGGCGGACGACAGCGGTAGCATAGGGGTTAGAACTGGGTAGCAGCTATTCCATTTCTTACAGCATCTTCCTGCGGTCGTTTTCTATTCGAAAACAACCAAGAAAAATCGCTTGCGCCAAGGAGGAAGCGGATTCTTCTTCTCCTTCTTGGTATGTCGCTTTAAGTAAAACTAAAAGTGGATACGAGCTCGCCAGAGTATAGCGTTCCTCAGCGCGAAGATTTCGAGAAGCATATACGCACCGTTGTGCAAACCAACGTTAATATGGGACCGTGGTCTTGGCGAAACTGGTTCGAGGACCGCAGGGACGCAGTGCTCAATGCTCTCTTCGGTCCTTCAGTTAAAGAACGCGCAGAGGTATTGTCGAGGATTGTCGGCGATCCTCATCCTGCGAAAGAGGGTGGAAGTAGTGCCGGAGGGATCATGTCAGGAATATTCGGCACCACCCGCACTAGCAGCTCGGTTCTCGAAGGTCCCGGATCAAAAAACTACCTTACAGGGATAGATGAAGTAGTTCCAGACAGCAAGCATCTGCATAGTCCACATCTTAAAAATGGCCGCAACTTTCGTCACGACCGCGAGCATTCTAGTATATTGCGTTTATCGTCCAAGGAGTTACGTATGCGCTATGGAACCGACGATAGGGCTCTGCTCTCCTGGTGGATGTTTTTCCCGGTCGGTCCAGAAGCTCCGAAGACTTCCGCTAGTCCGTTGCTACAGGGCTATCTCGATAAGAATGGACTACAAGTTGTTGAACAAGCTCCAACGCGACCAGAAAGTGAAGCAACGCAATCAGATGAAAGTGGGACTCGTCCAGCAGAAGAGGTAATAGCTGACCATGATCAAGGAGCAAACGTAGACAGATCTTTGACAGTAATCCAGGCTATCAACTGGCCAACTGCCTACTACCAGACCGAAGCAGTCAGCTGGATAGACGTTTTAAGACGGGGCTAGCGTTATTTCTTTAATTGAAATTGGGTAGAGCCTGCTCGTGCCTAATCCTCATGATAGTAGAAAAAGAAAATCCAAGGGCATAAAAGATATAGGGAAAGTACATAAGCAGAGCGTCCCTGAGTAATCTAGAAACACTAGTAGAACAGGGGAATGGACTGCATGCTAGGAGTCGAAGTTACAAAATGCTCTAAGCGTGAGGGACTGCCTGGAAAACGCGAAGTATCCACTTCTTTCTACAGCAATAGAAGTAGTCGATCCAGAAGAATGCACTCAAGTCTATACAGGAGGTCTTATAGAGGATGAGGTCATTGAAGGCGGCGTGAAGAGTTCAGGTGAAGGTGTCGGAGTCGCGGGAAAAAAGCCTGTCGCTGACGACATCGATAAGGTTAACACGCCAGGAACAAAGGGGAAGGCAGGGAGTAGCAAGCAAGGCAACACGGCAAAGAAGCCGTCCGTGGAGGAAGATGATGTTGAACAGAGAAAATTGCAGGTGCGGACCATTTTTAAGGTTCCTGTCCGAGACACACCAAGTGTGAGAGGAGCAGATGTTGATGTCGAAAGTGCAAAAAATACAGTGAAGACGCCAAATGCAAATGGAAAGCACGCAGCAGGGGCAGAAGAACAAGAAGAAGATTCCTGGATGAAGGACGATGTGCATCATGCGGGAAGCATGCGCATGGAGCATAGTACAAGAAAAGTGGTGGCCGCCGCTGAGGATGTCCTTGCAGATGCGCTGAGCAGCCTGAGCCTTTCGAGATGGACTGACTCGCGTAACTGGCACGACGCGTCGTCTCCGGGTGGTCTGCCTAGACGAAAGTCGTCATCATCTACTGTTTTTGAAGCTGATAAAGATGATAAAGTAGAAGATCAAAAGACGAAGACAGGGACACCTTCATCAGCAAATACTAAACTAAATGGATTGGGAGGCCTCCGTAAAAGTCGCTGGGACGGCGCAGTAAACTATGACGAGTTCAGTTCTCGCGTCTTTCAAGAGGCGGTAGCTGCAAAAGACGCAGCTCACCTGATCGCTGGAGGTATGGCGGCAAAAGCGACGCCTTCTTCTACCTTAAGGGTCCTCACGATCAACTTGATTCAACATCGTTCCTGGTTTGTTTATTCAGGAGGCTTGCATTTGCTCCTTGTCTTTGATTAATTGAAATCAGTAGTCTCCCTTCCTCCATCTCCATGCCTATGATGATGTGTGTGGAGCCAACTTTGCATTCTGTTTGTTAAACAAATTGAAGTTTGAAAAGGAGAATATCAACAACCTTCGAATCGCAGTCGTGGTTGGCATATCTACAACAGCTAGGTCTAGAGTGCTAGCCTGGTTCTAAATTCCAGTAGGCCGAAACTTTCACGAGAACAGAACGACCTCCTTCGAGACATTAATGTAGCGCACAGTGAGCAAGCGGCGGCTGCGGCCCTCAAAAAGCAAAGAGAAGCGCCGCATCAAGCAAACGTCAACCGGTTTTCGAAAATGGCGACTTTTGCGAAGAACAACGATTTGGATACAAGCTCATTCTTATGGCCTCATGAAATAGACATGAACACTGTGGAACAAGACATCATCAGAATAGAGGCAATCCATTATACTCACGATATTAAGAAATGGAGCCTTGTCCTAGACCGACGATTCCCGTCTGAGGCAGTTGCGAAGAGGCGTGCAAGCGCTTTCTGTCAGTAGTTCTTCTAATCCTTCTCGAATCCGAAAGGGAGATTATGTCAACGAGCGAAAACCCCGCGATTCCAGGCGTGCGGGGCAGTCCACAGCGCCACACAGGACCCCGGAACCCTCTGAATCAAATTGCATGCTTGCACGGTGAGCCGCGGCTTCGAGAGTTTCTCTTCGGGAAATCAGTAGACCAATAATACGGCATCTTCATCGATTCTTCAGTCAATATCTATCTTTTCTCTCCGTGGTCATTCTTATTTTGCTTTTCATGAACAATACTGCTAGGACTGCAAAAGCAAATAAAGCACCTAGGTCGGCATCTATTAACTTCGACAGTTCTAATGCCACGTTGTTGCGAGGCTGAAGAATAGGGACTTTAGTGGGAACGATCTTCGAGGGTCGTTTCCAGCAGCGGACGTGAAGCGGGCTGTAGACTCGGCTAGTGACGACTTTTTTCACCCGATACCACCCAGATCGAATGGCCGGCCATCTACATCGTCGTCTGCGAAGAAAATTCCCAGTAAAAAAGGAGCGTGTAACATAGACATCAGGCAGCATCCGCTGCTGTCGTTGACGTCTTCTGAACAGCGGGTGGAAGTTGAAGGAAAACTTGTTTCGAACTACTATCACGAGAAAATCAGGCAGCTGGAAGCCGTCTCGAGGAATCACTTCGACTACGTCGAGCTCATTCGCGGATCGCTTGCTTCTTCTATGATGATAGCAACATATTTATCTTTCACTTTGTGTAATTATAATCTTAGCAAGGTTGTCAAACTTGAGGCCTGTACGTAGTAGTCACAGTATCAGTATCATGCTCTTCTTCTAATTTGTCGACCGAGTCCTCCCCTTCTTCCTCATCTGAAATGAAGGGCGTGGAGCGTGTGGTAACACGCGGCGCGCGCTCAAATGAAGATAAGAAGAGCACAGCTTCCTCTGCTGGTCTTTCAGAGGCAAGGAGGACCATTATGAAAATCTTAGATGGGGACCTGGCTGGGTTTTTCGGCGAGGACATCAACCTACACAACGCAGAGCAGAATATCCTTGGAACTTCAGTCAGCCGGGCAAAGAAGTCCACCTCTACCTCATCTGATGAAAAACATGCTAGTACTGGCAAAGACGATGCTCGATTTAACATGCAAATATTGGCAGAGACGCTCCAGGGATCCAGGCAGCACGGTGGAGCAACTGTGTCTGTGATGGAGCTGGCCGACAAAGAGATCTTGTTTCAGAAGAATTTCGCTCGTTCACACCTGACCTCAACCGTGATTGATCCATCCAGGGCAATGGTGGATTCTCTGTTGAGTATTTTCCCGCCCATGTCGGTGGAAGCCCACAGTGTGCTTTCCGCGGCCCTCAACGCGCCTGAGATTAGACAACGACTGAGATCGGGTCTACTGAGCCTCGCGAATTACTGGATGGAGCCTGAGGTCGCTCGCGTAGTCCTTGCAGCAGCACTCGAGGGATGTTGTAGCGGTTTGCGTATGAAACAAGCTGCTGATGGTGACCAAGACCAGGCACCTCCTACTTCTCAAAGACAGGAAGACGAAGACGGCGAGGGACGACAGAGCAGGCGTCCTGCATCTTCATCCAACACAGGTGAGACGTCCACGTCCTCCGATGCAACGGGTAAAGGTAAGGGAAAAGGCATGACCTTAATGCAACAAGTGGAATCACGTTTGATTGAACTGTTCGGAAGCGAAAAGGGAGACGGTCGCTTCGAACTCGAAGAGCAAGAAGTAGTAGTAGAGGACCAAAGGAAGAATGATCAAGCAGGAGGAACATCAATTGGCTCTTTTAGACGTTTTATTCCGGAGAGTCGAGCTCCGTTCGCAGGGATTCGGGTTCTCGATGCTCATATGCCACCTGTGCAACCATCTCCATCAGCGGACATGACCATGAACATTCATTACCGAGCTGGAGGCGTGCTGGTTCCCGATTACATAGCAGGCACATCGACACTTTGGCCATCAAAGAGGGACTTTTATTCTCATCCAGCGGCTGCTGGTGCTGCAAGTAGCGGAAGTGGATCCACTACATCGGGAGCAGCCAGCGGTGGACACGGTGGGGAGTTTCCTGTAAACGCCAATGGTGTTGCGGACAGGAGCAAAGCAGCCAACACTTTCCAGGACGACGCTGAGAAAAAGAAGGAATCTAAGGAGAAGAAAAGTGTCGCGGAGACGAAGAGGCTGGAAGAAGCGCAAGCAGGGCATATGGAGGATGTCCCACCTCTTCTGGAGGTCGCCTACCATCGTCTGCATGAGACGAAGGCTGGTGAGGCGCTTGCCGTCGAGATTCTGAACCACGATGATCTTGTGGAGTCCGCCATTTTAGATCTCTTCTCTCTTCTCCGTCCCCCAGACGCGCAAAATGAGGGTGGTATTGATCATTAATCAGATTATGACATAAGTACTTAATCATAATCACGATTCGAATGGCGTTTTGTAAATGGTGATGAAGGTAAAAAAGGCGTGGTGCTTTGTTCGATATCCAAGCTACTCCTCCTGCTATCTCCCATGTCACATTTCCTCCTGCTCCTTGTTGCAGATATTGTACGAGTTATCAATCTGGATACGCTTCTTGAGTTGCGAAAAAGGATCAAGAGGGACAAGATGAAGGAAAAGAACACAAGCGGCGCAGCTGCGGGGAAAACCCAGGAGCAGGTTGCAGAAGCTGATGGGCACAGCGCCAGCGAGGTACGCCTCGAAGCAATCGCGGGCCTCGCCAAAGCCCTGGCAGCGTATTTTGAGGGTTGCAATGCTTCGTGGAGCAAAAGGATTAACAAGGTACTCTCTCAAACGTCCGGTCGTAATTGCCGCGGAGAGGTAGAACAGAATCATGAAGCGCAAGCCCATCAACTGCGTCGTGATCACCAACAAGGTAGCTTTACAAAGGCAGAAGTAGAGGATGGTGAAATATTGTTGAACGTGAGCAGCTCAACCCCGCTCTCGGGTTCCGCTAACCTATTGCAACAGATAGAAAGCATCCGGCGGCGAGTGAAGTTGCTTGAAGCTCTGCTGGGTGCAGAGGCCGCTGCAAGTGCATTTCATGAAGGCTTTGCCGCTGTTCGCGACTCACGTGACGCTCTAGCTGCTGCAGCGGATCTTTTGATCCTGGAAGACGTAAAAGAAGAACAAAAGCGCAAGAATGCTGTGCAGTCATTTTTGTCCTCTGGTTTGTCAGCCCTTTCTGCATTCGGACAACACGTAAGGGGAGCAGGCGCTCCAGTTCTAGAAGCAATCAAGAGGAACGAAAATTCCGGAAAAAATGGAGGGGGAAAGGTGCGGACTGTCTTGTCTCCGGCGGTCGAGGCCGCCATATTTTTGGGCGTGGTCGTGCCGCACATGCGCGCATCAATGAACGTCGTGGATAACAGGAGCAAACACAACGATGCGCACGCGGAAAAAGACAAAGGTAATTCACAGAGTCGTAATTATAGAGAACAAGAGCAAGACGGGACAGCGGCAGGTGCACAACGACATAGGCGGAGGCTCGTTGTCAATCCTAAGATGCTAGATGGAACCGCCTTGGCAGACACCTTAGTTTACGTCTTTGAACGGACAGTGCAAATGCCAAAAAGCGGAATGTGGACACGATTCTTCTCTCAGATCGTACAGAGAGAACTAGCATCGGCATCTGGCTCAGGAGCCCAACTACCTGAACAAGATGAAAGCGAAAAGAAGACACGAGGAGCACATGACAAGGCAGGTCAAGAACTGAAGGGTGCAGGTTCTTTAGCCTCTATGGATCCTGAAGAATTTCTCCAAATGACCTCGAAAGCATCTGCTTCAGCAAGTGGAGCGTTGCGTCGGCTGCGACAAAGTAGACTAAAGAGAGTCAACATGCTAGGCGAAATCAGGAATAGCATAGCGAAGGAAGTAGAGGACCTCGCAAAGGCCGAAGGTCGTGAGGGAGACGGACTATCATCTTCGAGTTCAAATCCAAGAACTTCCGTTAGAGCGTCCTCTTTGCGAATCCTGGATGAAGTACGAGCGACAGAAACGCAACGCATGCATTTCATCGACAGTGTCGATGCTTTCTTAACCATGGCTCGCACTGTCGCGCAATCACGACGACAAATGGGCACCACTTATGGAGAAAAAATTACCGAAATCCACCAAATCGATGAATCGTAGACAAATCATCTCGGAAAAATCATCCATGAAAGTGTTCAATTTCGTCCTTCTATGTCTTCCTCTTGTTTAACCACATTTTGCAGTATATACATTATAATATAGTCATCAAGATCTACATCTGGGTTACAACCTTAAAATATATTTATATATAATATAAATATATATGATATTATAGTAAGGAGAAGAAAAATCTGTTCTAAGCTATGGTGGAGCTTTTCGCGCTTTTTGACTCCGTTGCGTATGAGGAAAAGATACTGTTGGAAGAGCAACATCGCGTGGTATTATCAAAAATTGCTTCTTCGGGTCCGGAGACAAGTAACGTCAAGATTCAGGACACGGCAGAAGTAGGTGCCCACGATGAAGCTGGAACAAACACGAAGGGTCTCGTGCAAAAAAAAAAGTCAGGAGTAAAAGTCGTCACGAGATCTCTGGCCTACGAGTCAGTTTTCTTGGACGGAAAAAAAGGCGATGAGAATCTTCAAAAAGATCAGAATGACCAGAAGGCTCAGGGCCAAGAGACTCTTGGAAGTAGCAAGCGTGAGGAAGTATTCGCAATGCGGTGGCAAGGTACACTACGTCACTCGAAGTCCCTTCTGGAGTATGACGCCCGAGCACCGAAAATCCAGTTACTCGACACCCAGACGAAGAGCATATTGCTGAATACCATAGGCGACGGACATCAAAGAAAAGGCAAAGAACAAGAAGCACGACAAGGCTCTACGTCTAGTAAAGATGATGTGGCGATGTCGTATACCAGCGCAGACGAGCAGGGAGATGCTAGTCAGGGCGCAAAGCCTTCAGGCTCAGCTTCAGAGACCTCCAGCTCCAAAACGAGTTGCAGGAGCACCGGAAGCGGAATACCCGCCTCTATTGTTCAGCACAAATTTGCCTTTGCAACACCCACAGCGAGACGCGCCCTGGACCGCTACTTTGAGGAGGGAGACTACGCATTTCTGGGTGCTATTTTTGAAACCTGCAATCTGCGTTTGGACCCGGCCATGGGCATGCCACGGCTGTGGTCATTGGTACCTGACGGTCTAGCGTTTCCAGACTTAGACCCGGAGATGCAGATGCAGATCTTTGATTATGCCTGGGATTTCCAGGAGTCGCTTCAATTAGTGGGCTTGGACTACAGGGAGTCGAGATTAAGGTCGATGAAGGAAGAAGGCAAACAAGCTGGGCATGACGCGATGAAGTTAGATGATGCGGAGAAGAAACAAGAAGACCGCGAGAAAGTAGTGATGATTTCTTCCGTGAGTGATGTGAACGCGTTGATCCAAATAGCAGCTCGGCTGACAGAGTATGCCACTGTTCTGTTCGAGGCGCGCGGCGACGCTGCCCTTGGTTATGGCCGCGAGTTCATGGCTTTGCATCTCCGGGACTGGGATGAAGATCGATCTACGTTTGTCCAGAGCATTTTTCCTCAAATGGCCGCGGACGTCCGTCGCATATTCAGGCTCCTTGGATCCCCGATGTGCCTTCGCACGACCTCCTATCACGAGAAAAAAGGCCATGACCAAGAAGATGAAGAAGGTGGCCGTAGCGGTGCTCTTCTTCATGTTACTGCACGACAACAAAGACAAAGACAGAATAAGGAACCACCGAAAACATCTGCTCGAGGATATTCTTCTCGAGACGGAAGCCGAAGCGTGGTCCGCACAGAGAATAAAGGCCAGCATGGCAGGAGCGAAAAAGTTAAAACTTTGCGTATCCGTCGCGCGACAAGGCTTCAGCACGCGTGCCTTCCACAGCATATTTTGAATGGACTTACAGCACAGTGGTTTTCTAAGCCCATAGCAGTACGCCCCAAAGATGTGTGGCTCGTATGGAAGCGCTCTGTCGCCATTGCGCACCATTTTGAGACACAAGTGATGCCAAACTTGATTCTGGATCACGTGACACTGTCTCCGTGGGCAATGCGACAGGTTGAAAGAGCATACACAATGGACGTCGCGATTCTCCAACTGGGTGCAGACTATCTCGCCCCTCAAGATGGACATTCGCTGGACAGCGAGGCTTGGACAAGAAGGATGGCGGGAACCAGTCTTTTAGGCAAACAATTTTTACAACGCATTATTTAGTTTTGATTCAGAAGTCAGTACGGCACATGTTTGTGTTTGTAGTCCCGTGGAGAAGGAGAATCCAAGTTCTCGTTTCAATATTAGCGCTTTATTCTCTAATAACACGAGATCGGGAGTCGTCTCGAATGATCATCTTGCTCTAAAGAGAACAACAACAAATATTTATATACAAACTGGAGACTTAACCTCCGGGGATCCTAAATCTACTGGTGAGTTATACTTTTTAGTGCTGTGGCAGCACGGTAGGCTGGCTCGGCAGACCCAGGTCTTTGCCGGCGCCGGTCGTTGCACCTACGGCCCATAAGTTTGCCACGGAGCGTGGCGGGAGGCCTTTACCTCCCCAGAGAGAGTTGCACACCAACGTCCGGGTGTCGTAACCCCTCTCGCGGCTCGGCCGGTGTTCGTGCACCGTCGCCCTACGAGTCAATCAACCGGCACCCGCGAGGTTTCGGGTGCTCGCTCTTCGCGTCGGACGCTTTGGTCCGGGGCGCTTTGGCCCGGGTGCGCGGCTAATCCCTCGGCAGTAGCAGGCGTTGTCCCCCCGCTGGGGGACAAGGTCACTTTGAACCTCCAGCCCGCGCTGTCGGCCTACTACCGGGGCTTGAGCTCCCGCTCAACCTCTGGTCTCGGTTTGACACGTGCCAGCGGTGAATGGACCGCTCCGAGCCCTTATCCTTTCCTCACCGGCACCTTCCTCCGGAGACCCCGACCAGGCTCCGGCTTCCTGGTGCGGACTTGAGTCGGCGGTCTGAGACTCGCGTCCGCCGTCGAGGGGTTACGGGGACGTGTGCCGGCCTTTGCACAGGTTTGCGTCAGGACCTCCCGCCGGCCAGCGCCCGCGTCGGTGGTGTGCCGGGGCGGCTGCCGCCCTCCACCGCGCTTGTCGCTCCCGTGGGAGGGACGAACTCCCGGAGCGACAGCGACAGCAGGGGCCGGCAGGCGTTCACATAGTTCAGCCAGCCATAGTCGGGCACCAGTGGACTGCTGAACCGTCTGCAGCCGTGGGATGGTGTTGATGAACAGTTTGTGCTTGCCGTGTCTGGTCATGTAGTCCGCCAGGTTCCATTCGGATTTTATGTAGACGTACCACGGTTTGACATTGTTGTCGTACCAGTGATTGACTACGTCTACTGCGGTGTTTGCCACCACCGCGGATTTGCCACTACATTTGATGAAGTTGTAGAGTACTGGCGTGTTGTCGATCAGCACTACGAGGTCGGAGTTGCTGGTCCAACTCGGTAGTTGCTTTGCGGCGAGGCCCACCGCGGCCGCCTCCAGTACCTCTATCCTGGCGGTGGCCCATCGGCCATCCGTTAATGGCTGCATTTGGATGAGGGTCTTCCCGCTGTGGTGGATCATGACGTATCCTAGCGTTGGCTCGCCGTTCGGCCCGCCATCTGTTGACGCGTCCGTGAACAGGAAGCTCAGAGGCTTCACGATTTGTTCTAGCCTGAGTCTGAGCCTGTTCACCTTGTGGACCATCTTCTCGATGGCCGCAGTGGAGCGCAGGAGGGCTCTCCGTTGCCACCGCTGCTTCACCAACTTGTCGAAGGTGGCGTCTTCTGTCCATGCGTAAAGAGATCTCATGATCTCGTTTCCGGCTCTGTTTGCCGCGGACACGGTGATGAAGTTTGCCAGTCCGAGCAGTCGCTGGACCACCTTTTTGTCCAACTGTCCTGTGTTCACTTTCTGCCGGAGCTCGTTTGCGACTTCCGCGACCTGCTGGAGCATGTTGTCTGGCACCACAACATCAATTCCCGTTTTTGGGCTTGTGTCGTAGTGGAGGCCCAGTATGCGCACAATAGGGCTCTTTCTCGAGTCCTGCTGTGCTGTCGCTTTTGTCGCGAGCTCCAGCCCCAGGCAGTCGCAGAGAGCTTCGTATGCCTCTATTGCCTCATCCGCTCCCTCTTCGAGGCTGAGGATGATGGCGTCGTCGATGTAGATTGGCACTACTGTGTGCCCGAGCGTGGCCATTATTTTCATGACCAGCTCCGCCACTCTACACCAGCTGCTGACGCTGAACTTGTTCCCCATGTTCAGTATCGCCGCGAGGAACATGCGGTAGCGCCCCTGGGTGTCGTCCCAGACTCCAACCGGGTTTTCCTCCGGGTGTTTTACCCCTACCTGGTAGTAGGCCTTGCTCCAGTCTCGGAGTGCGATGCAAGGCTTTCTACCTGCCGGGCGGGTCTTCATCCTCTCCTCGTTGAGGAGCCTCACCTGCTCGCCGAGTTGGCGGTGCTCGTCGGTGGTTGTGGCTTCGCTTGCGCTTGTTTTTGCGCGGAAGTCTGCGACCTCTTTAGCCACCTGGCCGCAGATATCCGTGGTGAACTGTGTCACCGGTGCGTGGAGGGTGAGGCCCTCTGCGCCTGCAGGCGCCATGTAGCTTTTTACAATCTCCAGGACCGTTCGCGTCCCGTGGAGCCTCACCTTTTCCGACATTTTTGAGAAGTCGTTTTTCCACCGCTCGTCGATTATCACGCGAACCTTCTCTGGTTCGACCTTTGGGAAGGCGTACGCCGGCATGACCTTGAGGTCCTCTGGATTGATCTCTTTGTATCTGCCCAGCTGGACGTCTGCCTCAATGTTTTTGAGGACTTGCCGAAGGGCTTCCTCTGGGAAACCCTTCGGAGGCGCATCCCGGATTTTTACCGCGGTGCTATAGAATTCTTTGAGGTCCTTTGCCTCCGCGGCATTGACGTCTGCCTTCCAAAGGCCAGTACTCTTGTACTCCCCTATTGTTTGAAATCCATGGAGGATGTCGTCCGGTAGCGACGTGTCCGGATGGCCCGTCAATGCGATGAGTTTTCTCATTGCGATGACGTTCCTTGTTTTGGTTGTCTGTAGCACCCTTTTTAGGTGCTCTGGCGCCGTAGCGTTTATCAAGTCTGCATTTGCTTGCTCCGTCTGCGTCTTCAGACGTCTGAACAAGGCGGTGGCTTGTTTTCTTCGTTTGGCTACCGCTGCCGGCTGTAGCTTCTCGGCAGCTATCAGTTGTTCCCACTCGAGTGGTAGCTTTTGGCCGTAGGTCTCGAAGTGTAGTTGTGCTCGGACCCGATTGACGAAGTTGCAGACCGCGTCATGGAGCTCGCGGCGGTCGTTGCCGTGCTCCATTTCTGCTTGGCTGACGTGTAGTGGCGTGGCAGTCGTCATTTTTTGTGACTAGGCTTGGTTGGCCCCTGGGAGGATTTTTTGTCGACTGTCGTCCAGGAACCTTCCAGAGAGCGTATCTTTTCTCTCACCTAAGTTAACTCACCAGTTAGTATAATCACTTCCCCCGCAAGCTCCTCCAGTGCATATACAAACTGGAGACTTAACCCCCGGGGATCCTAAATCTACTGGTGAGTTATACTTTTTAGTGCTGTGGCAGCACGGTAGGCTGGCTCGGCAGACCCAGGTCTTTGCCGGCGCCGGTCGTTGCACCTACGGCCCATAAATTTGCCACGGAGCGTGGCGGGAGGCCTTTACCTCCCCAGAGAGAGTTGCACACCAACGTCCGGGTGTCGTAACCCCTCTCGCGGCTCGGCCGGTGTTCGTGCACCGTCGCCCTACGAGTCAATCAACCGGCACCCGCGAGGTTTCGGGTGCTCGCTCTTCGCGTCGGACGCTTTGGTCCGGGGCGCTTTGGCCCGGGTGCGCGGCTAATCCCTCGGCAGTAGCAGGCGTTGTCCCCCCGCTGGGGGACAAGGTCACTTTGAACCTCCAGCCCGCGCTGTCGGCCTACTACCGGGGCTTGAGCTCCCGCTCAACCTCTGGTCTCGGTTTGACACGTGCCAGCGGTGAATGGACCGCTCCGAGCCCTTATCCTTTCCTCACCGGCACCTTCCTCCGGAGACCCCGACCAGGCTCCGGCTTCCTGGTGCGGACTTGAGTCGGCGGTCTGAGACTCGCGTCCGCCGTCGAGGGGTTACGGGGACGTGTGCCGGCCTTTGCACAGGTTTGCGTCAGGACCTCCCGCCGGCCAGCGCCCGCGTCGGTGGTGTGCCGGGGCGGCTGCCGCCCTCCACCGCGCTTGTCGCTCCCGTGGGAGGGACGAACTCCCGGAGCGACAGCGACAGCAGGGGCCGGCAGGCGTTCACATAGTTCAGCCAGCCATAGTCGGGCACCAGTGGACTGCTGAACCGTCTGCAGCCGTGGGATGGTGTTGATGAACAGTTTGTGCTTGCCGTGTCTGGTCATGTAGTCCGCCAGGTTCCATTCGGATTTTATGTAGACGTACCACGGTTTGACATTGTTGTCGTACCAGTGATTGACTACGTCTACTGCGGTGTTTGCCACCACCGCGGATTTGCCACTACATTTGATGAAGTTGTAGAGTACTGGCGTGTTGTCGATCAGCACTACGAGGTCGGAGTTGCTGGTCCAACTCGGTAGTTGCTTTGCGGCGAGGCCCACCGCGGCCGCCTCCAGTACCTCTATCCTGGCGGTGGCCCATCGGCCATCCGTTAATGGCTGCATTTGGATGAGGGTCTTCCCGCTGTGGTGGATCATGACGTATCCTAGCGTTGGCTCGCCGTTCGGCCCGCCATCTGTTGACGCGTCCGTGAACAGGAAGCTCAGAGGCTTCACGATTTGTTCTAGCCTGAGTCTGAGCCTGTTCACCTTGTGGACCATCTTCTCGATGGCCGCAGTGGAGCGCAGGAGGGCTCTCCGTTGCCACCGCTGCTTCACCAACTTGTCGAAGGTGGCGTCTTCTGTCCATGCGTAAAGAGATCTCATGATCTCGTTTCCGGCTCTGTTTGCCGCGGACACGGTGATGAAGTTTGCCAGTCCGAGCAGTCGCTGGACCACCTTTTTGTCCAACTGTCCTGTGTTCACTTTCTGCCGGAGCTCGTTTGCGACTTCCGCGACCTGCTGGAGCATGTTGTCTGGCACCACAACATCAATTCCCGTTTTTGGGCTTGTGTCGTAGTGGAGGCCCAGTATGCGCACAATAGGGCTCTTTCTCGAGTCCTGCTGTGCTGTCGCTTTTGTCGCGAGCTCCAGCCCCAGGCAGTCGCAGAGAGCTTCGTATGCCTCTATTGCCTCATCCGCTCCCTCTTCGAGGCTGAGGATGATGGCGTCGTCGATGTAGATTGGCACTACTGTGTGCCCGAGCGTGGCCATTATTTTCATGACCAGCTCCGCCACTCTACACCAGCTGCTGACGCTGAACTTGTTCCCCATGTTCAGTATCGCCGCGAGGAACATGCGGTAGCGCCCCTGGGTGTCGTCCCAGACTCCAACCGGGTTTTCCTCCGGGTGTTTTACCCCTACCTGGTAGTAGGCCTTGCTCCAGTCTCGGAGTGCGATGCAAGGCTTTCTACCTGCCGGGCGGGTCTTCATCCTCTCCTCGTTGAGGAGCCTCACCTGCTCGCCGAGTTGGCGGTGCTCGTCGGTGGTTGTGGCTTCGCTTGCGCTTGTTTTTGCGCGGAAGTCTGCGACCTCTTTAGCCACCTGGCCGCAGATATCCGTGGTGAACTGTGTCACCGGTGCGTGGAGGGTGAGGCCCTCTGCGCCTGCAGGCGCCATGTAGCTTTTTACAATCTCCAGGACCGTTCGCGTCCCGTGGAGCCTCACCTTTTCCGACATTTTTGAGAAGTCGTTTTTCCACCGCTCGTCGATTATCACGCGAACCTTCTCTGGTTCGACCTTTGGGAAGGCGTACGCCGGCATGACCTTGAGGTCCTCTGGATTGATCTCTTTGTATCTGCCCAGCTGGACGTCTGCCTCAATGTTTTTGAGGACTTGCCGAAGGGCTTCCTCTGGGAAACCCTTCGGAGGCGCATCCCGGATTTTTACCGCGGTGCTATAGAATTCTTTGAGGTCCTTTGCCTCCGCGGCATTGACGTCTGCCTTCCAAAGGCCAGTACTCTTGTACTCCCCTATTGTTTGAAATCCATGGAGGATGTCGTCCGGTAGCGACGTGTCCGGATGGCCCGTCAATGCGATGAGTTTTCTCATTGCGATGACGTTCCTTGTTTTGGTTGTCTGTAGCACCCTTTTTAGGTGCTCTGGCGCCGTAGCGTTTATCAAGTCTGCATTTGCTTGCTCCGTCTGCGTCTTAAGACGTCTGAACAAGGCGGTGGCTTGTTTTCTTCGTTTGGCTACCGCTGCCGGCTGTAGCTTCTCGGCAGCTATCAGTTGTTCCCACTCGAGTGGTAGCTTTTGGCCGTAGGTCTCGAAGTGTAGTTGTGCTCGGACCCGATTGACGAAGTTGCAGGCCGCGTCATGGAGCTCGCGGCGGTCGTTGCCGTGCTCCATTTCTGCTTGGCTGACGTGTAGTGGCGTGGCAGTCGTCATTTTTTGTGACTAGGCTTGGTTGGCCCCTGGGAGGATTTTTTGTCGACTGTCGTCCAGGAACCTTCCAGAGAGCGTATCTTTTCTCTCACCTAAGTTAACTCACCAGTTAGTATAATCACTTCCCCCGCAAGCTCCTCCAGTGCATAAATATCTTATCTATTAATATATTAAGTATTAGAATTAGTATGCTTCCATTTCCATCGGAGCGACGCTCACTGTTACCTACTAAATCTTCAAGAAGATAAGCGTAGCGCAGAGTCTACTTCAGCACGCGGCTCAGCAACAGCTAGCACTCCCCCGTCTGTACCGCCTGGCTGGCCCGCGGTCTCAACGGTGCAGATCTGCAACGCGGTTCCCATATGCATCAACCCACGTGTGGAGGTTCACGTTGTCAAAGTCTTGCCACTAACACGGCGATTTCAACACAGATATGGTTTTCATGACTACCTTCAACGTGTTTCTGCGAAAACGAAGACAGAGAGAGGAAATGGTCACAAGGTCAAGGAAAAATCGAACAAGAACAAGCCAACAAAACAAATAAGAAAAGGCGAAACACTGGCGGGACCATCTTCGGGGCAGGGGAAGCATGTGCATCTGGATGACGATTCTGGTGGCAAAAAAGCAAAGGAGGCTCCTGAGTCTAAGTTAAGGCTATTCTTTAACCAAGAACAAAACGTTGAGAGATTCAAAAAACGTAAATGCTTCTCCGACTACATGCTAAAGTATGCTCAGTTGTCTCAGCTGCACTCGTCTTTTTCTTAAAGAGGTGACAGGAGCACTCATCCAGGTCGCGAAGGAGTTTCCATTTTTCAGCCGAGATCTTGATCTTCTTCCAAAATCAATGAAAAATTCTAATTCCAAACACAAAAAAACGATCGTCGAAAAAAAAAGGTGGAGCAGCCGCTGCCGCGTCTACTTCTTCATCAGTTTTTGCAACCCACGCAGGCTGTTTTAGTTGCTTCGCCCGTGAAGAAAACGGACTGCACGTGACTCACGGAGGACAGAAGTTTATAACGCTGCTCAGTTCTGTCAAGCCTCTGGATCTCAACGCGCGTTACGGGAAACCGATATCCAGTTTTGCTGACGATCGGTTTATCGACCTCCTTTTGAAGGAGGTAACATGGAGGTACTAATGATATTAGAATCAAGTAATTATACTGAAGCATAAGGAGCAACACCAACTAAGTACAAAGCGAAAGTTCTTCAGCTTGAGTATCACGGCTCGTCGTTGGTTGTCGCTTGTTGCGTGCTTATTGCTCGTCGTTGCGTGCTTCTTCCTGTCACGAAATACTTGCTTCTCGTCGCTGCGTTCTCGCTTCTCGTCGCTGCGTGCTTGTTATATTTCGATTTTTTTTTTCTCGCGAGGGCCCTTGTTGGAAGCTTGCCTTTGCGATCATGTGGCGCCATCGCCACACGTAAGACCTGCAGCATAATGAGAGGTCATCGTCGCGAGTACTTCAACTTCTATTAACTTATTTTTTGAATAGCGTGGATACGTTCCTTATCCAAGAATGTATCGATATCACCATATCAGGTCATTAAAGCCGAAGCCGATTCGAATTTCATCACGACCTCCACCGCTTGGGTCAAAGTCAAACTCAAAAGATGGCGTGAACTTGCGATTCTTGCGCAGCGTTTTCGGACCAACAGTATTGCGCGAGATCCGTCTCAGATTTAAGGAATTTCTGACGGAAAGCACACTAGGACTAGACATTATCAGTCCTCCTCGAACATCAACAACGTCTCCATCTTCTCTGCGAAGTGCCAGACTCAGTGAAGAAGAAACAACAACAACTGGTGAAAAGCCTGATTCTCAGGAGGATGATGATGAACATCATATGAAGAATGAGAAGGAGATGGAGAACGAGTTTCTTCATAAAAGGACCGGGAAATATGATAGAGGAGGATTGGAACAAGATACGGGTGACGCAAGTGTTCGAGCGATTGAGCGGAGAAAAGCCATCGTCGATGTTTTGCTAAGTCAAGGAGGTCTTCTCAAGGCGCTCGAGCTCGTCGGCTTTCGTCTCGATTCCAGAACTGATCACGACCCTGGTGACCACTCCGAAGAAGAAGATGGCGCTTCTAGGGACAGGGAGGCCGAATCCAATAGCAACCACTTTCTGACTCAGCCGTGGCCAGACACGGGGAATGATGCCTTCCTACCAAGTACATCACAATGATGCACGATGACAACCGCGAACAGACACAACGAGAGCGGAGACCAAGAACTCCTTTGCATTTTAATATGTACCCTCAATACTTAAATAATAGACTTTCTCACAGTTATAAGATGAAGATCACGACGACGACCAGCTAAAATCTCCATAGAAGTAGACACTTAGTTTCACTTAGAGTTATCACGTTACTACTCAAACGACGACTTTCATGGTGTTGGCGACTCCTTTTATTCATCATATTTGACGACTTTTTAGTTTTACTTACGAATATCTTTCTGCTCTTGCATCGATTTTTTCCGTACGCATAGCAAGTTAGTTGTAGGTGTTTCCAATTCCACTATGCTAGTAATTATAATCACAACAAGACAGCACAACGACACTTCATTTATTACATCCAACCACTGATCTCATCTACATCAAAGCACACGGACACGCGCCATGGATTTGCTCAGAACCTTTTAAAATCTCTGGATCACACCGCTGGCATCGGAAGGGCCACTCGCTCCTGCTCTTAGTGGGCAACAAGCATTACGAGCATCGTGCTTCCCCCGTGTTTTGACGGAATGTACGGACAGGATCTTCTATGGCGAGAAATCTTTGGAATGTCTTCTAAAACGTAACATCTTCCGCGACTGACTGAAGGACAAGCCAACTGTTGCTAGTACTTCGATATAAGTCCGTCTTCATTCCCTTTCTTGGATCGTAGTGCGAACAGGGGGGGGGTCGTTGACGTGAGATCTTCTAGACTGAAGCTCTTTCTCTAAATGTAGAAACTTGGAAATAGTTCTTCTTCTTCTTGGTTGTAATCATCCTGCTCATCCACTGGTCGTCCGCCATTCTTTATTAGCTCTTTACTTTTAGCAAGTACACTGTATATGTAGAGTATCTATGTATATGTAGCTTTTGCGTGGAACATTAAGTGACAAACACGTCGTAAGACCACGTCCTCCTAACATCACACCAAGAAAAAAATGGCCACCAGTGACAAATATGATCGTCAAGTGCGTTTGTGGGGCACGAGTGGGCAAGCGGAGGTCGCGAAGGGCCATGTTTTGTGTCTAGGGGGTTCTGCGGTATTATCTGAAGCCGCGAAAAATGTAATTTTACCAGGTGTCGGCAAGGTTACTATCGTGGACGACCAAAAGGTCACCGCTGTGGATCTGCGAACGAATTTCTTTGTGGTGGAGAAACAGCAACAGGATACCAGCATTCTAGGCACTTCGCGGGCAGAAGCGGTGAGGGAAAGCCTTCAGACCTTGAATCCAGATTCAAGCGTCGTTGGAGTTGACGTCGGCAAAAATGGTGGAACCACAAGCGATTGGCTAGAAAGTGAAGCGAGCAGAGTATATTTGTCCAAGGCTGATGCTTCTCTCATTCTCGTTGATGAGCAGCATGTGCCGATTGAGAAAGTGCGACGTGCCTTAGAGCGCTTATCTTCGCCGCCAGTGGTGGTGCGGTGTCTCTCACGAGGTTTCGTAGGATGGGTCAGACTAGAGCAGGTGGCTTCTACGACTAGCGGAAGCGCAAGCACAGCTTCTTCTTCGTCTGGTAGTAGGCCCCATATAGTCATGGACTCGAAACCAGAGGGGCAGGCGTTTGTGCGGCACCAGCTGCGTTTATCAAAGCCGTTTGGTGCTTTGCAGAAGTATGCTTTTGAAGGAGCGTTTTCCGATGTAGAATTCGCTGGAGTAAAAGACTCGGCAGAGCATGCGCACATCCCCTATCCTTAAGGCCAGTCGATCACTATCTGGTGCTGTGATCTAGTATCCTGAGAGGAAAATTCCCGCTTACTGGAGTCATCAAGGGGAAAGAACTAGGAGTCCTTAAACAAAGAAGGCAACAAGTCACTCAGCAATGGATAGTGATTGGGGTCTTGGCGCTAATGGTCAATTATCTTGCTGCATGCCCGCAAACTCTATTCCGAGGGACAGGGTGGGTCTTCTTTGCGAACGCGTGAGGAAAAAGAGGCTTTTAAAAAGTGCATTCTGAGACTAAGGAGGAGTCCGGATGAGCAAAACTTTCAGGAAGCGCTGGACGTAGCTTATCTGATGTACGACACGCCTGCGAGTAGCGCTGTCGTGCCGGAGGATACTCGGGAAGCTCTGGAAGCCCTCGCTGTTGAAAGACTATGATGAAGGGCGACTCTTGTTATTAGAAACTTGGTAATGGTAGTTATATCTTCTAGCAGCCAGGAATGCGTAGAAGTAGTATGACCCATAGTAATCTTCTAATCCTAAGAAACGGCACCAAAGACGACGCAGACTTGCGACTAGCTGCCCAGGCCGTGATGAAGTTCTGTGAGGAAAAAGGCGCTTTGCCCTTACCAGGCTCTCTACCTGACATGACGAGTACGACAGAGGGCTACATTGCTTTGCAAGAGCTTTATAGGCGGCAAGCGGAAGCAGAAATCGATGAGATTGCGAAGGCAGAGCAGACAACTATTTCTCCTTCAGACAACAACAGCAATTCTTCCTCGGAAAATTTGAAGACTAATGTGGGCAACCTTTGTCGCAGCGCGTTCGCGTTGAGATGCGTCGATCTACGACAGGAAACTACTCCCGCCCTAGTAGGTCGTGGCACAACAACTACTTCATCCGCTGACCAAGCGCATAGACAAGACCTCGCGGAAGACTGCGTCCCGATGGAGGTAGAAACTTCAACTACAACGATGTCGAAGATAACGAGACTTCTGCCGGAAGAGCTACGCGCAGAGCTAGAATGCATGGAGAGTCAAGAGGAGGTCGACGAATCCATGCTGCCTTGGTTCTTAGGGATCGCGAAAGTGGTGGAAGAGGAGCAGCAGCTATCTTGTGGGCGAGGAACAGCAACAGGTGGAGGACAAGGCGCACCTTATGAGACGGAGGCGTGATAGTTTAAGTCTAAGACTTTCTTGAACTTGATGAGGATGATCGGTGTCGTTCTTGCTAAGGCTTAGGCATTCTAGGTGAGCAACAACGAAATGGTGCAACGTGAGAACTGTAAGAAATAAGGGCAAATGAATACTGTAGAAAATAATAAGTAGTATTTACTATAAATGACAATGAAGAAAGATCTTTCTATCTCTAAAAACATCAAATCAAGGACGAGGAGCTGTCGCCTGTTGTACTGGAAGCGATTCGTAAAGCGACGATGGAGGTCCGACGGTGCCCTGGTCAAGTACATCCGACTTCGGCTCTCATCTTAAGACTTTGCTCTTCGGTAGAAGAGATGACAGCTGAGGAGATCGAAGAGAGAAGCTTTTTTGTGTCAAGAGATCGATACCCTTGTGACTCTGCTTCTAACATTGGCTCTGCTTCTAACGTTGACGCTGCTTCTAACGTTGATTCTCAAGTCTCTACATGTAGGTCTCGATCTGTGACGCATTTCCATGATCCTTCCCATCGTAAAGAATACGAATTCAGCCTGAGGCTAGGTATTCGAGTAAGTAGTGGGGAGGGCGGCGTCATCTGTCTTCATCTCTGACGTAGTTCTAATCGTAGGCGGCATCGCAGCCCAGGAAGCCATAAAGCTGATAACACGCACCTATGTCCCTTTAGACAACACACTCGTGTACAGTGGAGTCGTGGATAGGAGCGAAGTCTTCAAGATATAAGGCTACCTTTTGGTGGGAGGTTATAACGAAGAGCTCTTCAGTAGCCGCCGAATTCTGCCACATCGGATGGTAGATCCCAACCTAACCTAACCTCCACCAAGAAAATATGACACACATCGATCGCACAGAAAGGCATGCAGAGAAAGGCGAAGTGGTCTCACGATACTCAGCACTTACTTCGTATTTAGTACATGGCACACGTTCAATTCATGATTTCAATTTGCTCTGATTGAGCATTTTGAAGTTTTTCACAAGTAGTAGATGAAAACAGCAACAGGGAGCAGCTACTACAACATCAGAGATGTCCGTTAGAACTACCAAATCAACGTCGCCCGACCCACATCCGTTAGATGAACTACTAAATCAACGTCGCCCGACCCACATATAACGAGCAATAAACAAGATACTTTTATTGTCCTGGCAAGAACATTCAACCCTTCAGGGACCTACATCAAGGATGAACCAACATCAGGGTCGCGCCATTAATGGAAGAGCTAAAAAAAAAAGAATGATACCCAGAGTCCGTGCTACCCAAAGTGGCAGTGCTTACCGAGCAACTCAGCAGAGAAAGAAAAGAGCGCGGGAGCGAGGAGTGGACGAGGGAGTGAGGCTATGTCTACGAACTCTGGCACACATACACATTCAGCTTGGCTAATAATAAATTGCGATGATGTACTACTTCATCTTAAAAAAGAGAAAGATGAGCAAGCTGCATCGTCCAAATGCAAAGCGAGTCGATGGTCTAAAGGTGCCTGTCGTCAGTAGTCGTTTTTTATCAGGAGCATCAAATGATTCTGAACAGAGGATGAGGACCTGACTTCATTTTTCCCTCCAGCAAGTGCAGCTGTAGTACTGGTAGAGGAGATACAAGAACAGAAATAGAAGATTGAGCTTGAGATTGTCTAACTGCGAGGAACGCTTATTTGCAGAAGACTGACGATGAGGGCGATTTTAGAAGAAACAGTAGTGTTGTAACAAGCATTTCGATGCACAGCAAGATGTCGCAGCGTTTACCGATTTCCCAGCGCTTAAAGCCTGAACCTAAGGCTGAGGGTGAAGCAGAGCAGCCGTCCGATGGAGCCGAGGGCGCCAGAACGTCGAGTATACTCATCGACTTTAAGCGGACGTCAGGTGGCGGGGATGTTCGTGGCACCACAGGAACGGAGGACTCTGAACAAGAGCCGGGACGGTTTGAGATATCGGCTGCTGGTGGCATTGCGGGCGATTCCGCAATGGGCGAACATTAAGACTTCGACGCATCACTATCTAAGTACCTATGAGGATGAATCAGGATCGTCTATTATAATTTGTGTTTCTGATTTTGATTCAATTTTATTTGAGAATTCCTGCAGAAGCAGAAGTTGTAGGAGTACCAGAAGGTGAAGGAACGACAGAAGACGCAATACTGAAATAATGGCTCTTTGATGGCCTCCTATTCTTGAAGAACGATGGATCGAAGATTTGCATTTTTTAGTTTTGTTTTTCGGAATACGAATATATCTCCTCTAATCTTCAGAAGACGCGAAAGGCCTAGGCAGAGCAGACACGGGCTCGAAGGGTGCCCTATCACCAGTGGTGCTGCAGCGTCTCCTTACATGTCCCCGGGAATTCCTCGAACTCGAGGAGCAGGAGGAAATCGACATCATAAACGGGGACCTCCGTTACGGCTACAATCAAGTAGATGAAACCATCATGAAACTCCTAGCTATCACAAGTATGCTGTTCCTTTTGCGGCTTCTCCCAGCGTGTACGTGCTATTTAGTGTCCTAATTGTATTTATTCTATATCGGGTAGAACGTGAAGGAGCACCAGAATTCCATTAGTACTGGAGCTGGAGTAGAAAGTGAACCAAAGTACCTTCCCTGCTTGACCTACAAGACAAATACTCTGAGTCCGACTTTCACCCGCAAGATATCAAACATTTCGAGCATGGATCCCCATTAAACCACCGACCACAGTCATCTGGTCTACCACATACAAAAATAAACTACATCATGACATCTCTAAGTTCTCGCGATTAACAGGCTGAAGACTTTGGTACAGGGTCAGAATTTGCCTCCAGGGAGTATCTATCAGATTATCCGTAACATGACGACCGTGACGATGAATCCGCGTGAGTATGCAGCGTTTTCGTCAAAACTGAGGCAGTTCGCGGAGCATGATGACGATGTAAAAGGCGAACGCTCAAACGCGGCATTTGCTAGGAAGTTACGTCCTCCAGACACTGGAAGAAGAAGTAGAGCGCTAAACATTGGGCCCATGTTGTCGCAACGGCCCTAGAGAATCGTGACCATATTCCCTTTAGGGTTCGATGGACGTGCTGAGGGAACAGGATTTAGTAGTTCTTGATCATGATCACCTCGGAGGGTTCAAAGAAATTGTTTTTTTTCTGAAAGCGGATGGCGCTGCCGCTCCTCTTTCTTGCATCTAGGTGATTCTGTCTTTCTATCAGGATTCTCATCGGTATTATTACGCACCGCCTGAACGTCAGGCATTGACATTGTTCACTCATTGGGCAGAGGCACGCACTAGTTCTAAGAAAGACTATTGCGGCCGCCAGGCGGGTGGGTGGCGCATCACAGGCGCCGTCGAAGCTGACAGTTCCCGCGGAAGAGGACACTATCACCCCAGAACGATGGAAGCAGTTCGCGGCGAAAGTTCTTGCGGACCCAGCAACGTCGGCATCGGAGGAGAGGTTTATCCATGTTGCGAATGTGAAATTCAGCCATTGGAACGGCGAGCGCACTTGTGAGCTGCCCGCAGACGAGTTCATCGATGCTGAGGAGAACGATCCAGGCATTACTACAGTTATGGCTCCGCAGGCTGTTCTACCATGAGTGGCTCCCGACGTTGATGACACACTCACTCTTGCAGCTTTTGGTCTAGGTCTAGCTCCTCTCAAACTCAATTTTATTGAAGGATAAAGAAATTAATAACGTTCATCATGTTGAAACAATCACTTGATCTAGTTGAGGCTGTCAGTCAAACTCTGAGCTTCATCTAATAATCCCGTTACAACAGAGACAACTACCGCAGGCAAGGACAGTGTATTGAAGAACGGGGTTGACAAGCTGCGTTCTTCTTCTCCGAAAAGCAGGTCGAAAAATACAGCCAACTTATTAACTAAGAACATTCAAAAAGTGCAGGCCGTAAGCATCCGACTCCTGCTACGAAAGATCGACGTTGTTGAGGATGATGTTCGTCAGAAGGCCTTCCTCGAAGTGAAAGTGGTCGCTGTCTTTCTGGCTTTTTACGTCTTCTCCGGAATCCTGTACAGCCAGATCGATGACCGCTCGGAGCAAAGCGCGTTCGCGCCCGACGAGTTCGACACGTTGGCGGACGGATCCACTGTCCGAGACAAAAACAACCTGGACTGGGTATCATTGGTATACACTCTGGTCGTCACCTCAACGACTGTGGGCTACGGCGATTTCTCGCCAAAGAGTGGTGCGGCTCGAGCTGTGTTCATTGTCTGGATTCTCTTTTGCTTTGTGATATTTTCACAAGTTTTTGACCGGGTGGCGACTCTTGTCGGTTATTTCGTCGACACAGTACTGGATCCGTGTCTACGTGCCCCTCTGCAAAAGATCTACTCCTACGGCCTCGTGGTTACGCTGATTACTACTCCTGCTTGAGTATTCACATGGCCTTCGTCTTGTCGACCTACCAAGAACTTGGATATAATTGATACACTTACCTCGCTTTGCTTGTGCAACATCTTCATCTTCTTCTTCTGTGATGCTGGAGTGCTAGTACTTGTACTAGTAGTGCTACTACTAATATGTTGTAAGAAGTATAAAATTAAGAGTGATTCTATGTTTAAGACTAAAAAGCCCACTAACATGTCTAGACTAAAAAGACTATTAATTTAATAAACATGTCTTGCTCGTCTGTCTAATCCACTACGTTGGGCTGGAAACGCTTCGCGCTGCAGCAGCGAGTGAGCACGACTGTGGTGGTCATCGTCCTGATCGGACTCACGCTCACAATAGGCGCTTTAGGATTTCTGGCATTGGAGTCGGACGCACAACCCGAGTTGACCCTATCAGACGCCTACTATTTTGCAATGGTGACCGCAACAACAGTGGGATACGGCGACCTGCTGCCCACGCGCGACGAAACCAAAATTTAAGAAGGAGACGAGCGCGAGGGAGAGATCAACAAGGTTTAACGAAAGAAGTATACTTCCGGGAGAGAAGTTGTGTATTTGCAGGGAAGTACTGGGGGGCGGGATACGGGAGGGTATAATAGGGTTGAATCAAGAAAGGGAAGCGTCGACCTGCTTGCGGGGTAGTGGAGTAGTGAATTCGATTTGCTGGAAGAAGGCGAGTCATCAATCGTGCCGTAGCGTAAATTCAATCACATGTACATGATCTTGATTTTCATCAACTAGTACTATGGAGATCGCCAGCGTGTACTTAATTCCTTCTCCTGCTCCACACTAAGAAGCTCCTTATGCTGATTTGATCGTCATCTAGTACTTAATGATCATCTTCTAACAAGTGTTTGTCGTTTTCTTTCTCTTTTGTGGCATCTCCTTGATCGCGTACGTTTTCACACTGTACGAGAAGGTGCAACACAACCGGAACAAGCTGAGAAGGATGGCCAACCTAGAAACGTTCGCTGACATGTCCCCGGCAATGGGCGCGCTTATGCGGCTAAAATCCCATATGACAGAAATCGAGTTCATGTTCTTCGCGTTACTCGACTCAGGGGCAATCGATATGGACGAGGTACTTACTTTACATAGCAGCAAGAACGCTGGTCGTGCTTTTACACTTCATGGATGTTGATTATTAGAAAAACCCTCGTGCTTTTACATATGAATTTGATATTGTTATATATCCCTTCGACTATGTAAGTAGTTTTTAGCTTCTGTTGTCCTCCTATGATCATTATCATTTCATAGGTCGGGGCTCGCTGGCTGTACTAGTAGAACTGGAACAAGTATCGTTACATAGTTGTAAAGGGTATGAAGGTTGGTTGGAAACAATGACTACGGTACATGAAGTTATTTGGGTCTCGCGATAGTTTTGACCCCTCATCGCGAGTTTTGAAAATGACGTTCGTCCAGGTGCATTTCCTACACGAAAACGTTTGGAGCCGTATGGATAACATCACCCAACATGAACATTCTGGTGGAAAATCTATCTACAGTTCGGTGAACTGGGAAGGTTTCCGTGTCGGCATGGCCGAAAGCTTCAAGCGCAAGCCGGTAATGTTAAGGCTCAGGAATATTACATCATGATCACGACTAGCAGCACTTCGACTTCTACAAGGAGACCTAAGTACGTACAGTACGATCAAACTCATCACACACTGAGAGATGTGAGTCCCAACAGCGACGACTTGCTACCCCTGTTGTAACTGGTAGTGGCATGAGTTTCTGAAAGTTTTACGTCTTCTAGCAGATGAAGAGCTCTTCTAATGAAGGAAAAGTTGTCGGTGAATCAGAAGCGCTGCTTCGCACGCACGGGGAAATATTTTACGCAGGCAACCGCAGATGAAAGACAAGCAGCGTTCGAGAAGAGTCGCAGCATCATCGCGCATCTCTCCCGCCTTTGCCTCTCGGGAAAGACAGCTGAGGAAGAAAAAGCGAAGGGTGAAGATGCGAGAGAGACGCGGGCCACAACCGGATCAGGTCAGTGAGCAGCACAAGCGAGAGAGACTACACAGGTAGACAAATGCGGAGACCATCAAATTTGGAAGGCGTAATACCACGCAGGGTGAGAAACAAGGCAAGTCACTCAGGAAAAGAAGACCTACAACAGGAACAGCTCAGGAACAGGGTAAGAATATTGATAACAAACTGGACTATGGGCAAATGAGGTGTGCTGGACTCGCGACTCGCAGGAGGGTATATTTCATTGGCAGCTGGTTGGTATTGACTTTTTAGTTTTTTTTGTTAAAAAAATAAAAGAACAACGAACAACAGCGCAGAATACCTTGGATCAGAATACACTCAACAACTTGAACATTTCTCAGTCTGGATCAACCGACGAGGCCGAGCAGTCAATAAAATGAAGTTCAATCCTCACACTCTGTCATCAACATGTGTATAGTTTTACATTCTCATTTTTGAGATTGAGTACCTAAACCTGATAATACTACAAGATCAAGATCACTTAGACCTAGCAACTAGACGTTGTTGGTGATTGATAGGTGCCGCATATGAAAATCAGCGACATGAGCGCGAAATGCTCCACCAGATTGAAGATGTGAAGATGCTACAGAAGCAGAACAACAGGGTGGGGAAGCATCACAACCTCGCACCGAAATCCAGGAGATGCTCGATTGCATGCACAATAAATATGAACAAACGAGTTGTATGACCCTGGACAGCACTACATTATCTTGTTGTAAGTAGTGAAAGCCAAAGTTCCACACTCGGAGACGCAGGAGCAACAGGTGTCATAGAAATTCCGTGTTTTGCTCGCTTGAGGTTGAGTCAGGCCAAGAAAGTCGTATGACATAACCATGATAATAATCGCGCATACACAACTCGTTCTGCTCATGACTATGTTGAAGATCGTGTGAATCTGAATGGGTTCCATGTCTATGCTTGTTCATTGGATTTGGATCGTTTACAAACGAGTGAAGAAGATGAAGATGAAGATCCTGCGTGTTCTTTTCAGAAGCTCATTACGTATGGCATAGTGAAGAGCACATCGCGCCCCTTATTAGTCTGAATGTTCATGTTGTGGATTTCCAAGCGTCATGATTGTTCGCCCTGAATGAGAAAGCGTTCAAGTTGCATGCTCTCGGCCACGTATACCATATTCCGGAGCGAGAATGGGTTATGGGTGCCGACACACCGCGCAGCGGCCTCGATATCGCGGTGGCTCCATGCGACCGATGTTGAGAACACAGTGCGAGCAGTACACGTGCCCGCACTCCGTTGTCGCGCATTTCTGGACCTCAGTGGCGGTCGCGAAGACGACAAAACAGACAGGACAGCTATCCGTCTCCGCCACTCGTGCTTTCGTGAGGGTGAGAGGTGCAAATTCGAAATTCGCAAGATCTAATGAAGCATCGCGACCACGGCGTGCAGCACCTAACGAATCCCCGCCTTGCTCGCCACTCCGAGGAGTGCTATTGCCGCTCCCTAGCGACGGTGTCAGTTCGTCGTCATCATCGGAGGAAGAAGGCGGTTCTGAAGAAGTCGAACCGCCGTCGAGAAAGCCGGCCTCTGCCCAATCGATTCCACGGCGAAAAAGAAAACCAAAGATATTCTTCTCGTCGGAACTATCATCTTCAGGGCCGGACTCTTCGGAGGCCGATGAAGCTGCGTAGGTGCATGGATTAGAAGAAGTTGCAACGTAAGAGAAGCTCCGCGAAAACATGACTATGGATCCACTGGGTCTTAATTGTGCGATGTCGAAGAAGCCGAATTCGTGGCAGCTTCGTTGCAGGCGGGTTATAACAAACTTACCCGTCGTGAGCGTGACTATACGTCACCGTCACCTACAACTACTTACGGAGGTCTTGACTCACACTACAACCCGCCTTAATTGAGCTTGTGTTCGTGCGTCTAGGCATCCCGTCTCCTGCGAAAGCCGTCCCATCCCGGACTTCGTCCGGGACCGGCATACTTCGGAAGTAACCGGTCGAATCCTCGGCAGCGCTTTGGTTCACTTTAAAATGCGAGGACGCGGTGGATGAGGCGGCAGTTCATGAAAGCAAACGAATTTTGTAAGTCAATGTTGAATGGTACCTCCTTAGGTTACGAGTCATTACCTTCCATGAGTGGGAAAATGTAAATGAGCAAACACACGTTACGGAAAGCGAGCTCCTGACGAAAACAGCACAAGTAGTAGACATGTGCCATCAATCGCATTATTATATATGTTCCAGGGCGCGGGGCGACGGCCCCCCCCTAGCGGGGGGGGCGGGCGCCCTGGGCCCCTTTTTGCGGCGTCTGCCGGGGGAGGAAGGCCTCAAAAGGGGGCCAAGGGGCCACCCCCGGCCCCTTCCAGGAGCTTTCTGTCCTCTGGAGGCCTGGGAAGTAGGTGGAAGGCCTCCAGGGGGGACCAAGGGGCTGCCTCCTTTTCGTTTGCATGTACCCTACAGACTTGAGGGGTTAGATGGTGTAAGTGCGCGGTTGGTCTTCAGGCTCCCCCCCGCTCCCTTCCAGCTGCCTGGCTGTTCCCTAGGGGCCTCCGATGGTGGTGGGAGGCTTCAAAAGGGGCCCAAGGGACCGCCTGCGCCCCCGTCCAGGTGCCTGCCTGTGCCCTCAGTGCATCCGTCAGGCTTCGCGGCTGCAGCAATGCGCCGGCAACGGAAGGCCAAGGCCTCCGGCTGGACCCCCTGAGCCGTGCCGCCTGTACCCTCCGGGCTCTTGGTCATCGGCTTGCTTGCTCTTGCGACCGTGGCCGCCTCCGGCGGCCTTTTTTTACCCCGGAGGCCTCCCGCCTGCGAGGGTCAGCAGAGGCCAGGCGGTCCCTTAGGAACACGCTGAGAGGCCCAAGGGGAGGCCCGCGCCAAGTTTTGACGCCTTCCACCACTAGAATCCGCCCGGAAAAGCGCGCGGGCGCGCCACCACAGACCAGACCACAGGGGCGGGGCCGTTCGGCCCTGCGTCGTATATAAATATGCGCAACAACGCACTGCATAAGGACGATGGCTTTCACGTCGCAGCCTTGTGATGTTGCCGTGGCGAATAGGTGGCACCCGCTCTCCACCCCTTTGGATCCTCCGACTGTTTCGAATTCGATCCAATCGAGACTGCGGCCGACCCGCTGTCGAATGCAGACGAGTTTCTCCCGAGGTGGAATCGCAAAAGGCTCGCGCAATCGACCACCGACCTCGGCGTCGCGGTCAGGATACCATTTTCGGACGCCGTTCGAAAGCAAAAATTCGATGCGATCAATCAGCTGCCCAGACCAAACGCGCACTTGACGCACAGTTAGTACTTGAGGGGCCTCATTCCGATTCTGTTGAGATGCAGAGGCTGTAGACAAGGAAGCCGCTGCTCCAGTACCTGTTTGCTCTGATGTATTTGGTGCTCGTGCGGCGTCGCCAGCATCTGCTGCAGGGCCTCCTGCGGTCCCGTCCTGTCCGATGCGTCTCAACGCTACGCTCACTGCGTGAGTTGTAACCGGCGTCATCGGACCTGTACTCGCTTGATGTGGACTCGGAGGTATAAGTGACGATCCACTGCGCATGCCACGCTCTTCGACATTCTCGAGTTCCCTTTCCAACGGCGAAGGACCCTCGTATTGCCGCTGAAATCGCGATCCACTTGTAATTCGCGTCCCATCGCTTGATAAAATCAGGGTCAACGTTTCACGGGAACCCACGCCCACCTGACCCGCGCGCTGCTCCCATACGCCGGGGCTCTGATCCGGTAGTACCTAACAGACGCCGGCTGTTGGGGAATAAGATTACGCACTTCTGTTCTTATTCTTCTGACATGTATCTCCAGTCGGAAAACTAACAAGTTATACAAGTACAACCTCACCACCATACAAATACTTCACGACCACAAATAAGGAGAAAAATCACAGTCACGCGGCAAGATCGTATCTGCACGCGCGGCCAGTGCGTAAGAACAAGGTAAAAAAAGAGCCCGGCTCACTACGTTAGATGAGGAGTTACCGCTTGTATCATCATCTTGTTTTCCCTCGGCACTACGCGGCAATTTGCGGTACCGATTCTAATTCGCACGTCTTTGTACGAGATGAACGGTCGCGGAACGTCACCGTGGAGGACCAAAGTGGTGCCGGCGTTCCATTGTACGTTGAGTCTGCAAGTTAAGACTCTACCACGCAGTGCGACCCCGAGCGGTCGACCGTCTGCCGCATTCGATGAAGCCCCTGGATCAGGTCGTCCTACCGCGGCACTCGTCAAGCGAGTCGCGCTTTGCAGTTGTGGTTGTGCACCTACTGTAGCTGTTCCGGAAGATGATCCCGCTTCGGCTCTTGTTAGATTTTCTTGCGTCCCTGCGCGAAGGTTTTCTCTTCGTCTGCCAGCTTGCCGCCGGGTACGCTCCGGAAGGGGGAGATCTTGCCCCATTGTGTTTTCGTCGCTGATTCTTCTTAGATGATTTTTGCGCAAACTACGACACAATCTCAACAACTGTGGGTGTTGTGTTTTTTTAGACAGTTATTTAATGTTCTTACAGCACTCGCCATTTTTTATTATTGCAATTGCTGTTGCGAATCTTGACTCCTAGAACCTGGCCCATGAGTTTATGCTTATGCATATATTTACATATTAACTAATCAACCCCAGCGCACTTTTCTGGCGGAGGAGCCGGGGCCGCGTTAAGGGGCGGGCGCCTCCTGGAGGGCTCCTAGCTGTTCCGCAGGGTGCTCCTGAGGGACTCACACGAGCTTGGGCAAGCCTCAGCGCAAAACGCTCCGGGCGCGTTCCGCAGCTGCCTCCTGCGTGTCTCAGTTCGGGGGGCCTACCGTGCTGCTCCTGGCTGTTCCGTAGCGTGTTCCGCAGAGTGTCCCGCGGAGAGTTCAGCGGCGCGCTCCTCTCTACCCCCGTTCAGCGGCGCGCACCTCTATCTCTCTAGTTGCGCTAAGTGGCAGCGCGGCGCGGCGCCTTGTTCCCCTTGTTGCCCCTTTCTGGACCCTGCTTAGCTCAACCAAGCGGGCCGCCCGGGTGTGTTTCGTGGCGCTAAAGGCCCAGCTGGTTGGCTGCGTCCCGCTGATGTTTTCGCCTTGGGTTCTACTCTGGCCGGCGCCTCTTTGCTCCCCGCTGGCCTGCCTCCCGCCGCCGCCGCTCCCTTGCTTCGGCACTTCTCGCGCCTCTCCCCTTGTCTCGTTCTCCGCTCTCGTCTTCTCTTCCCTTCGCTCGTTCGTTCCTCGGCTCCCCTCGCCTCCCTCTCTCTCTCCAAAAATAGCCCCCAGAGGCGCGCGCAGAGCGTGAGCGACTTAAGCTGCTGGGTACAGAAGACTCAAGAAAGGGTAGGGCTCCTGGCGCTGGAGCGAGTAGAACGTCCAACGCGAAGACCTGTAACGCGACGAGCTGAGCGTGAACTTCTGGAGATGATTAGATATAGATTTATTGATGTTATTCTTGATTTTGTGGACCACAACCACTACCGCTGTGTCTTTCTACGAGCCAGAACCACAAACCGACTTTTGTCTCTCTTACTCTACTATGGTGTCCAGTCTCAGTCTCAGTTCAGTCTCCATGCGCACAGACGAGACTAGGAAAAGCAGCAGCTCTAGCAACATTAGCCATTAAATTGCGCTACTTATTATAGAGTAAGGTAAATAACGGGTTTCGGGTTGCTCGAGTTGCAACGGGTTGCTCGGGTTGCTGAAGCGCAGGGGTTCCAAATCTGGAACGGGTTGCCACGGGTTGCCAGGAGAGCCTTGACTCAGCAAAATGGGGCGAAGCCGGGCGGTATGGAGGAGAATTTGCACGCCCGAAGTGAAGAAATGAAGAATAGTGCAGCTTTTGTCTTTTGTTGTTGCTCATGAAAGGGGGAGCCACGTGCGAAGGGCTCTGCAGCCTTTCGGGCTCTTTTTTTGTAGCGTGCGGGCGCGTGTTTGAAGCGAAAACAAGGAGCGAAGGCCCCTGCTCTCTGTTGTTTTTTTGAGGTGAGTGCCGCTGTGGTGTGTCGTCTTCGAGTCGTTGGTGATCTCTCCCCTTTTTCTTCGGGTGCGAGCGTGGCCAATCTGCTTGGGGGCTGAGAGCGAGTCTCCGTGTCCGTCTGCTGGCTTCGGCGGGCGACGTGTCCAGTCTTGGGCACGGCAGTAAGTAGACTGGAGGAGGTTGCGAAGCTGAAATGGATTGGCGCGCTCGATATTTATAAATATACGAGCGCATCGCCATCAGCATGCAACTCGAACTACTTAGACGTCGCAAGTAGATAGGGCGCCGCCGCTAGTTATCTTACCCATCCTCCTAGATACGGCACTACTCAGCTGAGAGGAAGAATAGGCGGCCGCACTTCCTTGGCCAGGAAGATAGGGGAGCTGACTGGCTGGGGCCTTAACTTAAGGGCGCACTAAGAAGAATATCAAGGACCAGAGACGCGGCGCGTGGTGTCGTGCGCTCCCGTTGAGGTCTCTCGTAGGGTCATAAATCTGCGCCCGAAGGGCGCCGCGCAAAAAATTTGGGTTGGCAACTCGAGCAACTCGAGCAACCCGACCCGATATGGGTCAAAAAAAGCCTCACTCTGTTAAGATGATGTAGATGCTGCGGTCGCGGTGTAGTCGCTGAGAGCTATTATAATTCGTGGCTATTACACTTGTTGATCTTGATGCATGATGACTCTAACTGGATTTCGTTACTCTAACGTGTAAACGGTGCCAAGAGAAACTGGGTGCGGCTTCACCGTCAGCGATTCCTGACGCCAGTGCTTAAGTAGCTTATGCACCCCACAACAGATTAGATCAACATCAAGCTGGAGCAACCATTCAACTTTAGAAAAAGTCTTCGCGAAGGCATCCGAGGACGAGACGCATTTGTTGTTGTTCTAGGTTTTCCGAATACTTACTCTTAAAAAATAATCAATATCATAATGTGCTGCAAGCTCCTTCCATCCACCCTTATTTTGGGTGGCTCGTTCCTCTCTTTGGTTTCGCCAGTCGCTGCCGCTGCCGACACCGTGGCGTGGGATCAGCTGCTCTCCAACCCCGGCAACAGCAAACTGGATGCGGCGGTGAGCGATGCCATCACCTTCAACTGGGTCGCGAGTGCGAACGACGTCATGAAGCTGGACACTTGCGACGGGACGACTGTAAGTATGTGTATCTTCTCGTCGACAATTGCAGCGTTTTCATTGTGTGACAATAGCTTCATACAGTTCTAGCGCAGAAGTCACTACGCGGTCGTCATCGAGAGGAGGCGTACTAGAGTAATCCCCGTTTTTGTAGGTCACTTTTCATGATCAACACTGTACTTGGTGTCGCCCTTTGAGGTTGCAGCTCCTGCATACTATATTACATGTGCATTCTACGTAAATAAGGAGCCGGACGATCCCACCCTGTGCATGAATACAACGGGGACGATCGTCGCGACGCAACCTGAACCTGCCAAGTGCAAAACGGTTATGCCTCGGACAATGATCAATTCCTCTACTTCATCACTACGCAAGGAGGTACCTACTGCTCCCGCTGCTAGAACGGGCAACACCTGATGTCCGTGAAAATGGGCAGCATGACGATGCCCGCGACGACCACTACGCCTACTACCGCCACGCCGGCGGCACCCACATCACGTTTACGATGGGCAGCTGCATTACCACGGTGATGATTGTGATGGCCCGTATGATACGATAGGAAGGATGTCGTTGGTGGCGGTCATGTAAATCTGTCACCTGATGTGTTCATCTTGAAAGTAACAAGAAGCCAATAAAAGGAAAGCGATTATAGGGGTCGGGGTCGGGGTGCGTTCATAATTATAATGATAAAACCAGACTGCAAAACTTCTTTTTCTGGTATTCTTGCCAAGAATTTCTTGCTTCTAGCGAGTATAGATACTCAGGGCTTCTACCCTCGAGTGCCTGAGCCTGTGCTTGCAAAGTCAGAGACTTTGTTTGGAAAATAACGCAGCTCGTTCTACGGATTCGGACCCGCGTTGTTCTACTGATCTTACAACTTGTTTCCGTTTCTAACGTCATCGCTTCGTCGAAGGATGAACTGCGGTTGACAGAGACGCATAATGCGCAATAAATCGGTGCTGATAAATATACTTAGAACCTCTATCTAAGATTAATACATGATAAAAAGGACTTGCTAGTAAGTACTTGCAGAGCGTTTTGAAACTGGTCCTAAAGCGTATTTCGACTGAGTACTCTGGTGCCTTGTTTGTCTTTCTTCTAGTTCTATTCCTATGATAATTGGTCCTGTTTCTGTTGGTGTTACAATGCGGCCGCGTTTCTTACTATTGATGTTGATCGATGTCGATTAGAAGATGCTAAAATATTTGTACCAACGGTTACCCACGGCCACGTCGCTGTACATAACACAAGTAAGTATAAGTTGGTCGTTGGAGTTTAGTTCCATCAAATCGGTTCTTGAGTGGTGAAGTCGTTACTCGACGACCCCGTCACATTATATTCCACTTCAGATGATGTGGACCAGCCTCAGGCTCTGTACAACATACAACATGACGAACGGTGACAGTCTGTCGTAAAAATAAGAATATGAATAACAATTTTGACAAAATAGCGTAGATGTAGAAATAAACCTGGCTTCTACGCCTGCGGATGCATGCGTTTCTTTCTCTCAGATGAAGCCTCTAAATTACGGAGTCTGTTTGCCGCAAAACTTCCAGCCTTTCAAAGCTCCCCCTCCTCTCCTGGGCTCGGCTGCTGGGATCCACTCAGCTGTGACCCGCTGTCTCTGAGGCGAGACAGCTCGTTCCGCTGGTCCGCTACTTTCTGAATGTAGTACGTGTTTGTTCCCGCTAACCTGTCGTTGGTGTCCTGCATTGTTTGTAACTCAGCATGGATCTCGTCCCGTTCCCGACTCAAACGAACGGCTTCCATACGCAAAACGCGATTCTCCTCATTTTTCTTTCGCAGGTCTTCGAGAAAATTCTCAACTTGTTTCCTAAATTGAAGATTCAAGTCCTTCATGTCCTCATAGCTGCGCTTTAGACGCCCATTCTCCTGCTCAAGATCGTCTAAATGCTTGCTTCTCTGTATGTCTTGATCGTGTTGAGCTAGCATCTGTTGCGCTGTCGATCTCTTACTGCTAGTAGCACCTTGGTGGCCGCTAGAAGAAGATGCCCCCGAAGCGAATCCACCTCCTGCACCAGGTGAGCTAGACGAGCTTGCGCCCTCGCCAGCAGAAGCGGCAGCAGCAATGGAAGACGATGAGGTGGCATTTTTACTCGCTTCCCGATTCTCCGCATCAAGTTCGAAGAGGCGGAGCTTGTTCGTAAGTTCGTTGTTCTGCTTCCGCCTCGCCTCTATCTCGCTCTCGAGCGAATCGATCTTCTCCTCGCAAAACGCCTTCTGTTTCTCCAAATTCAAGGATGAAAGTTGTATGCGAGAGAAGACGGGGGAACAACCTCCAGATCTAGCTGATGTAATAGTCCCTAAGTATCAAGTACGCTTGTCAAAGTTCTCAAGGTCTTAAGGAAGGAAGTAGGTCCATGCGGATGTTGTGCAACTCCTAGAAGTACGACAACGACGATACTCAACATACAGTCAGAGAAAACGCCATGCGCGCATTCGTTGCTTCTAATTCGGTTTTCTTGTTCTTCACGCTTCGCAGTTGATCCTCTGGGACCATGGTCTGCGCCTGGAGCTCCAGTTGAGCACGGGCGCTTTGCTTTAGAGCGACTGACTACAAGACTTCAACTACGTTCTTGATGTAATCGTAAATAAAATGCAAATCCAAATGCATGGGAGATATTTATTAAAACTCTTCATAGGTACGAAAAACTAAAATAACACAAATCGGAATCGCAAGTGTCCTCGCCAGAACAAAATAGACGTGGCGCGAAGTTCGTTGACTTCCTTGCAACAAATGCGAATCACTTCTTCTAGCACTACTTGAACAAAGATAAAGACAGAGTTTTTTTATTTTTTTCTTCAACAACATAATTTCAATTGTTGTACTTCTGCGAGATACCTTCGATTCTCTTCGCGTTTGATGTTAAACTCTGCATTCAGGTCTTGGAAGGCCGCATGATGTTCGGCTAGCTGTCGTGTCTTCTCCTGCAGTTGCTTTCGCAAACGTGTCATGTCCAAAGACGTTGCTGTAGGCGTCGAGTCCGCGGTTCCCAGTTGCCGTGACCTTGTTGACGAGGATGCTGGAGAGCAGCCGTCCGCGCCGTGTTTGCTCAGGACAAAATTTACTTGGCTCACGTGTAATTAGAATTAGATAGAGGCATTCTAATCAATATCAACTTCAATTGTATTTGTATACTATAGATGAAAATCGACCTACGAAAGTGTCGTGATATTACCATGTACTTAAATTATTGCTCCTGAGCTGAAGATATAGATATTTTTTAGCGAATATAAGCATAATCTAAGGTTGGTGTGCCTCCGCCTTGCTGGTCCTGCAAATTTTCCTGTACGAGAGAGAGTTTCGATTTTTCGACCATTTTCAGAAATTCTTTTTGATTTGCTATCGTTGGACGGGTAAAAGCGGCATCCCCGCCGCCTTCCTCCTCTGGACTCGAGGCCGTGCCTCTCCCTTGCGCGTCGGACGACGAGCCGCGTGTGCGTTCCCCGCTTGACCTTGACTGCATCTGCACCGCTGCTGCCTTTACCTCTTCCAACTCTATCTCGAGGATTTCGACTTGTTCTTTCTGCGACCGCACTTGGTTCTGTGCCTCTTCGCACTTCTTCTGGGTGAACTCTAGTTCAATCTGCACTTTGTCTCGAGTACTCACCGCGTCCTCAATCTCATTACGCAATTTGCGCGCACTCTTAGATGCACGCAGCTACAAGCACCCAAACTCAGCATCATATTGATAGATAGTACAGATACCAGCTAGACGGAGCCGTCAGCATACGTTGATCTATACCTCCAGAGATCAGTTTCCCTTCCAGTGGTCTGTACGAACTTCTAATGAAAAACCTCGCTTAACACTACTCTCCAACTCCGCGACGCGCTGCCGACTTTCGTCTGCCGTTGTATTGCACAGCTCCTGCAAAGCAAGCTTGGCTTTATCCGCAGCTTCGACCTCAAACCTCGCGTCCTCGAGTTGACGTTCCAGGGCTCTAAGCTTTTCGGCAGCTCCCGTCTCAGCTGTGGCTTGCACTGCCTCGAGCTCACTCAGTCGCGCATCCTTCGCTGCCGCTTCGGTCTTCAGCCGCTCTAGCTTGAGTTAGAAATGAATGATACTCCGAGTAAAGCAAGAGACGGAATTCTTGAGAACTGAACCCGTTTATCTTTTAATTTTTCCAAGAGTACGCGGGTTGGTCAAGATCTTCATGAAAATCAAGAGAAATTGATGCTGTTGCAGGGAGGACGTTATTCTTGATGTTGAGAAAAAGTAAGACCTTGAGCCTGAAGAGAAATAGGCGATTTGTTGTTCGTCTTCAACCCATAATCAGAGTTTAAAAAATACAATTCTGTCTGCTGTGCATCCAATGACAATGCTCGGTTTGCGACTTCCTCCTGGTGTTGTGTGGCTTCTTCGCTGAGCGTTCGAACCTGGTCACGCAAGTCAAGGTTCTCTCTTCGCGTTTCCTGAAGTTCTTCCAAATGCTTTATGCTAGCAGCATTATTGTCAGTCTGGGCTTTTTCATGCTGCTCTCGCTGGAATACGCAATCATTTTTGTACTTGTCGCGTTCGCCTTATGAGTTAGAGAATGATGGGGAAGGAGCGTTACCATCATTTGTCTGTATCGAAGCACGCACATACTTCTACTTGTCATGATGCTAGGCTCAACAGAATACGCACTACAGTCTATCTATGCATGCTACCTATAGACACGAGTGTCTTTTTTCTGTTCGAGAAGTACTGCAGGTACAGCAAGATGATGGGACACCGAGATGATGGTGACATCAGCTACTTGCACTGCGATGAGACCTTTGATTACTACATCTTATTATACTTCTTCATCTGCGAACGTGACTTACAACTACTTACTCGTCAAGCAAAGGTTCCTCATTCATACTAACCGATTCCAACTCTGCTGCCAAGCTTTGTAACTTGGTCTGCAGCTTCTTCGATGCTTCCTCCTGCGCTGATGCTTGATCCCGCATCGCGGCGTTCCGCGCACTCTCTTCTGCATCTTTCCGCTTTCTTTCTGCCTCCGCCCGCTCGTGTTCGAGCCTTGCCCGTTCCTCTGCCTGTTTGCGCTCAGCCTCTTCAACCTTTTCCCGTGCTCTTCTTTCGGCCTCATCCGCTAGCGTCTTACGCATTTGCTCTGCTTAGATCTTGTTTTTGCGAAGTCTACTGCGAGAGGGTGCTAATGCAGATCTTTTGAATGAAATATCATCACCATGGCGTCTCCAGGAGTAGTCATCCTAAGTAACCTAGAGTAGACCTACGACCGGTGAAATACCTTACGCTTACATACTAGACAGTAACACAGAATAAAGTCAATGGCTCAAGCGAAGCACGAAACAGTCGTTCATAATCTTCCTTTTCTGCCTGCGCAGCTCTCGTAGCCTCCATTTCCTGCTCCTGCGCGAGAAGGCGCTCTTCTAGTCGTTTTCTCTCCTCCTGCTCGCGCTCTCTTGCTATGCGGTCCTTGGCCTTCTGAGCTTCCCGTTGATTTGCTATCTCGCGAAAATCACCTAAGCGACTGCGGACACGTTTGCCTCGTAATTGTGCCTGTATCCGGATCATGCCCTTCCGGAACTCAGTGTTAGAACTAAGAACACGTAGTGAGTAAGTACATCATCACCAAGACCCACAGACCTACAGCTACTGCTACAGCACACAGCAATACATTTACGTGTTCTATATTTAGAACTAAATACAACTAAACAGTCAGGACGGACGAGTCATCAAACAACATAAGGAATGAAAATGGTCTATGTATAGATGTGACTGTAATCAACATCCATGTAGACGAGGAGCTGCAAAGAGTCTGCATCACAATGAGGAGAAATCATGAGCAAAAGACTGCCCTAATTGAATATTTCGATTGAGAGGTGTGTGCACGATATTTGGCTTGTATTTTGAGTGCAGCGCGCCTTCTCCGCAAATTTACTAAGCATGTCGCTCTTGCGGTTGCCATTCGACAGAAAGCCTGGATTTCCACAGCAGCACGTTTTTTTTCCGGGATTAGAAAAGCGTAAACTTACGACATCACAACTAGTTGAAAGTAGATGTTGAAAAGCTAGACGAGGGCATCATTCAAAGAACGAGTTAAAGTAAAAAATAGTAAGAGGACGACCTAATTACGGTGCAACACAATGGACACGATATCGATAGATCAAGATCTTCGGGATTACAGCAAATTACTAGTGCATGAAGCCTTAGCTGAAAGAGGCGCCGCGAGACGAAGCCCCGCCACATCTTGCATATCCGGATGCAGAATTCCAGAACGGCAGCACTGATCTCTGCTTCTAACACTTTCTGAACCTCCTCCTTCAGAAAAACCTTGCTTCTACCTATCTGCCAGCTCCTCTCAGAGATCTCGCTCTTCTCTTTGAAAATCTTGCGCTCGAGGTACAAAAGGAGCTTCTCGCACTGTCCCTTTTGATCCGCATCGGAAACACGCTTTGCAACAGCGCTTGACGCGGGCTGGATTTGGTTATTGCTTGAATCAGTTATGACTTGCTATCAATGATATAGTTGGAGGAACAAAACTTGGACTTCCTCAAGTCCTCTACTTCTGATCCTGATGAATTTCAGTTCATACAACTTGTTGTGATTTTAGTTGATGTAGTACATGAACTGGAGGAATGGATTCTCTACTTTTACTCATCTTCAGCATGTTGTAACGGAAGATCATGGCGACGACGTGATATTACTGTACCCACATCAGCATCAAGAGAAATCCATGATGAGTCAAAAACAGATGAACAATTATCAGCAAAAATATAATCAAACTGAGGGTGCCTTTGTACCACAAGTCCAGGACAGAGACGCCCGTACTTTGTTAGAAACTCCTTGAATGGGCGGCGAACGCTGTAGCCTGCACGACGAATCCGGATTGCCTCGAGCATTCCAGCACACCGCAGTTGCCTTAAGACGTCAATGCTGTCGAAGGTGCGCGCCGCCTTGTCCGCATTTGGCTTAATGCACCGGATATACCTTGGATGCGTGCGGTTTAGGTCAGCGACCAAGGCATCTAGCTGCTCTCGAAACGTGGAGCTCACAGTGCTCTGTGGCCCCTTGATCCGATCACTCACTGCCGCCCCACCTGAAGCCCGCCCCGCGCCAACAGATCGGCTACCCCGCAATGTGCTACCCCGAAGCCCACCTCCCGTTGAGGAGGACGATGCCCCGCCTGTATTAGAATATGCCGGTGTACTAGTAAAAGAAGGAAAGCGGTGAATGCACCAAAAATTCTTTCGGGACATCCACTTAGAAGAAGGAAGGCTCAGGAGAAGCTCTTCCTTCTGCCTTGGGTATTCTCAGTGCCTTACTTTGAGTTATCAACGTTGGAGACGCCTCTACACGACATGATCCGTAACTGAAGAACTCGCTGCGCCTCCGCTTCCTGCTGCACCACTGGTCGATGAGGAACTAGCTGTCTCGAGAACGAATTTCCGAATCAAGGGATCAGAACTTTCTTTCAGCACTTCGATCGCCTCATCTGTCTGTTTCTCGAAATTTTTGTCCAAAAAGCCCTCGACCGAGTACCTCACTTCACCCGCATAGTGCGCTACCGCGTGGATTAGATAGAGAAAAGGACGGGATGACTACGGGACTTTGACTACAACCTCGCACTCCATCAACTACTCCTGACTAGTATTGCACCTAGGAAAAAATAAATGAAACTTTGGGATGATGATGAAAGTGGGGGGCTTACATCCGTCGACCTCATCCCCAAAAAACAATATCATATCAGATCGAAGACTCAACGTCAACCTGAAAGATCAAAATGCGCGCCGATACTAATGTTTTCTATGTATCCCGTAAGAATAGGTCGGTTTTTTGACGACTCGGGTTGTAGACGATATCCGCTTTCAATGGTTTTGTATAAAGCGCTTGCAAAAATGCCGCGTCTGTAGCGTTCGGGCCCAGGCATGTGCTGTCGAGATGCGGGAATACTCCACTGGGTTTCTTTTCCAGGCAATCGCGATTAGAAGAGCTGCTTGCTACACACAACATCCTTGTAGCTGTGCTTCTCCAAATGATTTTTCGATGACGAGATTCATTCTGACTGTCGCCGCATAACAAACTGCTACGCACTTCTGATAGTTCTTGTACAAGACGAGTACTTGTTCATCGAGAACTTGTGATCATACTAGATGAAGATTAGAATACTATCACAATTACTATGTATACTTTGCAGTGACCAAGACTAAGTAGAACATAACAATGACATCCTGATTGTCCTGCCAGGAGATATGCGACCAAGTGATGTTTTCTTCGGTGTAGAGCTTCTGTTCCATGCGGAACATGTGGCTGTTGAAATGCTGCTGGAGTTTTTCGTTGGCGAAGTTGATGCATAGTTGCTCAAACGAATTCCAGTCAAAGACCTCGAAGCCGTAGATGTCAACGTTTAGCGAGCAAGAAACAAATTAATAGATCATTCGTTTCCCACATCCTAGGTTGACGTTGAAGGAGATTAATCATTTACTTACAAGTGTGCTGATCGAGATGGAGGTAATACGATATCAAGCTTTATGTCGGGGGCCATAAGAGAAGTCCGATTTTCGTCGACGGTGGCGCACTGTTTGATGAGGCGTTTCCTTTGTTACCGGCTGCTGTAGGCCGTCTTGCAGCTCGTGATGTCGTGCTAGCAGTGGCATTTTCGCTAGGCCCGGATCTCGGCGAGGGTCCGCCTGCTTCGTTCCCGCTAGCAGTGGCAGCTACCTCCATCTGCATGCTGGCGTTTATCCTGGACACAATCCAGTCGAACATTCGGGAATAGAGGACTCGCGCGATGCTCAACTTCACCTGCTTCGCCTGTTCGAGCCGGAGTGGGGAGACAAGCATGTTCTTCGAGATCGGGTCGAAAAATTTCCTCGACCGCAATACACCACGGAAAGCCGTTTCAGATATACCAAGGAGCTCGCAAATCGGCGGGCACGCAGTGGCGTGGTCGGCGATTTCTACTCGGTCGTCATCGATCACATCGAAATTCACGTTTCCAAAAGATGAACGCAAGGTCGATTCCAACTTTTAGTTCTTCACTCTAGCTACTAGGACCTTCCGTTCCATTCCATCTGTAGATGACTACTAGCTGGACCGGAATGTTTTGCTATTTTCAATATTGCCCGCTATGATAATGATTGTGATATTCGTCCATATTCCCTTATTCTTGATATCATTGACATCATCTACGCACCCCCACATCCACGACCACAATCTTCTTAGCAACCACAACGTAAAAGCAGTAGTAGTGCAGCGCAACACTTCCACAGCGTGTGAATGTCGGACTGAGAGAATCGCAATCGGTACAGACAGTCACAGACATTCATGAAGTCCTCCGCGTCTGAGTGCTCTGGCGCGTCTATATTGGGACAAACGCTCACGAAGTCGAAATCCTCTGCGATAAAGTCGCCTAAATGGAGCTGCTGTGTGAATTAGAGTGGCTCTAACTCTATCATGGGGACGGGCAGGGCGAATTTTTACACACTGGGATTGATTTTTTACGTTTGATTCAAGAAGGGAAACACCAACATCAAGAAGAAGTAGCTAGAAGAAGCGAAATAAAGCAGTGATTATGATATTCTTAATCGTATGCAGTATCGATCATTTACTGTTGGGGCACAGTCCCTGTGGCAGAACAGCAAGCCTTGGAGTTTTTCGACTGCGAGTTCATAGAATTGAAATACCAGCAAAGTCAGTCAATACATCTGCATGAACTCCCTCACTTTAAGTAGAATCGTAACTGAGTTCATCACTGGCGCCCGCACAGAGTTGGTAGAAGGCGTGGTAGTTGCGCTCGTTGTCTTGCTGTGCAGTAATGCGACATTTCTCGAGTAGGTAGTTGCGGATATTCGCTGTTCTCATTAGACCATTTCGTCATTATCCAACGATCGATAATAACAAACTATAGTTACTGATCAAGATTAACAAGTCGAAGCTTCTGTCTATGTTCTTGCTGGGCAGACTACGTATGCGTATGGCGTAACAAAGCCTTTTTGTTCCATTTTGATGAAGCAAAGAAGTTGAAGTACTGAGAGCAGGCCTTAACTTCAATTTTCCTTGCTGGTCAAATTGAATTTCGATGAATTTGCCAAAGCGACTGCTGTTGTCATTTCGCACGGTTTTCGCATTACCGAAGGCTTCGAGGATCGGGTTGCTCTTGAGGACTTGATTCTCTAGAATTAGACCGAGTCTGGGTGCATCTTCTGCTTTACGATCGCGACCTACGTACTTAATGACAAAGAGAAGGGCTCCGCCTCTGCCTCGTCATCGTTGCGGGCACAAATGGCTTGAAGTCCTAATATCCTTGTGAATTCTTGTTCACTGCAGCAAGATGGAAAATAACGACACAAACTCGTTTGTACTTCTCACAGATACAAATGTTGGCTTCTGCTGGACATAAGATACTATCAGATTCAAACTTGTGTGAGTTTTCATCTGAGGAGGAAGAGTCCGCGGGAGCTCCACGAGCCGACATCTTCGATGGCGTGCCACCCACTGACTGCAGGTTTGCGATATAGTTCAAGACCCGCTTGGTTGCTTCGGTTTTCCCTGCCCCTGACTCGCCGGTAATGATGATTAGAAAAATGTACCGAAGCCGAGCACCAGCGTCTTGAATATACCACAAGCCAAACGGCGCAAACACTGTTAACTTAAACACTACTTTTGTTAATTGACATAATAGGGCCAAACAAACTCAAACTTCTACCAAAAACTACTAGCGAATGACGCCGCCGAGTACAAGAATCGATGCACGTCCCAAGGTGAAGATTTCGAGGGTATTAGGCAACATGGCCGACGTATGAGGGCTTTTATTAGAAACTGAAACTACAAAAGCAAGTCATGGCAGGAAAGAAACCTAATCCTAAATAAATAAATGTAAATTGCTTAAAACATTCAAACTGCCGCTTGTTTTACACTGAAATTTACAGCCTTACGATGATGCTCTGACTGCCTCTTTCCTCGAGCATCGTATCGTAGCATTCGGAAGCTACACTGTACAAGTGGGGCGAGATTGCTGCATCTGGATTCTGCTTTCTTACGGACGCTAGCCGACGAGATTTTTAGACAATTACACATCCCCACGTGGGTCTCTACTGTTGGTGTTGCCTAATTATCTCTATCTGCTCTTTCAAGTGCAAGTAACACTAACAAAGAGCTACCCAGGCCCAGAGATTAATTGTCGAAAAACGAGGTTGCAACTATAGGATTTCCATCCGCGATAGTGATTGAGATTGAGGATGAATGGTTGTCATTTATTGTGGAGCACGAGCCACAGCCACTGCATTGCTTCGCCGTAATATTCACCCATCGTTGTCTCTGAATAGAGGTGGTCCAGTTTCTGGTAGGCTATGAAGAGTGCAAGCAGTGGCTTCTTCCATTTTCAAGACTACTCGGACCATCCACCTATTCTTCCTGTTCTCCACCTATTTTTTGCAATTATTTTTTTGCGATTTATTACAACAAAGTAGCCAGCCAGAAATTGCGGCACTACTGGGCGCGCTCGCGGAGGCGGAGGTAGTGGTCTCTATTGTTTTCATTTTTAGGAAACAAATATGCAGTGCTCTTGTTCCCCTTCAAGAAATATTTATAATCATCAATCAAGCTACTAGTACAACAAGTAGAAGCACAAACTACTGGTGCTTGTTCATACATGGATTTATGCTGATTAGAATCGGCGTGCCAATCCCCGTGTAAATGCGGTCCTCGAAATACCGCACACGAATATTGTGCAGTAGACACCCTTCGTTAAAGTCCCCCAACGTGAGTAAGTCCTCCACACCGGAAAGGCAACCTGGTTTTTTTTTCTGATATTGGAAACGTGGTGATTGTGCGTGTGCATCTGCATACAATTGAGCTTTTTAATTCCATAGGGGCGATGGTAATTAATGCTTCAAGGCTAGATTTCACTCCAGTATTCTTCGTGAGACAGTTACTTATCGCAGCAACAAAAAATTGGAATTCATACGGACGGTTGTACCATCAGTTATAATAATTTGCAGTATGGATGAAGTCAAGTCGTGCCGTAGACACCACGCAGAATAATTTTAAAGTAAAACAAAAAGACTACCTCAGCAACTTAATGCGATTGTTTACATCAATGAAGAAGAAGAAGAAGAAGAAGACGAAGAAGGTAACTTAACTTCCAGGAGATAACTTAACTTCTTAGAAGTACTGGCGTCGACGCTGGTCGCCTTGTCTTGTGGTATTTTGAACTGTTGGCCTTCATCGTCCACTGCAATATAGTTTCCGCTGTCATCCAACGAGTCGACCCTTGCAGGACACCATCCTAGATCAGGATGGTTTGCGACCCATATCCGGGCCGTTTCGTTTAGCAGGTCCATTTTTCTTGTTCGTGTGGGTTTTAGCGTCTTCTGCTTCGTACCCACAAGTACAGCTTTCGTCCAACTATATCCTGCTCGGCCACTTTGATCAATATCTTCGCATACTCCAACTACAAGAGAAAGAGGAAAATGCCGCAAGCTCCAGCATTATCTTCATACTCGTCGGCCGCACTGTACTAGGCCGGCTCCTGTGCTTAGCACATATCTCTAGATATAGTTACCTAGGTTGAGTTCCTGGTAGTAGTTGCAGATGCGGGTGGTCTGCGTTAGTACCAAGGGAAATCACAGCCGTGGAGGTCGTACATTCTGCCCACCTGGCACTTGAAGAAACCAGATGTGCTCTTTTTTTTGTTGCTCCACAAGAAATAGAAAGGAACAATCAATCATCAAAAATCAATTTCGCTCTATCGATTTTGTTTTTCTTGCCAACCATTCGATAACACATGAAATCAGAATGCGAGAGCATACAACTGGCGACATTAGTGTCAATATCACAGTCATGTAGACAACAATCTGCGCGTAGGTACTTTCACTTTTTCTTTTTCCTTGATAATAAAAATAATTGCTTGCTGGTGTGATCCGGGAAGGTCGATATTTATGCTGTAGGTATAAAAATGAGTAGTTCATCTGCTTGTGCTTCTGCAGCTAGTAGTTAATATAACTGAACTATTCTACGACACATCATGATCAGCGTTCTTGAACCTATGCCTATGCTGGGTATCAGAAAATCGACTTCTATCGCCACCTCAGATTGTTCTCCTTTTGAAAACATAAGTACTCGTACTTCATATGCACGACAGATGACTTTTTTTCGAGGTTCAGGCCGCTCGTAACGTACTATGACATGATCGTAAACAGACGTTCTTAAGATGTAGAAGTTTTGCCAGATGGGCTACTTTACCTGTCAATGCGATCAAACTCTCTCGGCGACATACTTCTGCTATGGCCTCATCTTCATCTAGATGATAGGCAGAGTGCTTATGGGTAGTATGGACGGTGACCGAGGACAGCCATTTTTATCCTCGCATGATATCCCCTGCGCTTGTACAAGAACAAGGACTCTAAGACTAAGAGTACGTACCTCCTCAAGAATTTCTTTTTGCAGCACATCTCCACCTAAACTAGCACGACTCCACGTGGTCGCTCATCCTCATGCAGTCACAAACAATTTTTTCGGCGGATGTGGACCACCACTGATCTGTAGTACAACAAGAACCAGTTTGATTCTTCATCATCTTCCGGCCCGCCGTCGACCACGCACGACGGACGGCCCGCAATAAATGGTACAATTAGCGCAACAATCACCTATTTGCACCTTTGTCTTGGTTTATGGTATGCAGGCAGGTGGAATAAACTGTTGACTTTTTATCAGAACAAAATAAATAGATACTCGCGAACCAAAAGCTCAGCACCTAAAAAAACATTAATGGGGCGCTTGTTTACCTATATAATACGACGGGTAGGCCACCAAGAAAACGCAAAATGGAACAAATGAACGTGAACCAGAGATTTTGAACCTTTCCATGATTTAAGCAGAATTTTTGTGATATGTGTTTCTCTTTCTTTGTCTACGTCTACCTATCTATGTGTTCAATTCCGGCTATGTTTTTTTGACTGACACATCCCGTACGTAGCAGATGTACCAGGAGGAAGTTTCATAAAAGTATGTTACTTTAAGTTAATAACGTTTTACCAGAAAGGTTTGCTCTCCTTACATTTTTTTAAGTATCTGCGGCTGCGATGAGTAGGAGACCACTTCATCTAACTCTAACATGAATTAAAGTAAGACGAAATAGGATGGGGAAGACGAAGACACCAGATTTTAACGTTTCTGAGTGACGTTCTGTTGTTCGTCGCCTCTTACTGCAGTAGACGACCACGACTAGATCTATTCTCTATAACGTCTAGAGCAGAATATCACACTTCTATATCGTTCAACTTCAGAGAAATAATGATATACGACGATCCCAGACCATTATATCGCCTAAATATGTAAATAAGTCTAGTATTAGGGTGCATCACGATATTCAAGCTACTGGACCAAAATCAGGTGAATCTATAAGCCAAGTGCACTTGCGACTGCGACGCACATACGGCTTGGCTTGTAAAGGCGTAGGGTAAAGAAAAAGATCAAAGACGATCGGCATAATCAAGGAAAAAATAAGTAATTCTCTTGGATGAACAAAAGTGTGACCCCAGTGCGTCCTGCTCGTGTTAGTAGAAGTACATACTGGATGGGACGCCGTCAGCTTCATCGGTTTCAGAAGATTATGCCTTGTTGCTAATTAACGATGACGTGATCCTACCACGATCTCCAGCACATATATCTAATATACGTTTCACTTTCAATTTCATCAAGCAAAAAGTAAGTTGAAAGCTCGGGGACATCACATAACGAAGCAGCAAAAGAGGGCGACCTGCGTCAGCTTACTGCGTCAGTTGTCTCGCCAATAGCCACACCCCCGCCGCCTGCATTCTCCAGCCGCCGCGATCCTTTCAGGCCGCGCGCCTCTGTACTAAATAGCTTGGCGAGCGAGCGAAACTACCCGCCTTTATCTACCTTTCCAGTTCACGAGCTTTTCTTTTTTCGAGCAGGCTGCTATTGGTCCCCATGTGCCAAATCCCCACTCCATAAATCTAGAAGTTCACGAAGCTCTTTCTTCGCGAAGCTTCAAGCATCGAACATCCTCTGTTCAGAGAGTCATCGCGTAGACACTCGCAGACAAGATGAAACGTTCTGCATTAGTTACGAGCAAAGACAAAAAGAAAAGCAACATCCTTATAATATAACGGGGCTCAGGTTGCTCGAGTTGCCACGGTTTGCTCGAGTTCGTTGCTGAGGTGAAGGGCTTCCAACTCTGGAACGAGTTGCAACGAGTTGCCAGAAGAAGCCCAGCCCATCAAAATGGGCGAAGCAGGGCGGCGTGGGCGCGGAAGTGCTTGCTCGGCATGCTGGGGGCCGTCTTCGGGACTTACTTCGCAAAAGAAGGCGGGGGGGCGCTGCCTCCTTCCGTTTGGGGTCGATGTTGGCGACTCGCTGGCGCGGAGCAAGTGCTTCGCCCCCCCCCTGTGGTGCGGGTGCAGAGTTTCGAGTCGGGGACGGTTTTTCGCCCCGCTGTGTTGCAATCATCTGACAGACTGCAAGCACTTGGATGTCTTCCCGTTGTGAATGCCCCTCCTACCAGCCTGGTGGAGCGTTCTTGTTCTCTACTTGAACACCTCGGCAGGGGTGCGCCCGCAGGGCGCAGCGAAGAATTTCCAGGGGCAACCCGAGCAACTCGAGCAACCCGAGAAACTCGAGCCGATATGGGTCAAAAAAACCCTAATTCTATTATATATTTCTTTAACTATGGAAATCAATTTGCATATGATAATCTCTAGTAGGTACTGCTACTGGAAGAAAAAAACTTCTACTTAGGAGATTCTAAATATTACGACTAAAATGATCCTGATGTGGGCATAGAGAAGATGACTAAAAACAAACTTAAACTAACACTCAGAATGTTCACGCTCAGACGGGACAAATAATTCACTCTCATCAATCACGACACGGAATCCGTATCGGATATACACCCAGTAACAAATAAGAAAAAGAACCTTTAGAAGTAGAAGGCGCTGTTCACCTTCGAAGCTCGAAGACCAATTTCAATATGAATCTCTTCGGAGAGAATCGATAATCTGTGATCATCTTGTTCTTGATAGCTGCATCCTCGTAGCAGCTTCACGGGGTCGGTTGTAAATGTGAAAAGAATCAAGTTGAGATGAATACGAACACTCTACTAGAAGAAGGTACAGAGTATCTAGGTACGTGCTTACATCACGGAAACTTGGGTGCAGAACGATGCCACGCTTCCGCGAGGCAGTTTGGGTCAGTTTGTAGAAAAAAGGACATCAACACGACAGAGAGAAGGAGCAGCATGTTGATAAATTCACTCGATTCGAAATAAGCACACCTCGACATCGACGAGGTTACAAAACATTCGACAAATTCCCTGAGAGTGAGAGCCGTATGCGACTCGATATGAATTTTTTTTCCGTGAGTGTGCTGATCCCAATCTCGTGTAAAAAGTCGCGCACCTCCCAGAAGAAGTCTCTTTCAATGTTGTGCAGACGTGTGACCTATCAATCCCGCGGTCGACTAAATAAAGTTCCTACATTCATTGTCCTTCGTTCTTTCCGGAAGAAAATTCCCATCCCAAGTTACAGCAACCACGTCTCGTGCGTGTAGATGCTTAGCTAACTGTTAGCTTCTTAAAAAACGCTTCTCGTTCTCCTTCTTCACCCGCCACGCTGCAGTAAGACGAACTAGAGAAGATCTATCAAGTTCGTTACGGTTGGCGCAGAAGAAACTGGAGGTGGCAGAGCTCCACCTGATGGTGCCGAGTCCTCCATTGCATCGAGGAGGTCAACAGAAGTACCAGAACTGGCCATGTTGTTGCCTCTGACTGGGCCCTGATACGGTATGAACAGGAAGAAGAGAAAGAACAAATTCAGATTGAAATTTGTATTTCAATTTATGCCAATATCATGATTCGATGGGGATGATAATGACGAAAGTGATTTATATTGACTTTAAGTGATGGTACACGTACACTTTATGTTCATCTTCTCTTTCCCTGGTTTCTGTATCTTCCGTCTTCGTCTAAAACTATCTCTGTTAGTGTCACCTTCTGACAAAGTGCCAGTATTAGGGGTAGGCCTTAGGTATTCCTGTCGCCGTTTGCTTTGCCTCTCCTAAGGAAGAAAATAAAAGCAGAACAAAACAGGAAACAGAAGCAACCAAAACCTACCTCTAACAGAATCTTTAGCCTTTTCATCATCGAGTTTATGTTTAGATATCTCAGCAAATTCGCTTTTCGCGTTCATAATGCTCTGATTGTATGAGTATGCTGCTGGTGGTGCTCGTACATTGTGGTCTCCCTCCTCTTCACTGTCGGTATCTTCCCTGTGTTTCGTGTAGCAAATCGTGCTACCTGTGGCGCTTGTCAGTGCGGCGCCTCTCTTGTCACTCTGATAAAAGTTCGCGTAGATTCCACATACGTTAGAGCAGAAAAGTACTACATCGTGAAATCTCTGTCGTCTGTGATTTTAATCATCCAGCGATGAAATAACAAAGAGCTCCGCCAGTTCAATATTTAGAACAAGGGAAGATTGATTGTATGGTTGACAGTGATGTCGATTGATCAGAGCTCGAACCTACCAAAAACGTCATGCCGTAATATTTGTCGAACCTCTACTCCCTGGAGGATCGCTAATCGGCGTATTTGGTGATGGGCTCTGCTTGCTTGGGTCTGCTGACAGCAGATCTACGTGTGGTCGAGGTGTGCATGATGTGGATGATGAGGCCCCTCCTCTGCCAGTGCTGCTAATGGAGGCGCTCTCTGCTGTGGACAGCGGATCACCTGCTCCACTACTCGCTCCTCTCGTTGCGCCTCCGGATGAATCATCAGCTACCACATTCAGGACTTGGAGTGCGGTTTCTCGAACATGCTGAGCGCGCTTGCGAACGAGATGTGTTACGCGCTTATCTTCGTGCGAAAATGCCATCAACAAAGCACACTGTTGCACCACATCAAAATGCCGTCCCTCACGCTGCTCTTCAGCAAGGACCGCGATTTGCATTACCTGATCCGCTCGTCTACAATGCCCTTCTAGATGAGAGAAGAGAAACACATCTGTAGAAGAAACTATTCCTAAACAACCCCATGTTTGAAAATTTATCGGTCAGTAAGTATCATCATCATCTTCAACAGTTCTTCAAAGACAAGATGAAAGACAAAGAGCAACATCAAAATAAATAATTACATCTACGAGTGCGAACAACTACACAAGCACGGGCACGACGACGACTACCATTATACATAGTTAGACATGGTTATAGAAGCAGGTAATACATAAAAGATTGAATGAGAAGTGCTGTCCAAGTAAGGACGATAGAAGTACTCTTTCCAATAGGCGTAGGCCATTGTAGACCCTGCGCCAGCTTTTCGTGTCGTAGATAGCCTCTTGAATGTACTTCATCGTTGTCGCACGTTCTTCGAGTCGATACCCCGGTTCGATCCGCATCTTTATTCTTGCCATTTTCTGCTTGATTTCCTCAGATTCGACCTCGTCGTCGCATGCAGCAACAAAATCCAAATCATTTTAGAGGGAAGAATTCTTGGTCTTGGAATAGGAATACGAAATGGTTTTCTATTTTTCTTCTAATGTTGGCCTGGCCTTGATGAAATCATTTCCAGATGAGAATCAATTGTAAGGATTCTAGAAGGACGAGTAAAAGAAAGTGAACCCACTCAGGAACACTCCTCACACTAGATTGCCTCATGAAAAGCCAATCTTAATCTTGAGTAAGTTCGTCTTTTGGCTTGAATAGTCCGGCAAGGAATGTCGTTACCTTGCCTCCACTACCAGCAGTGCCAGAACTCATTTTCGTCTTCGAGGGCAATGCAGTAGGTAGTTTTTCTCCTAGTTATAAGCGTTACCGTTGACGGCGACGAGAACAGGTAACGAAAACGAAGTTCCTGTTGCTTCTTGTTGTTGTTGAGTAGTGTTGTCACTCGCTCAGCAGGCACAGAAGCCCTTCGTTCCCCTTCTAAAAATCTTAATTCATCATTTCAGTGATCATTCATCAGCCCCGTAATCGCGTGTCCTATTGCGACTCTGAAAGTTTTCCAATGAGCGTCAAAATTTTCCTGTCGTTTTTTTTGGTTTCTATGTCACTGACTCTGACCCTGATCGGGTTTCTCTTCCTAAAGCTAAAAGCGACACTTGTTACTTAGATGAAAATAAGTACACTCAAAGAGGATCCTGGAGGCAATGTGAGCTCCAAATGTAAGAGGAGTTTGGTGATGGTAGGAAAAGGAAGGTGTTTGGTGATGAGGAAGTCTGGGTGTGACAAGAGCTGTATTACTATCTATTAGTATTTTTGTGGCTGTAAAATCGTCCTGGCTGCGCCGAGCCCGAACACAAGAACAAAGTCAACAACCCAGGCAACCCTATTGCTGCCGTTGAGAGCATTCTAAAGTTCTTTTACAACTCCAGGAGCTTGGTCTCACTCTTGTCGAGGATAGTGGAGCACCGGGTGGAGGCCGTTGAAATCCTGATAACGACACATGGAAATGTTAAAGTGACGAGTCATATTCTGCGCAACTTGTTGTACCTGTCCATGTTTGAGGCATCTCATCATCCTTGTCAACAGGACAATGTCATCAATGAAATCGATGAATAGGAAAGCATGGCGGGAAATGGAAAAGGAACAGCAAAATGAAGATGAACCAAGAAATATATAATCATAGCCACGATTTTGATCTTCTTTGAACTGAATTCTTTATATTGAAGAACTTATCTTCGCGGCCGCTTGTATCGTCGTTTTAGGCTGGTGCCACAGAATCGTAGTCAGTGCTACCTTTATCTTGTGCGAGATGCTGGCGGACTCCTCCTTTTTATTAGACGCCAAGATCTATCAATAAATTCTTCTGCACACCTTTCAGTTTCATCGATAATGTAGTCGCTAACGCTATACCTATAGTGGTACCTGTAATCTACTTATCATGTACTTACTTATATTATAAGATACAACTACATGACTATTTCTGTGCAGTGGGTTGAAAAGAGACACACCAGAAACTCAGCATTTTAGCATAAGCTGTGAAAGTTGTGCTCGTGTACCTGTACGTGTAGTTCATGTTAATATTAATATTATAAAGTAATAGTAACAGAGATCATGCTGAAAAGTGCGCATCCAATCAGCCTGCGAGGATGGGGAATCAGTAGCTAGTTACTATCTCATAAAGACTCTGGAGAACTTGACGCAGAACTACTGCTTGACGATGACATGCTTGCACTACTACTTGAACTACTACTAGGATTACTTGCAGGGACACATTTTCTTTTATCAAAATTTGGTTGGCGTGCACGACTAGAAGAACTACTTGCAGAAGAGGAAGATGATGCGGATGACGAGCTTCCGCTTTCGCTCGCAGAGTCACAGTCACTGCTCGAAGATGATGATTCACCGTTTCTTCGAGGGCTTTTGTTGATTGTATTGATGTTCTTTGGCGATAATTTCGCAGGTGACGGAGAGCAAGAAGTCTTTCCTTGCGACATACCGACAGCCTCGTGCTCATTCTCTACTAATTCAGGTCTGGCGAATATAAAAAATCTTCGGTACTGGCATCGAAAATCCGGATCGGGTTCATACAGTACGAGAGATGAGTCGGAGACCTGCTCTACTTCTCCTGAAACTGATTTAGATTTTACTGTTGATGTCGAGGTCGGCCGACCCGGACGGTGGACATGATGCGAGCGGAAGGCCTTACGTCTGTTTATTCTCTTTCGCCGTTGGGTTAAGGACAGCTTTCCGAATTTTGTCTCATAGCTCTCCCAAAGCTCTCTATTAGGATTTGGAGAGGCTTCGACATCATGAATGTGTTTACTGTCGTTTTTGATGGACTTCGACTTTGCTGATTCGTGCTTTTGCCTACAGCTTTTCTTGGCGTTCACCACGACATCCTCATCCTGCAGAAGGGTGTTTGATATTTTCGTTACGACTTCAGTTGTGAGGTCTCTGTCATTCTTCCTTTGACCTCCATCAAGGTCAGGCTTTTTCGTTTGGTTGCCACGGGTGCCTGGATTTGCGCAACTTCTGAGCTTCTTTGAAGATGAAGATTCTTCCGACAGCAGCAGCAGCACATCGTTTTTAATGACGTCGTTCGGCAGGTATCCCCAAATGTTCGGCAGGCTGAGGCACTGTTTTTCTAGCCTCTTCAGTTCGTCCCTGTTCTCAAAACCATCCCCACCCTGAAGGCCTGCGATATTGTACGCCGGAAAAGGCGTACTCTTAGAAACGATGAGGGGATCGAGCACTTATCCGGGGGCCCCTGGGAAAAATCTTCATCTTGATTACTTAACATTATTGTAAGTACTCTTTTTCACATTCACTACCTCGCCTGAGAGCAGGTGAATCCCACCTACGACGGACTAGTTTGATAAAAATCCCGGTTCCCAAGTCATCCATTCCCACATCAGCTAACCATCAGGATCAAGAAAGCTATTCACAGTAAACATAAAATTGTCAAACGCTGCACCGCGATACAGCTCTTCTCGAAGACGTGCTCGCGCAGCATCACCATGATCGAAGGGGACATTTAAAATTTGACGGACACGCTGCAAAACTCCAACTTCGCGATCCTGTAGTAGGCGGAGAATACGCTTACGTGGTAATGCCGATCATTTACATTTAGCTTTTATTACGACCACACCCGGATAAATATATTTTATCGTGACTGAAAGATAGGAGCTTGACGATGACCACGCTTGACCACGAGTATAAAATATTCGCCAGCCGAGTATCTTTCTTGAGGAACATGAGACGGATTCAATCCTAGTGATACTACTATGTGCTGAAGAGGATATCACCTACAACTAAAATGACATCCTACTTGTTCTAGAGGTTTTACATCAACTACAACTAACAAGTTAGTAAGTAACCCTTTCTCTCATTATTTGTTAATTATAAATATATAAAGGTTACCTGAAGTATCAGGACCAATCCTTACCTTGCCAGACTTGCTTTCTGACCAATCATCACGAAGCAGCTTTTGGATCTGTTTATTCGGTTCGTTTTCTTCACCTTCATCTTTTTCCGCACCAGGGTGGTCTTCGAAGACGGAAGCGGATGATACCAGGCAAATTAGGGGCTTTTAATTTGCTTATACGTCGTTCTCGGGCGACGCTATTATTGCTACTGATAGAACTTGGGGCAAGGTTAAGTTCTATACCTGTCTTTCGAATGAAAATGTTGACATAAATGGCAAGGATGACAGTCGAATATGATTGATGTTAATCTGTAGCCTTGTAAAAGCCTTAACAATGGAGTGCTGCTGCTGGCCTCCGCGCCGTGGTCTTGAGTTGCATTCTTGCTGGCTTTTTTCGAACCTTTACCGTTGCCGGGCGCTTTACCTTTACTCCCCTTTTTAGATCCTTGGCCGTGTTTTCCAACAGAGCCTCCTTTTCCCGATTTGCCCAGCGAGGCACTCTTGCCGAGGCACGAGTTAGAGTGTGTTTGTATTCGTCGCTCCCTGTCGTGAGTGTCGTTTGTTGATGATGATGATGATGATGGAAGATGATTGCTCTCCTTCGGGTAGCACAGCACTCACTGCAACAGCGTGGTCCTCTTCACTAGAAAAGCAATCGCTAACAGCGTATTTGCTTCTAAAATCAGTATTCGCATCAATCCACTGCACATAACCTTACCGCTTTTTCCTGTGACTCGAGCTTTGGGCGTCGGGCTGATTTCGAATGACTCATCCGGAACCCACCACCCACATACGCAGTTAGGAAAGCGGTCAGGTGCGGAAGGCGGAGGCTCATAGGAGGGTCTTGAGGCATCTTCTCCGGAAAACTTGACGCTTGCTGTTTAGAAAAAATGGCCATCTATCGGGAACTGTCAAAGCTTGTTGTATCGAGAGCAACTTTTTAGAACAGTAACCACTTATCAAGAACTACATCACGATCATTTTCAACAACGACCCACATCTGAAACCTGCCTAGTACTAAAAGTAAAAGAAGTTGCTCCGTGTCCGTCTTCTAATTAACAAGGTGGAAGTGCTTCTTAGTCTTAGTACTGCAGAACAAGTCGTAACTCTTCTCTGCCCAATCTCTGCTGCCTACTTTTGGCGAAACGTTTCCTCCATATGATGGCCGAGCCGCGGGGACCACGGCAGACAGTTGTTTCCTGGAATCCGGTCCGCTGAAAGCACAACCCATTCTTGCCTTACGCCTATACTTTTCGGTAAGCGAAAGCGAAGATCGTGAACAGGCCGAGAACAAAGACGTCCTGAGGCATCCTTTTTTTTGTATCTATTTGTCCTTGTAGTCGAAGTAGTAATCCTCATTACTAAAATGCGCGACTCGTTGAATTCACCATGTTGTGCATGTGCGATAGTATTCTGTCCTGGTAGCTGATGTTTCTAGTTCACATGCCACGGCAATTGTTACTTAGTCATCAAGACCCATCACGAACAAAATTCAATCTCGCTACTAGTGAATCTCTTCTGAGTTTCTCATCTTCTCTCACACTCACGTGTAGTGAAAGATGTGCAAGGACAAGGTACTGCACACGGACGGGACCTAGTCGGCAGCAACACGACTCATTCTTCAAGACACTGGCCCTTCTTCATCGTGAAGCTTAGCACTTGAATCATCTACGGTCTTTTCCCGCTGAGTTCAGACTTGCTATTCTCCAATTTCGGTCAAAGTTGTAATCGATGTGTGATTTTTCGGGAGTGCGTGGCTCTGAACAACATCAACAAGCGTCAAACGCTCACTCATGAAAGCTCGGATAGCTGATTGCTTTGATGCTGTGAAGACATGAAACGTGAATGGCAGAAAACTAGCAAAATCAGACGGTGGCAACCTCAATTTCCCCACGGTTTCAAAAACAGATCTAGCTGCAGCGAAATGTGGACACCCGTAGCAGGTGGGATTTGCGCACAAGATGAAAAATGATCGACAATCAATCGTAAACAATGGGACTTGGGATTCTGACACTGGGTGCACGAGGTGGTATCCTTAAGACGCTAAATGCGCCTATTTCAACTAAAGAGCCGTCATCCGATCATGGAAGAACTTTTTCAAAGGCGGTCTGATCATAATATCACGATTCCCAAGACAACTATGTAACATTTATACCCATTAAAGGTAACCGTTAAGACATACTCATACCCCCGCCCACAATACGGTGGGAGCAGAAAACATACGACAAATGCATCTGGTGTCAACACAATTTAATCCATTTACTTTCCCGCGTTTTGGATACAACATAGTTGATATGATTATGATGAGCTGCGTCCTAATTAATGCTCGGGAGTAGAAGTGAATCAGAGTGTGTTGCTGTTATGGCGATGCTCCAAAAAAAACATGCTCGTTAGATTTCGGTATGATTATTCCACGGTCTTTATCTTTTCCCTCTCTTGCGTTGTAGAAGATTTCTTGTTCACCTGCTTCCACGTGCTTATTACTGCTGAGGCTCAGCGGTTCCCAAATTCCCGGTGTGCTGAACTGCCACCAGAACCTCCACTTTGGTGAGGAACCATAACTCCTGGCGTCGTTACGTTAGAGGTGAACCCTCTCGTGTCATAAAAATAGAACTAGAGGGCCTCTTGTTGAAAAAGCGATAATGAAAAACCTGCAACCACTGAAGCTGCTGAACAATAAAGATGTGGTGGAGCACAATTATATCATAAGGCGCACATAACCATAAGTGGAACTCGAGAACTTTACGCCTTTCTTTGAAAATTTTATTAAGTAGCCTTAAGTGTTGCTGTTGTGAGGAGAGACAAGCCTGTTGGCGCTGACGTGGTTGGGTAAATCGGCGCTGCTCCTCCAACGTGTGGTAATGGAGCAGGAGCACCTTTGATAAGGTGCACGCCTCCTGGCAAGCGTTGCGGGCCTGCCCAATGCATCCCACCCTTCAGCATGACCCCCTTCGGTGGGGGAGCAAGCTGGTGCCCAGGAGCTAGGGACTGGCCTGGAACTAGATAGGCATGGGGAGCTGGAGGAGGTTGCACGAAGCGTGCACTAGATGAAGACGACGCTTCTTAGAGGATCAATCAACGTTGCGTCTGCGTATTGGCGTTCGTATGTCGACAGTTGACAATTACCTCTGTCATCAACACGTTGTTGTACAAATTTGTAGAAAATGTTGTTTAGGAATTCGTCACAAGAACAGCAGTAAGTACTAGAGGTTGATGTACTAGAAACTCGCAGGAGCCACAAAAGAAACCCTGCTAACACTGACAGACAGAGACGCAAAACGTCGCAAGCCTTAAGATGACGTCGGTGTGTGGACAGAGGGTGCACCTGGTGCTATTGCGCCTATTTGCTGGTGTGGTGGCTGCGAATCAGCTCCATGATTAATAGCGGGCACTAGTGTACCATTCGGCTGTTGAGATCCAGGGTCCCCTATACCTGACATGCCACCTCCTCCTGCTGGAATTGCAGCTCTATGTTGATCTTCGGCACTGTGGCGACCTGTAGTTCCGGCAGCGACAAAGTGAGACATTAGAACAGGTCGACCGATTCTGTTGATTCATTGACTTATTAATCGTACGAAGTGTTGATGTGGTAACTATTTCGGCTCGATATGGTTGATGAATATGAGGAATCTTCACTTTTCTAGTATTTCTAAATCGCACCTCTTTATCGTAGCCTCGTCGCTGACGCTCCTAAGAAAAACTATACACATATATAATGGTGATGGTGATGCAGAAGCAGATGCTGTTTGTGAGTATAATATCAAAGAATAGATATAATTAAGATTTGTGAACGCGTAGCCTTAACTGAGTTAAGGTTTCCGAAGATGTGCTTTGATCCATGATGGCACTCATCGGATCATGCGGGGCCTCTGTCAGGGCGTTCCTATGATGAAACCATCACGCATTAGAAAAAGAAAAAGCTCCAGAAAAACAAGTAGCTTCTCAAGAACAATATTGACCATAATACTTTTTTTGATATTCTGTTTCAGTTTCTGTAGATCATGTACTTATGGGTGTAAAGACTTATATATCTATAAATATATCTATATCAATTGAAATGAGTCGCTCTCGTTGGTAGAGGTAGTTCTCATGGAGGTCCTTAACTTTTTTATTTCCCTTTCTGCCTTTGCCATGATAGTGCTGCTCATCTTGCTGTTCCGATAGCGTTGGTCCGATCATTTCTGGGGTGGATGCTGCGTGGCCCCAAGCGCCGCCACGTCGGAAACCACTTTTTCCAGGGAACCTTGTTTAGATGTCAGAGTTTGCATACTTACTTTTCCTAGCTTGTCTGACCGGCACCAGAAGTACTAATAGATACTGCTACGACGTGCAAGTCCTTCTATTTCCCTCATGAAAATGTGGTATGATCCATTTCATTGACTGTTTTCTGTTCTTTGTTGTTGTGCATCTTCAAATGACCAACAGTGGTACATATCTTTTCTTTACATGCATGTTGATCATAACAGCCTCCACACTTTCCGTCGCCGCCTTTGCCTGCATCTTTGTCGGTCCCTTTGTAATGGTTGTCTTTGTCCTTACCTTTATGGCCTTTTTTCTCTCCCCAGCTGGTATGTTCACCTTCCTCAAAACGTGCACGCATTCTCTGTTGATTAAACTCGACCTGCAAATTGTGTCGGTGCTGGATCTCCAATTGCCGAACTGAAATGGTTGTGTTGAAGAACGGAAGGGATTGCGACGCTTCAATTAAAGGTTGCAGAATTACATTCTTCAGAACATCCCTCACCTCTTTCCTATTCCTACTGGAAAAAGAGTGAGGAATGGTTGTGGGGGATGTAATTGGTTAACCCTTAATTCAAGGAGGATGAAGACGAGCCAGGGGATTCTAAATCTAATTCATCAATATATTAGAAGTAATATTACAAAGAACCTAAAAAGAAGTACAACTGGTAGTGTTAACGGTAAGTAGTTGCAGCACATGCACTAGACATCCGTACTATCGCTATCTATCAAAACAATATTCTTTAACACTCTACCATCTTCCTGATGCTGCCTTTCTTCTGGCGATGGCTCATGGGTCCGATTTTTCTTGGTGGGTCTTGGAGCTCCCAAGACAGGATGTTTTAGAAAGTCCCGGATTCTGGCAATCAAAACGTTCGATGGATTGGCCACATCAGCAACTGACCCTTTCTGCATCACTTTCATTTGAAATTCAACAGTGAGACACCGCAGGCGGACGAAGGCGTCTTTATCAATCTATTGAGAATGTGAGGACAAGAAAGGAGTCAGTTAGAAATACGAACAAAAATGAGTATTATATGGAACGAAACAATAGCAAATTGTTCATTTTCCTCTTTTATAAAAAGGTCGAAAGTCACCCAAGCTCAAGGCAGAAGCAACCAGAGCACACCAGAAGCTTGGTGGAAGTTTAGGAACAGAGAGTAGACGAAGACGTGACGAGCTATCGATGTATTAGTACCCTATTTTCCTCCACCCACTCCATGAGACCCTCTGCGAGCTCAGGATTTTCATGAATCCCAATAGCTTCGAGCTTTTCACTTGTGTACTCGCCTGAGCGTGGAAGCTTAGAAGGCCGACAAGAATTAAATCACAAACCCCTTCCTCCTGTCGAACATTTTCAGAGAAAAAGACTGAGACAAAACAAAAGCGCGAGCGCGTAGAATTGAATAATATGTGACTCTGATCCGAATCAAGCGCTGCACCCCATGGATTCCGAAGTGCTAGCTGCTACGAATTCACTCTGCAGATGAAAATAAGGGGGATGATCCTCAACATGAGAAAAGCAGTCCTTTGACGACATTCGTGTTCGTCTCTAGTTGAAATTACCATAGAAAGTCATCTTGTTGTTTGAAGTAGAGACATAAGAATAGGTGCGCCTGACACTGGTGGTGGTTGCTTCCCATGAGCATATCGCGCATAGGGATTAGGAACTGTTGCCACCGCTATTGACTCCTCAGACTCCTCACTGGAATCCTCTGCGCTTGAGTCGTCCGAGCTCGCCTCGCGCGCCCGCTTTCGCCTCTTCTTCTTACTCTAAAATTAGAAGCTCGTCAATGATGAGTCAAGATCTCCAGTGGCAGTGAGTGAGTAAGGTCGAGCTCAAATAGTGTAAGAAAAAACGCGTCGTCGCCCCGGCCCCGCAACTTCTACGACCCTCTACTAGAACCATGCTCAATGCCATACTTTTTATCGTTTCGATCCCGATCCCGTTCACGATCTCTCTCGCCTTGGTCCTCATAGTCTCGTCCTTTGCGATCGTTTTTTCTTGACTTTTGGCCTTAGAAATGAAAAGTCTGATTCTGGAATCATGCGCCATACATGACGACTCGAATCTATTCGTCGGCAGCTTGCCTAACATTTCATCCCCGAGGACTACAACTACTGCTATGACTACTAGAACAACAAGATTGTTTGTCTTCAGCCTTAGTTTTCCCGGCGCGTTCTTTCGGTGGTGCCGCTGCCTGTAGCTGCACTAGACGAAGGGCCACAGGCGCTGCTACTGCTCGCTGAGGCGAAATGCTGGTCAACGGGAGACCCGCATATATGAAAGGATGGCGCTGATTGGGGGTAAGTCGTGGGGAGGAGGAGGGATTAAAGGAGGAAGCTCTAGCTCGTGGTGGATCCCGTCTCATAAGGAGCAAGGGATCATCTCCAATTCCAAAGTCAAGCTTCAGCTTGTACTTCATCTTCATCTAACCTATAAATATTAAGTATATATCGAGTATTGACATTGACTCAATTGAGATTGACTCTTTGAGGTTGAGTTAGAAAATTAGAATCAATGATTCACAAGTAGCAGTCATACATTGTTGTATTTCTTTCTACTTGAGAAGATCATCTAGTTCTTGATGCATCAAAATTCAAAATCAACGCGCATCCCATCATAACCATGTTGAGCTGCCATTAAAGGGTGGCTCGGAGGGGCCCAGCCGTGTGCAGCGTACCACTCGTACGCTGGGTGGTAAGAGGCAGCACCCGGAAAACCATGCTGCGCAAAAACATGCTGACCGAAGCCACCTCCCGCGCCAGGCTGTGCGTAGTGTAAATATGTTTTCTTTTAAATGAAACTGCGAGTGCGACTGCCAAGTGTTGTTCCTAGAACAATAACACGAGAAGTACTCGGCATCAAATTTTAATAAGTTCGTTGTAGGTCGTCTAGTAGGCGAGCCAAGCGCAAGCGTAAGCGAAATTCTTAATTATGGTTTTGATTTCAAGACGAGGACTATCCCTCATATCTCCAGTGTTGGAAAAGATGATGAATTGGAATTGCGTCTGAAAGTAGAGTAGTACGATTCCAAGCAAAGGCTGTTGTTCTGGTTGATGCTGAGGCGTCGCGCTACCAGAGGGTTTTTCTTTTCGTTCTTTTTTGCCTTTCTTTTTCTCCTTTTTCACTTTCTTCTCGTCCTCACTCATTTTGTTGTTATTTTCAGATCCTTACGCAGAATAGAACCTTTAAAAGTGACAGACGTGGTACTTAGAAGTTTCAGCAAAATGGATTGTTAACGATGCACATTCTTCCTGTAGAAGTTCATTGTTGTGTGGGTCATTGCTGCAGTTGTGATCTCGTCTTTGAGGGCATTTTATATATGTAAGATTAAGTTGGTGACACAGTTTCTGAAGCTCCAGCACATAGAATTGATGGAGCTTAATTAAATTATTATTTGCCGTGTTAGTTGGTTAAACTGTAGTAGTACACCACTTGCTTTGTTGACAAAGACGAGCTCAGTGGTTCATATCTCCTGCAGCGGCCCCAGGTGCCCGTAGGTGTATGCTTAATCAACGGGGTGTTAATGATACAGAATGCATAGAAAAGGAAAAACGGAATGAAAGGCAACATAGGTCATAGTGGAACTATCTAAGTATGTCTATTCAGACGAAGAGATCCTGTTTTCCAACCTTTCTCTGTTTTTGGTACGCGAGAGATCTGTACTAAGATTGGCATCTGCGGTCAGACAGATCTCTGATCGACGCATCTTTGCCTTATCGTCCCCTATGTGCTTTTGATCTACTTCCTTGTCCCTTTGGTGTCCTTTCGATACGTGCAACTTCCTAAGCACACATTGTACGCCTTCCCGAACACTCTGCCGTCACAATTGATATTGCTTGTGGTAGTTGTACCAGTACCAGTAAGCAATACCTATTCTGGTCTAACATGAAGATGAAGGTCGTTTTGACGCGTTTTTGACCTTGTACCTCGTTACCCACGATCTGCAAACCACCACCACAAGGATTGGCATCTATTCCTGCTTTTCAACGAAATTTGTTCGTCGTATACTTCCAACAATATTTTTCTACCTTTTTATCATCGTCTGTAAATCAAAATCGTGCTCGTACTCCTGATACATTAATGCGGTAAGATGCTTAATATTTGCAAAACATTTCTACTTGCTTTTGCCTCTTTCCTTTTCATGTCATTGGCGAAGTTACGTCTCTACTGTGAAAATGTAACATTCATGCTCTCGATACTAGCTATGACGTCCTATAAAAAAAAGAAATAAAGAAATTGAAATGAAGAAAGGGATTATATTTCTAATAAATGCCTTCCACCGAGGAGCGAGTCTGCATCTGCTATTATGCTGACGCCGTACAGGTACATTCATTCTTAGATTGACATAGTGAAAAAATAATGGCAATAGATCTTCTCAAGTAGCAAGTAAACTGTCATCCTGTTGTGCGACATTCGTTTCTTTCCATCATCGTTTCTTCCTTACTTCCGGAAGCCACGAGACCAAAACTAATGAAAACAAGGCAAAAAGCCTGACTGTATAAGTAGTAAGATGAAGAAGAAGTACAAGCAACAGTAACTAAGTGGGTAAAAGTGTCAAGTTTTCGTACTTCACCTTATTTTCTGACTACATACGAAAATCATACTATGTATAGGTTACGAAATTGTGTCTGTAGTAACTCAATGGCAGCATGAAGTAGGATGACGTATGTGTGTCTCTCTCTATTATGTAAGGAATCTTATATCGATCAGAATGTCCATGCTGGTATAGTGGGAGCAGCATCACTTTGACTTTGACTTACGAAAAAGAATCAATGAATATGTGCTGTGAAATGTTCACGAATAGGTAGTTCACTTTTACCCACGATCAGTTTCCGTCCTTAACATTCAATATGGTAATGTGATGTTTTTAACTCTATGCTTATGAACTATGGATCCCACTGATCCCTGACGCTAGTGATGAATGCGATGGTGGAGCATTCTTCTACTTCTATTTCTCCTTCATGATTGTGAATTTGGTATAACATGTGAGTATACAAAATAGTCATAATGTAGGTAGGAGTGTTCTCATTTTGTGATCACGCAGTTCAGCTTGTGGTTTGAATCTTCAAGAAACAGAAATCTAGATTCATTGACTCTGAAAAAAAGATGATTCGGCCTAAAAGCAAAAGCATTAGAATATAAAAAAAAATGTACGCCTGTCCATTTGCAATTGCATGCTAATCAGCACTTCTAAGCTGACGCTGTTGCGGGACTTGTGTCTAGGGTCTCGGAACGTTTTGCTCGAAGATATTCAACACCAGTGTGAAAGCTCCCCTCACCTCTGCTGAGCTCCCCGTATCCCTCTTCCTCGCCGTCTGCAGACTTGGCCTCGGTTGTATTCCCATAGTAGAAAGTTTAGAGCTCGGCAGACGTTAAAACATGAGACACAACAAGCTTACGAAAGATTAAACTACTTAATAGACGAGAAATGGCATCTCATTCTCATAGAGAAACTGTTTGATGAAATGAAGTCCTGCCGCCTGAAGATAGGTCTTTCCGTTTTCTTTCAAGGCACTAAATTGAAAATTGAACTGCACCTTCTAGCATGCATTTGTATCGTCCGAAGAACTAGGATGGCGCGACTACATCAAACAACGGGCCTTAGTATTCGTAGTACGGGTACTCGCTTGCGCTACTCGCATCCTCTCTTCCCTCGACTTTTTGAGACGTCGAAGAAGGTTGAAGAAGCGGCGCACCAAGGACAGGCTTCTTCACCGCAAGCTGCAGTTTTGTTGCCACTGGCTGACATTTTAGACAAGACACCAAACTTTGACTACAGGGTGCAGAACACCACACCATCTTAATATAGACTGCAGGGTACAGAAACAGAACAGCAAGATATTAATATTTATAGATGTGTGGCCGTCTGCACCTCAAGCCCAAGGTCGTAGTGAAATCGAGTATACAACTACTGCGTAACAGGAGTAACGAGTCGCAGTATTACTCGTTACAGTTGTTGAGCATGATGTTCATGTGCGTAGTTGGGGTTGAGAAAAATTGTCTTCAAATCTTTCGTCCAAATACTTAGATTAGAGGTTTGTTCGTAACTGCTGCTGTGCTCCAAGTTTGATTTGATTTCTGGTTCCACCTGCTGTTTGTTTTCCTTGTTGGGCCAACAGTTTTTCTCTGTATTTCCGTTCTAAAATGGCTTGTTCTATGTGGTGCAATTTCTGTTTTTCCTCTTGATCCGAGCCCAAGGATCCGGCTAATCCTCCTGTTGTCGATGATGGATAGGACGATGGCGGCCAAACAGTGCTAGAAGTATTCACAGGCCTCAAAAAATGCGTGAAGATATTGTTGCCTCCTCCGATTCCTCCACCATGAGCATTTGAGACTCTTGTGAACTGCTGCTGCGCACGAGATCCTAGTTCCTCCCTCTCTGGCGATAGGCTTTCGCCAGTTATCGTGCTGCTGGCTAAAGGTGACCCAGCTGGCAAAACGGTTTTTAGAGTTTTTGAACGCACTCACGTCCGCTCTAATAGCATGATCCTACTTCTACCTATACTTTTACTTACCTCGGTCCAATTTCTTAACACTCAAAAATGGCGATAAAAATGGAAAAGGATAAGCGGTCTCTGGGGATACAAGAATTCCGGCGATGGATGACCTTAAAGTACTACCTTTACTCGAAGAGGCTGTCGGAAGAATGCGAGTGGTCGCAGTACTACTACTAGTGGATCGTTGTTGTGGGACCGCTCCATCTAGTTTCTTTGGAGATCCGCTGACGTGTCCTTGTACTTGTGTCACATTTGCTCCCGATGCGTTTCTAGCAGACGAAACGGCAGGCACTGCGGCGGAGCTGCCCTCGCGAGAAAGGAGCGCAAGTCCCGCCTCTCTTCCGGAAAGAAGTGGCGTTCTAGAAGCTAGGCTTGGCGTAAATCGCGGAAGCTGCAGGACGTTGAAGAGACTTCCGGAACCGTTCAACGTGCTGCGACCCGAAAGCGTCAGTGGAGCGCCACCACTCCGAATCAGGCCTGTGCCTGAAGAAATAACGTGTTCCGCAATCTTAATAATCTCTCTTGGTGTCTGTCCCCCTTGAACTTCAGCACCGCGAACGGACAGCGTCCCAGCTTTGATACCATCTTCCGTACTCTTCTCACCGGCATTATCACTGGCGTCGTCCCTGTTATAAGGTGATTCTGAATTTTTTGATTGATAGATGACCCTGCAAAAAATGTAATCCGTTCGTAACACATTCATAGATGAAGGCAATTCATTATTGGCACAGTTACCTACTTTCGCGCGAACAGGATCAGGGTCGTCTGCGTAGTGCATACATTGACATTATTCATCTTTCAATTACTGATCCTTCTTTTTTTCGGCACCAGCTGTAGAAACTTTGTCGTTCACACCTGGAGCGACATGGACCGGTGGTCGTGAAAGAAGTCGTGTTTGTGGAGGTGGCTTAGCGCTCAACTTCGGTGCTGTAATTCCAGAGGTGCGATTAAAAAAAGCTGGTGCAGGCAACTCGATTCCGCGACACTGCACTGTGGTTTGAGTTTGGGTGCTGGAGAAAGGTCGACTATGAATATTGTCCTGCCGATTGGTCGATATCATACATACATCCTTCTAAGGACGACTTCCAATTTTCGTTGAATCGAAGAGGCAGTAACATCAGAGCCACTCATCAAACACAACAATCAAGCGCGTATCTACTTCACACCCTCCTTACAACTCTCGTAGTGGTGATAGTGTCTTTCTTGTTTCTTCAAGCATAAGTCTCTATATTTATACTAGAATTAGGAATTTTTTGGCCCGGCACGGGTCGAGTTTCTCGGGTTGCTCGAGTTGCTCGCAGTAATTTTTTGCGCGGCGCCCTTCGGGCGCAGCTTTATGAGGCTCTGGGATACCTTAGCAGGAGCGTACGACACTCCACGCCATGCCTCCGCTCCCTGGTTTTCTTCTTAATGCGCACCAGAGACGAGAGTGGCCAAGCCTAGTCTACTTACTTCCTGGGCTGAGTGGGCCGCTCTCCAGAGCAGACGGGAACCCACTGCCACCCCCAGCCCCAAAAGGGACTCATTGGCCACGCACACATCCGAAGAAAAAAGGGAGAGACTGGCAACGACCCAACGACAAGCCACAGCGACACGCTCCTCCCTCAAACAAAAACAACAACGAGGCGAAGCCGTCGACCCCTCAATGCCTGCGCTTCAAACGCGCGCCCACACGCTACAAGAGAAAATGCCGGAAGGGCTCGCGGGGGAGCCCTTCCTTCGCAACCGATTGCCCCCTTCCTGAGAGAGCAACAACAAAAGCAGCCACTTCTTCACTTCACGCAGCCAAAACCGTGGCCGCGCCGCCCTGCTGCGCCGCATTCCGGTGAAGCGGATATCTTACGGCAACTCGTGGCAACTCGTTCCAGAATTGAAGCCCTTCGCTTCGGCAACTCGAGCAACTCGAAACCCGATATTTTACTTACTCTATTATACATCCTGGCGAGGCGGCTTCCAGTGACGGTAAGGCTGCTGATGAACCAATCGGTGCAGAACCAAGAGCGAACTGTGTAGGCAAGCCAACAAGCGTTGAGACCTTCAGAGATGACAGGTGTGGCCGCTCTCCTGACGCCAAAACCCTAGTAGATGCATCATTTTCCAGAACGACCAAATCCAAATCGCGATTAGTTGACGCAGAAGAAGAAGAAGTCTGCTCTTCTCCTACCATTTTGATTACATGATCTTTCCGAGTTGTCCCAGAAGTCTGATGACTTTCCGGTATATCGGCAGAGCCAGTAGAGCCGGATCCACCCAGCATAACAGTATACTTGTTGGGAAGGGTGGTGGGCGGATCCTCAAGAACCTGCAACGACATCGTGGTGCTTTTGAGGGGTGTCGGAGAACAAGTTTGCTTCTGTTGGTCGACAGTAGTGCGCACAGAAACCGTCATGCTAAAAGGTGACTCTTGAACTCCCACAATGCAAGTGTCCTTTTGCGACTGAAGCTTGTCATGCTCGTCAGCGCCTGCCGTATTTTGGCCGTTCCCGTTAGAGAATGAGGTGGATACAATTAGACATTCTTTTTCAGCACATCTAAGTACATTGTTTCTGGCTCGCTTGTCCTTATCAATCAAAAAGAAACCAAAGATGATGGACGTGCGTGAAAAATAACCAAGGAGATCTGTATCCCCTAACTGTACTACTAGCGCCAGCCGTACCAGCTTCCTTGTCCTTTGCTGCGGTGTCACGATGTAAGCATGTCAAATTCGCATAGCGCTTGCGTAGCGATTCTTCCATCCGCTCGACCTCGGTTGACGATATCCGTGTACGATCAAGTTTGTCAGGAGTTCTACTTGCCGCATCTGAAGGCTTCTTGTTCGCCGAAAATATGAAAAAAAGAAGCGAATGCGAAATCTAAATGCGAGTAACCATACCTTAACCTTTGGCTCAACAGTGAAGTGGTTGGCAACAAGGTTAGCGCCGGTTGCGGAAGACGAAGAGCCGACTTTCTAGTTTGGTAATGATCGATATGTAGTCTGGTGCGACAGATAAACAACACCTACATAAACGAAGACTCTACTCTGATTCATACTTATAGGGATAATTTGTGTTCCGTATCTTTGTTCTGTTGCAGCGCTTGATATCGATAGCCCTTCGTGCCGCTGGGAACTTCGACAGCGGTGATGTCCTCAGGTTGGACCATAATGGTAGCGTCTTCTTCCTCCTCTTGTTCAACTGGTGCTGGTACGAGGTCAGATATGCTATGCGTTGCCTCTCCGTCTTCGTCTTGTTCATCTTCTCCATTAGTTACGGTCGCGTTAGCACTTTTATTCCTCGCTTGAACACTGTCGGTCACAACGACCAGAGAATGCTGAAAATCCGGCAATCCACAGAAGTCCTCCAATGACGCAGTCGGTCCGAGCCTTGTGATGCTACCTGTAATTTGACAACGCGTCTCACCTATCGGACAACGTATATTTCGACGCCTCCCTTGTTACTTTCTCGATTTTCCATGTTGCTCTCGCAATCTCTCAAACATGACAGCGCAACAAGCGGAAAATTGTTACTTTTTTTTATTAGCACGTATACTGCAGCCTCAGTACATAGAAATGAATACATCCTGCTCGTAATACACTTTAGTGTATTCGACTTTTTCCAGAGATAGACCCGAGAGTACCTGAATCATTCTGCTCTTCTGGTGCGTCCTGGCCTTTGTCGTGTACTGCTTTGGCCAACGAAGATTCTCTTCCTCCTTCATCCAACACTTCTCTAGCAGTATAGCTGTCGTCATTGCTAGCCAAGAATTCAGCTTTGACAACAACATGCATTAACCCATGTGAAGCAATAATCCCTCGCAGCCAGATAATCTCCTTCTTCGCGAGTCGCAACCTTTCATCCTTTTCTTGCAGCTGCTCTGGCAATTGGAGGCAAGTCCAAGTCTAGGTTAGGTGTGGGTCCACTAGATAAACCAGCAGACTTCAGTGGCTACTGAAGAGCCAAAAAAACACGACTACAATCTACAGCTGGTAATGCTACACTACTTCCTACCTTTAACTCTACTTTAGTTGTTCTTGTGCTATACTAGTAGTTTTAGTATACTCCATTCCTCATATTATTCCCAACTATCGCCTAGATTCCGACTCATTTGTCACGAGTATCCTGTGATTGAGATTGCGCTAGCACTTCTACTTTCTATGTATACCACAGAATGAAAATAATCGTGCAGGCGGGACTACTTGTTTTCCACATTCAATTTCAACACTTCTTAGCGAGAAAATACTACCGCACAAAAAATTGATAAAAACCCACCCGTAATGTAATGAGCGAATCGCGGTCAAGTCCGCTTCGGGCATCGACACCTTATCTTCCATTGTTCAAAGGCAGAATTAGAAAGCGCAGTCGTCTCTATGGTACAGCTATTGCAGTAAACGGCTCACTCTGCACCACCACCATCAACATCTAATTCGAGCAATTCGTGATCCTGCTAAGATCTATTTCTTTGTAAATCTTAGTGAAAGCATAGACACGGTAGATGTTAAGAACGAAGACTAACACTGCCAATGGGTCGGATGGATTATAACTAGACCAGCATTATACCCATACTTAGAAATCATATTTATCTCATCATGGGGAGCAGCAGTGTCCACGATGAAAAAGGTGAAAAGAAAGGTCTACTTGAAAACCAGGACAGCACCAAACGTTGACTACGATTTGAAATCGTACAGCAGAAATATCGACAGGTAAAGCAAACGCCCCAGTAGAATGTTAAAAAGTGCAGGGAAAAAGTGAATAAACAGACTTTAGAGTCTCTCTCAACTACTGGCCAATTTTCGCCTCTTGTGGTGCGGCCACGTCCGCATACTTATATCAAATAAGATGACTGGTTTCGTCAGTACAGAACAATGGCTCGCGTAACTGTCAACACTGTTTTCTCACACCGACTTGAGATAGAAAACAACAGAGCATGTGTCCCAACTTCTAGAAGCCGTCGAATCCACATCGTTAGAAGTCAAGAAAAGTCACAAATCTCTTTCTTGGGACGAAAATTTGCCTTTACTGGAGAGATACTGGCCACCTTGCTACAGATACTTACAAGAGAATTTGCAGAAGAATGAAGCCTTGTGGCAGAAGTGAAGCAAGTAGTACCAACTGCACCTCCCAGTGCACAAACTCCATCGCTCGGTTCTCGGAAAGTTGAACACCTTCGTTCCTAACCGTATGTTACAAGCGGGACTACGACTACGGTTTGCGTCTTGTATCAAATCTTTGCATCGGGTGTCGTTCAAGGTCACTCATTTTCCGGAGTTTGGAGTAGAATTGATTATAGGAGCAGCCGCTGGTGCTTCTGGAGTTTTGATGCCAAATCATCTTTCTACTTGTCTTACTAGATGCCGCGATTGTACTACATGCAACTATTTCTCTGCCAGGACTCCTGGTTCATCCACTTGTGGCAATACTGTCAGAGGGGCTAATACATGTATTAGCATTGGAGGACCACAATGTCACACTGTCATAACTCATCGTGTGCTTCATACCATACATCGTGCTCGAGGAGGTCGGAAGGGGATCCGTAATGCACGATCTTCAACATATGCACAACCTTCAACATGACATCTGGTCAAGATGAACTCCTATGTGAGCAGAAGATTGGACGTTCTGTGCATTAGCTCTGCAGGCAAAATTAAACTACGTTCTTCGTTTTCACTACTAGATAACACTGACTACATGGTTCTGGTAGAGATTGAACCTCCCCCTTCGCCATCTTTATTACCGCGGCTACAGCGGCAACACGACGTTGGGTTCAACTACATACGGGTGGGTCAATACTAGCTTTCAGATATAATTTCACTGAGTAAATATATGAAAAGCAAGAACAGAAAGAAGAAGTGGAGAAAACAGCGTGCGATATATTGAGTCAGACTTCTTCGAAGTAACACCATGTCATCGAATTCACTTTCATATTCCTTTTTTTTTATCCTGCTTCTTCTATTTTTTTACTACGCCTTTGCCTTCGCAATTCGATCCTAACAACTTCTTACTGTTTCCTTGACTTCATCTCCTCCTCCTTGCTGTTCTAGTTCTTCTCCCTCCTTACCGCACTACTTGTTTCCCTAGTCTGATTCGCAAGACTCCGATGAACCACCTCCGTTTAGTTTATTGCCTTTGCCGCCAAACGGCTGGAACGCTGTGCTCGCGCTGTTAAGAGAGCTCCCTCCACCACCGGAAATAGCACTACCGCCATAGAAGGATGGTCCGCTGCCCGAAAATGCTGACCCAACGCCTCCACCGCTTGGATTAGACACAAATTCAATCATCGGACGAGAAGGAGAACGACGCGAAAATATGGAGTTGTTTTTTGTTCTAAAGATCTCTGCCTTGTGCTTGTGGTTCGCAATCTAAAACTAGATGATCCACTGCAAATTCAAATTTCTATGTCCTCAACATGATAACGAATGCAGCAAATCATTATAGCATTACAGGTATGTGCCGCAGCACCTGCACCAGCACAAATACCCTTTTATTACCATCGGTTTCCAAAGTTTACATTCCATCTGTTGTCTCTTCTCCAGGTTCTAGCATGATAAGTGAACATTTCCAACTTGAGCAATTCATAATTGCAGAATTTCCATTCTGACGGCTGTGATAGTTATCGACCATGAAGTTTTGATCCGCGCCGCTCTCTGACGCCGCATCCTGATATACTTTGTAGGAAAGCCAGGCCGTGCAAAGCTCAGCAGTTGGTCCAGAAAGAATCACTAGATGCATCAAACATTAGAAGGAAGATGAAGGCCAAGGTGTTGCTGTTGCTCTTCCTCTTCGCGGGATATAGAATATTTCATTGTACAACTTGAACTTGTAGTGGTCACCAGAGGACAATATCAATAGGGAAGGTAAAGTATTCGGCTCGACGCCATTTTTGACAACATTAACGAGGCTCCATCTTCATGACGATAAAGGAACTGACAAGCGAGATAGTGAGAGAATGAAAATTTGAATTATTCTTGTATTGATCCTCATAAAAATTGTACAGGAGAGCGTGCTCGATGCGCAATGTGAAGATCGGTTTGTCCATCTTGACTGCCCGATCAATCAAGAAGACAGTGTCGAAGACGCCATTAACTGCGCATATCATACCTAGGTAGAGTAACAATTGGATTACGAAGTAAGGAGTTGGAGTTGCGAATCAGCAAAGAGACAAGCATACCCGATGTCATGAAGCACAGAACAATCGACAGCTGATGTTGTAGTAGAACAAATTGATTAAGATGAAATACCCCAGGTCATCAAGCAATTCATGTCCACAGACTTTTCGCGGATGCAGTAGAGGCCGACGAGGCCAATAACGAACATCATGAAACCAGGTATGATGTTCAAAAACATCGTAATCTGCACCACACCTGAGGTTGAGAAAGAATGATGCAACAACATGGTCATCGTAACAAGGTGGAGAGAGGTGTTGAGTAAAGGTTGGGGTTGTGCTTGAGTAGGTGATTAGCAATGTAAGAAGCGGCTACGCTGTTATTCGCAATCGTAGGTTGCCTAAAGCGTGCCACGTGGACAGCAGCTTTCTGGAAATTTATTCTGACTGTGACTGTGTCTGTGTGGCCAAGAACTTCTGATTGACTAATATCAGGGGTGGTCATCAATAACCAATCAAGATCATCCAACATCATTAGTAGTTTCAAAGAGGAATACTGCAAACCACGAGAATCGATGCAAAAGCCCAAAAGAAATTTCTCCTTTTCAGGGCATACTCGGTGGGCACCGCAGAGACCTGGATAGCAGGCATAGGAATCACCATCTTGCCTTCGTTTTTCTCTTTTGTAAACAAACAAATTTCTACAAGAACGAATAGCTTGAGCCTAATTGCATGATTCAGGCTAGGATTGAGTTTAAGATGCTCAAGCTCGCTAGAAGACCAAGAAGTGGAAGTCTTCTTAAAAAGCTTATAACCTCTTACGTCAGAGAACTCGAATAGGGTCTTGATATCATCTGTCGCTTGAATAGATTAGGACATTCCTCCCTCGGCGGAAGAAAAACCCTGATTACTGGTTGACTCGAGGGCCCTTGTAAGGAATCTACGTCTAGAAAGAGAAGTAAAGGACTATTCGACAATGTGAGGGTTCTATCAACGAGAATGGGTAGTGAGGATGAATTCTACCGATTTGGGCCTCGCAAGTGTCCTAGCTGGATCTTTCAAGGCCTCCCTAAGACTACGTCTAAACCGACGCGACGCTTTTTATCCGACAGACAGACACAAAACATAGCGAATGTCATTTTATAACGCTTCTTTGACAACCACAACAACCGATGCCACTCATCGCGCACATGCATGTGTACATCACACACTCTTCAGCAGGATGAGGAGGACTAAGAGACCGAGTGAACTTTGTCATACGTTTTTTTTTTGATGTCTCTAACATATTTTTAGAAAGAAGGCAGCTAATATTAGTTCAAAGGACACTTTTCGTTTTTCTTGGATTACCGAATCTCTGGAAAGACTTGCGCGGCTGTTTATCCTTGCATCAAGTTTTAACTCGATATTCACGCCAACGAATCCAATCCTGGGATCTTGCCTTGTCCGGACTTTAGTCATATTCAGAACTAGATCACAAGTGAAGTCCGTTCTGGTTCTTGCATCTGTAAAAGCCCCTTCTGTCTGATATATGTTGGCTCCATGTCGCATTCTTTTGGCCTTTTATCCTTCCCCTTTGTACTTGTAGTTCGTATATTAGACTCATCATTTTTATACTTGCCCTATGTGCAATAATTGTGATGCTGCCTATAGTATCCAATGTATATATCCAAATCACTAGTAGTTCTCTTCATCAATTTCTCTTTTACAATGTCGATGTCTGTATATATTTTTGCTGTGCGTGGAGATAAATAGTAAGATTTCGAGCGACTATAGATTTTATGCTTTTCTCGATACTAAAAGACCACCTACATATATTTATAATGAGGTGAGCATATTCATATTTATAATCATATCTTCATTTCTTCTCTCAAATTTCCAACTACGAGCTATTCATTCCCAATTTTTCTTACCCGGAAATTATTACCCTTTTTCTATCTTAGGATATTAACTCCAACAAGAAAGATTAACGATGTATTATTACACTCCGTCGGTATCGGAAAACTTCAATTAAATAAATATGCTGACGTATACAAATTTTGTGCGAAGACCAAATATTTTTCAAATTCAAGCGGAAATGAAAGAGAAACTATCATTTTTCTGATAATAAATTCGACAACATAATTAAATAAGAGTACATCAGAGCAATTTATATCTAAGGTTTCACGGCTCGCATGGCATGGAGTGAATGGATCACATGGAGTAGCATGGAGCTAAAGGGGGAGCTTCTTGCGCCCCTTAAAGCTCTGCGCTCCATGCACTCCATGCTACTCCATGCGTGCTATAAACTACTACTACTCTGGCTTTATGTATAACTGAATACGATGAATTAATCTCCTTCGCGTCGAGTATTTTACGTCGGCCCGCCTCGTTCGCCAAAAAAGACTGCTTTCCGTCGCGAATCATTCTCAGGAAATCCGTTAAAAGTTGCCAGAAAGAAAGGGATACCACACTAAAAATCCATGACGGCTACTTGTGTGGGCCAAGCTTCAATAAGCGTATTAGCTTCACCCAACCTGCGAAGTAGATTTTTGTCCTGGCAAAGGATCCGTGCTATCCCCAGCACTGAAACCTGCAAATGACGAACAGTGATTGAGGTCGTAGCAATTGTTTGATGAAGGATCTCGTTGAAGATCATTGTAATGCCCTGTTTGTAAATGTATTAAAGAGCAAGGATCGACATCGAGAGCTTTCTCCATCTCGTCGTCTAAAACTGCTTCGCCTGCGGAAGAAGATCCATGACTCGTAACAGCAGCCACCTCGAAGCAAGTTGCTCTTGCTTGCCCTTGTCGAGAGGTCCTTCAAGGAAGCTACCAGAATCTGTTTACTCTCGGTGTTTTTCTGTAACTAGGGGTCGTTTCAAAGCTCTATGGTTGTGAAGCCACTTAATCAGTGGCGTGTGGTTATGCGATTTCCAACGCCGCGGGTAGGCAGCAACCAAAAGCGCCTGATAAGCCGCTTCCGTCATTACAGCCACCCTGTGCCACAAAAAGACGTTTCCTCCATCTGTTGTCGCGACGCCGTTATCATCTCGGTCGGCCGTCGCTTCCAGCCTATTAATCCCCTTCTCCATCTTCCCCATCTCCTGCAGGAATTCTCTCCCTAGGATGGGGTCGATCCCTTCGTCTGTGGCCGCGAACCCACCCTCCCGCTGCAACTGTGTGAGGCGTGGATTATTTTTAACGGCATCGTCTAGCTCGAGGAGCGCTGAGTCCGCTGCTTGCCTGGCCACCTCCAAAAGAGTTTTAAGCCGTCATCGAATTTCTCCCATTCGTCTTTGTCCCCTAATTCCTCTGTGTCGTGCTCCTCTTGTCACATTGTTCCTGTTCCACTTGATCTGCAGCTACATCTGTACCTGTATCGCTTAGCACTACTGCAAGTATTTGTTCTGCTGAGCCAGCGAGCCTCATTTGTGACGTTTTTTTTGTTTATTTGCGCTGGCTGTCTAGACGGTCCTGATCCTCCAGATGGAGATGCGACTTCTGTACTTGCAGCGGAAGAAGCACTTCGGGCGGATGGCGGTGACGATCCCCAACTCAATCTAGCGTTCGACGTCGCACGAGCTGCATTTTGTCCAGGTCTCTGCGGGTTGTCTCCGCGCGTTTGCGGACCATTATATGGAGTGCGAGTGTCAATGCTTGGAACTACTGATTTTCCATTTCCGTCTCGTGCTCACGGTGTTGCATTTCGTCCGAATAGTCCTCCGCCTGCGCCACGTCCTGGTCCCAGAGCCGCCTGGAGCATTCGGTATATTTGTTGTTTTTTTTTCGTCTTTTCTGCACTGCGAGAACGCGCAGTAAACGTTTAAGAAAGACTTAGTACTTGTTACAATACTCTTGCTCTTGGTCTTGGACGTAAAGGTAAACAGGAATGATAAAAAACAATTCCTACTCAGTAATCCATACACAATCTTCTTCGGGTCTTGACACTCACTGATGGTGACAATAGACCTTTCTCCTGAGAATTTGCAAGTAAGAGACATCACAAATGATCGATTCATAATGACTGACTCAGATTCTAATCGTCATAGAGAAAAATAACCCGCTTCCATCAATCTTATCAACGCGTATCTTTTATCAGGTTTCAACAAATGCAAATGGGCCGTCGTCGATTTTACTTTCAAAAGGTGTGTCATAGAAAAAATCGTTCTGTGGATGAAACGAACGAAGATGCAAATACAATCATAGGTTCAGATAAAGCAACTAGACTAGTATACGAGCATCAGATATACCACTTGCAAACGATACCTGGGCTCGCATTCATAAATCGATTCGGATTCGCGTAGGAGACTAAAATTTAACCTCTCTCTCTCTCTCTCTCTGTCGCTGCTCGTGGGCGAGTGAAGGCTCACGGGGAAAAGTAGCGAATCGAACTACAGAGGATACAGAGAGCAGAATAGTAGATACAGATGAAAGACGACCGATGCCCAAGTCTTCTTGCCGATAAGGCAAGTCCTTTTACCAATGTTGAAGCAATTGTTTGTATCCTTGGTGAACACGACAGACCATGCGAAATATCTGACCCCATACGAACCGTAAGCATGGAGCAAGTATCCATTTTATGACGGTGTGACTGTAGAATCTTTCTATCAATGACTAGAGTGTATATTTTCGGGTTACCACCGAATTTTCGGAGTCTCAACATGAAAGCACACAACATAGCTGCGAAGCAACCAATCTATTCGCGGAAGAGTTTTACTGGTGACAAGAGAATACAAGTTGTTGCAACATGAACTAATGGTGGTTTGCAAACTCAGGTGAGGACGCAAATGGATGGATGACTTTATCAATCGAACAGACTCGAGTACTACGTATCATTATCTTCATCTTCTTTTTAATATGAAAATAAAAATGTTGGTGTTGCGCATACAATCATAAAATAAAATACGAGCTCAGCATCAAAATCCCAGGTCTTGTCATGATTCACAATCATCAAATCATGATGATACATAAGTAACCAAAAAGAAGCCCGAGCAATCACCAACCAGTAAAGATGAGCTCACGGAATAACATCAGTCGCAGCGTCGTGTGACGGGTCGTCTGCTGGTTTTTCTGCAGTTACAACCCCGACGAATGACCCCGGGGCCTGGCGTCCTCCACCTAGTTCTGGCACATGATCCCACGCGGTAAATGCTGGCGTAGCGCCTGCAACACCCTGCATCAGAGTCATGTAAGGAGATGATTCTAATTCTTGGGCATTTTGAAAATTTCCGTTCTGAATGTTGGTTCTGACTTTCTTCATCAGAATCCTATGGAAATCGCAATGACGGTTTTTGTACATCTTCAATATGCCGAAACCACTCCTCCTCGTCTTGGTAAGGGTAAAAAATACTCTGAGTAGTACAACTACGAACCAGCATCTTGATTTCGTCATGTGGAATTTATTCTCGCTACAATCGCCTTACAGACGCCTCCGAGGAGGTGGGAGCTTTCTGTGCCACAAAAATTTTTCGTTATCAGTCGGGCATGAATGCAGCTGTTACATAAAGGTGGGAAAAATCATTAATAGCAAATACACTTGAAGATCGCGGCGCATGGCCTTGACGGTGCGGCTCTGCTGCATCGGTCACGAAGGCAGCCTGCTGAAGCATAGGAGCTGCGAACGCGACACTGGAGGACTCTGGCTTTGCTTGTCCTGCGGCGGCAAACAGCGAGGAAGGATCACCGCTGCTGGATGTTGTCGTTGAAGCGACTAGTGCCGTTTCGACTGAAGATGGAACCGGTGCTCCGGGAAATGTTTTGATGGTAGTTGCAGGCGCACTTTGATGTGCTGCAGGAGCGGCAAAGGAGGTAGCACCTGGGGCTGCGAACGATGCTGTGCTTGCCGTTGTAGCAACAACATCAGAAAATGTGGCCGCCTGAAAATTCATCTGCCGATGTGACTCATCATGAATAACCAGTGTGTTCGCGCCAGCAGCAGCACTGTCCGGGACTTGTCCTGATGCAGTCGCCTGAGGTACTAGCTGCTGCTGCTGCTGCTGCTGCTGTTGGAACATCGGCTCAGTGGCGTGCGTTTCCCGCGTCGTGGAGTCTGCTGTAGGTGAAGGACCAAAGGACGCCACTCCTGTGCTAGCACTGCTCGACAACGACTTGACTTTCAATCTCGGCTGCCCCGAGACACCGGTGAATTCGTCGACAAATTTGCCAAGGTTTAGGTGCTTCTCGAGCTTTTCGATACGCTTTTCTTGTTCGTCTAAGCGATTCAGCATCTCCTGCATGCCTGCCGATAGGTCCTGACCATGCGTCTTGCTAATCTTAGAGACTGCGTGAGCACATTTGTTCTTGAGATGTATTATACTCGTCTCTGTGCTAGTGCTAGTACTGGTCAAAAAAACAGCTCATTTCTTGTTCTCCCGAAAGCATACTGTAAATATCGGGATGCAGCGCGAAGGACGCTCCTGAAATACATAAGAGATACGCGATTCCAGGAGCAAGAAACAAGCGCATAGTGCGCGATGCGGTGAAAATCCAGAACGAAATGAAAATGATTACGCATGATTATCAAAAATGATATCCATCGTAATCACAGTTGCAGACCACGAGGATGTTTTCGTTTTCGTCGCGTCCTGACCTGCAATCGGTGGCCCAACTGGCTTCGCCGACAAGACACCGTTCATCTCAGGGGATGCTAACCATCGAGTGACATACACGTAGAGGGAAAACACCAATCCGACGCCGAGAAGGAGCAAGCGCAGGGGGCGCGGCGCACTAGCCAAAGCGCTGCAGAAGCCGAGGAAACACCGCACTACTCCGTGTTGCGAACCAGGTGCGGAACCCGCAGCGCTCCGACCAAGAGCTGCACCTCCAGGCGAAATGTAGAACGTCGAACGCGATGATCCTCCAGCGCCACCGTCTCCATTTTTTGTCAGCGTTTCATGAGGCACGTTAAAATTGATCATGCCTCCTGCCCAGATGTTTTTGCTGCTTGCTCCTGAGGAACTCCCATCGGAGCGAGTCCCTGGCAAGATCGGTCCCCCTGGCGTGCGGGGACTCGCCAGCCTGCTCCCGGTTGCCCCATTCATCAAGGCAGCGCCGCCAGACACAAGCGGTGCGGGAAGTTGCTGGAGCACGTTGCTGATGAAGGGTTGGCTCACCAACGCTCGCATCATGTGCGACAAGGGCTTGTTCTTGCTCTCGTCGATGTCCTCTTCGTCTTGAGAGGATCGTGAGGTCGGCACACCTCCTGGCGTGCTTGCGTGAAACATCTTCTCTCGCAGCGAGGAAAGCCCGATGCTTTGCCCTCCTCGCTTCAGCAGCCCTTCGTTCTGAAAGACGTCATTCCTGGGTGTGGAAGAAGTATCGCCACAGCTTTCGTCCAGACACTTTCTAGACTCTGACCCCGGTGTGTTGCCGCCCATGCTCGATGACGGTGTCGCAGGTTCCGTTTGAGGAAACTGTCCCGCCAGGTCTTTTTGCTGCTGCAAGAGGACGTGCAAACGCTTATGGACTGCCCAGTTTTGACGGAAACAGTCCTGCGTACAGAAGAAGCTACTTCGGCCAAAACTGTTGCAAGTTGGACAGCACAGTTCTGAATTGGTCTGTTTGCCGCAGCCTTGGCAGGAGACACTCACCTTAGTTTTGGCAACGCTGCCAGCAGGCGAGGAGACTCTAGAGGACGACGGCGTTGATGCCGGCAATCCAGCTCCACCTGGGTCCACCACTTCTCGCGTAGGTTCGGGATCCTGCGCCATGCCCGCCGCCGTCGTGCTGCTCGTCGGCGCACTACTTCTATTTGCCGCTCCATTGATGATAGCACTCGTTTCTCCAGGAGAAGACGCTAGAGACGAAGCAGAATACTTCTCTTGGTGTTCCTGTTGAGGTGTTTCCGAGCCAAGACCCAGACCAGTCGTTGTGCTCGTAGAATTCATGGCGACCGTTGACGATAGTGCTGGTGAATTCGTTTTGGGACCTGCTGATGTTCCGCCCGCACCGAGTCGAGCCGTGGACAAGGATGCGCTCGGATCGGCATCCTTATCGACGACGTGGTATTCGCCATCTTCCATATCCATGCCAGGGGTGCGGGCAAGACTCGCGGACATTCTGCGATGTATGAATCTAATTCACTGACAGGGGTTCATGTGCAACACGCAACGTAAGGAGTAGACGAGACTGAAGATCACCGTCCGTCGTTGCAATGCGCGAGAGCGGTGTGAGCAGGAGACCAGAGGTGCCGTCTACTTGACCTTGTTATTCTATCGTCCTCCACCTATAATGCTCTTAGATATCGTGGCTATCGCTATCTCATGTTGTGCAACTAAACTAACCAAAAGGAAGACACGAAAGCCGCACTTCTGATACTCATTTTTACAATGAATGGAACGCTCTTCTATCCTATTAAAATGACGTAAATATAGTCCTCGATCAATACGACTATAGCCACAAGAACGGGGAGCAACGATAATCATGCAACGAAAATCAACTACGCGACATCAATATCGACTACGATGGTGACTACCTCTTTCCCTATCACATTTAAGAGTAAAAAGCTCAACTCCAAAGGACGTTTACGTCTTACAGTAAGAGTGAACGGAACTTAATTTTACAAGTGAAGAAAGGCCTCCTACAAGCGATCACGAACAAGAGAAAACATCTTCTCCACGCGAGTGAATGCCAGCTTAGCTGTCGCAAACTATGTTAGCAGCAAATGAAAAACTCCAAAACCGTGACTCGTCTTGCAAGTGAAGAGTAAAACCGGTAATGGACAGCCGCGAATAGAATTCTAGCGTAGGCGTAGCGAGAAAGAACAAAGCGAATATGTGCCTGCACGATGTTGTTGGATATGCGTAAGCGTGTCAGTATCTAGCTATAATGATAATGATATTGCCTTCAACTTCATGATTCAGAGCATCTTCACTTTCACCCTCTCGTCTTTACTGCGTATTCATTTTAATCCATGATCCATGTTCTAAGGCGTTGGATATTTTTCCGCGTGTGTTGGATACGCCGTGTATACTCTGCATCTTTCCACTCCAAAACCCCCCAGGTCTGGATACCCTTCTCCTTCAGATGTACAGAGAAAAGCTGTGGTCCTCTTTGCCAAATCCTGTGTCGTCAACGGATGCTGTCACATTTCGCCAGAGCCATGGCAGGACGTTGTGCACATTGGAAAAGTTCTGCATAAATGTCCACTGACGCACGACATCGGTTGGGTACATGAACCAGAGTTAGACGAGGTTGTTTTGCTCTTAAACTTGATTTCCATTTCAAATTGTAAATGTTGTAATGTTGTAGTTCATCTACCACTACCTACGAATGATAAGTAGATAACCTACTTCTTGCTTTCACATTGCATGTTGTAGATATACCTACAAAACAAAGAGAAGTAAAGCAACATCGTCATTGCGTCTTTGGTGATCGTATCTATAGGATCATTGACAAGACGAAACATTTTCTGCGACGGTGCAAGACTGGCCGAGAAAGTGCACAACGCATGCGGGTGATACAAAAAACGATCACAGTCGTAAATAAGAGTAAGAGACTCCTTTTACTTATAATTCGATGAAGGAAGCAGAAGAAAAAGCATAAGTACCTACGCACTCCTGGCCTGGCCTTAACAAAGATAGCTTTTCGCGAAGCAGAGAAATTCGTCCATGGGCAGTCGAATGCCGTACTCGCGCTCCAAGTGGGGCCTCAGATCTTTGTGTGCAAAAACTGCGTCTCCGAGGTCAGGGAACATCAGGAAATCGTGGGTGTCTTTCAGCAAATCGAAAATCATGGAAAAGGAAACACCTGCCAGACCTTCATAGCGTGTTGTGTACGCACCAGAACGCAACTTTTCGGAAAACTGAGATGCAGTTTGTTATGCATACATAATTGTGCTTTCGTCTTTTTTTCTTCACTGAATTTTGTTGCAGGAGGAGGAGGGTTGTACTTATAGATGCCTTACGTGTACTTAAAAGTTGCTAGACTGGAGGACTCTACTGACGTGAGTTTCAAATTTATTCACGACCTTTTTCCTGAAGTGCAGCATTCGGTGATCCTTAGATTCTTCTACACAATCACAACTAGGAGTACTACTTAGATTCCTCTACACAAAATTGGAATGTACCTTAACGACCTCTTCTGGCTGATAAATTTGCGCATACTTGAAGGGTGGCGGGAAATGGGTCGCGATTTCGACCATATACACCAACACTTTCGGCCCATGTGCTACGATTTCCCGTATGATTTGATAATCATGAGAGTCGATATCCACAATCACAAACTCTATCGGAGGCTCCTCGTCAACATCTTTGCGGGTTCCGCCAGAACTGGACCCCGCCGTTTCAATGACGCCGTGATCATTTGTACTCGTCCGTTCTAAGGTAGCTGCTGGTCTACTTGGCTTATTCGTAAACCATGTCCCGTTCGAGCGTCGACGTAGAGTGGAAACCACGTTGCTGGGCGTGACCGTATCAAAAACTATCCGCGTGTTGCGATAGTATCGACAACCAGAGAGAAGCTTTGACGAAGATCCTCCCTCTGTCGTGCGCTCGCCCTTACTCCTGCCCTTGATGCTCCAATTCTTCTTACTATCATGTGATGAAGCGCGTCGCTGCTCTTTAACATGGGGAGTCTTCATCTCGCCGTTGGCTTCGAAATCACTCACAGGCTTGTCCGTCGCAAGACGTCCTTGATCGTGCTGGGTTCTAAATTGCTCGATCTCTCTTGAATCGAACCCAGCCAGCTTACTGACTCTGACAAACTCCTCAGAATTCGGCAGAATGTTCTTCAAATCAGCAAGGAGCCTTAGACAGGAGTTGCCACCCAAGTCAGAGTCAGACGTCGACAACGACGTGTTCGATCAAAGATAGAAAATGGATGCTCATCCCGAACTCGGTCCAATTGTGCCGACATTGACAAAAAAATCACTGCCATTCAGGAGGTACTAGAGGCAAAGCATGATATTATCGGTGGAGCCAGCCTAACTAAGAAAGAACCAAGAAGCAATGAAGATATTGATATTATCCAATATGTATGGTTCTGGTATTTGGTAACATGAGTTTGATCCTAAGGGTTCTCTTCTTGTTAGTTTTCCCTTAGGATCAAATTCAGGTTACCAAATATCGGAACCATTCACAATATCGAATTCAAACCAAGAAGATTACAATTTACTATAATCTCAGCATAATTGAAACATGCCCAGATTTCGTTCGAACCCGAATCCGTTCATTGGCGGGTCGTCCACGAGCAGTGCGTCTTTGCCGGCAAGCCCGTGATGAAAAAAGGAGTGCATCGGATCCTTGAAGAGGCAAGGACCAATACCGAAATTCAAAAATCTGCCGCTCCTCATGTGCGCTGGAATCGCACTGCGCAATCGAAGCAGAGAGTAACGTTATCATTAGAAGTCGAGCTTGTAAAATTGAAGAGTCTACTTCATAGGAAAAGTAGGAGATCTTTCCGCTCCAATTTTACCTTCTTGATCGCGATTAGTTTGTGGAGATGAAAGTTGGAAAGTATAGTTACTACATGAATAGCCTCAAGACAAGGACCGAATGTTCGTTTTCCGCATCTCACTAGTGTCCGTTTCAGCTCTAGCCCAAGGGTAATCTGACGCAAATCTTTCGTCTCGGCGCTGACAGAAATCCATAGTTTTGTCATCTTCATGATGCCCAACGCGATAAGCTCGTCTCGTCTCATGAAATGTACGCAACTCTGTGTCGGTGGTCTGATCGAGTGGCTGTGGCTGAACGGCGTTGTTATGTTCCTTATCATTGGCTTTCGGTTTTAACGCATCCCAAAGTCTTTCCTTTCGCGAGTAAAGGCGTAAGCCTTCAGCCCACGAGCTCTCCTCGAATCGCCACGAGAACCATCGAAGGCGCCCGCCGATGACTTGGCGATTAAAAAACGGAATCAATTCTCGCTCGGCTCTTGACAAGAACTGCTTGACCTGCAAGCCAGCGCTCTCCGTGCTATCGCCTTTCCACAAGCTCTTCGTGCAACGCTTAGAGAAATGCTGGTCCTGGTGCTAGTCTACGTGGCAATAAAAGTTCATCATCAGAGGATACTCAGTAACTGCTGGAGGTGGTCGAAGCTGTTCTTCTTCTTCTTCTTCTTCTTCTCTCATCTTGATTAAACACGAAGACGTGACGTTGAGTCTGCTGCCTTCATTCCTTAACATTCGGGCCATCGTACCAGTCCCGTTCTGCCTGCAACAGCTCGAGTGGTCGTGGCGGCCAGAACGCGCGAAGACCCTTACAGCGGTTGGGAAACGGATTACCCAAGCATTAGAGCATATACATAGTACTACGTGCGATTGTGAGCCGAGCAAGACAAAGCTACTATCTACAAATATGCGGAGTAGAGGACTAAGCGGCTCTGCAGAGTCGCTGTCGCAGGCCGACGCTTACATTTGTAAGAATGTCTCCTCATCGTGCTGTTTCTGTTTGTAGTAGCAGATAAAACTACAAGCCTACACCGACTCCTAGTCCTAATGGTGGAACTTGGCTCGGTATCAAAGAAGATGCCTTAACACCAACAAGTTCGATTGATCCACTGCCAGGCCTCACATTGGACTTCCTGGGCACAAATATACTCGCAATCGGGGGCCTTGCGAATTGGCGGTACAGTAGCCGCTTGCACCAAACCATCGCACTCTACGCCATCTAGACTGCGGTAAAGCTGTTGGAGACTATCGTTAGAGCCAGTCTAAAAAATCCTTTTCATCAAGCATGGTTACTTAGAGGGAGGATGCTGCGATCTCGATCATGGCATGCTAGAATATTAATAAAAACATAATAGTAATACAAGGACATCAAGAGAGAGCAACTCAATATTTGCTGAGGAAATCCAACATCATCATGGCCACCAGATGTAAAGCCATAATCCAGACCATTTCGGGCGTCAGATCCGGATCTTGGAGCGCCCCTTCCGCCATCCAACCATGGCGATGCAGTTCTTCGTTTTTCTCTTCCGTGCCATCGCTGTGCTTTTTGTCATGAGAGGACGAAGACACCGTGATGATCCCACTTGCGGTCTCCTCATATGCGGCGACGTTTCCCTCTTGCTCGCTTCTTTCTTTCCTGATGTTATCCTGCAATCGGGATGCACCTGTATGCTGATCGTGATATCTTCGTGGAGATGTGGCAAAGAGATACGACGTGGCGTCTGCGAATACTATAGGTGAGGATGTGCTTCGTAGCACCACATCTCGCAAACAGAACAACCAAGCCTCTAATCGCGGAACGGACAAGGGGACCAGTAGCAGTGACCAACACGAACACTGTTGCTGACCATTTCTTACACTTACACCACTATTGGATTTTCTGAAACAAAAGGACGAGATGATGTTCGAAAAGATAAGCAGAACCTGCACCAAACAAAGAATCAATACGACAATCGCAATAGCGTCAGCAACTAGAGATGAAAGAAGAAGAACAAGAAAGTAGAGACAACTAATCAACCCTCGCGTCAACATTGTGCACTTGCAGGATCTGCTTCAAAATAATTCAGCCTCCATGTGGATGGCAGGAATAAAGGTAAGTAGATAAAATGCGCTCATGCACAACAGCAGCAGTAGGAAAGCACACCTAAGGTCCATACGGTCGATACCATCACTACTCATCGATCTGAAACAACAGCAGCAAATCTCTTCATGCGGAAACTGACGAATGACTCTTCTCTAGCTAACTGAACTCGACACTCTCTTTCTTGTCTCTCCGCGCTCGTAGGCAGACGAGCACGACAGAAAATTGTGAGATTCACTCGTGGTGGCCGTTGCTGAAGACGCAAGCATGTCCTATAATTCAAAATTCTGGAGAAAGAGAATAAAAATCCATGCGAAAAACATCAAATCGAAACAGTATAGGCGAAAATGGATGACCCTGCATCTTCGGTGATACGGATGAAATTTTCGAAGCTGAATGTGTTTGCTGTCCGAAAAGCACGAACTGAAATCTCCCTTCGCTTGCGAGACGGCATGAAAAGACAGATCGCTACAACGTACCGGTCCGTGATACATAGCATAGTATCATACCACCGCTCAAATTTTATCAAATCATCTTCACATGAGCATGACGTGAACTTGTCCGCATAAGCCGCTACGTCAGTACTAGTATTCATCTCCCGCAAAGTAGAAATTCCTGCCTCTACTAGATTGTTTGTACCGCTGCAAAAATTGCTAGTGCCAAAAGAAAAAGAGTCTGTGCAAAATTATCCTACCAGAATCGTAATCAGACTGCTGAGTATGGACGTAAGTAGAGTGATTTTTTCACTTTTCATCGGAGGTCTGGGTTACCTTCAAATTACTTGCAGAACCATAGATGCACAACAAAAAGCCCATGTATTCTTTGCTTGTTCTATGTACTTCTTAGGTAGTACATCTAGATCTACCTCTACATGTATCCTATATATAATACTTGTCTTTTCATATAATATCTAACTGACTGCGACTGCATCGCCACCCATGCACGGAGATTGACTTAGATCAAAACTTAGGTCGAAGAACCGCCATCTTTGGTGTATAAGAGAAAGTCAAAGCTCACAGCAAAATATAGGAAATACTATATTTTGTACCGTAGTAGGGTGAATTACTCGCGCGATATTTTTGATATCTAACTTTCTAAATAAGCTGTATAAACATTGATTACATTAACATATTTCATTGTGGAGAAGATGAAAATGAAGAACAAGGCTCCTTCATATCTGTGCATCTTATGGTGATATGAATTTACCGTTTTTCTTAGTAACCTTAACATCACTATCTATGCATAAACGTCATGACATTCAAATTGACTAAAGGGACAGTACACTCGAAAAATATCATCCAAATTGCGGTATATATCATCGTGTTATGTGACTCAATCCTGCCGATTATCCATATGTCGTGACTTCTCAATCTTCCTTGTTATTGTATCGCCAATGTAGCATCAAGACTGTCAACGGCAAAGACAAAGAGCGCATCATTTCTGTGACTGTGACTATCTGATGACTGCCGCTCGTCATCCTTTTCTTCGTAATTGGAAAGTCCTTTCCTTACTTACGACCGAACTCAGTCCCATTCTCACAACCTAACGCGACCACTCCCCTGATTATGTCGCGGCATTCCCACTACCCAACCCACCTCCGCTTGCAGCGCCATGGCTATTCATATTAGGCGAGCCCGTAGCCGCTTGGCCACCTCGTTGCCCTGGCTGAAGTCCTCCTCCTCCGGCAGACGCCAAACCGGAGGTATCATTATTAACAATTACAATATTATTAGTAATAGTATTATTAGCAGCACCCGACGTTGCCTGCGAAGTCGCCGCTTTCTGCTTCTTCGGTGGCTTCTTGGATGACAGGGCCCAGTGGAGGACGACAATGAACTGGTCGAATGACAGCCCAAACTCCTGTAACCACGCAAGTGAGAGCTGCTGCTGACCCCCAGTTCCGCTGCCGAAGCCGTTGGGTATCTTAGAACATGACCAAGCACAACCTCTACTTCTACGGCTACAAAAAACAGAAAGATAAAATATCGTCGAGGTATTGCCCGAGCACAAGTACTTTCTGCTCGGATACTCTAACAAACATCAACATGTGCCTCGTACCGTCTTTTGTAACATTGCGGAGACAAAGATGTAGATGAGTGGTAGAAATAGAAGAAATTCAATTTCAAGTAGTACCGGTCCTGATTTACTACATCTACATGTAGTTGTAGTGGCCGTAAAGATGAACTTTCCACTACCACCATATTCCACTGCTAATGGATTGACTTCCATCCGGCGCTCTGTTCGGAGTGTTTGCCTTCTCTGTGCGCGTATTGCTATTGTGTGATCTCTACTTGCAATATTTGGATTGCCATGCACACCTGCGCCTACTGCGCCACTAGGTGTCACAGTTGCATTTGGATTCGTAGATGAGTTGCTTGAAATATGATGGGCAGTTCCTGTAGCTGACGTAGAAGTCCCTGAACTTATGTTGCTGATCCCGTTGTTCGTTCCCGCGCCAGCTGCGGTTGTATTGATTCCGCTAGCACTATTTCCCTCATGATGGTGCGATGACGGGTCTCCCTGTCGCTCCGAGTTGTGGTCGGTTCCACTGGTTTGAAAGTGCACGCCAGTTGCGCTCCCTAATGGAATAGACAAAGTGGTGGCATCGTGAATACTCTGGTTGTGCCTGCTGAGCTGGGCCTTTTCCCCGATTCGATGATCGCTGTTCAGTGTTGTACTAGGGCCGACGTAACCTGCTGTTGAAGGGCCGACATCGTGGTCTCTGATGCCAACATTACTCGCTCCCACACTATTCATCATGGCACTACTATGAAGATCTGGTATATTACCCGAAAAGGTCGCCGATTTCGGGCCTGCAGATGTCTTGAAGCTGGACTCATCACCAGCCACTTGTGCCGACAACCCCGCGTCTAGGCTAGCAATTATGTTTGCAGTAATATCGCCATTGTTAGAGTTAGACGGACTCGCGTCGAAATTCTAGTACAACTTCTAGCAATTTACCATCTTGATGTGAAATGCATTTTCTGACCGCTGAATCTTTTTTTCTCCTCTTTCAAACAGACAATCTCGTCAAGGAGATTGATAGTACTTCTTGTCAAGACCAAGACGGATTTTTAGAAGCCTTAACTACATGCCCACTTGTATTGCCTCCTCCAGCAGCTCCAGATACTCCGGATGAACCATTTTCTTGCTCCTGCTGAGGTGCGTAACCCGCATTCTGATCTCCCTGAGGCGCAACTCCACGCCCTATGGTGGCAAGGGCAGCACTGGTCCCACTCATCATTGACATGCGTCGCGCTGTAACGTTCATTTTAGAAATTGAGGTGAAACTACTTGTACTTCCCGTGACAAGTATCTATAAGTTTGACTTGAGCCAGTAGTTCGGCAGCTGACCTTCGACAATGGGATCTAATCGGCAACACAAACAACGTACTTATACGTTCTAAGTACTTCTAGACGAAAAAAAAATTTGGATAAATGGAAATGCATTTGGTTCAAGCCTTAATATTGAGCATTTCGTGTCCTGGTACCCCACGCTCGTTGACCATGAGGACTTGCTCCTCGAGAAATCTCCACAGCTCTCGCACCTCTACTGTGAGTCTGTAGGTCACAAGCAGATAATTGCGTACTTGGCTTAGCTCTACGCGTTCCGAACCGGGATCCGCCAGTCGCTCAAACGACTTGCGAAAAGAAGAGACCTGTCTTGGAGCGAAAAATTTCTGCACGAAACGTAGCTCGCTTTCAGCGTACTTGAAGCACAGCAGGTTTTGAATCTTTTTACACAGGTACTGAAACTCGTCGAAGGATAGCACGTCGTCAGCAGTTGGAAACACCAGCTCCAGAATCTCCTTGATTTCAAGCTGCTCTGCCACCGATTTTGGAAAAATCTCGAGCCGGGCTGATGATTATATTTTCATCTTGAATAAGAATCGATAACATGCTACGCGTTAGCGTCGGAAGCAAAATAGATAAAAGCCGGCTTGGCCATCCAGACGTTGTCTGCCTCTTCGTATTTTTCGACGGACTCCTGAAAATCTACTCAGGCTCAGTACCCAGCATACCCATACAGTAGAATCAAAGTTACAAGTAGCATTGTCCAACGCCAACACCACCAACAGAAAAATAAGAAAAGCCAAACAAAAGTACTCAACATCTTGCAAACATCAGGCTGCGAGAGCGTGTGCGAATGCTCGCGATTATAGTTTTCAATGGCAGTGACATCCAACGTTTGGCGGCCAGGCTTCCGAAAGAGGTCATCGTCGGGTGCGCCGTGGTATTGGTCATGATACGAATGCCCTGAACTTCGTGGAGTCATTTTCCAGAGTTCATTTTTCATCGCATCTAAGTCATCCAAACGTCTTTTGTGAACCAACCGTAAAAAGTCGCAGAAGTTCACCTGAGTGGCGTGTACGTCGTGGCTGCGAGGGGAACGGAGGCGGAGGTGGGAAGAATTTTAAGGCTATTGTGGCTTTTGCACAGGTCGAGACAGAAAGTTCAAGACCTTATCTGTACGTGCGGTACCAGTCTACATATAATTGTCAAAAGACTACCCTAGGCATACTATGCCTAGGGTAGTCTTTTGACAAAAAGTACAAGAAGAATTACATCTACGTACAGTGGTCTTCTGTGGCAATACACGCTGACAGAAGTGATACCTGCGTGACATTGTGTAGATATTTCTGTTTTGCTGCACGATTTTCGCGGAAGATGGTTCGACTTAGCTGATTCAACTGGTTGCCGGAGAGAACTCCGCACTTGCGTGTATCCATGTGGCAAAATCCCTTGTAAAGTTCCAGCAAATCACGCATCATATGCGTTTCGTCTTCGATCTGAAGTACAGAGTGGCATCCATGCAAAGCGAAAAGGGAAAGTCAAGCAAATACTTCTGTCATCAGAAAAGGAGCCCAGACACGTGGCACTATGGAGAGGCCCAAAAGTGTCCAGCTCGACTCATTGGATAGCTTTGACAAATGTCGAAGGGAGAGCCCTGACAAGATAGAACAAGTGTCAGGGGGAAGCTGACAAGTGCCACGAGGTGAGTCATGAAAAGTGCTGTCTAGTTTCAGGAGAAGCAGAGGGGGGAGCGCCCTGGCAAGTGACACCCGTCAACCAAGACTCTGACTCTGGTCCCGATAACCCTTGTCAAGAAACTGCAAGAGCCCCGCTACCTTGACAGACACCTGGTAGGCCCTCCGCTTACTAGACTCTCATCGAGACGCTTGGCCGACTAGACACTTGCCAAGAAGGCGACTCTCCTTAAACATAACGCTTGTCAGGACTCTCTTCGCGGTGCACACTGTCCGAAACTGGGTCTAACCCTGGCCACGACTCTCACCTGGGCACGACTCTCGCCTTGACACTTGTCACGACTCTCACCGTGCCACTTGTCTTGGCAATACTCCCACCCTGATGCCTGTCAATGCTCTCTCCGTGGAACTTGTCTGGGCAAAGCTCTCGCCCTGATACTTTTCGGGGCTCTCCTCGCGAAAAGTGCCAGGGGGAGCGCCATGGAAACTTGTCAAGGCCCTCGCCCCGACACTTGCCAAGACCCTGCGCTTGACACATATTTAGACCCTCAGCCCGGCACCTGCCAATGCCATCCGCTTGACAATTGTCAGGACTCTCGCCCCGACACTTGTTACGGCGTTTCTCTTGACACTTGTCAGGACTCTCGCCAAGACCCTCTGCTCGATACTTGTCAGGACCCTCGCCCCGACACCCACCGAGGCCCTCCGCTTGACGCTTGCCAGGACTCTCGCCCCGACACTTGCCAAGACCCTCCGCTTGAAACTTGTCAGGACTCTCGCCCCGACACTTGTCACGGCGCTCCTCTTGACACTGACAAGGCGCTCCGCCTGACACTTGTCATGGTTCTCCAATGACTTCCGAACATCGAGAAACAAAGAGAATACATAGCGGGACTACTTGCTTGAGCTTAAATGTGGACTCCATCAAACACACTTGTTGCAGGAGCGCCTAGGCCTAGCTTCGTATAGAAAAAGTATGATAGCAGGCGTAGGATAGCGAACAGCAACTCAAGTGAAGTACATGGTGTCCCACTCCTGCTGCGATCGAGAATTGCGGGAGCACATCCGTATCTAGAGCAAAATCGTCGATGAGCTTGGTCTTCTGGTCATCATAAACTGCCTGAAAATTTTCCAAGGTTTGATTCACCAGGTTAACCACATCCATCGCAGACAGTTGGATTTTTCGCAGCGCCTCCCAGTTGGCACGACGCTCTATGCCGTCGCTTCTCTTGTTTGGCTTCGGGTGGAGACTGCGAAGGTACCTACAGTGTACAACCATTTCTGGAATTCCTGCATTGGAAGCAAGATATTGAGGAAAGCAAATGAGTTTTCACTGATATGTCTATGTGAAGCGTCGACATCCTAGGTAAAAATAAGTAGGTACTTCATCAGCGTGTCTTTGAGTATCTTCTCCTCTTCTTCCACAAGAGGCGCTAGACCCACCTCCCCAAGGAAGTCCATGACGCGGTCTGCACGAACTGTTTCCATCTGTGCCTTTTTCTGCGTCGCTTCGAGCGCATCTGAAGGAGTTTATTTGAGCAATTGTCAGATCAATTCCCATGAAGGAAGTTTTCATGAGTTTCCAAATATTGATAAATGAGTACTTACTTTCTGCGATTGCAAGACCCGACAAGAATAAACTGGTGAAAAGCAGGTTTTCGTAATCAAGTTTATCCGTAGTACCTATTTAAGATCAGGTACACTCCTCTCTTACCTGTAACGTATCCCAGCAAGAGTCCTGTGAGCGCACCCTGGACCTCCTCGAAGATAAACTCTATCTTTTCTTCGGTGATCATCTTTCCTAGCTTCTCCTGGTGCCATGCCAACTTGTCAATGAGCAACTTGGACTCTGGAAAATGCATGCAGAACGTGAAATACCGTATATGGAACATCTCACCAAGATCGCGTGGATGAAATGAAGAAAGACGTCGATAGAAGGAAGAAGCTAAAAAAGTTCTACGTAGAAAGAGGTAAGAAGTTGCATTGAGAAGAAACAGCTATAATCGATTTCGATGCTGATGCTGCAGAGAACGCGAGGGGCATCTGGATCATGAAAATTTTGATTGCTGGTATCTATCACCTAAGAACAGTATTTGCTTGTGGAAATGGCGAGCAGTTGTTTACGTAGCACGCGTGCCTCTCGACGCATATACCATCGTACTCCCCGTTCATAAATTGACTCCACGTTCAGTAGATTTTCTGCCGAAAAAAGTAGTTTTTCGGTCAGTCCGCATATCGGGGGATGGCAACTCCTCTGCCGCTCGTTCTGCTACCGCACGTTGTAGACGTGCTCGCAAATGGCCTGACACTGACTTCGGTGCTGCTTTATTCCCAACTTTTAGACTTCGAAGGAGCGGTCGTGCTTAAAGTCATTCGATTTAGATACTTGCGCTTGGTATCTTTTGCTACTACTAGGTACCTACTTAAACTTAGTCCATCAACTATTAGTACGTACTAGTAGCAGTACCTCTATTTTTGATGATCTTGCATAATTTTTTTCCTCCCCTTGGCCCATCACTTCCATCTAGATCCGATGAGTCGCTTTCCTCACGTGTTTCCTGGAGACGTGCTGTCGTGACCCGACTGCCGCCAATCGATGTCGTTTTCAAAGCTGATTTCAACTGACGACTAAAACCCGCAATAGTGCTTGTGTTATAGTCCTGCCCAGTCGCTCGCTTATCGAAAATTGGAGGTAGAGGTTTTTCATCCGCTGAACACTTCATTCGACTCTAGGTGGTTTCTTGAGTGTTGTTCCCCTTTGCTTTAGAGCAGAAGGAAGTCCGAATCCACTCGGGATAGTCATAACTCAACCTTACGCCAGGGCCAAATGATGAAAAACAACTACCCATAAAAACAACATGGCGTCATCCTCTTCGGCCTGTGGAACAGCAAGAATGTCTGGCTCTTCTTTCAACGTAACACTCATGCGTCGCACCGATGAAAACGATGCAACCGCGCTGCCATCTGACGCGTCGCTGAGAAAAGGCTTGCTGAAAGTAGAAGATGAAGTCGCGCCTGAACGTTAGAGACTTGAATGTTCAAGAAGAGAAACAACTACGACTTGCAATGGCTACAGCCAATCACAATGTCAAAATCAAAATCGCAATTGCACGACCCCAATCATAGAAAGCATCGCCTGATTTCGTTTCAGTTTCTCCCGCGACGCCGCTACTTCTCGACTTTGCGGGTGTCGAAGATTTGAGACTACTGCGACGCGGTGGCGGCGCCGAAACGTTTATCTGCCTCAGTGGTTCCTCGGATCTCTGAATTTTCCCGGCAAGAGAAGTGGAAAGATTCGCCTGGTGTTGCAAAATACGACTGGAAATGGAGTCTGCGCCAACGTCGATCAACCCTGCACGCGAACAGGCGGACGCGTAAAGTGTACGTAAGAAAACAAGGGCGATTTCACGGTCACTCAGGATCGCTGCATGCTTGCTGCGTGAGGGATCGTTATGCTGTTCTGATGTGGACCACGACTTTTCGTTTGTCTTGCCTTGTTTCCTACTAATACCATCGTCTGAGTCATCGGATTCTGACGAATCGAAGGAATTGCATTTCCCCGACTCGTGTTGTTCTACTTTGCTTCCTTCAGAAGAAGTAGCACCCCCTCCGGAAATTATCAACGTTTTCGGCGCTGAAGATGAAGAATCTGCACCAACGCCTGGGTCTCTTGATGAACCCGATCCAGGAGGTTCCTTCTTATGTCGCATCGTGAATGCTTCGTCCTGGGAAAGCCGTCTTGCTTTATCGTGATCCCTTTTCGGCCAGCTAGGTCTATCCTCCGGTTGGTCGGTCTCGGCGCTTGCTTCCTCTCGTCTTATCACAGCCGGATCTATCCTTACACTCGCAGTGCCAGTTGACGAGCGTCGCTGTTGCTTAGGAATGAACGTCGCTTCTATTGAGTGAGGACCCCTATGGCCTATGCATACATACACTTTCTGCAATGAATTGCTTAATAGATGCAGGACGGGGGGGAATGGAGTTCGAGAATGCAGCTCAACAGTAAACTAGAAAACGACTATCACCAAGAACCAGAACCTAGTCGAACTACAGATTGAGATGGATTCACTTCATTTCTTTTCATAGCAGCATCAACTTTCTCGCTCTTTCGTTCCCGATCCCTCTCCTGCGCCGCTGCGGTAGCGGAAGCCCGTCGGACCGCACCCAGCGGGGTCATATCCGTCATGCGTTTGAGGTCTGCGGCCGAGATGAGACTGATTCGCCCAGTCACATCCCGCACAAGGGACGTTCGTCGAATTGAACTTTGGCGGCGCTCACGAGACACTCCAGGCCCTGTAATGGATCCGGAGCTGCCTTCTCCACTTTTACGTTCTTTTACAGCGTTGCCTTCTTGGTCTTTAGCTGCAGACGGTAGAGGAGTAATCGGGGAGCAGAGCTGCGATGATGTTGGTGTTGTATTTGCTAAGGAACCTCCGCGACTGGTGCCGGGTGACTCGGTGCCAACAAAATTCTTATCACCACTGCCAGGCTCTTGCATTGGTGTAAACAAAGGTGTTTTTTCGCCGGCATCTTGTTGGTGATGACGGTCTGGGCCTGGGGTTGCCGCTACATGAATAAATGACCTGGAAGCCTTGTCCTTGTTGTCCATGTTATCCATGTGAGATGTTTGTCTTTCCTGAATCGGATTTTGTTTCTCGTTGGGTGGAGCCTCATCCTGCCTCTGCGCCTCCTCATCATGAAGGAGCTCATCATTTTCGAAGAATGTCATATTGCTTACGACCTTTCCCACCTCCTCTTCAATCCGCGATAAGCTAGCACGTCCCGTTGATAACTCTCCTCCACCAAACGCGTCAGTATCGTGATCTCTTGAGGTGTTTCCTCCCGTCCTTGGAAGAGAATTCGGGCTGCCAGTAGCTGATCCTCCCGCTGCCGCGCCGTTTTCGGTTTTTGGACCTCCAGCGTGATTCTCCTCCTCGAGGATTCGCTGCCTCGGGCCGGTCTCTCCAAAATGACTAGATGAAAGCCCTACCGACGCCCCTGCTCGGTCTGAATCCGGATCATGGTCTTGCTTGCTGGCTCTGGGTATAGGAATCAACGAGTTTCCTTCGAACCGGAAATATTCTAGTTCTAGTGCTGCTCGCTGCATAATTCCCGATGCGGACGCGAACGTCGCAGACCGCTGTAGCATACCCTGTGACGACCTCACTGGGCTACCAATCACAGGAAACGCGCCGACACTCACACTACCACGACGTGAGTTAGATGAACCTTTTGAGATAACATGTCATGGTTGTTGCAGTTCCGATTTTCATTTTGGTCCTGTTAGGCTTAAGATCTACATTGACCTCTATTAAACTCGAAAGAGAGAAGAACTGACATGCACGTACAACTAACTGTACCCAGCTGATGTGCCATAAGTGAAGACGAGAGAGGCACTGCCGATGCTCCGAGGACGGAACCGCGTCGCATCACATTTGTCGAACTATTTCTTGCAAACTGTATGCCCAGAGGCATGGACGCCATCCCTCCATCACTCGCATTTAGTCCGATACCTGCTGGCAAAAATGGCCCCTCCAACATAGCACTTCCTAGTGGACCAGATGACCCTCCACCTGATCCCGCAGCTGCTACTCCGGCAGCATTGATACCGCCAAACAGTCCTCCTTGTTTCTTGTAATTCTTAACCATCGAAACACTATTTTTTACCGTCTTTACATGCTTTTTGAGTGCTTCTTCGAACAAGGTTTTCTCTCGCTCTTTCCAAGTACGCCTTTGCTGCCGCCGGTTGACACTGGCGCTCTCCAGTAAACTGGGCTTGGACTCTTTATGCAGGTCCTCGATGGAGCTCCGACGGCGCACACCGACCGGTGATCCAGCCGCGACAGGTGCGCCGCGTATCGCTGACATGCGTCGACCGCTGGTTGAGCGACGAAAGAGACTAAGGCTCCCGATGTCAGCCGTTGCTGCGCGAGCAAAGAAGCGCGAACCCCGACGAAAGGTGGCGCGGGACACCATCTTGTCTGCCACGACTTGAGGTGAAAAGCCACCTTCTCCAATCGCATTTGTAACGCTATTTCGCATCGGAGGCTGGGGTTGGTCCGTCGGAATCTCTGCGATGTCTTCCAGAGGCCTGCTTCTTATGAAGAATGCGGCAGCCGCGGATTCCTCCGAGTGGTGCTTCTCTGTAGTGCTGTCGTCTTGAAAGACTGGCGGCGGCTGCATCACTTGCGACAGCCGCCTACTAAAGCGTCCAGATTTCCTCGGACTGGTACTGGGAGACTCTGCTTCCGCGTCCACCTTCCCTGTTCCTGTTGTGCCACTACCTGCACTTACACCACCTCCGGAGGCGAGGCGAGGTACATTGTCGGCCTTCATGTCTTTCATGTCACTTGCTACCGCTGGGCCAAAGGAAACGCCGACGCCCATATTCCCCTGACTGAATTTTCCCTCGAGCGAGCCAGCCCTTCCCTCAACAGCAGAATCTGCAACAGCGCCTCCTGTGGTCGATATTGACGGGGGTTCACCTTCTCCCTGCGGCGCAGTGAAGCCAAGAGCGTTAGAACATGATAAACGACCCAGCAAGGAGCTGTACTTTCCGAGTATTGATGCTTGTCCTACAAGGAAGTTCCGCTTCATCTAGAGCTGCAAAAGTCAATGCTCGTCGTTAATCATTCTAAGTAGGCTTATCAGTGCCAACGGAATCTGTGAAAGTGAACTACTACTACAACTTGTAAATAAATAAAGCAAGACGAGTGCTTTAGCTCGATTTGTAAAAATGACGGCACGAAAGCGAAAGGATCAAACGTCATAAGAAGGGTAGAGCTGTTGCTGAGCCGTCTTTTTCCAACGGTTTGAAGTTCGTGATCTAGCCCTTTGCTTGCATATTCGTCCGACACGAAGTCATTCTTCTCCTTCATCTGATGCGATGGTGCTTGTGGTGGGAATGAAGATGGTGTTGACCTTTTTGGCTGAAGTGGAGTACCATTGCTATCTGGCTCCTCGTCTTGTTCTTGAAAGCCAGCTCCTCCATGTGTTGTATCACTTCTTCGTACTTTGTATATGGAGAAATCAGCGGAGGCCGTGCCGCCACCGGTAAAGCGTGCAAGTCTTGCACTTTTCGAGGACGACGAGCCCCCCGCAGACGCACGCTCAATAGCCGGGAAAGGTACTGAACTATCAGCGTTGCAGCCGGTGATCGACTCTGTAGGTGTAACATTAATTCTGCTGTCCAGAGAAGCGACATACCGTTGCTTGTTCTCTAAACATAGATTTAAGGACCCAACGTCGGATGCGTTACTGTTGAAAGTTTCCCATGCGGAGCTTTGCTCTTGTCCAAAACCTTGCTCGACTGCCTCTTCTGGCTTACCCGACATCACTAATGCTCCTGTGCCTGTAGTGCTATCTTTTCTATAACAATAATCCGGCTCCTTTGTAAATTCTGAGAACTCTGGCTTTTTCACCAGTGCCTCGTCGTTTTGTTGTTCTATCCAGGGCTTGGTCGCCTGGCCTTCCGCTCCTACAACCGCACCTAAGAGCAGTCCGACATTGTCGTTGAGTCCAAGAGCGAGAGATGTGCGGCCATTAACGCAGAGGATCTTACTTGTCGTCGAATAGACAGAAGGCCGCAATAGTGCTGAAAACGATGTTCTCTTCGCTTCGGATTCCCACTCTTCTCCGTTAGTATCGTGAGAACGCGTCACGCCTATTCTCTCTACAACAGAGCCTTTTTTTGCACCTGATTGTGCTTCTTGCACGCGACTAGTATCGTAATTCTGCTGTTCAACTGACCCAAAACGAACTGCGCTTTTCACCTTCTTCATAGGTTTTCCTTGGTACTCGCCAGGTCTCAAGTGGGACCCTACCGATGATGAAATAGCAGGACTCACCAGCGAGGCAGGAGGAATTATACTACTAGTTGGATTTGCATTTGCAGCAAGCTGTGTACTACTAGTCAAAATCTGGCTGTCGTTATTCGTAACGATAGCTGGTAGTGATTTCGATTTGTCCTCACCCTCAGGAATCAAATCTGAGTTGTAAAATCCTCTCGACGATGAATGGGGATCATCGACTAGCATTTTCATATCATGGCTTTTCAAAGGCAGTGGCGGTCTACTTGGTGATGCAGGACTGGTCTCCTGATCATGGGATGAGTTCTTGAAGACGGACACCTTCTCCACCGCATAGGAATACGCAAACTCATTGGTCATATCGACATCGCCGGAAGGAAAACACAGCCAGGACACCTGTTTTGCGGGAGAGCGTGCGAAACTGACATTGCGATACGTTGCTTTCCCGCTCCTTATCGCGTCGGGCCGTTGCGGGAGCAGGTGCTGCCCCCCTAAATATGCCTGGTGGAGACTTCGACTAGTCATTCGCGGAGAAGCATCGTCACGCTTGTTGTTGCCAAGGGAACCACCTCCCCTATCAGTACCCAGTTCTAGGCCATCATTTTGATCTATCTCTTCAAGTAAATTGGGCAATCCTTCGTCTTCTAGTGCAGAGAAGATTCCACAATTGGCCGACGCACGAGCGAGGACACTCGCACGACCGGGCACGATAGCACTCAGTGCACTTCTTCGGGACGCATCTTGTCGAGTCGAGCGCCGCCCTGACGCACGTCGCGAAGGAGATGAAAGGTAATTTTCGAGCGTTGAAGAACGGTTATTTGCCGAGCGATCCAACACACCGTTGACAGACCTCGTTCTTGTTCCGCTGATGAATCTACTTGCATCCGGTCCTCTGCCCTGCTCAGCGATCATAGTGCCCGTTTCTCCATTTCTAAGGAAATGGTCCCCCTCTTCGAACCGCCTGGACAAGCTGAGAAAGTCGCGCCACCGGTCCTTCGACCAGACGACATCGTTGCGAGTTTGGAGAAGGATAGGTGGATCGGCTTCTGGCGCAGCGACAAGAGTCGCGAGAGAAGCGCGCGCTGCCTTCGTGCTGTAGTCGTCGAGTAACGACTGTGTGGGGATAACAGTCTCCCTTACAGGTACCAGTCCTTTCAAAATACGATGTGCTTGCAACGGCTGAGAGGTCCCCAGCGCCGTTCCTTTGGCTTGCACCAGTTGTAGGCGCTCTAGGATGTCACTTTTTCCGGAGGGGCTTGTGGTCTCGATCGTATCATTCAGACCAATCTGGTGTGGAGCAGCTTCATTTCCTCGAAGAACACCAGGAGTGTTATGGTCACCGTTTAGAAAAATTGAAAGACTACTCGACGCTTCTTCGGCAACATTTCCATTACTATCCTGGCCTGCACGACTAGGAACACCTGCAACATCTGGGGCAGGCAGCCTTCTCCATTTCAAGTTCGCTTTCCGATTCTTCTTCGTAGAGTAATTTCCCTTCTCTGGCCCAGTTGATGGAACGCCCTTTCGATGTGTCTTTGAACCTCCAGGCGCCACGGCATCGTATAACTGCAGTTCCTTCTCGTTGGAGCAGATGAGACGTTGCAAGAGTGGAAGACGCTCGAGCGTACTAGTGGCAGTCCACGCCATGGCCTCCTGGTCGTTCTGGGCGGTGGTTTTCCGACGTGGTAGAGGCAGTTGTGCTGGCCGGTCAACATATTACTTACATCTCCAAATACTTAAGTTGTTGCTGTAGGTTGTATTCCTATTCTATATGACATGTTGTCTACCAATTTTTCCATGTCCATGATGTTGATGTGACCACCACGAAAATACTTCCAGCTACGATCACTCCACTGTGATGAAAAGCTCTTTGCTTGACAGGAAACAAGCCGTGTCATCGGAAGGCTGATCGATCATCTTCCTGGGGGAAAAAATGCACTTCTAGATGAGATCTCTTTTGATCTTTATGTTTCTGCCATAGAGAAGATCTAAGCTTTCAAATTCCATCCAAAACGACGTGAAGAGGCCCTGTGGGAGCAGGAGCAGAAGATATTCCAAGTTGGAAAACAACTACTTAGTGGCAAATCTAATTACCTACTCGATAAGAAAGCACAGGATAGACTCTATCCGAAACAAGCTACTGCATATCCATACCGCCCACGTGCCCCCGGCGTGTACACACGCCGGGGCAGGGCGGAAGGGTCTGGCAAATGCTACGAGTTACACAAAATCCATACGGCCTACCGGCGTGCTACGAATTACGTAAAGAGTGGCGGGCTATGGAATAAGCAAAGCAGCTCCGCGCTACAAGCTACTACGTGCTACATAAACCCCCACCCTGGCAGCACCCGAAACGCCCAAAACGAACTACTTCGAACGAATGAGGCAAACGGGTATCCAAATACATACGCCGAGAGTCAAATCCTTGAGCAGATCACTCCACCAGGCGGGCCTGCTGTTTTCAGTTCTCAGCGTAGTGGCTGGGCGAAGCACTGCAGTCGACTCCGCTCACCGTGAGAACCTCGCGCGCCCCCTGGCCCGGGTTTTGGACGTGTGTCCCCTACTCTTGGAGTGTGTTGCGTCTCCGGCTGGCATGGCAGTGTCACGAGGGGGGCCCTAGGCTTGTCGCTTTCGGTTCTCAGCATAGTGGGCGAAGCACTACGCCCGACTCCGCTCACCATGAGAACGTCTACCGTGGATCTTTTCCGTGGAGAGAACTAGGGGGCGGCTCCGTTCTACTCTCGGCCTGTTTGCGGGGTTTTACTCTTTGCGCCGTTTTGGGTTTTCCATCCAAATCACGCAGCTTGAGTTATGGCGTCGCGTTGCTGCCTACGTTTCAGCTGCTTCGCGTGTGCTCTCTGTGAGCCATTTACCCTCCCAAGCTTACGGCAAGTTGCGCTCTATCGCTTAGCTTCCCTATCTGCTTCTGGCTTTCTCGAGAGGTGTGGGCATGCGTCATCTCAAGGCTTTGATCTAAGTGAACAAGAGCAACGCCACGCGAGCAGTGCTGTGCGGCTTCCATGTGCTTGGGCGATGTAATCTGTGAGCCGCTTGGGCTTTCTGATCAGAAAGCAAGCCCAAGCCTATGAGCTTGCTGGTTACTTATGGCTTACTCGAGAGGCCTTGTCCTTTGCGATTGCGCCCATTCTTTTCTGATCCAAAAAGCGCAGCGCGATGAAGTTGCTGCGTACTTGTGAGCTGCTTAAGAGGTCTCACCCTTTGGCTCAGTTCAAGACCCTCATCCAAACGGCGCAACGCTGTGAAGCTGCTGGCCCTTTTGACTTGCTGGGAAGGTCTCACCCTCTGACCCAGCGCAGGCACCCTACCCAAAAGGCGCAGCCTGCCTTATGAAGTTGCTGCCTACTTTTGAGTGACCTGCTTGAAAGGTCTCGGCCTTTGACTCTGCTCAAACCTCCCACCCAAAAAGCGCAGCTGTATGATATTGCTCTCTACTTTTGACCTGCTTGAAAGGTCCCAGCCTTTCAGTCAGCTCACTCAGAGCTCTCCCACAATCAAAGGGCGCACCTCTATGAAATTGCTGCCCACTTTTGACCTGCTGGAAAGGTCTCGCTCTTTGGCCCAGATCTGGCCAGCTTGGTTATTCAAAGCGCGCAACTTTATGGAATTGCTGCCCACTTTTGACCTGCTTGAAAGGTCCCACCTTTTGACCAAGCTCGGGCATCCTATCCAAAAAGCGCAACGCCATGGGGCTGCTGTCTGCTTTTGGCTTGGCTTGCTTGAGAGGTCCCGCCTTTTGCCTTTCTTTGCTCAAGCTCCTTGCCCAGAGAGCGCAATCTACTTCATGAAGCTGCTGCCTACTTTTGGCCTGCTCATAAGGTGAGGCCCCACGCTTTCACTCAGTCAAGTCAGGCGCCTTACTCAAAGAGCGCAACTCTAGGAAATTGCTGCCCACTTTTGACCTGCTTGAAAGGTCCCACCTTTTGACCCAGCTCAGGCCACTCAGGCATCCTATCCGAAGCGCGCAGCCTTATGCGATTGCTGTCGTCTACTTTTGGCCTGCTTGAAGGGTCCCACCTTTTCACTCTGCTCCAACCTCTTATGCAAAGCGCGTGGCTTTATGCGTTTCCTGTCTATTTTTGACCTGCTTGAAAGGTCCCACCCTTTGACCCAGCTCAGGCCCCTTATCCAAAGAGCGCAACGCTATGAAGTTGCTGCCTCCTTTTGAGCTGCTTGAAAGGTGTCGCCCTTTGACTTAGCTCAGACCTGTTATCCAAAGAGCGCAACTCTATGCCGTTGCTGTCTGCTTTTGAGCTGCTTGAAAGGTCTCACCCTTTGACGTCGCTCAGACTCCTTATCCAAAAAGCACAACTTTATGAGATTGCTGTCTACTTTTGACCTGCTTGAAAGGTCTCACCCTTTGAGCCAGCTCAGGCCTCTTATCCAAAAAGCACAACTTTATGAGATTGCTGTCTACTTTTGATCTGCTTGAAAGGTCCCACCCTTTGAGCCCGCTCGGACTCCTTATCCTAAAAGCGCAAACTTGTGGGATTGCTGTCCGCTTTCGAGGTGCTTAAAAGGTCTCAGCCTTTTAGTTTGAGCCAGCTCAGACTTCTACTTAGCCACAAGGCGCACATTTATGAAGTTGCTGTCTACTTTTGACGTGCTTGAGCGGCCCCATCCTTTGAGTCAGCTCGAAATGCTTATCCAAAGCGTGCAGCTTTATGAAGTCGCTGTCTACTTTTGACCTGCTTGAAAGGTCTGACCCTTTGAGCCAGCTCAGGCGCCTGATCCAAAAAGCACGCAGGTGCCAACTTGCTCAGCGTAGAGCTGCTGGGTGCTTGCCTCTGTTTGCATTTCTTTGTTTGCATGTGGGTCCTTTTTGTAGCACATACGCAGACGCAGCGGATTTTCTTCATGAGATGACTGGCCCCAGGCTGAGGCGCTTCGCTCTTCGTTTTTTGTCCATGCAACGCAGTCCTTGGCTTGTGCTGTTGGTTCAGGGTTTTGAGGTACTGCCGAAAGCCTTAGCAGGAGCAGAATCGCGGGAGAGTTGTACTCAAAAACGCGGCATTTTTACGGCGCGAGATGTATACATCTAGCCCGTACATCTTTCCCATGATTTCCGTACATCTCAAAAGAGTGGAATTTTGGAAGCCTGCTATGAATCGCCCCGGTGTAAGTACATCCCGAGAGTACATCTTTCCCGTGATTTACGTATAAGATATATATCTCGGGATATATATCTCAGACGTATACATCTCAACCGTACATCTTTGCCATGATTTGCGTACATCTCAAGCCGTAAAATCACTCCTGTTTAGCATTCAAAATAAGTTTTGGTTTATAATATAGATAATTATAGTATCCATACCTCAAAAGCAAAAACGAGTATGCTTTGTTTTTCGGGCTCTCGTCGGGTATTCTTTTTCTTCTCTCGCACAGCGCAAGGTAAATATGTACGTACGTAGACTCTCCTACTCCACCTTGTTCCAGTTCAACAGAGATGCCTAATGTTGAACCTTCTCTTCACGACAAGAAACAGAAGTGTTTTCGATCATACAGAACCGGAAATGCTAGTGATAATCACAATGAAGGTAGATGACACAGAACAACATAGAAATTACAGACTACCGAAGCCCAGTGTTCTTGTTGCGTGGATGAGCAGCAGGACAATCAACAGAATCTGCCAGTGTGTACGAGCATCAAAAAAGCAGAGATTGCCTATGCCCAAAAAGCGTCGCCAAAACGCCATGGATTATCGTGGCCTACGCGGTGGTGTCTGGGTAGGAGTGGGACTCTCTCACGTACACGTCCCCCTGCCAATGAATTCCATGATATTGCAAAATGAAAAAAAGTAAAGAGAGTTCAGTCCTGTTCGAAAACTGCACCGACTCCCAATTGGAATTGCTGGCAAGAAGAAAATTTTCGGCTTCTATACAATACATTTTTTAACTTACAACGACCATCGATAAGTAGGTGGTAGAGGTAGTTACTACATGATCATGTATAATCATTCACGCGATACATACTCCAAACTGTTTGATTCGGAATCAAATAGGTCGATAACGAGGTCTAATCATTCTATTACTGTTGCTGTCGAAGCAAAAACGGACCTCAATGCGAAGGACCACTGCGGGAGACGGCATCCTCCAAAAATGTTGAACCAGACTTGAATCGTTTGAAAATTCACATGCAAGATTTAAGCTCTGCACAAAAAAGCTTAAGCCTATTCGGGTTGCACTCATTGCCAAGAAGTCACTGGTTATCCACAACTACGCGTACTTCGGAAAAAACTCATCAGGTTGGCTGCACCGTGTACTAGCCGCACGACCCAACGCATCTCCGTGGAGAACAGCTCCATTGGTTTCTTCTCCCACAACAGATCGCCGAAGATGGGGCTCGCGCTTGCTTGCTCTTCCCTACTGGAGCTGACAATCTGTGGGCTGGCACTGCGAGGTAAAATGATGCCGCTGCCGGGAGCGTGTTCGGATCTCTCGAAGCCTCGGCAACGCAGAAGCGACGAGCCCCAGCAGGATCGCCCTTATACTTGCGTCGTTCTCGTCGTCCACCCTACCTAGCCCGAAACAGGATGAGAACGTCACCTTCGACATCTTACGTACTGCCCTTGATCTTGAAGACGAGAAGCGCGCAAATGAGCTGGAAAACCATCGCTGTTGAGAAGGTCAGGGCGTAGCCAAGGTAGTTGAACTGCGTTGGCTCGGCGCTTAGGAGGTCAGTCAATGATGCGGATTCGTCGTTTATGTGTGCCGCGTAATGCAAGTATACCCCGTAGAAAATCGGTCCAATCGCGAACCCGATAAAGTGGGACGTTGACCACACACCTGAGTTAATTTTAATTCATGATCAAAACATCATGATTTTCGAACGAAAAAACAAGAAAAAACTACGAGAGAGCCTGACCAGGAGTTAATCTTCTTCCTGTTCTGCCCAGTTGGCAGGTGCAACACAAGCAGAAGAAAGTGTTGATGAGTCACGACATTTCCTATGGTACATTTCTACTCTTTGAACCATACTCAAGCGCACTGCCGCCCATCGTCAAGTAAAAATCACATTCACTGACCTAGTTTCGTTGTGGCGTTTTCTTTATTCGGCAGAGTATCAAGCGCAAGAGCGCAGTCGACGGCGATGAACGCGCCATTCCCGAGAGCGTATACCATTGCGGTAAGGAAAATGTAACACCAACCTCTAGTTTCCCGGTACTGAGGTTCTTGCCATGGCACATTAATGAACGCATCATGCAAGCGGCGCAGCTTCTTTCTTGCCTCTACTGCGTGATCAAGCTCGAAAAAGCTCGATAATAGCCCTGTCGTAGCACTTCTAGCCAGAAGGGTAGGCGTAGGATGTTTGTTGTTTTCTAGTTGTTCGGCGTGGTCTGCATCTAGTAATGACGATGCACTAGCAACATCTTCATGGGAAGCAACTGCGGGTGCGCTTTTCCGTCGGTGATTGTTCTCAATCTTTCCGTTATGATGTTGATGATGCCTAGGGGTTCGACTCCTAGCTAAGTGTTTGTCGTTGACACTCACAACATCTTCTTGCATTTTTGAAGAATCAACATTCATGTCTTCATCAAATTCACCTCTAGCTTCAGAAACTTCGTCTTCAAGAAAACTTTGGTCCTCCTTCTGCTCCACGTCACTTCCTGCGAGCTCTTGCAGTTTGAACGTTCGAGCAGCCGCACTAGGTGCATAGGGCCGTCTCCGAGACCGCTCTTCTACATATCTGAAGAAACTCGAAGTTTTTGCGTTCGTGTTCTTAGATGGACCAGCATTATGATTTGCACACTATTTCATTCAGAAATCTTTGATTTAGTTCTCAAAGTTTTCCATCCTCCACCTTGTAGTACTTGCCAACATTGAACAATGATAGAGACGGACTTACAACTCTCACGTGAAGATCGTCAGACGAAATACCACTCGCCTTAATTTTCTTCGGAAGGTCGAAGTTGCCGTTGCACACGTACGGGAAGAACAGCAACATCACGCAGGCCTGGGGTGGAGGAAGTTTGGAGTTACAACTCATGATGCGTGACTGAAAAAACAAGATGTTGGACGCGAACAAGTATATACGTCATCACCTACACCTGGTGGTCCTAGAATTGTTCATACTCTACGACCCTATTTCATCGAATGATTATCATCATCATCATCATCATCCTCATCATGCTGATACTTTTAATCACTGACCACGATTAGGTACCGCGCACATGACGATGCAGCTAAGGTAGACCATGCGTTTTCGCCCGTATCCGGGAACGTCGGATAATGCGCCAATGCCCAAGCTGCCTACAACACCAATGCAATAGCACACGATGGCTACGCCCGCCATGTTGTAAGTAAGGATATTGCGATCCTGCGTCAAGAAGTCCCGAATGTAGAAAAAAATGAAGATCTGGGATGCCACGGAACAGTAGTAAAACGTGCGACCAAGCACAACAAAGAAAAAATCGGTCCCATGGCTTGTTGTGCCGATATAGAAGCAGTCCTTTAGCTCAGCGTAAAGACTCATCTCGTCGCTGGCGGTGATCTCATCCTGAGACGTATCTCGCTCAGAAACAACCATCACCATCACAGCCCAGGCAAGGAACTGGCAGTTATCATGGAGATGGAAGATGTTGAGGTGTTGAAGAAATCCATTTACTTACGTACCGTGCAGATGCACATGAGAGTCCTATAAAAAATCACAGTGACATCATAGCTACAACAAGTTCTACATCGAGAGTACCAGCATGACCGGCAAAACCGCGTATAGAAGTCGAAAATTGATGAAAGCAACGCTCTGCAGACAGAAATTTCCCGCCAGTGCCCCCAGCAGCCACATCGCGCCTGAAACTCCGGAAGCTTCACCTCTTTGTTGTGGTGGCACCATATCCGCTACAAAGCCTAGGCTGGCAGTCTGGGCTGCAGATACGCACACCATCATCATGGTGTAGGCGAAGACGTAACCGTAAAGCGAACGCGAGGTTGAGGCGTACCACATCAGCACGAAAGAGAGCATTGCAGGAACTGTGAAGGCTGTCATATACGGTGTCCGCTTGCCCCATTTCGACCGGCAACGGTCGGATAACTTCCCGAGAGGCGGGCAGACCAGTTGAGCGACGCCAGCAAGCACGCAGAAAATACCCAAAAGAAGCTGCGTTTGCGTGTGATGGAATGATCATGCTGATAGGCTGTCATTTCAATGTTAAAGTCTACACTGGCAGCTAGGTAGTGCATGTCGTACAACCATGATCCCCCTACCTAGTACAGGTACTCCAATAATAAGAGTTCTCACATCAAAGTAGTACCTACAGCAAGAACAAGTGCCACACGATCAATCATAATAAGAAGAGTGATGAATTGTTTAGATTGTAGCCGCTTTCATTAGTAAGTCATTAAGCCACTTCTTGAGTTTAAGCTCAAGTCTTCCTTTCTGTTCTCTCTTCCTAAGGGATGTTTGGGAGGAAGGAAAGAGCCAGCCAGCAAAATCTGGCTACGATCAATCATAATTTCAAGTACACTGCTATTCTCTGGCGCCAAGGTTTCTGCTTCTAGCGACAAAAGGGTCACGCTGACGCCCAGGACGACGCCCAAGGGAAAGTTATACAGCGTGAAGGCTATTAACTCTGAGAGGGTCCGCCGATCTCTGTCTAGAAGATTATACTGGCCGCTTTTGCCCGTGGTCAGGACAGGTGAGTCCCCCACGCATGGGACGAGGTTGGCCTTCTCATCCGATCGCTCTTCCGGAAGAGGTGCCAGCTGCATTTTCTAGAAAGTTGGCGGAAGGGAGCACCTTAATCCGAACGATTTCAATTAATTTATCTCTCTCTTTTCACAAAATTACTGGCAGAATGCCAGCTTGTTATGTCTCTTCTTGATAAAGCAAAAAAAACTAATTGCAGTCCAACAAATGAGTCACAGTCTGTTATCGCGTGGACGAGAACTATTCTGTTGCTGTTGTAGCGTGACGTTGAAGGTGCTTGCTTAATATTCTCACGTATCAATCTCAGTTTTTTCTTTTTTTCTGGGACTGACCATGAGCAATCGAGAGTCCCAGTTCCGATTTGTTCGTCTTTTGATGCATTACCTTTTGCTGTCGTGTTTCCCTTCGTTCGTGCCACGTCGTCCTTTTTATCTCTATTGCTCTCGAGCCCTTCCTCGTCCGGATTCTGAGATCTTGAACAAGTGACTACCAGCTACGTGAGCAACCTGCTTAACCGAATTCCTTAGGCATACCGAACGGGCGTCTCCGTTCTCCCCTCCTCGAAACCTTTATGTATCGGCTAAGCATTACGTCTACGAACGACATACAAGAATACAACCGATCTCTTTACTCATCGCCCTGCGAACCCATTGGCTAGATCAAAGTATCTTCATATCCATTCTACACGAGATATAGAAATTCGTTTCCTAAAGTTCGTCAACGTCAGGAGCGTGCGCCCATTCATTGGGGAATATGGGATGGGAATAAGTTTCAGGATACATGGGATTGGATAAGGGAGTAAACGGAATTTAGGAAACATCGATCGAATGCGGAATGCAACAGGGATGAATGGCGCTAAGATTTCTAGCATAAATCTTACTTAAGTAATCGTGCTCGCGAGTGCGTTCGGAGGCCGGCAGCACCAGCAGTTATGCACAGTCGCTAATAACAATCCGTACAATATGCGTGGAGACCTAATAATAATATTGTGCATTAACACGACCAGCATAAGTTACAATTCATGGATGCAGTATGCTAACTTCATGACCATTTCGCATCTACAAAAAAGGCAGAAATCCAGCAGCATCGACATGATTAACTACCGACGCGACGACTGGCATACTCATTACTGCACTTACACGCAAACCGCTGACCTATGCAGATACCAGTGCCAGGTCAGGAATTGCAGCTACACTGTGGAATGTGTCTTGTAGCACTGTTAAGGTAAGGTTGAGGGTCCACTGCACCGCGGCCAGGCCGCACCGGCTGGGACGGCTCGGGTCCGAGTAGAACCACGCTTACCGATGTGAAGGGCATGAGGAATGCCGAGAGTTGTACCGACTTCATCCATGCACATGTGGGACTTCTGCTAACCGAAAAGGGTAAGCCTTCATGCGTATCCTCGTGTGCCGAGGTGAGCGGGATGTCGTGGTAGTGTCTAAGGTATGGCGAACAAAACTACAATGCAGTCGTCTTAGAGGGAAGATGCATCATCGAGCAATTTATTGGGACGAAGGGGCTGGCGTTGCTCATCATTTGTACGTCTTGATCTGGCTCATCTTGGGACTCGAGCAGTGCTAAGCCCTGCTTGTTACAAGTATGATCCTCTTTTGGGGGTCTTCGTGCGGCAGTACTATCGTGCGCTGTTCATCTTCTCTCCCCGTCCAGCCGCGCTACGGCTCTCCTTCTCTCCCGGCGCCCGCGACTTCATCTGTGGATTGGGGATCCCGGACGAAGCGACTCTTAACTTCTTGTGACGCACTAGCGCCCGTTTCACTCCTTTCTTCTTCCTTCGTCGCGCTGTGCCCTCCCGCTGACTCCTCCGTTTCTCGTTCTTGTCACCCTTGCTTGACCTGCCTCGTTGCTGCACGGGGTCACAGTCCTATATGGTCTCGCGGATGGCAGCGGCTCGGTCCCACGTATCAACAGAAGCGCCAATGTGCCGCGCCATGAGATCCACTTCATACTTCTGCCTGTAGTCCTTCAATGCCTGTTGCAGCTTCTCCTCATCGTCCATTTCGGCGTAACCGGGGGTCACCTGTGCTACTCTAGCGTCTATCGCACTTCGCCGGGCCGTGCTTGCAGATCCACAACGTGCGGCTTGCGCGATCTGAATTCTCGATGCCAGTTATTGTTATCCCGCGATAAGCTGGCGGCATCTCTGTCGCGTTCCTATACGTACGTCCCTTTTCCCGCTTGGAACTCGCTTAAAGTTGTCCTTGATGTGCTCACTTTGGATGCTTGCCACGCCGCCCACCCCGACGGCCTCTTCTCTTCGCGCGCGCGCATTCGCCATGCCGTGCACACCTCCCAGGTCGGAGTAAGAGTTGCGTGTGTTGTTGCTTCGGCTACGGCATAGTGCGGCTCCGCGGCGTCGCCTGTCTCGAGCACAGCTTTCCATGTCACATCGATTCTACTAGCTTCTGCACGCAGACTTGCCGCCGCATTTTCGGCGACCAGTGGGCACACTTTCTCCGCTCGGAATGCTAACCTTTGAAGATCCTTCCTCGCGAGCCTCGGTTTCGTGCTGCTTTGCTGACCTGCTTGGGCTGGTCACACTAGTCCGATTCCGGGCAACACCGACCTGCTTGCGCGGCGCACGGAATGGTGCCTGCGTGTCGACTTGCTGTGGCCGTGCCGCGTGTCTTGTAGCGACTTGCTATTGCCGTGCCTGGATGTCGTGTCTTGTAGGACTGTCTCTATCTTCAACTATACAAAGCTGTACCACGGCAATGACATCTGCTTCTTACTTGTATGAAAGAATGGAGTGCGTAACCCTTTCATGTGAAATTATTATCTGCATCTGGCAAGAAGGCTGTTTAGGAGACTCAGGGCCATGCATTCTGGTCCTGAAACTCGCTTTCAGCAATTTCCTTTGTTGTAGGCAAAAAAAACATCTAGTACGCTTACATTATCATGTTCGAAGATTTAATTTCAGCGTTGTTGTATATGAGGAAACGAAACTAAGAAACGCCTGGCCCGGGAACAGCTGGATTCTGATCATTCGGATTTTTTGGATTATGATTCTGATCATAAGTAGCAATTTTTTAGTATTAGTAACTGTGTCGACTATAAATATATTCCAACATTCTACTTATTCTACTTACAACTGGTGAGTGCATCTCATCGTTGGCTATCTACTGGTGATCGCAAACCTCGACTTTTTCATTAGCTTTAGCCACCTCTTTATTCCATGATAAGAGGATGTGACGCTTTAATCGCTACCTCCGCTACCTCTAGTTCCTCCATGATGAGCGGATTTGATTTTGCTATCTCTGCAAGAGCCTTGCTGCATCTCTTTTAATTTGATATTGATACAACATTCTCTTTTAGTTTTACTTCACTGCGTGCGTGCCACTTCCCCATAATATTATGTTTTCAGTTCGTATAGGTTTTTAAGGTAATCCCAGAACTGATGACCGCTCTCCCCTGCCAGATGAAACTGCGTGTGCGTCAGCTCCGCCAGAACGGACTGCACGCGACTGATGCTTAGAGATGTTTCTGATTCTGTAGGTGTACGTCAGTACGTAAACAATTTGAAACTCTTGTGCGTTGCGGTGTGTGTTGTCCACATGTTGCGCATACTCCTCAAGGTTATGTTTTGATGAGATTTACCTAGGACTTTTCAAAGTCAGTATTTCTATGGAGTAAAAATGTAGAGAGGACTTCCGTCAAGTCTCCGTAGCTGCTGCGGCAAGTTTCGTGAAGAGGTGCCTACTTCTAAGTCTTGTGTGTATCTATATGTATTAATTGCAATTTGTTTCATCTTTGTCGAGGTTTCAAGATAATCTACTTAAATCTTGTTTCATTTTTTGCCATAATGTTGAGAGAGGGCGCCGAAAAACGAAGTCTACTGCTCCATTCGGCGCGTTGTCTAGTAGTCTTGCCTGCGTTTCGGGGCAAATTTGGTGTTTCTTGTCGTGGTGCACAAGAAAAAATAGTGCTGAAGAATTTCTTCGACGCACCATACTCCTTATGCCCTCTAGGTCAGCGTAAGGTATCTGGTGTTTTGCGAAAACGTAAATAATGAGCGCTCTGATGATATTGATATTGACATCCCGTCTTTGTTCGTTTGTATTGTTGCGTTCAGGGCAACGCCTACGATCTCTTCTTTATGTTGTTGTTGTCGTACACAAATCTATCCTCATCGTCCATTTTCGTGATCTATTAAAACTCATTTTTAAAGTCCTCACCGGTAAAAGACAAAATCAATACCTCTGACGTCGCGAAGACCATGCCGTATGGTGGCACCATTCTTCCTGCCATAAGCATGGCGTCTTTCCCACTAAGAGCTAGATCTGCATCCACTTGTGCGCGTACCAGCGCGTTTTTGCTCTTCCTTTGATTTTCTGGCCCATCTGGAAAACCACGCTCACCTAGATGGAGATGTTGTAAAGAAGATTCATATTCATTTGATGCTGTTACTTCTCGTATTCGAAGCATTTCATTCAACACTGTCATTGGTAGTTCCTCTACAACAACAAGAGTAAGTAAAACGTAAGAGACGTACCAACGACAGTGCCGGTCAGTTCTACTATGAGCGCACGTGGTTTTGCGAATGTCTCAAAGCGCAACCGCTCTACAAATCCTGTCATTTTCTTGCTCAGCATCAGCGCTCCTCTGCTGAAAATAAGCAACCACGGCGTACTCGTAACGCTATACTTGTGCGCGAGCTCGTTTACAAACCTTGTCGGTGGTGTAGCGTAGATTAATGGGTACTTGGATGAATGATGAAGCAGTAGTCCTACTCCTACGCTAGTCAGTGCATACACTACTTGCTGACAAATTAAGAAGCACAACTAGAAGAATTAGAAGCTTTTACTGGATGTCTTCACGAGTACTTTTTATCGGATATGAGCGCGCCTCTCTCTGCCATATCCACCATAGCAAAGTCCATGTTTTTTTCGAATTTGCGAGCACATGCATGAGACACTTGCATTAGCTTTTCCGCATGTTTCGTCTGCGGGTCCCACGGCGCGTGAAAGCACACGACAAACATTCTTGCTTTGCTAGTCATCACTGCAGTTTCGAATTCGTCATGCGTTAAAATCCGAACTGTCTTGGGAAAAAACCAACGATTCACCTGTAATGCAATTGCAAGTGGTCAAAATTTTTGTTTTCACGAAGAAAGTACTGAATCTTACTACGCTTCAACCACGTTTGAAAAATGGAACCAAGATTTGTAGGATGCATGCACGATGGGTTGAAATACAGCATCGTAAACGTGATTGCGCCTGGTATGAGAATATTCTGAACCCGCTTTGCATAGAGTAGTACTCCTTCGTCTATGCCTTTGCTCGCTTTCAGCTTCGATTCGCCTCCCAACATCAACCGACCACTCAAATACTTAATGCCTATTTTGCTGCTTTCCCCTGTCACTTCGTTTGTCAATGTTCCTGCGAGGCGACTGATCGTCGGGTTCATCTTCGCTACTTTTTGCGCTAGTTCTAGTTCCACATTGTAGTCTATTCGACCCTTCGTCAGTTTTTGCGTCAGGTTATCGATGGTCGAGGAATTGCTCGCACTAGGACCTGCACCGGAGACGTTGAATTTGTCCTTGATCGTGCCGAAAAGCGTCTTGCCAGTGGTTGCATCCTTGGCGAATTCTCGAACGTTCGAAATAGACCTGCGACTTTTGTCAGGCGAAGGAAAACGCTCCTCGATAGACGCTTGCACCGATTCTCTGTAGTAGAAGAAATGGGTGTGCAAGCAACCGCAACAAATGAAGACTTCCTTTTTGAATAACAATCTCACAACATCTCTACTCACTTTGAACAGTATTTCACAGCGTGGAAGTGCCCATGCAATCGTTGTCCTCATCATTGGAAAATGAATGATGGAGCTAGAAGAAAGTTGTAGAGGAAGTTAGTATTCATTTCTTATTCTTACATACATAGTGATAGTACAAAGCTTTCGCTGTCCTTTCGAGTATCGGTGCAGACTCAAGCTTGACATCTTCTGCATGTTGCGCTGGATCCGAACGAGCCATTGTCCGTAATTTTAGACAAAAGCAAAACTAGTTTTCTGGATTACTTAGATTGTTGTAGCTGTGATTGTCGATCATGATGTCACCGTATATGTATTGCGGACGCAACATATTGGATGCAGAGTCCTCGTTCGCACGTTGAATCACCTGCAGTACTATTGGCTGTTTTTTATATCTGTCGAGTCATAAAATCTGTAGAAGAGCCAGACCCGGATGTGATTTGTCGAAGAGTGCTGGTGGAACAATGCCAACAACGAAGGTGTGTTTAACCTTCTCGCAACGAAAGTCCACTAGAATTATGCCGTTTGTCTGCGGCTGGTTCCCTAGAATGCCGGTTCTGCACAATGAAGCAAGGCGATTCACTAAAAGAAAGAGGATAACGATGAAGCTGTAAGACGCGCTAAGTAATTTCTTATAATAGGACAAGAAGCTGATCATACTCTTTATTGCTCCGCAATTAAATAGTATAGGCTGGGTCTGGAACTGGAAGGGCTCTGTGTCTTAAATGTCGGCACCAAATTCATAAACCTGGTCCTCTCATGGAGTTTTCTGGTGCTAGGTGTTTCGCAAATCGATTGTAGCAAACGCGAATGGAAACTACTGGTGGGCCTGTTCGTGAAGCTACTACTGGCATGTATATTTTTTCAAAACTATGATCGTCTGTTGCCTTAGACCACCAAACTCGTTCGACCGCGCCTCCAGTGCTTTTTCCGGTGAGCTTCGCAGAAGGAGAAGAGGAAAGATTCATGTTCATCCCGTCTACCTGATCTGAAGATTAGAGTAACAGATGGCTCTTTCCAAAAAAGTGCAGAGCCTTTCTGTGTGTTGTAAGTAGTCTCACCGGTGGTCTGTCTCAGATGCATGGGCATCTTCACCTTGGTGGTCCTCGCTGTTCATTTTTCGTTCTCCCTTCTGAAATATCTGCAGATGGATTTCCCAAACAAGAGCCTTAAGTTGGCGCGTTAGGGCCAGCAAAGGAAGATCGATTGCTACTCGAAGAAGATGAGGAGCCTCCCGAGGAGGAAACTTGTACATAGTCTCGAGTAGTAAGGAAAATCTTCAGGGCTGCTTCCTCACCCGACAGCGTCTTTGGCGCGGACTCCACCTTCCCTATGCCCCACTCGTTGATGGAGCCTAGCCACCTCGATGAAGGTCCGTCCTCGAAAAACATGCAAAGAAATTAGACCATAATAACGTGCAAGTGGAAATCAATGTCAGAAAGAATGAAGGCAAAACGAAAAGTTCTTCTCATCAGGAGGAGAGTCTTTCAATACACCGGTAAAGTTTGAATGTCTACAACAGGAATCATAGTTGAACCTTCTGCTCTTTTGTGACTGCGCAACGCAGAGTGCGCGCCGTCCGCTTGGGTAGTACGCAAATCCCGACCCATCCTCTTCGATTGCGAGTGCTGTCGATGCCGATTCTCCATATACCTCGTGCTGGGCTTTGAAGTAGGTCCCGAGGTCAGGACGCAGGGACCGACAATGAAGGTGCTTCAAGCTCTTCGTCGTCTTATTTCCGCACACTGTTCGGGGATCAGTATCATTGCGGTCTAAAACGCTCTGGCTTTTCACGTCCAACTTGCAGATTGTAGACGAAAGAGCTTCCGGCATTTTTGTCGCGGTAGTTCTAGTCGTCTCTCCAAGTAGAGCGAGATGTCGCGTTCAGATCTGCGGATGTGAAGTCTCTTGTCCGGACACAGATTTTTCGTGCTAATCTTGTTGCTGACAGCAGTTAAGTTCCATAAAACTTGTGAAAGCTGAGCAAGAGAGAGTCTAGTGGTGGTGCGTCGTTTCTATCCTGGCTTCGTGAATCTTCTCTGCTCGAATACGTGCTCGCTTGGCGCGAGTACGTGCTCGCTAGGCGCCTTAGTTCAGCACTGGTGCCCCTCGGAGCAGCCGTCTCAGAGTCAACAGCCACGCGCTCCGTCTGCACCAGCGACGGGGAAGGCGCTCGGCTTGCGGCGAACAATGATAAGCAATTTTTCTACCGCTCGAACTTCGGGGAAGCTCGGGTCTCCACATCGTGAAGAGTAGAGAATTCCATCATGCGGATCGATATGATGAAGGCAACATGGTTTCGACGATCATGAAAGCTCGGTTAGCTAGTCAGTGAGTCAGTCAGTTGGCGGGGATAGATCGAAACGATCGTGATAAAAGCACTCTCCTTACAATGCTATTTGACCACGACCTATAGGTAGTCACTGTCAAAGGGGCCGTTGGCTTTTTCAACGTCTTTCGGTTTTCTTTATCTCCTATGTGACATAGGATGAAAATCTTGCCATACACCTGCGCCCAGTATGAATAGCTCTCCAGCTCCTTCCATTGAGAAGGTACCTTTTCCTTTTCCATTTTTCAGGCTCTTGGTTCTCTCGAGGGCGCTCACTCTTTTTTTGTGCTTGTTGGAAGTGATGCTTTATAACACAAGATCGAAATAATAAGCTACCGTCTTCAGGAGCGCAGTATAGCAGCCTGCTTTAATATTTAGTTATAGAGTCTCTAGCCTAGTAGAAGGATAGTCGTACATACTCATAGTTCTCCCACTTTAACGCGGACTCTATATCATATTAGCACCTCCATAGTAGAATTATCGTAGCTACGCTTGGGCTCAATAAAGGGCTACCGATATAGATTATTCTATCCCAAGAACAAAAAATCGAAAGCCTAAGACGCGACTAGCAAGTGCAAGTTGCTAACCCTAACACCTATTTTGCTATTAGTTCTACGTATCATAATCCATGAAGAAGATGAACACGACCACCGGTGACAAAAAATGATTGATATGGATTACATTACTTACATACTATTAGTCCCCTCATATCATTGAGTGGAGGCGTCCGGACGCGCTCCTCTGCCGGCTCTGGGCCCAGTGAGGTAATGCAGCGCCTGCAATGCAGCGGCCTGCAAGAGCGCCGCCCTCGGGTTGCCACCAGGATGCCGTTTCCGTTTCGATGAACAACAACAACAACAAGTGTGGTAGTTGTACTTCCCACGAAGAAGCGTCGTCGGAATTAAAGGAGTATTTTCCATAGAACATAGCAGTTGTTCTATTTAGTCAACAAGTTTTTGTTCACCAAAGAAAATTTTTGTGGAGTTTCAGTTTGACACGTTGTCCAAACATGTTATTCAAGGAAGAAAATGATCCGACGGGATTGGGATTGGTTGTTTTGGGTGATGACAGGAGTGAAAAAAACGTCTTTAACAGCGAATCATGGGTCAACGCAAAGGGGAAGGGTTTGGGTCACTGTTCCACCTTCATAACGATGACATCATGACTTCTTGTCACTCATCAGGCTTGTTAAGGAGGCATTAGAAGTAAACTTCTACAACTTCCCCAACTCAAAGACGCTAAACCACGAGATGCGCATTCTCGTAGATCATAACCCCCCTTGTTCTAGGAAGAACTTGACCTCAAAAAGACCTCATAAAAGACCTGCTGTGTCTTCCAACGGTTTATTTTCGTCGGCAAGGTGTGTGACCGCAAGAATGGACTTTCGTTACAGTCCCTTCGCTGCTCCAAGCATAGACAAGAATATTGAGAGAAACGATGGAAAAGTCATGTCATGTCATGGATCCTCTTTTCTGTGTTATGCTAACACCTTTGAGGCCTTTCAACTATCCTGTACTAGATCTCATACTAATTTGACAAACACTATCATCATGACTTATTTTTTTCCTCAAGCTCCACCTAGTTCATTTATTTTCCAATATCTATGTTGCGATGAAGGCGAACCAAAGTAAGACCACGTTGGATGTTGAGCTTCATCTTTTCTTGTTTGCCCTTTCTCGTCAACCCATATATTAGTAAAGTACCTGTACCCCTCAAAAAATCAACGAATGCAATCGAGAATACCAAATCTGTGACAGAGAAGATCAAAATTAGACTGACTCTTCTCAATCATGCCATACACCCTGTGGTAAGATTCGCCATGCTATCGAAGCACTGGAGTCTGGTGCCATCTCGATGAAGTCAATCTTCTAGAAGATGAGGGATCCTCCTTCTATTGAGACCGCACTGGCTGCACACGGACCCGAGAAGGTGAAAGTAGCAGAGAATGAAAAGCTGCTATATAATTAGCTCATCTCGTGTTCATTCTGAAGAAAATGAGTCTGTTGTTCCTACTAACTTTAGGGATGCTTCTGGAAGTGTAATGTAATATCCTTTGTATGACATTATTGTCCACCATCTCCAGTGATGGATTGAAGCAAAGAATAACTTTATCATGCTCCGCCAGCTTCCCTGCGGCCTGCGCGGCTGTCCGAGCGTTTTGGCGGCGGACGGCGACTGTCCTGCCGTTTGCGCGGTGCATCGCGCCGACGACTATCGCGGTTACCTGCGACTGGGGAGCGAGACCGATCTCCGTCTCCCGACGCCGACAGTTCCTGCGCATCGTTTTGGTCTACGACGTCGTCCTCGAGTCCTAGGTCGGCGATATCGATTTCCTCGTTTAGGTCCTGGATTTCGTTCTGGTTTTGCTGTATGTCGTCGGACGGCTCAATGTCTCGCAAATCGACGTCCTCTTCATCTCCTTCCTCTCTACTATTCTTCTGATCCGCTGCTCCTTCTGCTGCTTCCTCTTTCTCTTGTTCTTCCTTGCTCGCGAGGACGAACTTCGGATAGTTTCCCCGGCCCGGCAAAGACGGCTTTCGAGCGCTTGGCGAGTAGCGTCCTCTGCTGCGACGCGCGGGGGATACACGGCGGTCGCCACGACGCGATCTAGACCGCCTCCTGCCGCGACCGCCGCTGCGAGACCTGCGTCCACGACTGCGGCGTCCACCTCGGCTGCGGGATCGGCCTCCGCCGCGTTCTCGCTCCAGTGCCTTTTCCTTCTCCCTCTGCTGCTCCAGCTCCCGCTCTTTCAGATACTCGGCACTGACACCCATTGGAGGCGCTGCAGCCTTCGCACTGGGGTTGTTAGAGTTTTTCGAGCTCTTTTTACTTCCAGCAGCGCCATTTCCTGCTGTGGCGACAGCCTGCGGCGTATCGAAGCGCATTACCTCTTGTTGTGGTAGCTGGATCCCGTCATCACTCGACGGAGAGCGACTCCGACGTCGGTCGCCGGATCTGCTGCGTCGGCGCGACCGCCGTCCTCGCGATCGACTTCGACGGCGCGAGTCACCACGACGCCCTCGTCCGCGCGAACGACGCCGGCTATCGCGTCTGCGGCGAGGCGGACTCCTTCGCGGAGGACTCCTGCGCCTGCTTCGAGGCCGATCTGCTCCACCTTTGGGAGTTGTGCTCGACGTAGTCGTTGTCGCCACTCCGTTGCTTCCGCCGGCGGTCGCAGCTCCTTGCGTATTTGTATTAGAGTCTATCAAAAATTCTATCAGAAAGAAGAGAACAGAGATTTCGATTTCCCAACAAGAACAATGCATATCCAGATAAACAAGTCTATGCCGCATCTAGCTTTCGATACCGAGGAATAGGAAAAGCGGTACGACTCATACAAACATAGACGTTCTTCAATCTCGAAGATGTTCGTGAGGTCTTGGTCTTTCTACTAGTACTAGTTACATTTCGCGGTCCTAAAACAAAATCTCCTACCGAAATAATGAAATTTAAGCGTTGATCTTGAAGTCCGTAATTTTTGGGCGCAACTTCTTCGACTCCGGTACCACAATCGGACCAGAATGCTTCAACTCGTAGGATGCCGGCTTCACATTTTCCGGGTTTCCACGCATCCTGTCTTTCTTCTCGAATCTAATTGGCATGTCAGCTTGAATACCACGCTTCCTTGCGATTTCTTCGTGCGTTCGTTGTCGAGGTGGTCGGTTGCCCATACTATTTTAGAAGTGGGAAAAGGGGAACGATTAGGATTAGGATAGTAGTACAAGACAAAAACAAAGCATATTGACGAGAATGATATCAGAATCAATATCAACAGCACGACAGAGAAACGCATATCGAAGTTCTAACAAAACTCCCCTAAATGCACGCTAGAAGAAATGCATGAAGAACATCTTTGTGTCGAACATCCTAGATCTAAAGAAGCGGTAAGAGTACAGAGCGAGATCGTTTGTGTGTCGTCCGTGATCAGCAAATTTTTCGTTAGCTTTCCCGAATTTCCAATCGATCTGCGACTGCCATCCAATTGTCATAAAATATCCCGGATCATCCTTACGCTTGTGGACTTTGCCGTGAATAATATTTCCGCCAATAGACTGATTCTTAATTTCCTTCTCGTCACGTCTGAGGGGATAAGAATAAGTTGTGTGTGCTGGAAAAAGATAAAGATGATAAGCTTACGAAATGATTGAAGAACTAATTCTTGAGATTCTTCTTCAAGAGTTGTACTAAAATACTTTTGAATCATGCGCCAGTAGTCTGCATCTGTAAGGCCGCGGCGCGCTTCCGCACGTTCACGCTCGAGCTCCCTTTGGGCCTCTTCTTCTCTACGCTGCATAACGAGAGCTCTTTCGCGCTTAGCGCGGCCCATCTCAGCCTCGCTGTCATTGCTGCGACTACCACTGCGACTTCGACTCCGGCTGTCCTTGCGACCTTAGTGGAGATGAAAGTAAGACTAAGAGGTGGGTCATAGTTAATAACCTGAAATTTTTTCCGATCTTTGGTTATAATCCGATTGAAAATCTACTTCTATTAATGATGATAAAAACTTACTTATGTTGTTGCGGCATCAAGCACCAAATAGTACTTGTTCATGTTGACCATATTTCCAGTTAGTTTTAGTCAGTCAAGTCCAATACGATATTAATGTGATGTCATCAAGGTCAACACGTGAGAAAAGCATTGATAAATATCATTTTTACCTCTATCGGGGGAACGGGAGTCCTTGGGCTGCTTTTCTTTTTTGGCTGCCCCCTTCGTCTTTTCGTAAAGGCGCTGCAGCGCCTCTTTCTGTTTCGACGCCATTTTTGCTAGATTCAATCTAGGATGAATGATCGATATTTTCTACAGAAACAAAGAATCAAATAAAATTTCCAATAGTTGTTCTACAATCAAAATGCTTTTCTAGATCTAGCTCTACTAGAAGAACAAGACGAAGAATTCCACGACTATAAAAATTTGGTGGTTCGAGAAGGAACAATCAAAAATGGGTATCATGCGAAGAAATAAGAACTTTCCAAGAATGTAGTCGTGTCGTCATGAAAATCTGCTCTTGCTACAGTACAACTACATTATGAAGGAGCCAACAAGAGTATCTTCTATTTTCTTTCTTTCTTGTGTACGTGATGCCGCCTTATGGCGGGCTAAATCTTCGAGCGTCGTCATCTTTGTGGTCTCCCTATAGTACAAACGAAAACCATGAGGATATTGCGAAACATGATCACGCCTCAGCGTCGAAAGTCAAACAATATACTAGGGTTAGGAACCAATTATAACATAGACCTGTCGCAAGACGAAGAAAGTCACAATGCTAATTGATGTGTGCAAAGGGCAGACGAGCGCCTTCCACCTATATCTAACGTGCCTAAATCAATGGTAAACATCAGCATCACGATCACCATAAGCATAACAAGCTACATCGATATCCAACGCCTTTCCGGATTGATTCTCGTTTCTTTTTTGGACCAAATCGTAATCGACAAGAAAACTGTAACTGTTCGGATGAACTGTGGTCACTTAAGTTTCATAGTGCAAAATTCGCATACATACTTTTGATTTCTCGTCGAACAATCGATACCATTTGAGGCGCGTTCTCAAGCAAGGCAGAAATGGGAACCCTCGTCAAAGAACTGGGAGGTAATCAACACACCATCGACTCGATCTCGAACACGACACAACCCGTCTCCATGCCTGCCAACCTTGTCTTTTAATCAACAAAAGACAAATACAGATTCGATTTGATTCGTTCTTTTGCTTGTCCACCAGGATCATCGCAGCATCAACAAGATTCACTACCAATTTCGTCACAGCGATCCGAAGAAGTTACTTTCTACTCCATGCTCTCGAGTTCCTCGGCTTGCCTTACCACCTGTTTTCGTTGAAGAAGACTTGGAAGAACACGAGACAAAGACAGCGTGCAGCTGCTGACTTTCTCCCGGTCATGCAACCTCTAGCACTAGCGTGTTGTAATTTGTAGTTTGTTCCTGTAGTAGCAAGAAGGATAACGATAAGCTCAGTGTTGAATAGTTACTGCCGGATCCGGAATTAGTCCTCTCAACATTTCATGGTGATGATCAGCCTACAGCTGAACAACACCATTTGAAGCTACCACGAACAATATTATCCTACCTGTACCTTTCTTCTTTTATGTTTTTCTTTTTTATCTGTAAATGCATGATATGCTGTACGAATTATTCCCATGGATTTATCCAATTCTTGTTGGTTTGTGCTTCGCAAATGAGGATGATATTTTGTGATGTTGCTTATATCTTTTTAGTAATTCCTGACAAGTACTAGATGATTCGAAAACTACTTGTACGTGGTAACATGTATGTGTTGATTTATACGAGAATGTAACGATTTGTGATGTAACGAATACGAACAACATGTCTTTTTTGAAATTCTTGTCATGGAGATGTCGTGAAAGTTGAAGATGTTTCTCTTTCTACTTACTTATCGTGCTGTCTATCATTCATTTTGCGTCTATCGTGTTGTCGTTGTGATTGTTCGAAATTTTTTCTTTTCGAGTTGGGCTAAATAATCTTTCACTCCTTCTTCAGATATACTTTCAGTCGAAATCGTTGAAGAAGAGTGCAGTCAACAACAGTCTACATGGTTATTGCAGAATCACTAATATATTGGTCTTCTTAGCATTGGGGTACAGTTTCGTACTGTTAGTGTCTCCACAGGCACAGCTCTGTCACAGTCACTGACTCTTCATTGATTGTCATTGTGGTATTGCTCCTCACTTATGCTGTACAACTACCAGAATAGCTCCACCTCATACCCATTCGCATTGTGCAAGAGCCCACCTCGATCTCTTCTGACCGTCTCTTCGCCTCTCCTCGTTCGCAGTTTTCTCCTGAGTTGAGGATTGGTGGCCTAGGACGACTCTCCGACGCTTGGGTTTGCCTTAGGCTGCGGCTCGCAAAAATTAGAAGACGACGGTGAAGGAGAAGGGATTTCTTAAAGAAAAGACTCAACACCAACATATTTCGGATTCTATTGGGGATAGGGGACAATCACAGTCTATTGCATATTTTATAAGGAGTCTCGTTATCAGACAACCTTTCAATTAAAGTCGAGGAGAACTCTATTACTTATGTCGATGAATAAATATCTGACTGTAAATTTAGCTCCCTGCCACGAACTCTCCGCCGAGACAGAAGGCGTCTGTCATCATCCAATTTATTCAAAACATAATCAAAGTAACAGAAGGAGTAAACAAAGGAATTCCAGGTCGTATGAGTATGTAGATGTACTATGTAAATAATCGCAATCCGAAACTGTGTAGATGATGAAAAGACAAATATCTGGCATCCGTTCTGCAGCATTCACGATACGCACAACTATTTGCAACACAGTAAAAAACATCCCATGCATAACAACTGCGTGCGACTCGCTCGTATGAAGAAGATCCACTTTCGCCTGATCCTTTCCACCGCTCGACATATGCACAGCCTCAGGGCTAATATGTGCCGTCGCAGGATTAATATCACTACCACCCGTCATCTGCACAGAAGGTTCACCTTTTTGCCCCTGGTGCGTGACCTCCAATTGGTTATCTACACCGGTCACCGTACCATCATTATGCACGTTCACGTCATTAGCGGCCATCCGGTTAGGGCCAACCGTCACTTCCACTTTTTCGTCGGACTGTATTTGGGCCGCAACTGCAGAGAGACTATCTGGCTCTGGTACTGGTTCTTTTGTTCGACGCGATTCTAGTTAGAGAATTGAATCCTTACTGACTTGATAATTGAATCCTTACTTTCATCATTATGAAATTAAGGAGGTTTCCTTAGCCATAATGTGCACAGTGCACATTAGCCCCTTTTTGTTTCGTACATTACTGGCTGAGGCTGTGCCTCGGTTTTCACTTTTACAATTAATGGTATTTCGTTGCGAAGTACTAATAACGGGGGCGAGGCGGGCCCGGGGTGAGGCGTGCTGTGCAGTACAGTACTCCACGCGCGATTCTAGCGCAAGAGAGACAATGAGAGGGCCAAGCTCAAGGTCTGGAGCGCCTCCAAGGCACGCTAGAGCCAAAGCTCAGCAGTTTAGAGAGAGGGCAGCCACGCTAACCGCAGCTCTCTCGCGCCCTGTGACTGTCCTGGTGCACAGTCACAGTAAGTTCACAAGTCTGGGTTGTTTGCGGCGTGGTAATCTGAACAGCCTTTCTGCCGAGAGGCCTTCAGAAGTGCCTACTAAAATTCCAAAAAACGAAAGCAGCGACGCAGATGCGGCTACTCCCACTCTGTGGGCACACCGACCTGCGTGCGACAATCAGGAGCGGGCGAAGACTATGGCTATACGCCCAACCCCGATCCCGTTGAAGAACAGGCCATCGCATGGATGCGCACACGCCCACGCGCGCCACGCCTGTGGCACAGTGATGTTCACCAGCCACCCACCCACGCGGAGCAGCATCGACAAGCCAAGGAAGTGGCCTCGCTGGTGTCTGTGGTGAAGCCAGCACCGACCACCAGCACCAGCACACGCGACCGAGCGCGAAAGAACCCAAGAACGAAAGGGAAACGAGGCACCGCCTGCGCTCGTCGTCGTTTGCGGCGGGGAAACCCGGCGGGCGAAGGTCAGGCAGTGCGGTGGGTACCTCTAAGAACAAGCGAAGGAAGCTGCGGCGGCATCAGTGTTCTATTTCTACGAATTTATTAGCTCCCAGTGAGGACCTGCGACGCCTATCCTTTCCGGATTCTCCTCGTTAACAGGTTGCGCGAGCTATGCCCGCGCGCATTCTGCAGCCAACCAAGATGGAAGGAACGGCGTCGACGTCGAGCAAAACGCCCAGAACCACTGCCGAAAACCTTAGCTACGCGCGCTAATGCAATTCAGTTTAGCCAAACCGCGCGCGCACCTAGAAGCACCCGCCACCGACCAGGGCGGTGGCACATCTCGACACCCCGCAGGGGCGCGGACTATCCTAAGCACACCCAATCAGTGAGCAGGCGGAAGCGAAAAAGCAGGGACACACGCCAGACACGCACGGCAACCAGCGGGAAGAGCCTGCATAGCAAGCCAGGCGCGCGCATTCATCAGAGCAATTGCGCCGGCCATCTCTCGATGGGTATGCGCGTTGCGTTTTGCTTTCCTGTTACTCCTCCGCACTCGGCGAGGGGGTTACGCTGGTCACTTTTGGATGTTTCGCGCGGTGTTTAGCTCGCCCGGAGCTCCCGGCCGAGGATTTCGGCGGCGACCAGCCGGGATTTCGTTACTAAGTAAAGAACTATTTATTAACAAGCCGCCTTAATTTAGGAAAGACTCGGCATTCACACTCACTGCGACAGCGACGGCCGACGCCTGCTGTAAGATGCGCTGAGGACGAACCATCCTACCACTGCTTGCTCTTTAGAAATATTTTTGACTGCAGCTTGCTCCTCTTCTAAGAAGTGTCTTGTAGATCCTCCCACTCTATCTTCTCTTGCTTCTATTTCTATGGTATAACGATATTCAAGTGATATGATTCATTGGACGAGACACGAAAGATCGTCGATTATAGTTACTATGCATTCGAATAACATGCTGATGATGTAGGTTGATGATTATTGACATATCAATCAATGGGTCAAGAGTATCCAGCAAAAGAAGCCGGGCGGTGCGTCCCTGATAAAAAGATAGAATACGACAATGATGGCCATGTGCAGGGAGGCGGGATATGATGTGTATAGTCTTCCTAGGGGAGGCGTGAGGTGAGATGATACGGAAGCGAGAGATGATACGGGAGCCACATGGTAAATGACAGACGACAGATCCCTTTTAGATTCAGACAGATGAAATCGCACATACTTCTACTCAAACATCCCACTGTCCATGTTCAACCGAGTTCGAGTTGTGTAACTGATGCTGGGAATGATAGCGATAGGATCACTCAATTTAAAGGTGATCAAACCGTAACCGATATAATGTTGCACAGCATGAGGAATAACTATGTATAACGATGACTTCGATTCGATTTTACCTCACGAGACAAGGGTTTCCATATCGCCGTGGCTTCTGATGAAGAAAAGGACACAGATTTTTTGATTACCGATTCACTTCGACACAATGCGATGAGGTGAACACAGTTACGACATCGATGCCGATCGGTCTCAAAAGCACAACGTATCTTTTACGCACGCATTACAGGGACAGCGACCGCGCCCCTGGAAGCTAAAATTAAATTCCTGGCTTTGATGAATCATGTAGTTGTGTTCATGTCAACTTTCATCAAGTGGGAACATGCCATCTTGTTCAAATAATTGTGGTACCTCAACTAGGTAGAGATAGAGTGAGGTACTCGAGACAAAATATCTCTCATCAACAAAATGTGTATACTAACCTAATGTTAATGTAAGAACCGGGATAAATAACTTGATTCCTGATCTTTACGGATTTCTCTTATACTCATTGAGTATTTTTACCGTCAGAAGACTTAGCGCCAGGACGTCGAGACGTGCTTCCGTCGTCTGGATAGAGGCCGTAGGGACAGTGCCTGACTCTCTCTGCTGACTGGAGGCTCATGATCTCCATTTCCGAGTCCCGCATGCAACTTGCTACCTAAGGCATATGATTCTCGCAACTTGATACGCAGTATCGACGGACCCTGGAATGGGCTCGTTTGATAGTACGTGAAGCCCAGATTTCTCAAGAATTTTATCGAGATCCTTTTCGTACGTGAGGGTGCCGAAGTCTATCCGGATGAGCTGGCGCAGTAGGGGCTTCATTCGTTCCGTGATGGGCGAGTGTTTTCGCTGAAAGGTCTGCAACATATGAACAAAAATATGTTGAACTTTCTTACTCAAAACTGTGCAGAAGAGGATGATGAACTCGAGAATTATGGGGACTAAATACGAAGTTGCGATACATATGGATAACCATATCTAAATGAGAACTTTGCGATCCACACCTCTGTCAAGACATTTCTTGACATTCATGATGAATTTGAACATCTGTTTCCCGACTCCTAGTACCAAAATGAGACTATGAGTGTCCTCTGCAAAAAGACTCTTCGTCTTCTCGTGACTCCTGAAGCTCCTAAACCCATCACTAACACTATCCACAAAGAACGCCGTTACTATAACTATTACAACTTTGCCGCTGCCATAAGTGATGTAGAGTCGCCCACTTTCTGCTAGAAAATGCCTTTTCACTAATCTGAGGGCCTCAACTGGGTCTGGCAAGAGGCTAAAGCTTCCGCTGAAATATACCACGTCGAACTTGTATGCTTTTGACGCAGCCTGCGCATCTTCAGGAATTAAAGGTTTTCAACTTGTTCAATCAGGCTCATCCTACGTCATTTTTAGACGGACAAGGAATGAAAATGATAAGGAACATACATCGTAAACCAAAGACAGAGTAAAACCTTGTGGAAGTTACAAATGTAATGTTGAAGGACTACGTTGATTGATAAGACCAAACTAGCTAACGACCAAAAAAGCGCATCACAGCGAGGGTAGTAACTTTCTTGATGGTTTGCAGTGCTCTTATCTCTTTCTATCACCAGTTTCCAAAATAATCAAGATATATCGCATTAACTGACAGGTTCTCGTTGCCACTGACGTTGCCGCTAGATCTCTCTGGATGCCGCTGATATCATAAATCGAACGGCACATCAGATCGATGTTGAGGTCAGCATTTTCTCTGACAAGTTGCTTTTTGCCCAACTCGATATAGTCGGCGTCATAGTCAAGTCCGACAACCTGGAGATCATGATGAGGGTAGTCAATGTGATGCTGCTAGTGCTAGTTGTAGTTAGTGTTACTCGGAAACGAAATCGAAATTCAAATCGATTCCGTAACAACTTATTCCTAGGTTATCCAACAAAAAATTGAAGGAAAATAGTATATCTACGACCTTTATCTTTTTCTTCCTAAGATAGTCGCCATTTCGAAGAAGCGCCGTCGCGGTACCGATTCCGACGTCGAGGACTGAGCTGCCGTCATCCAGTCTCGAGAGCACTTCTCTGTACCACACGCGAGTCATACGAATTATGAGAACGTCGTAAAAACGTGCGGCGCAACATCTTGAAACCAGGAGGAACAGCAAGAGCACCATCACGAAAAAAAAAGCGCACAGCGAGGATGTTGAAGTGGTCGGGATAAACACTGTAGCCTGCGTGCCAAGGTCGTGGAAAATGGAAGACATAGTAGAAAGCGGGCTCGTGGATGACACCGTACTAGGGACAGGCGCGAGAGGTATCCTTTTTACACTGGATGCCGACATCGTCTGCATGCTACTGCTAGAAGAAGTACATATATTTTATATTGAGTTTATATTTATTCTGCTGCTCATCAAACGAACTAAAGCCAATAACAGCTACAGAATTTACAATAAACTTCACACAAAGCGCTTTGTAGTTTTCTCTTATCAGACTACTTCGCAGCCCAAGCGTCGCAGCGAAGCGGCAAGCTGGTTCCCGATCGTCCTCGTCTTGTTTTGATGCCCCTAGAACTTCCCCAAATCAGAATTTTCTTTTCTTGATGTTGAAGTAATACAATGGGTATGAGCATCTTTCAGATTCAGAGTCTCTCACTACTACTACTACTTGAGTGATTCAGAAATCAATTTCAATTTTTCAAAGGCAAAAGCTTTTATGCCCGAATCCCGAAGACCCACTCGTGATCTTCCACATGAAGATCACCACCCTGGCCGTTCGGGGACGCTTGTTCCCATATAGCTCGCTAACGCTACCCAGGATCACAACCCTCTAAATGTAAATGGCCTATCTAGATCATGCGCCAAAATGTCGCTCTCTTGCTGGCGTCGGGAGAAAATGATCATCCTAGACCCCGAACGAGGCAGATATAATGCGTCAATTCCATTCTTGACGTTGAGTAAGCAGCGTGGTAAGCACAAAGAATCTTCAGTATTTGCTTGCGTTGATATTATTTTCCCCTGGCGCACCTTCATATCTTCAGGTACTCAAACTTTTATCCAACAAGTACTGCGCACGCTCCCGCTAGCGCTATTTAGATTTGTCATCATAACAAATTTCGTCTGTTTCTTTTCTAGCGGCAAGACCGATGGATGATATTTACTTTTACAAATACAAGAGCAGGAAAATCAATTGGTCTAGAATAAAAGGAGAACGGTCAACAAGACGATCACCACTGCGAAACCACCTCCTTCAAGACGACATCTGATATAATGTTCTCCAGCTGCGTCAGATTCGTGACTCGCAAATGCGCCTGCCTCCACTGGGAGCGTGACTGAGAAACCACGCGGCCGGAGCTTAGAGGAAGTAGCTTCTCAAGTAGAAACGCGAAGGCTACATCCCACCATGTGGCAAGGATGGCGACGCTAATAATCATGTTCATGAGGATGACGATGAAGATGATAAAGATAATTCTTCATTCTATCTCGGATTCTAAAAATCTACAACAGCCAAACCGTAAAAAACTATCTGCCTTGGAGAACGTATCCCATTCGAAGACTGCCTGAGCACGTAGGCATATGTGCCGGATTTGTTGTTGCCGAGCCTGACCCCCAATCCAGGAATACTTGTCAAGAGGCATTAGAGCTGATGTCCTGGTGATATAAGTAGGTAAAAAAGCCACCTGATTGAGATCGTGGATTAACCATGGTGAAATCATGAGAAAGTACCATTTAATGAAATGAAATAGTGGATTTAATATCAGAGTTAGATTTTACATTTGCATTCATTTAGAACTACATTTCATACTATCCATCTTGCCTGTTAATCAACGCTGCATGAAGTCCAACTCCAAGTGAAAGTGATTGTGGTCAGCCGTAAGAAAAAGTTGTCGTTGCACTCGTAGTACTCGAGGTCTCGCGGTTTATATTGGAGAGGCGCAAACTCAATCACAGTCGGTCGAATGCCGCGTCTCAGCGATTCCGTGTGCGTCAGGAGCGGAAGTAACTCCTCGTGTTTCATCTTCAGTTGTTCGTGGCCTTGACGAGCGTCCTCAGCAGCAGGGTCATGGAATCCTCTTTCGTCAATTTTCGTCCCCTTTGGATGCTTTTTCTCGTCGTCACGCATGGCTAAAAGAAAGTGCATGCTGGTCCCGGTTGCGCCAATGGCTATTAGATTAAATCAAAAGAGTCGCAATGAATGGCTCTGGTATTTGGTAGTCACTAGTCTGATCTTGATCATAAGGAAAACAAGAAGAGAATCCTTGTAGTCATCAAATTCATGTTACCAAATACCAGAAGCATGACACGGCAGGTCACCTGCCGTGTCAACGTAATCATATTTGGCGATGATGTCGTGTGCTCTTGAGCATGTCGACGTCAAGGTATTACAAATAAAGCATAATTATGGATGATCCTTGGAAGCCATAACACAAGAGACGACTGGGCAAAAAGTCGCATCTGATCGGCGCCAGAAAACTGTTCTAGCCCATTCACAACGTGCCAATCAAAACTCGTCCCGAATTTCCGCAGTAAAAAGTGTGCTACATTCTCCAGATTTAGGATGCGCCGTGGATATGCTGGTGGACGATCGAAGATCAAAGCTTTAGGCCGACTCAGCGGTAGTAACGGATGATATCTCCTCAAAGGATGTTGGGAAGATGTTGAACTAGTTGTTGATGTACTTCCTTTATCATTATCATCTTCGCTATCGCTTGATGATGGAGAAGGAGATGTACTGCGCTCCACACTAGTACTACTTTTTCCAAATAACACAGATGAGGTGGAAGCCCGTCCAGAACGCAACGCTGCAGCTTTTAAAGCACTCCGTCTATGACCTTCGTTTTCGAGTTCAATAGCGGTTTCCAGGAATTCCGGAAGCGGTTCTTGGTGAACAGGATACACGTAGGATGTTTTCAGCTTGCTTTCTGGTGAGGAAATGACGATACTCCCGTAATACGCGGAGATCCCGGGTACTGGAAGAGGGCGGGGCACCTCCGCCTCTTCCGTACGACGAGCAAGGTCCTCTGTTGATATCCTTTCGCGTTTCTTGGTGGCGGTAGTGAAAGCTGGTAGCAAATACTTATCAGATGGCGGAACGCAAAGAGCAGAATATGCTTGGCCTCCATCTTCGAGACCTCCTATTTCTTGATGTTGGAGTTCATTTCTCTTATCTTTGACCTCATCACCAACAGGTGGGTCGTCGCCCCCGTTATTCATCCTATTTCCTAAATACGGCGCGATTGAAACTTCGACAGCGTTAGGATCTATCAAGGTATAACGCACGTTCCAATCTGGACCCCGATCCAGTGGGCGGACGGGCACACCAATAAAGCCGTAAACTCGCATGATCCATGTAAAGAGTTTACGAAGTCCTTCCCGTGGTCCAAAATTTTCAATATCAGCAGTAAGCTGACTATCGATAACTCCAGAAACGAGACGTCTAAGAATCCCAAGGATAGCCGTTCTACTTTGGGCAGTTATCTGCTCAACAACACCATGAGATGGATCAGATTTTTCAGCTGCTTCACCACAGTCCTCTGCTCCTTCTGTCAAGTCTGAAAAAAAACGGCTCACCAGATTTGTAAGGAAGGCTTCCAACAAAGCCTTCGTATATGCCTCTGGCCGAGTGCCTAGTACGTCTATCTTCGCTATGTCTGATTTTTTCCTCGTCCTCGCACTGACTTCTCCGTCAAGTGCGCCTCTGATGCCCTCCAAAAAGCCGGCGGAGGGTTCCGGGAGTCGGCAGACAGGGAGACTCCAGAGGAAATCGACTTTCCGAGCACCAGGTAGACTATATGCGCGCCACTCTTCATACTCTAAGTAGTCTCTGTAAAAATCCACAAACAAATGAGCGCTTTCTCTCGAGGTCGCTACAAGGTCTGTACGTACGAATGCGTGCCGGTTCTTATCACGCGTAGTGGCATATAGCTCCCGCTCCGCTTCTTCAAATTCCTGGCTCGATAGGTACTCCTCATCCATGTCGTTCTTGTCGTCGAGAACCGTATTTCCTCTGCTAGAAGAGTCCAGAAGATATGAGTTTCCAATAACGACGCTTCTCCGAGAATCCGTGAAATATGGCGAAAATGGATTGCCGTAAACAGTCGTATCAGGATTGGCAAAGTTGCTTCTTAAGTCAGATGTTGGGACATCTGCTTTGCTGCCAACGAGCATGCTCTTCAGTCCACATATATCCTGCAAAAATTTCCCACGTCTGGAAGTCTTTGTCACAGCATGAGCCGAATGCTCGGTGCCTTGAAGCTTCGACCCCTCACTCCTAGAAGCTGAAGCAGCCACGCCTGACTCCTCGTCGATTTGCGCTCCATCAAGCATCAATAATTCCTCAGCCAGTGAGCTGCCAGAGTGGGGCCCCGAGGTGCATTGTTCTACCGCCACGTATGGGCGCAATGCTGCATCCGGGACTAGTACTTTGTGCGCTCGCGTCGCGTGACGCATATTGTACAGAGGTCCTCGACCCCAAATGAGATTCCGGTAACACCGCATATGGCTAACACTGTGCAGTGAGTGATGTATAGGAAGAGCTTCCACCAACTCCAACTCTCCTCGACTAGGAGTAACAGAAGTGCCCATTCTGGCAGACATCCTAGACGTAATTTTTCCATCCTCAGAAAGAGTATTTACTGCAGGCCCAGCGGAGGGAGCAGCAGCAGAGGCAGACTTCAACAAATTGCGGAAGACATCGCTGTGATAGTATGTACGTCGAAAAAGCGCCGTCAGTCGGGGAATAAGTTCTTTGTCAAAGAACTCATGAAGTTGCTGTACTTGCTGCATACCCGGTGACTTTTTTGACGGATCTACACCACGGCTCGGATCAAGAACTTGGTCTTCACCATGATTCTCCAAACTACTTGTGCTTCCGCTCTGAGAAGCGGCCTCGTCAATCAATCGTTGGTGTGATTCCTGAATTTGACCCTGAAATTCAACTGCGCGCCCTGATAGAACCTCGACAAGCTTCGTGACTTCCGGTACGGATCTTCGACCACCATCCAAGGCTCCAAAACTTTCCGAGTGCATGTGCAGTAACTGGCAGACTTTTTTCCATAGAAAAGCAACATCAGAACCCCAATGATAATGGTAAAACACCTCCAGCGCAACATTGTCCTTACTTTGTTCGCCTCGCATCAACAGCAAGGACAGGAGTGTCTCCACCATTGGCACATACCATGTCATGTCGTGACCCACGTTCTGCGGCAAATTCAAATTCATCACCAGTCCCGTGTCCAAAATTTCTCGTGAAGTATCTTCAAAGGATATCAGCCTTTTACCGGTTGAACGATCCCTTGGTATCGCTTGGGTCCGGACAAAGGCACGTGGTCGGAGCTCCGCACACGTGGGCAACAGTGTTCCCGGTGGTACACTGTCCGTGTAGACGTGCTCGAAGTGAAGACAGGCATTCGAAAATTAGACTACAGATGAAATTTAAAGAAGCTCAATCTCATGCGTCATGGTTGCTATCGTGTTAGTATCCCTAGATACAGTAGTCAAAGTCGAAGTCTCGTGCTGTCAACACAAGGAAGAGCACGCGACCAAACTTATAAAGTCAAACACGAGAAATGCCTGTCTCTCGTCTATGTCTATCACGATCTCAACGACCTGCGACCAGAAAAAATCATAAATCAAGACCGGCTGCGCGCACGGCGTGCGTATGTACACCTCATTACGGAAGTACGCCTCCGACGTCTGCCACGTTGGCAAAGATGCAAGCAGATGAGGGATGAGTCTCGGGTCATCTAAGTCTCCTAGTCCTTCTGCAATCCCATTTCGCAAGTAGCCACCTGGTCCTGACCACAGACGATCCCAAATGAGATCTAACAAGGGCTCAGGATGCGTTGTGTGTTCCGCGCGATGCACACGCGCCATGCGACGTCGCGAGAAACGTTGAAATAGATAGTGCGGCAGCTCACCCGTGTACATATGCAACCCCATTTCATGATACATTTTCCGCTTCAAAGGTGCAGTGTGATTGAAGAAGAGATCAAGCGCCACAGCCATCGGTTCTGGTGGGTCCCATGCATCAAAAGGGTAAGGTGGAATCGACCCAGCCTCTCTGGCAGAGGAGCTGTCCTGCGCTGTAGAGGATGAAGAGTGAAAATCGTCCCAGAACTCCTCCACAATTCTGGTCTGCGCTGTGTGGGCATAGTACTTTGGGTGCACGTCACGAAACTCGTTTTTCCAGAAATAATGCGAACAGTACGTTGCTACAATATCAGGCGTCTCTTTGACTTTTTCCCGCAACCGAAAACGCCATTTCTCCACCATCTCGCCTTGTTCTTCGCCACCATATCCTTTGCTGTTTTTCTCTTCAAGTCTCCGCCTGGCAGATTCCACTTCTCTCGCGGCAACGTTCTGGTCGGAAATACTTTTTTGACTTCCATCCCACTTGTAAACCGTCCACCGATCCCCGATAATCGCCTGTTCTACAGGTGCAGCGTTTCTGTCTTTTTCATGACTTAATAATTCATCTGGGAGCAAAAGCATTTCTCGCACTTCTGAGACGCACATGTCGCCCATGAATCCCACGAAAGCCTGCAATGTTGCGAAAACGTCTTCCTTGTGAAGACCCCAATCGTATTCGTCCGTCGATACCGGATTCAGCAAAATGTATTCCGCAAGTTCTAGCAAAACACTGAGCGCGTGTCCCAACTGGAGCTCAAACAGGAATATGTGATAAGCCAACGCCAACATCACTGCTGTGCCTCCGTGACAGCTATTTCTGCGTTGAAAGCGGCCTGCAAGTTCATTGATGATCCAGCGCCCACGAGGAAAAACCATGTCCTCTTGCCAAATTCTGTAGGTCCCTAGCTCTCCAACAAGTAAACTGTCCCACTTCGGCCACGACAGTCGATGGACACTCTCAAACCTGCGTCGCACGTTCGAAAAGAGCTTGCCAAGAATCGCAGGAAAATTTGTAACTTTGTCTTGTTGTCCGCTTGATGATGATGTCTGCGTCTCGTCTTTTTTAATAATCATGCTCTTCGACATGTAGTCTTGATTCTCCAGAACAGCCTGACTGTAACTCGCCGATGTAGATGTTGTAGTTGTACCTCCAAGTAGATCCCACAGTGGCGCGCGAGTTAAGAACTCTTTTGGTGGCGGAAAACCATCATGCTCAAAGACAAAGGACATGCTGTCGCTGAAAATTGTGTACTTGTCACGATGCACATCACAGTCCGGCACTCGGATTTCGCTAGGTTCCGAACGATCGCTACGATCTCTGGCAAGCACTTTTAGGTTCTCCATAGCCTTGTCAAGCGTTTCATCACAAAAAATGGCTGATGCCGATGGAGTGGACTCTGCTACTTCTGAGGAGATTGACGTTGTGGGCAATGACGTTGAGACAGGCGCTTTCTTCCGCACCCTGCAATCGTAGTTCGAGAATGAATCCATGAAGAAGCCGTAGTGATCTCGGATCCAGTGGTACACGTTTTTATCTTCTTCGCAGGATAAATCATCGGTATCGGGACCAAAAAATCCCCACACCTGTTCTTGGACTTTGTAAAACTCTGCTTCGTCTATCCGCAGCTGTTTGCTTCGAACGTAAAGCTCATCATCGCTGAGAGTCGTTGAACGATTGTCCTCCTCGACGTGAGCTACTGATACAGCTTGCTCTTTTCCACCTAACTCGCGACGAAATCGATCCCACAGAGTTATCCGATCATTTGTTCTGCCTTTATCACTTCTGCCTTTCGTTCTCTTGCCGTTCTTGGAGGTGCGATAGTTCAGTCTATACGCTACTTTGTGCTTCCACTGCTGGACCGACAGCCAACCGCCAGAAATTCGTGTTACGAATACAAACTGTTGCAAGAAACGCGTCATGGGTGCTAATTCTTAGAGCTTAAACTAAGAACATGCAGATACTGATACTTACAGGTGGACACAGACTACCACTACACAGGGTGAGTGTGAGACAGGGAAATAACAAATTACAACTAGATGCACGTGTGAATCATTTGTATTTACTCATGTGCAAGAAGTAGCAACAGGACGTAGAGCTTGGCATAACTTCAATTTGAATTTTGTTTCTCAAAGAAGTCAAGCCATAATCTTTTTCACTAGCGGGATCCGTGGAGTTGAACGATTCAAATGATGCCCGTGCTCCAACCTTTTCTTCGCACTCTTTTCGCTGTTCTGCAGACAAACTAGTGGAGATGACTCCCTTGTTGTCCTTGAGTATTCCTTCAAACGCATCTTGAGCGTCTGGTCCTCCATTTTCTTCCCTCAGCAATGCCAGCATACACCAGAGCCCGTACTCACTTTGCGGTGCCGTAGTGGAGACTCGATCAAACCACTGCCCGTTTCCCCCCGCATCCTGGAAGTGCTTTAGCGTTGTTTGCGTATACTCGGTAAGCGCCTTTAACATTTTCCGCAGACGCGACTGCGCAAACTGTTGATCTTCATCTTGTTGTAGTGAAGCTTTTCCATCTCTTGACGTTGCTATTCGATCCGACCAGTCTGGCGGGTCATCGTGAAAGTAGACAGCAAGGTGTTGTCGTATTGGCTCCCTGTAAATCCGAACCGGAAGGCCCCCCAGCGCAGGAACAACGATGCTTGAGAAAAACCTAAGCAGGACCACAGCACGAGTAGCGAAAACGCTCGTACTCGACTTGCAGTGGTATCGGCTGTCTCCTATCCGCGGACGGCGCCTGGCTCGTGGTGGCCACGAAAGCTGGCTCATAGGTAAATCCATCATCGTTACCAAGGCAAAACAGAACCTACTGACGTCATTGCTTTACTAGTCACGCAAAGGCGCGCGGATCTGACTACGACTTCTGTCATGAGGTTCAGCCCCATTCTCAGAATGTAGAAAAATGTAAATCATGTCTGTCTTCAGCAACATAATTGACCACTTATGCACCTCAGGCTCAGTCCCTCTCTTCACGACTAACAGAGTTACTTTTGTGACCTGCAACTCGTCACGCGAAGAGGAACACAAATGACCTTGAGACGGGGTAGAACTGCACCCATCCAAGACTGGTACAACGTGATATTTTTGTTCTTTTGCGTGCTGTCCTTAGGACAATGAATAATGTAAACGTTGTCGTCTCGGTCTTGAATGTAATCATCGTCCGTTCTTGGAACAACGACATGCCGGTCACACGTAACACTTGTGCGAGTTATCAAATCATGGGTACTTATGTTGTGAAAGGACACGACTGTCGTATATGAAATGGCAGATAAAACAAAGCTCTCCTGACTACACTGTAGTATAAAGAGTGCGATAAATCAAACTCAGAAGTACAAATTACAGAGAGGGCGAAGTTGCACTAAAGGAGGAAGAGGCGAATAGAATAGCGTTTCCAGATTCGTCATGAGCAAATCGTCCATACTGGCTGGGTGCTCTTCCCGTTGGGCCGTCATTGTCCCAGGAACACCAAAAAGGGTCTAAAAGAGACTTCAGCCAGCCACTCTTGACGTTTTCCTCGCAAGCCCGTTTATGTATTGTCCCTTTCTGATTGTCCATCTTCTTGTTTCTTGGCATCCTCGAGGCAACGTCCTTTGGCTGATTTTGCCGTAATACTCTTGTCGTGCGGGAAGGTGTGGAGGTCCTGCTCTTATCTCCTTTCGCAAACGTCAAGTTGTTCCGGTCATCTTCCACAGAGGACGGTGAATTACAGGACGAACTAGGTGAGGAAGTGCCTTGTGATGGAGACAGGCTAAACATGCCAGAGCTAGCGTCTCTCAGCATGTTGTTCTCGCGTTCACGCGTGCTGAAAACACCACCTTCGGGTCGTTTTCTAGCTGCTTTGCGCCTATGACTAGGACTGTCAACCGATGCCGAACGCTTCTTTTTCCGGCTGGTCGAACCAGCAGGAGTAGCCCCTCGGCTGTTGTTCGCTCCACCATCTACAGTCGTGTCGTTGTTCACACCGCTTCGCTGCCTGTCCGACGCTGCAGGGGATTGAGAAGGGGATTTATGATCAGGGCTGTCTTGGGGAGATGAAGAAGTTTCATCTTCTTCGTCACTTCTTGGTTTGTATTCCGACCCTTCGGCTTTTGACTTCGTCTTTTCCCTCTTACTGTTACTTTTCGAGTAGCCCGCGTCGAGATTAATGCAAGACGACGGACACGACATTGTGTCCGCCAAGGAGCAAGTCATACAGCGCTTCCAGACAAGTGCTGAGTGCCTTTCGATAGTTGTAAAAAGCGCAGCACTCCCGCCGATAGCTAGTGTGAGTAGGAAGCCGCCGCCATCTCTCAAAAACTCGAAGATGGGGACACGCACTTCGTCCTCGATCATCAACCGTGACAGGACGCCACAGAGCGCGCCCCCAACTGGCCCGATGAATATCACTCCTAGAACGTTGCCCACTAGCCCTGCGGCAAAGATGGAACATGTTTTGTGCAGAGATACGCCACGAAAGCGATCGATTACGAGGACAACGAGACCACCGCCAATCGCTCCCGCCAAGGCTGCAACCGCTAATTGATTCGCTGCACTGGCTACCCCGACAGTTCCTGCTGTAGTTGACACAGTAGAGGCGCCTCCAGCACCAGCAAGTGCTGACGATGCTGCACCGCTACCTCCAGCTACAAGACCGCTGGAAGTTGTAGGGCCGGAGGTAAGGATACTTGTCGGATCAAAAATGTTCAGCCCGCTTCCGCCCAAAGACGAGGAGTAAATATCAGCACTTAACACCGGTCCGACTGGTGTAACAACTACTGTCGTCGCCGGGGGTCCCATGAATGCCGTTGGATCGAGATTGGTGCTGTTCTTTAGCACACCATTCTTGAACGCGCTTCCAAAATCGGCTAAGAGCTTACTATACTCCGCCTGGAAAGTTGATGACAAGCCACTATAAGCGTCACCCAGACTCGATGGTTGGAGACGATGCACATGTCGAAGAGTCGCGGGTGTGGTAGCAAGGATATACTCTGCGATATCTTCGCTTACACTCGCAGGCACCCGCGTCAGCGCGACTTTTCCTGCTGCCTCCGGGAGAGCCGCTAGACCTGAAGCTGCAGAGCTGCTTGCCACTGCCCCAGATGATGATACCAAGACAGCGGCTGGAACAAGTTTATCAGCGTACACTATTCGGAAAACGTCTGAGGCCACGGATGCGCACGCTGCTGAGGCAAAGGCGGGAGCAGAGCCCTGGACTGCTCCAGCGGCCGTTTCCTCTAGCAATGTTGAACAACAGCCGTCGTTTTGGTCGTCTTCCTTGGGTAGCGGTAGCCATGACATTGACAACAATCGTCCAGATTGGGGACTGGTGTCTACCTGTAGAGAAGTTGCATCGAGCCTTTTTTCCGCTCCGCCTCCACCATCCTTGTTTTCATTTCGTCCCCTTGTTGGCCCGGACGAAGTATTTCTGCCCTCCGTATCGAGCAAGTGTAAACTAACTTTCATGTCTGAGATGCCATGCGATGGCGATGGGCTATTCCGTCTTCCCGGGTCTACGGGACCTCTGCTTGAGGATGATGCTGCTGCGTTGCCACCACTTTGCTTCTCCTTCGGACTAGCGTCTTCACTTGGCTGTGAGACCTGAGCGCCAACGACAACCCCCGCTGTAACCGGTACCGCATTCTTTACTGTTATTTCATCATCATTCTCGTCATCACTTGTTATGGCGTCAAATCTTCCTTTAACGGCCTTCACCTTCTGCTTCTCGAACGTGACGCCGTCTCTTACAGCATGCATTGTCAAATCTATGCTTTCGAGTTTGTCTTTCTCTCTCCGATGTCGTGGAGAATCGTGGCCCTGGACATCGTCATCGGCGCCTGCAGCCAATCCAACTTGATCTTGCCGTGCACGTGCTTCACGTCGAGCAAGTGATGATGATGAAGCGTCATCGTCATCCTCACGACCGGTATAAATTTTGCCACGACCAGAAGACGTCGAGGTCGAGGCGACTATTCCAACGGCATCCTGGTTTTGTCCTTGCTTTGCGTTTGACAACCCGCTGTCATTTGCTAGACCAGCGACGGCCATACTAGGGTCTCGTGGTTTTCCTCCACCACCCTGAGCGGTTTTCATGATAATCTTGTTGTCATTGCCTGCTCTCCTATCATGTGCAACAGTCTCGTGACCGGAAAGGTCTTCCACCTCTAGGAGCTTCCCATTTTTTCTGGGCGACAAATTCGCCGCTGCAGCTGCCGTGCGACAAAGGGCTACAGCAAAGCTCGTGCTACCACCGATTAGTGCTCCCAATATTGCTGCGTGCACACCTGCGCGAGCTGCTGTGCTGACCACAGCAGAAACTGTGGATAGATCGAGAACAGGTGCAACAGGAACCAAAACTTGACCATCAGAATGCTGGTAGTGTCTTTTCACTGAGTCCTTGACACGATCCGCGTGTTTTTGATGATGTATCAGTTGCTGCTGCTCGTGATCGACTTTAACTATTGTTTGTGGTGCACCATCTACTTTGTGATGGTCTGCTAGATTTGCGCCGACTTGTTCTAAACCTGAGTTATCGTTCCATCCGAGCCTCGCCATCCTTCTCGCACCTTCCTCGGCCCCTGACCGAGCAGCGTCCAAAACTTGATCATGCGGGTTATCAAAACTAGTTGCGATCGGTGGATATCTGTCATGCACATGCTGACGCGAGTCCACTATTCCGATGTCAGTGCTGATATTCGCCTGATGTCCTCCAGCCGCAGCGCTTCCATAGGCTAAGTCATCGCCTTGTTGCGCTTGCCAGGAATGCGTAGGCAGCTCCTGGGACGGTATAGCAGATGAAGAGCCGCTCGAAGATGATGCGGATGTACTCGTTGATGAGGGCAAAGTGTTTATGACCGAAGCACTGCTACTGCCACTCCTCGTAGTGCCCGCTTGAGTCAGTACTGGAGGTTGTGCAGCTATTCTAGAAGCTGCTTCTCCAGATCCCAGTCCTATGGGTGAAGACGGACCTTGCCCACCAGTGCTGAGTTCTCCTGCGACCTCGGTGGCTACAATTTTAACAGCATGTGACGTCTCGTCTCTCGGCATATTCGTTGTTCTTGTTGATGGCCATACTTTCTGCACTGCTGTCCGAGTCGGTGCCACCAGGTAGGCAGAAAGGCTCTGGGCAAAACGAGAAGCTGACGCATTCTCCCTCTCTATGTGGGTTGCGCCAGTAGTGAGACCCTCACTCAGCTCGTGCCGAAGGGCAGTGGTTGTTGTAGACGCGATTGAGGCCGCCATTTTTGTCAATGTCATGAATATGAAAGTAAAACATAAATGAGGTATTATCTTCCTTCGTATATTGTAAATCTAATGTACTGAAATTAAGTCATTGAGATATCAACATGTTGAGCAAGAACTAAATACCCGATGATCAAATAAAGACGAAGCCCGCCTTGAATCTGAGAAGCATAGATTTGACCATGATTCCTCCTAAGAACCTTGATTGGCAAAAAAGTTTGTTCCAGGAATTTCAAGGCAAACGCAAGAAACGCATTTGTGACGTGAATACAGATCATTTTGCTGAGTGGAAAAGAGCCAGTTTATCAGATATTGAAGAGGCGTCACGAAGGGACGGATTCCCGTAATCTGAATCTATTGTGAAAGCCACATATTGGCACCGAAATTGTTCGTCGTCTTTCACATTGAGCACGTAACAGTTACGGCAGAATGACAGAGAGAGGAAAGTCTTGTGACAGATGTCCCTGAAAACACCAAAAGCAAAAGAGACATTTGTTTGGGAGGCCTGGGATTTTTTCCATTCTGATAGCAAGCACGGCTAGAGTCAGGAATCGTCCTCGGAATTTTTCGTTGTTAATTTGCATCAGAACATCTTATTTTGTGGAGAACCCTTAGTTTCAGAGAGAAAATCGACATCGAGTCAGTGATTTCTTTTCTTTCCGTTGTAAAAAAATGGACAGTGCCAATTATCATGTAAAAGCTATGGAGGGGAGAAAACGAACTATCATAACCTACCACATCAAGATTTTCAGAAGTATTTCCTGTGTCTGAAGCGCAGGGTATTGAAGGATTCTGTTTTACATTTTTCGTAGACTACCTGCCATGTGTATGTGATGTTGACATCAATTTCTCAAGCGCGATGATGACTTCAGCGTTCTCAGATACAGCAAGCACGAAACCCTTCAGTCACAGTGACTTGATGGATTCCAGAAATGGTGCCCTTGCCGATGGTTCCATTGGTTAGCGCTCTTCGGAGCACGCAGCATAGGTAATGTCCCGTCTTTCCGAATCATTAGCGTGCAAGCAGTAGGCAAGTGCCACGCCTCTCCATCGTACTGCATGTAAACGCCCTTATCGACGCGCAGCTTCAGACAAGGTACCTGAAAATCATAGAATACTCATCACGAAAAGAATTCACGAAATAGAGGTAAGGCAGGGTAAGCAGGCAGTAAATAAGGGTAAGCAGCAGGCAGTAGCCCTGCTACTTCTCACTCGTCGGTGCTGCCTAGTATCTGGTAAGGGTACCAACATTCATCAGGCTCAGTAGCCCAGTAACGGTCAAGTGAATATTCTAGCAGCATTTCCTCCTCACCTGTTCCAAGAAATGCATTCTGGCGAATCCGCAGAAAAGAGCGGTATCAAAAAACGGATTCCGTACAGCGCAGAACTCCAGAAGGCCGTCACCTGGATCTTGCACATCAGGGGCCAGTGGCTTAGAGCCGTGCAAAATGTATTTTTCGAGTTTCTCTCTGGAAACACGCAGTAAAGCACAACAGATATATTTCAAAGGGAGGAGGAAGGTCAAGATGATGATGAAGCAATTTTGATGGCCTTAACTGGTACACTTCCTGCGCCGTAGCTGTTGATGTTTACCAGGGTCAGTTGGCGCACTCGGCCCCGGAGAAGGCAGTCTTGGACTTTTCTAGAGGCAAGCGGCTCGAAAACTTGCATCTGACTACAAGCCTCTTCATCTACTTCCCCAGCCTGCTTCCGCATATTGTCCAAGGTTTTCTCATCTAATACAACTACATCAGAACAAGCTGATGATGGTGATGCGTTGCCACTACCTCGTCTAAAAATCATCGAAGGATTAGACATCGATCTTGAAGTAGATAATGAAGCAGTTTGATCAGACTTGTTGTTGAGATTCTTTTCCGCAGAACGTGAGATAGAGGCTTCCTGCTTTTCTTGACAGCCGGCATTAACGACATTCTCGAACGGCAGGATATGCACGTCAGGCGTCAGCAGCGTCGAGTTGAAACAGAAGTTCGGAATATGAAAGGTGTAGAAGATATTTCTCGCAAAACTATCGAAAGTCGAAGATAACTGTTCGTCTACTTACTTAGATTTGGACCTTGGACACTGAATAAATCGACGAAGCTCATTTCGGGCAATATCATCAACTTGGGTCATAACGTTGAAAGCAGCCGACGTGAGCAAAACCCTGCCAGCCGTAGCAGCATTTTCCAAGTCCTGCCCTGAAAAACGACCGGCCTATGCGTGTTTGTTTGCGACTGCGTTCAACACGATATGAGATTTCAGCGTCAAGACCGATGCTAAAATAGCACTGAAAATAGCCGACAAATTTCGGTGGTTTCCAAATCGCCGAACAAGTGGACGAAGACGATGATAAGTCAAGCCTCGTAGAAGATGTCGCAGTCGCACTCTTGTTTACTGGAGATGTCGATGGCCTCGCTACTTGTGCGCCTTCTCGTTTTCTGTAAGAGGCAATACTAGATGCACGCGTGCTGCTGGTCGTAGTCGTTGTCATTGTGCTAGTAGCGCTCTCTGAAATTGCATCGGAAGTAGAGCGTCTTTGTTTTCTACCACGACTACTTCCAGTTCCAGTTCCAGCAGCAAAAACATTAACATCATTTTTAGGTGGATCTGCTCTCGGTCCGAGTCGGTGGTCGCGCGGTGAAGGCGAAGAAATCGGGAGCTGTTTCGGCGCACAGTTTCCGACTTCGAGAAACGGATGATCGTCGGGAAGCGCTCCATCGGGAACTACTTCTAGTTTCCACCTGTCCAAGGAAACCACATCTGCGAGCATAGTGTTTTCGATGTAACGGCCCAAGTCTTGAATTCGCTGGAGGCCCTTTCCCCAACCAAGACTTCGAGCCAGATCGTTTCCAGTTCCTAGAGGACAGATAGCCACTGGGACGTTTGCAAGCGCTGGAAACTGCGAGATCTCGTTTAACAGCCAAGTCACCGTCCCGTCACCACCGCATACCAAAAAACGGAAGGGCCGCACGGAGGTGTTGTAGTTGAAGCGAAGTACTTACGTAGAGGGCGGTGGCGGCCTTGTCTTCTTCCTTCTAAGATGCAAGAGACGAGAAACAGGGAGAATGTCCGTCTTATTTACCTATCACAACCGTCCGAGTCCGTCCTGCCTCTCTAACAAGTTTAAGTATCGTACTAACAGAACCAGTATCAAATTCATAATTGAAGTGTATCATATTCACAAAACAGTCCTCATCATACTGCTGATCTAGTGTGTCTTTTTGCGCATCCCAGCGGTAATCAGTCGATGCGGAAAGACGAGGACGGGAGGGCGAGCGTGTATGTGCCTCTCGTTTTGACGATGTGGGCATAGCTTAGAGCTTGTTCTCGCGGGTTTTTACTGGTGCTCATGCATTCTTCCGAACTGTTCAAGGCTGTTTATGATCAACCAGTGCTGTATTACATGGAGTTGGAGAGACTCACAAACTCTGACAAAACAAGACCAGACTTAAGTTGACGAGCGATGCATGCTAATTCTCGAAGGCCGTATGGGCGAAGCCGGTGAGGAGGCTGACAGCGCGGCCAACGAAGAGTCAGATGGGCGGCGCGAAGCAGGGATTGGCGTTACTCGCGTTGCTTCTGTTGACGCCATCGATGGTGGCGCTGTCTCGTCTGATGTCGGACTTACAGCGTCCGTGCTGGAGTTCAATTCCACCGAACTAGCAGTGGATATCGAGAGTGCGGCATCGTCATCCTCTTGTTCTAAAGCATCCTCAAAGACGGCTAGATCGTGATTTTTTATCAGCCACTGTGCTGGCGTCGTGCTCGAGCCAGCTGTCCTCAAGTCTCGAATAGTAAATGCGTCTCGGTTTTCGTCAAATCGCGATAGTGCATGTTGTTCCAAAATTTCCCTCTCGACGTTAAGGCCACCAGCAGAAGAGAAAGAACTAGAACTACTGTTAGAGGTCTGTGGCTTTACTGGTACTCTATTGATGAACATTAGTTACAGCATAGACAAGTTTGACCAGAAGGGGGAAAGACAAAGAAATACTTGAAGAGCATTATATTATATATAACCAAGTTAATAGTAGAGCATTTCCAAAATTCTCTTTTCTTTCCTCAAGGCCCCTAATGGCAGCACACTCAGCATGAGAGACTACGAAGAACGCCAATTCCGCAAGAGTCGCCGCAGGCTCTTCCTTCTGAGCGAGGTTCACAACATTCTCTCCGCCCAGCAGGTTTATCAGCTGCTTGAATACAGCAACCCCACTCTCGCCACCGGATTCACGGTTCACCTGAGAAAAGATATAAAAGGTTCCTTTTGTTTCCATGATGCCATGTATCATACAGCTGTCTAGGATGATGTCAGGCTTGGCCATTAGCCAGGACTTCTGGTAAGCATGAATCGAGAATATTAGAATTAACATGTAATCAGACATAAGACGAGATTGTGATTGAGTACAAATGCGACAACGTCGTGAGTCCGAGCGTTGTATTTGGCGCGAAAGTTCTCGGTTTCTCGGTCCCCCAGTGGAACCAGAGAACGAGGGCGCCGCTGTATGGAATCGAAAACCTTCGACGTCATTTTTGGCGAGCAGCCTGCTCGTTAGACCTACCAAATCATATGGAATTTTTTTTACTGAAATCAATGTAAATGTTGATGTTCTTTAATAAGTAATTCAAATTTCTTTCGCCTTTTTCTTGCGTTCAACTTCAACTTCATCTATCTTCGTGTCTCTACTGCCTCAAGAATGGTTTGCGGATGTTAGGATTCATAATGGCCGTGGTTCGTCTAGATCCTTGGGCCTGTTGGCAAAAGCTGTAATTAATATTCAAAAAGTACTTCATCTTGTTCTTTCTCGACGCATATAAACAACAAATGCCGCAGCTGCCATTCTCACGGTCCCTGCGCGGAAAATCTATCATAATTATATACCTGCTCGACTTACATCTCTCTCGCATCGGCATCACTCTTTCAATTACCGACTCATGACAGACCATTACAGCGGGCCATCCAGATTGCAAACTAGCTACTCCTACTCCAAGTTTTCACCGCCGTCTGGAGATCAAAAAGTCAGAGTCAGAAACTAGAAATTATCCGCCGGCGAAGCCAAAGTGCCATCATAGCTTTCCACTATCACGGAGTCAGCCATACGGAAAGATGTCGCCAAGGTCCTCTGTGGATCTGCGTCACGCGTGGTACACTCTCAATCATTAGTGCGAATTGTCATCACCAAGTCTTCGACTTTCGTGGTCGATATTATGTGGGTGGCGTCGGAGCGGGAGGACCAGGTGGCTTTGTTGTTCGCTGCAGTTCGACCTGATGGGCAAGTGCTTGCGCTTCGAAGCTTAGATGGAGATCGACATCGAGCTTTTTGAGGCCCACGAAGAATTTGAAGTGATCCACATGAGGATGAATGTCATTGAAAATCTATCAGCATGATCGTCGTGATGCTAAAAAGAATAAAGGTAGACATAGACAAATGAATCAGTCCCGAAATCAAAAGAAGTAATCACGCGTGGACAATCTATGTAATATACTACTCCATGACGGGCCATAAGGTAAAATGAGCTTCGCTGAAGAAGTAAGGCCAATCTTCGGGAGGGACGCCAAGTTTTGCTAATCGTTGCAAGTGGAGCTTCGTCTTCCAGGCGTTCCAAGCAACTACGTCGATCCATTAGATATAGATTTAGCCACGACTACACAAGCTAAAATAAAGATGGCACCTCCATGATCACGTATCAATAATATTCGTATTCCCCTGTTGACATAACGAACGTTCAAGAGTAGACACTCTCGCGCTTCTTTTCGACTGAGAGTATCGACTTCGGTTTTCTCCACTGCACGACTAGCTGCGTTCTTCTTCTTCTTCGATTCATCCTCATCATCCATATTTTTTTTGTGAACTAGATTGTCCGTTGCTCCTGCACTCATTTTTCCATCTATCCCCGCATCAGCGGGGCTCTCTTCATGATCGTCAACATCAGCGCAACTCCCAGAAGAAAAAATTTGGGAACGCTGCTCACACATCGTGCGAGTAAGGTTATCTAGCTTCGATTCCAAGGTTTGAGCAAAGTCTGCCGAACCTGAGATACACATTTTTGCTAGTTGCTCACGAGAGCGCTGCTTCGCCGTTTCAATGATAGTCGCCAGTATTTTGCTTGCTGGTGAAACATTAGGTGGTCCTACTGCTGCAGAACTGGCAGCTGAGGCTACAGGGGATATTGTTTTCGAGGAAGCTGCATGAGGTCCGGTATCGGGGTCTGATGTAGCAGTAGCGGAAGAATTGTCTGTGCTTGCTGAGGAACTCGCAGAGGACCTTGTTGTCGAAGCGAGGCTGACGAGCAACCGGCTAGCTTCGTATGCCGTGGCTTGTGGCAGGGCCTCCTGAAGGTTATGTCTCACTCGCAAAAGACGTAAATTTGCAGGGTGCTTGAGCAGTGTCGTTGCCATCTTCTCCGACGTGTTCGCTTTTTACGATCGATGAAACAAAAAAAACCTCGTAACCTAAATCACTGAACTTCGAACTTCGTTGTTCCAAGGAGGTAGTAATAGTATCGTATGAAAATCTAATAAAAGCGTTCTTACTATCTTCAATCACGATCAATCTTTAGAATTTTCTAACGTTGTAAATTATTCGATGGATAATGTTCTGTTTGCCGCCAAACTACAGACAGTATACAATAATGTCCAACGCGAGAAAAAAAGGGCGCATCCACAGGCTTCTATCTATTACGCAGATCGTAGATCTTCGTCGTCAAGGCTTCCAAGTCTAGTAACTTGTTCTGACTTCTGACCGTCAGAGATTACTGTAATAGCCCTCCCACGATGGGTAAGAACGCACGAGATTCAGGGGATCTGAACCCAGGATCAACGTGCCTTCTGTTCGTGGTTGATGAAAACATACGATACTTCTACCGGCAGCTTGCAGGACCTACGGGGTGATGTGCCACGACTACACTATCCCCAACAACATTTCCAACACACGTCGTCCGAGGTCCCCTGATAGTAGAATGAGTCTCTGTATGGGGTCTATCTTGACTTTGATTATCTCGTGCTGGCGGGCAGCAAAGCATCACGATTCTTCGGAAAAATGCACTCGAGGCCTCTTCCACTTTCCTCGTCGCGGTCCTTCCTGCATACCTCCTTCTTGCATATTTTTCATACAACTCTGTGGCAGCGGCCTCTTCAACAAGAACACGTGCACTCGGCGATATCTTCTACTTTCTTGTTACAATATAGAGTCTCATACTAATTCTAATTGACTTGTTCTGAATAATAAAATCTTACATCCCACAAGTACAAGTAGAAGTACTGTGGACGGGGAGAATTTTCGCATTGTGGTCTTCATACACTCTTCTGGTGCTGCGTGTAACGGTATTAGCATTAAGACATTGTCGTCATACGTCCTCAGGAGCATAGTGTACTTTCTTGTTCTTGACGCGCTAATACATGAAAATACAAGAATAGTTAGACTAGAGGGAAAAAATAACAGACGACAAGAATGCGGAGGAGACGGGTTTCCATCGGTTTTGATGATTTTCATGAAGCCATTGACATTGACGAATCGGGCCAAGCCTACCAGTCAATTTTTCTTATCTTCTCTCGTGCTACACCGTCTTACCAACCAAAAAGCCCTCATATCAAGTTAAGTAGCTTAGATGAAGGAGTCCTGTCCCTGCGTGCTGTAGGACGAGAGGAAAATAAAGAGTAGGATCTGATCGGGATCGATCAGATCATAGATAAGTCTAAGGAATTACAATGGATGGAAGAAACTATTCATTGAAAAGCAAAAACCCAATCAAAACCAACTTCCGAATTTTGATCGCAGTCCGAATTTTCCAGGAGAGGGGTATCTATAATATAATATAACAAATTAATTTTGCATACAATAAATATCTGTGCAGACTGCTAATGAGGCGTTGTAGAGGTTCGCAACAATGAGAGAGGAAAACTAATCGGGAAGAAAAAACGAATGATACAAACGACGGCGCGACTAGCGAGACAAGTGATGTACTAAACGCGCAAACCTTCGTATACTGAACTAGACAACTAGGAAACATATCTATAGAAAAACCTGCACCACAATGGTAAGTAGAAGTGGGGAAGATGTAACCAAACAGAAACAAGTAGCTACGCCGCTAGGTAAATTTTCGAAAAAGAAAATCTGTTTTCGAACAGCAGCTGCAAGAACCTACCTGCAAAGGTCGTTGACTGAAAGAACACCTGGTGAAGGCGAAAAAAATATTTTACAAACATGAACATCATCAAAATCAATCAATAACAATACGGAAGTGCTACAACTGAAAGGTAAATTGTATTGTATGGTATTGTATTGTATTGAAAACTGAAAGGTAAATGAAAAGAACTCTATCTGCTTGCAGATCATGATATCCATTATTTCTAATTCAACAGGCGTAGCCACTACCCTAGTGACACCAGTTGTCGCACACAGTACGCGTGCAACGCCGCCATTGCTTCACCTCCGATTCTTTTCGCACTTTCCGGGAGTGCCTTCTCGAAAATATGCTGGATCTTTTGAAGCGTCTCGGAGGAGATCTTTTGCTTATGTCGACCGTCGAACAGATTCTGCCGCTCTTGCGGAGCCTTGAGCAAATATGAACTCCAACTCGTAGTTTGATTCTATAAAACTTCATCGGGAGTAATTATGATAGATCAATGAAAGCCAACATTCGATATGAATTAACATTGTCATCCAACAACAAATTGTTAAGTAGGTGGAAGTAATAAAAATAACTACATTGACAAATCAACAAAATTTGGCTGAGGAACGCCCCTATATCATACTGAGAAAAATAGTCGCCAGATAATCCGAACTAATCCACAAAAAACCTAAAAATCAGAAAAAACAAGTTCGGTTTTCTAATTTTTCGAGTAGAAAACGAACAACACTGGCCATAAACTTTCTTATTGTGGACTAATTCTGACTAATCAAGACGCCTATTTCGTCTTGTCTGATATAGGAAGGTCCTGAGCGAACAAAATAAACGAGACTTCTCCATCTCGATCTCGAATATAAATATCTAAAAGCCATGAGGACATCGTCTCTTCTTGAGTCTTTTTCTACAAAACCGAAGCCATAAACGACCAGCAGGAGCGCTAGGATCTGGTCGGCGAGTTTCCATGTACCGACTTCGTCCGCTCCGGGTACCAGAAGCGCGAGCATCGATCCGCAAGGGGCTCGCCGGCGGAATTGTGAATGGGGCCAACCCCGCAGCGCGATCCACTTCGTCCTGGCGCCGAGGACGTGGTAAGAGCCTCACGGGTCCTCCACCCTCCCGTGGTCCACCTCCACGCTGCTGAAAATAAAGGACTCCCTCAGGAGCCGGAGGAACAACTTGTAGCGGTGCGCGGGGAGGACCTTGTTCCCCAGCTTGTTCTGCGCCCTGCGCCGCAGCGAAGATGATCGCGTCGCGTTCCAAGACGGAGAGGTGGGAACGACCAATGTCACTCTGATTCAAGGCGTCGGAGATTTTTTCCCAGAAGGTTTTCTTTAGCGATGACGTCAGCGGGATGCAGTAGGCTCGAGCCATGTGAACGAGGTAGGGCACAGCTACTTCCGGCAACCCACTGTCTCGAAGCGTGCTGATCAACGTGTACAGAAGCAACTGCGCCGTCTCCGCTCGATACCTCCCGAACTCGAGTACCAGACTAAGAGCAACACGCAACAACTGTCCCACCGCATGCGTCAGCATGCGAATATCTTTCTCAAGCTCACACTCCCGCTGGTACGCTTGTGCCTGCTCCGGTTGCTCTTGATGTTCCAGACGGGGACACTCATCTCCAAACTCATCGTCAACTAACGACTTCCAAGCGTGTGCGATCTTCCCGGGATATGTTTGGTCGAGCAACAGTGGCGGTGCTTCTTCCTCGTCTTGTCGTGTCGTGTATTTGGGCGTCCGCTGCTGCTCGTGGTGCACTGCCGCAGGCGACGAGGGCGCTGTCGAAACCCACGACAGATTTTGGCGATGTTGTGCGGAAATAACAGGGTAAGGCGTCGCAATTGAAATAGAAGTGCTGTCAGTCGATGGAGCATATCGACAATGCTGGGCCTCCTTCGTATGCTGGAGTGCCTCAAGATTTTTTTGAGCGTCTCGCAAAAGGCTTTCGAGCATGTTCGCCACACCCTGGCAAACCTGGCTATTCAGATCTTCGAACACTCCACTTCCGTGGCGCGTGCCGGCAGTTGCACCCGGAGCGGTTGCGTCGACGCCCCCACCGGAGGCTTCCTTGTATTCGGACGGGAGCGATGTGTGCTCGATCGTGCTCTGCGCGGCCACACCGAAGCTTGTGGAACTCCGCGGCGGAGACAGTAGGCAGAGGTAGACTAGCTTTCTCTCGACGCGTCTGGTCTTGTCGAGCAGTTCCGCCAGCATAAGCACCGCGCGGTCTGTGTGGAGCCGTCGTAGCGCGACTGCAACTTCCACGTGAAGCGCAAAAAGCCGCGCACTTCCGTCGAAGTTTTCCGTCATTTCTCTTGCAACTGCAATCCCTCCTGATCCCGTAGTTAGTTCATTGGGCCCAGACGAGGACGACGAGAGGCGGCGAGCAAAGCCCAGGGTACCCGCCCAAAAGACTTCGAGCACCTTTTCCAGGGAATCACCTCCGACAAAAGTTGGATGCGTCATAACGAAAAGGGTAAGCTCCCGTACACTCCGAAATCGCGCCTGATCAACGAAGTCGAAAAACTCATCCTTCATGCGTGACGTCCTCTGGAGGATCTCTTCTGTATCCCAACTGCTCGCGCCACTGGTTGTGGGAGTCGCCGCTTCGTCGCGCCGCCGTTCTTGTTTTCCAGCTCCCCCAGTTGTCACGGCTGTCCTAGTCGAGGATGCAGGGGATGTTGACGTTGACGTCGCTCCGGAGGAGGACCGCGCTCCCAACAAGGACAATTTGTCGCCTGGCTGACCAGGTCCCAGGATCGTTGCAGCACGTGGCAGATTCGGACGGCAACTTCGCCGGTGCTCCAAACGTGCGATCAATCGAATAAAGGCTTGCTCTCGGCCCTGAGACGCAGCAAAGACGCAACACTGACTCAGGCCCGTGGCAGCCTCGACAAGAGTGAAGAAAGCCCACAAGCAACATCCACCGCTTGCACCCCCCGCGGCTGCTCGCGGGTTACATCGATTCAGGGAAGCGCAATAGTCTCCGCGTCCAGGAAGCTCCGCGATTAGCTGAAAGAAAACCCTACAAGCGAGCAAGTGATCTGCAGAGAAGGCTACATCATGTAGTCGAAAAGCGCGGACCGGACCCACTCCGGTGGTAGAAGTCGTTGTGACAGGTCCACTTCCACCCACGAGAGACACAACTGCCGGCAGCCCGGCAAACGACGATGGGAATGACGCGGACGCCGGCGGGGACACTGCTTGCAAGGTTGGAGAAGTTACACGGTGACCTCCACCATCAGTTCTGATTCTTGGTGCTAAGCTGCTGCTACTTCTACTTGGAAAAGTCGTCCGCGAAGCCGTCGCGCCTTCAGGCGTTAAGACAAATACCGTTTCGGGAACTGAAGAGAGTGGTGATGCTGGTGGAGCTGCTCCCGGAAATGATGAGGAGACACCGGATGAAGATGTTGAGGTTGACGAGGAGCTCGCATCGTAATCATATTCTGGAAGCATTAACGCCGACGGTGCTGGGCGAGCGAGGAGTTCGCGAGCGCGAGGACTGGGAGTAAGTGATGAAGATCCGGAGGACGGTGAGCCGCTTGGTATGAAAAAAAGAATGAAAAAAAAAAATGGCTTGGTAGCGCCTCCTGAGTTGGGAAAGAGGATTCTCTTTCTCACAAAAGAAAATAAACACATTTCCTCTACTTTTTCTTCTAGAAGTAGTCTGCATCATCAAAAATTTAGACAAAACACTGGTGCTGTTCTTGGACGTATCTATATGTTGAACTCGGTATCGAGTTAGCTTACTCTACTGTTTTGTCGTTAGTTCACAGTGCGAGTCGTGTCGTATTCATATTATTATCGTACTAACAAGGCACGACACATTCAGCGCTTGTTTGTTGTTTCGAACTATCGAAGAAACCTCCATCGACGAGCGCGACTTCGTCGATGTGGGAATACACATCAGATCACTCATCTTGCAATTCATGCGTGCCTGCCGGCTCAAGCCGATGACATCCCAAAAGATAGAAACAGTGCGGTGGGCGCTCTGCGTCCCACCAAGAATAAGGCTCATTAGTGTTCGCTGCCGATGAGGCATCCCGAATTCCACACTATAATATAATTGGAAAAGAAGTTTCATTTATCTCGTGTGGCCACGTCTTGCTACTTAGACACAAAACTGGAGAATGAAAGGATTTAGATTTATGACTTTCACTTCAGCATAACGCTGTTCTGGGCTATCCTGGCCGCATCAACTGCGGGACTACCTTGATTACCTCCAGCCTGTTCTTGTTGGTGACGCTCACCGCGCGGAGCCGAAGAAGAGGACGAGCTACCCCGGGGGGAGGTTGATGTACTCCATCTCGACGCCACTGACCCGGATCATCTTAGAGTCTCTCCACATGAACACTCACGTGAGGATAAACATCGTGAATCCGGTTCTACCAGTCTAATTAAGTAAGCCTTAAGCCATTATTCCTTTGTTCGTCGTCAGAAGTCGCGCCAGAACCGTGGTACGGCGTAGCTGCCACGCCAGCTTCCGCTTGCTCTGGAGCCGGTTGGGGTGGTTCCTCCGCTTGTGGGCCATCCTCTTCTCGAGTCGGAGCAGTGGATGAAGAGGCGCTGCTCCTCCTTCTGCCAGGATGACTCGATGCGAGGCGCACCTTGCGACCATGTGCAGGTAATAATTGTTGATCATGGAAGAGAATAGGTGACACTAGCACTACCTCGAGCAGAACCGGCCTAATCTTTATCAGAGCCAACACGTTACTAAAAAAGTTGTAGTTAGGAAACTTTAATGACTGCACTATAAAACAACCACCAAACTTCAACAGGAACATTTTAAAACAAGAATAATACATGACACAAGATGAGTAATCTAATTTTTCCTCAGCAGGTTTACGTTTACTACTTACCGAAATTCGATAATTATAGATACTTAAGATGTTGAAGAACAAGCCGACAAGCGCGAGGTCAAGGTGAAGACGCTAGTCAAGGAATTAAGTATTTGACTCATGACATATAGTTGCATCCCTCGTGTAAGATTATAAGCCTAAGGATTGCATCCAAAACTCAATTTAAATTCCGTTTTTATCCACGAACGATGAGAGACCAAAAAATACCTATTCTCAAAAATAATCATGTAGATTGTAACCACGACTACGAATTTTGACACATTGATTTGATGAAGTAAACCTCATGGTCGTGAATCACACGCATGAAAACAGATAAAAAAAGTGGTTTGTCCAATAAAAAAATCGACTAATCCTTTCTGGTGGGCCAGTCCTTTGTGTAACATTTTTTACCTCGTCGACGTAGATGTTCCGTTTTTCTCACTCGACTTAACAAGATACTAGAATTGGTAATCATCTTTCTAGTAAAGTGCCAGCTGCATGGTACATACTTGGGTGATTGAATGGGTTGATGAATGAATGCGCTCCATTACTGTTATGTTAAAAAACAAGAGATGTTGCACATCAACATGTACTTTCCTAGACAATCAACATGCCTTGGTCTTCGAACCATGATAGATAACCATTTCTGGGAAAAGGAGGTACAACCAGACAAGTTTTGGGAACAAAAGGAGACACTGCATTAAAATTCTTCGATTTTGTTCCCGGTGGGCAGAAAGTAGAAGAAGATGAGCGTACACGTCCCTCAATGTGCTTATCGAAGATCATTATTTCTTGGGTTCAGTTTTCAATTCAACTATCGAGTCTCCCTTTTTTTGTATCGCGAGGGAAGAGCAAGAACCTGCCGACATATTTCCCGCGTAGTTACCGGCGTAGGGGGGAGTTCTTAATCTCCTTAACAACTACGCTAATGCCCCTACCCTGTATCCCGTTCCAAAACCGCATCACTAGGAAGGCGTTTCCGTCACGTAATTCAGGCTTTTGCTTTTTCTTCACAAAGAGAGAAAGGGGGACGACCTTGCAAGGAAGTGCGACAGATACGGGATACCAACGATGCACCCAAAGCCAAGCAACAGACTCAGACAAGAATGAAGGAGAAGTTGAAGTACTAACCGAAAACAGCGGAGGCCTCGCAGCATGAACCAGAACATCAATGTTATAAACATTTCACACACGCCGTCCGATTTATTATCTTCTTCCTCAACTAACTATGTATACCAACCCAACAAGTAATCAGCTGGCAACTTCGGAATAGATCCGAGGGTCTCCCGCCTCAGCTCTGTTTTTTGTATTCTCAAGGGCGCTGGAAGAGTGGCCCAGCAGATTTCTCCGGTTCACAAACCAGGAGAAGACGAAAGCACTTTTTTCATAAGGCCGACCTTAATAGTAGTAGGTGTAGTATTAGTCAATCTATTCGAGATGCATAATGTCAGAAGGCAAAATGCAGAACTGAAGATCTAAAAATCAAAGTTTTTCTAATTGAGAGAAAGCCGACGAATTCCACACAGATGGCTGAGGAGTGACCGAGAGTGATGAGTGTTAGGAACTTGTGACTCAGTCATGGTAGACTACGAAGAAAGATAATGCATTGAAGAGTCCAGAACCAGAAGACAACGGCGTAACCTTATGATGAAAAGAACATACCGAGGAAATTTTAATTTCTACATACTCGAAGTGAATGAGAGAGAGTGTCGTTAAAGCTTTACCAATTCTACCTCTGCAATGCCTGCTTATTTCCCAATACGTAATCTCGTGTCATTGAACGCCCGCAGCACAGAGCCTCCTACTCCCATCCGACCTTGTCTGTGCTCCCTGCCTCGTAAGACGGAATCACGCGAAACCCTAAATAAAAAAGAAGCCACCAGAAGAAAAGCGGGCACACAAGGACACCCGCATCAAAGCCTAACTATGATCTGCTTATCATATACAAACATACAATCATTTTTGCAGATAAAAGCCACTGGCTCACTATCGCTATACCTCGTCTTGCATCCACCCACGCGTATGATAGGTAATCTGTGTGGTAGCCCCCGCGTAGAAATCGAAATCCAATCACGGCTAAGGCATAATACACACCAGATAGTAGATATATAAGTGATACAGGGACGCACGCCCCCCCCTGTGGATGGCCCTGTGGTGGCGCTTGCGCGCCCTTTTCCGCGCTGATTTTCATGGAGTCTAGTGGTGGAAGGCGTCAAAACTTGACGCGGGCGTCCCCTTGCACCTCTCAGCGGGTTCCCTAGCGGCCTCCTGGCCTCTGCTGACCCAGAGCAAGCAAGCCGGTGACCAATGGCCCAGAGGGTACATGCCACACAGCTCAGGGGGTCCAGCCTTGCGCCTTTTGCCGCCTTCAGAGGCCCTCCATAACCGGCGCACTACTGCGGCGGCGAAGCTCGTCGGCAGTCTGTAGGGTAAACGCAGGCAGCTGGAAGGGAGCGGGGGAGGCCCCTGGGGCCCTTTTGGAAGCCTTCCACCAAAACCGGAGGCCTGTAGGGTACATGCAGGCAGCTGGAAGGGAGCGGGGGAGGCCTCTTGGCCCCCTTTTGAAGCCTTCCACCCCCGGCAGACGCCTTCAAAAAGGGTCCGGGGATCCACGCCCCCCCCTACGCTAAGGGGGGGGCGCTCCCCTGAACCCTGGGGCCTCCAGATAGACTGCGATCACTGTCCGCCAGCACTGTCGACCTTCAGCTTCATTACGCTGATCATGTGGCTGAACAATGGAGCTGGATAGGGATACTTGGTTGATTGATGCTGCCAGACTTTAGGGACCGGCGTCAGGAGCTCTCCGCAGTGGCGGAAAATTGCGCACCTTTGGCATAATTATGACGCCCAGGAACTGGTTCACAAGGTGGGAAAAGTACCACCCTGGAACGGTTTGGGGCGGGATGGAATAAACCAGCAAAAACCTGAGCCAGAGTGGGATAGGAGCGAAATCAAGTTGTAAAAAAATTGCCAGCGTGCCACCCCGAACCCGAGCCGAAGCCAAGTCCACCCTGAGCCGCTGCATATATATAATTCCCTTCTATTTTCAGGAACTACAAGGCCCCTCGCTAGAGTCCCCAAATCTCTATCAGATTATACTTCCCTCTTTTATAACATACAATGGGCATAAATCGAGGCCCCGCGTCAGAGCTTTGAAGCAGAATCTCAAGAGAGACAGAAACAGAAGCCCCGGCCTGCAAGGTCTTAGGGCGAAACATCAAGAGAGGGTCTGAGGACTCACGCCCAGGAGAAAATCCCAAGGCATTGAAGCCACTTCAGAGCTTTCTGCCACAGAGTAGACCAAACAACGAGAAAACCCCGCCGAGGCTTCAGCCTCAGGAATAATAAAAATAAGCCCAAAAATTTCCCACCGCAGAGTTTTGCGACTCAGAGCAGCACGCCAGCCGACTTCTTTCACGGCTCAGGGCGCCCCTCCTCAGGGCTGCGATTGTGTGCCAAGGTTTGCCCCTCTCAGAGTTGCCAAGCAGCGCCAGACGGCTTGGAGAGCGACACAAGGAAGCGACAAAGGCGGCAAGCGGGCAAGCCTCCCTGGCTGTCTCAGCCAAGGTTTCCCAAGGTTTGCAAGTCAGGGGGCACGCCCTGGCTTTCGTTTCTCAGGGTTTCCCCGGGCTTGCAAATCAGGGGGCGGATGGTCCGGCATCAAGGCAGAAAGCCGACGGGTCAGCGCTTTCCCGAAGGTGGCCGCGTCCGCTGTTATGTGCTGAGGGTCATCCACGGCACAGGCCGGTCGCTAGCACCTGGAACCGCGCACGCGGCGCCCAATTTCGGCCGCAGAAGGCCTCAAACAGTTGCGCCGCAGTTCCAAGACCCTCCCGTATTCGCACCCCCATTCCGGTGCAACGGCGGGGACGGCCGCCCCGCGCACCACGGGAGCACGGCCCGAAGCTCCCACCCCCTGGTCGCCTTCAGCGAAAGCGGCTCGCTCACCTGATTACGGTGGCAACACATTCCGCGGCGCGGCCGTCACTGGCAGTTTCCCTCTCTCTCGTCCTCACACTTCCCATTCACCTCTGGGCCCTCGGGTCACGACTAGTTATTCATATTTTGTCTACTTTATCATGAGAAGCGATAGGAATAGTTGTTGAAATATTACTGGTAATGGACCCACTGTCTTGATTCAGAATGCAAACACAGAAAAAAAAATAGTCATACGATCTCGCCCCCCGTCATCTTGATCAACTAAGGAGTTCACCTATAAATAATGCATCTCGAATAGCCATACGAGATGAAACACTCACCAGGACAGCCACGAACTAAACGGCTATACCTGGCAAGCGTACTCCTCCAAGAGGTTGTATGGGGTCGGTTTGTCAATCAATTCCATTCCATTCCATGAAGTCCATCATTGGCTAGCATGCCAACCCCTAGACTATACGACGACACCCTGCAGCCTCAAATAATATGAAGTCACGAGGAAGAGCAACGCTAATATACTTTGCAATGAACTAGTAGTAGTAATAGTGTAAGCCTTACTGTAGGCGGTCACCCCTTCATCATGGTCAACGCAGCGGCACCTTACGGCGACAGGAACGGCGCGACCGAGGGCCTTGTCAGGTGGTTTACAAGGTGGCTTACAAGAAAGCGCAAATGTGACCCCTTGCCTTGAGGTGCAGCGAAGGATGAAATATATTTATTAAGCTATAAAGTTATACATTACAACACAACAAATCTCGCACAAAAAATCAGTGCAGAATGCCCTCAGGGTTACAAAATCTGCATGTTCTTGATTTGACATAAAAATGCTAAGCATGATATATCTATATCAGTCACCGACCCGTTAAATTCTCGCAGTTACGTCTGTGGGACTCCACCAGAGGTGGGCCTGACTAAAGAAACACTCTCCATGATAGACCGCAAGCCAAGTAGGAAGTCAATTGAACCTAAGAATAAATATATTAAGAAGTATGAGGCCCTAGCACCACACATTACATCCATGATGCCTAGCAGACGAACAATAGAGTGAATGAAAATAGTTCACGAAGAAACACATGAATATACAACTACTCACCCTATACAATGTAAGTATAGTTCAAAGGGTGCACGAACGAACGAATAAAAAACAATTATATTAGCATCAATTAGAGATATATATTCTCGCAAAACCATCGAGCCTTTCCGTTCATTTCGTTGTCACCGTGCTAGTAACTCTTGAATTCTCCAACCGCCCAAATCACACGGACAGACCGTGATAGATTTAGAAGATGAAGCATATCGCTGCTATAAGGAAGGCGACAGAAGATGCTTCTCATTCATCTCTACGTACTAAATATGAGATAATAACCACTGATACACACAAGTAAGTTCTATCAATACCAGTACCAGATATTTTGTTCTACTTCTTTTATCAATATTCGATGACACAACGCAACCCGACTACAACAAGAACAATGCCACTTCTCTTCATATCAATCAGCATTGACACAGAGACAGACACTTTCAGTAATAAAATGCTACAGCTACTGAATCTCTAAAAATAAAACGAGGTACCTAAAATATAGTGAATCACAACCCCGAGCACACCTGTTTGTCAAACAATTGATCAATACGGTCGCGCGCGGACGCGGTGGGCCACCAAAATGCGATTTTTTCATTTACATAGAACTAAGCTCCTCCCTCCTCACTCCCTACAACCCTTCCTGCTGAAGAAGTGCACTATATTATTTATTAGTCACGCGCGATCACCACGTTGCGCCGGAAGCGCACTTTTCTTGCGCAGCTACCGTCGGACGCAAAGAAAAATCATCCGCATACTTCGCTGTTAATTGCATAAGTATACCTAAAAAATTCTTCTGCAAATAGATTCTTAGTTGGTATGGAAATAATCTTTGAGGAGTTTCCCCCTCAAACGGAGAATAATTTCGTTACTACGGTCGAGAGCATCAATCTCCAGTCAGAGGAAAACCGTCTTTTTCTATTGAGAAATAATTTGTCAATTTTGTCTACTTGCTACTAAAAAATCTCGTTCTGTTGTATTTATCTTCAGACAACATACCCATAAGTATGTGACTTTTGAAAATCACAAGAATGACAACATCTCCAGATTTTCCGACGAAAGGCTTCGGCTTCTGTCTCTCACTTGCTGTTGCAGCTCCTCTAGGAGATAAGCAAGGCCATGATACTCGTTCGCCGCGACAAACATCGCCAGTGCTTCTTGCAGAAGAATCGGATCCAGCTGCTGCACCCCTACCCAGAAATATTTTCCGAGATTCTCATCTTGGAGACCCTTAGTATTAGATCGGAACATAATCCATCTCACCAGAATGCATCTCGTCTTTCCGTTTTCCTTTTTCTAGGAGTAGATAAAGATCTAACATTCATGCAGCCACTCATTCATTTACATGGTAAAGACGTCAGATCCGTCCCTCCAAAACAAGTAGAAGATGGATTATGTCAAGCCTTAGTGGGAGTCGTGCTGACAACTTCGATTAAGAAGAGCGGGACTGGGCGATCCCAATTGCGAATTAGTGCTCTGGCTCTCCTCGAAGATACTTAATTCATTTTCCACCTTCAAGAACACACTCTCAGAATCTAAGTAGAGAAGAATCCTCTCGCTCTCAGAATCCAAAAGAAATTATAGACTCACTTGTGGAAATGAATTTGTATCGATATTAGCCTTAAGAGAATAGGCACATCTTTCAAAAAAAGCCGAGCACGGGTCTTCCGGATAATTTTCTCGAACGAGGCCTCGTAATGTATATGGCGAACTTTATTTGTTCCGGATGTGGTCGACAGTACCTAATAAATTGATATTGGACAAAATCAATCATCAAAGATGAGTCTTTTTTCTATAGTATATTACAGACAGAACGCTTGCGGGCATGGAGAAAAAGTGTGTACTTCAAGAAAGCACGACTTTGTAGCTTTTGTAATATTTCGCTTCATCAATTTTTTCTCATGATCATGAAACAAGACGTAGAAGTGAAAGGCTAGTACCTGCTCAACATAACTATGCGGGTTTACAATGTCCACGATTTTTCCGACGAAACCACGTCCAGAATGCAGAGTCATTTTCAGGGGCTTCTCCTGTTCGTTCTGCGCGGCACGTTGCCGTCCTCTCCAGTAGTTCCGATCTGACTTTTTTTTTTTGTTTTGGCCATGCGGCTGAGATGAAGGAGCAGCAAGTTCAGTGCTACCGCGTCTGCGATCTATGTCCATCCACCTCGGCGATGAACTACAACTTTTCCAAGTCCCCACAGACGATCTATCATTGCTGTCGCCCGGATGAAAATGAGATTGTGAAGATGAACTGTAATGCAAATCAGGAAGGTAGCGGTCGTCCCTCACCAGACGTCGCGGGTCCTCCGGATGTTTCGGAGAGTACATAGGTTCTTGGTTTGCCATAGTTCCAGTCAAGCGTATGAACTGGCCCAAGTAGTACAAACCATACAACCCGCGCAGCCGCTCCACAATCTCAGCGACCATGATGAGGCTCTTCCTTGATGCAGGGCCATCTCCTATGCACTCCTTAACTGGAATCCGTTGGGCGCCGAAAAATTTTTGATTACTATCGCTACAGACAAAATGATAGTTGATGGAGTTCGGAAACTCTTGCAGCTGCCAAGGTGGCTGCAGCTGGTTAGTATATGCTTCGAGTCGCATCCGCGCGTCGTCACTGTTCAAGCTGAGACGTTCACCATCAGCATGATGCTCTCCTCGTTGTCGTTCTTGCGGATTAGGATCATTAGGCACTGCCGCCGCGGAGGCGAAGAGATGAGTAGCTTTTAATTCTTCGATAAGTACTTCCCGCGCAATAGTCGTTTTTGCGGTATGCAACGGAAGATACGAAGCGCTTTCGGGTTGCTGCCGTAAAAACCGAACCAAGGTCGCAGCTATCATTGGAGCAGGAGGCAGCAGTTCTTGTTCTTGCACAAGTACAAAAATAGAAAGCTAAACCATAAACAAAACCTAGTAACTAGAACTACGTTGAGCTTTGCGTTATTATCAACAGATTTTTAGTCAAAGAGCAAAGAGACAGAGGTGTAGAATCTAACACGCAGAGCTGGAAACATGACAACACTTTTTTCATAGCGAGTACATAGTGGGTACGAGCACAATCGAAAGTCTTCTTGTCTTTCGTGCTCAAGACATGGAGGGGGTGGAGAGTAGAAGACACTCTCACATCTCTCAATTTGCTAAAAAACTACTTACGTTACTACGGTGTAAGTTTGCGCGAAAGTCGCAAGTCCATAGCTCAATAGTCCAATTCCCGGATCCGCGTAGTTTTCCGCCTATCCCTCCGTCCCACGTCATCACCGTATGAAGCGGGACTTTGCTATGCACAACGTTCCCGCCTAGCGTGATCACTTCGAAAGTTTAGATGGATAAACTGCTTACTCGTCTAAGTATATACTCACAGGGTTCAAGTTATAAGTACTGAGAAAGATCAAGATGGATAAAATGAAAAGCTGACCTTAAAAAGAATATCCCATCCACGCTGATTGCTCCAGCTTCTTCTTCCGAGGGCCCATATTAAGCTCTCCTGCTGTTGTGGTCAGTGATGATCGCACCTTTCGTTTGTTCTTGGTGTGCAAGTGCATTACTCCCGTATATGATTCTTGTGTCTGACACGGATGCATTTCCTGGTGGAGGCCGCTTCGAGGCGCTCCCCAGCCCGCCTGTTCGTCTGACTTCATCATGATACTGGCAGGTGTAGGATGATCACGCCCAGGTGTTCCGTTCTCCAATGTTGGCATTAGAGATGGAGTAGTTGACGAACTGGACCACGGAGGAGGAGGATGGCCTCTAAGAATGGACCCACACGACGAAAAAGATGAAGCAATGGCCCGTTTCGTAACCGATTCTACCAAGGTCCTGCTGTTTGAAGGTGCGGAGGGTGCGACGTCGCCTGCTTCTCCATTTGTTGTTCTTCTGTCCCTTGCTTCCGTACCGCCTCTTGTCCAAAGCGTAGAAGTTTCTTCACAATAGGCGCCGTTGCTTCGGAACTCGCTCCCGGAGGTGGTAGGTTTCAAAGTGTTGTACGCGTTGCACTCTCTCGGAAAAAGAGCGGCCCTACAATTAGCCTCTGTATGGGAGCCGGCAACAGGAGTGGCAGTCCGTTCCGACATGATCGACAGCCCTTCGATCTCATTAATGAAGATAGAATAGCTGGCCGCCAACAAGCCCCACGACTTTCCGAACATCATGTTCATTTTTTGAGTTAATGAAGATTCTACGACCGTGAATGTGATAATTGCTCCTTTGCTTCCTCATTTAGCCTTAGAAAAGGTGAATTTTGCTCATGTGGCCTGTTTGAGTTTGTTGGTATACTATGTATGAATCATCTAAAAAATGATAAAACTGTGTAGAAATTGCTTGACGATTTGTAGACAATGACAAATCTCCACTATCATACTTAGCTCCTTGATAAATTTATATCTATTACTTGTTCTTCTGTATATATAAATAAAAATTTTCAACATAATCTTCAGGATGGCATGCCTTTTCATTTCATATCGAGTAAATAGTAAAGTTGGAACGTCAGTGACGTGATCCGTGTTAACTGTACCTATAATAACGCGAAATAAAAGATAAGGGTTATCAGAATATTTAAGTACTCGTGTCTATTCACGACAATGACCGACCCGAAAGAGCCAATTCTCGAACAACTCTGTTCATTGTTATGTCTGCTTTTCCAGATGCTGTGCTGCAAATATTCATTCAAGGGATGCTTCCAACTACACCTATACCTGACAGTATCTATTTTCTAACTACAAAGAAAATCAGTACATTACAAAGACAAACTCAGATGGAAGAAGTTCTGATTCGGTGATATTTTGCTTGTAAATTCCTGCCGTCATATCATCTTATTGAGCAATTTTCGACAGTTCCACAGTGGACTTGGGAATGCTGGGGCACAGGCCGAGGAAGAGTTGTAGAGACATAAAGTAGCAGTAGTATAGATACCCATTCTGGGCGTAAATCTGACATGGGGAGAAGGATCATCGATTCAGGCGCGCCGCGAGAGGTGGCGTTCATTTTTGGAGATAATTCGTGCATCAGTGCAGTCGTGTCATTAACATTACTATTTCATATTGATAATTTTTTCTCTCCATTTACATTTTTGCCTACTTTGATTTTCTATCAAGAGTTCCCAACGTCGAACCGGTGACCTACATGCTAAGGGTAAGGTTGGTCACGATGGATTATCGTCTCAACATGCAGATGATCATAGATTTTCGTCGTTGGTCACAATGGATTCTCGTCTCAACATTCCTTCACGTGCTCCACCCTGGCAATCTCTTAGCGTTTGGGCAGTTCTCAACCACGACCAGCTAAGAACGGGTATACATTTTCAACCACAATGGGTTTTCGAAACGCGGCTCGACCTCTGGGCATTGGTGGAGCCACGACGACGTCAGATAAGGCTCGCCATTACACCGATCCGACTCATCTATTATATGCTATGGTGTTACGATCCGCGCATCGGGGAGATGCCCGCGCCTACTGACGATTTGCTTGTTGATCCTGTTCTTGAAGTCGGGGGTGGATGGTCATAGATTTTCGTCGTTGGTCACAGTGGATTCTCGTCTCAACACGCAGATGATCATAGATTTTCGTCACAAAACAGGAATTGCTCAGATCGACAAGGATCGTCCTTGATGCGCCAACAGATGCACTCACTCATTCAGCATAACCATCACTGCCGCAACTTACGGCACTCACACAGCATGACTGCAGGCTTTGCCCCTTCGTCACCCGCAGGTTAGGTAAGGTGGGGAAGCCGCCCGGCAGTTGCAACACTCTAACACGAGTGTGCGCCCGCCTACAAAAGTTAACATTGATGGTGCCGGACTCGTGGCCACTCCACGACCCGCCAACCCCGCTCCGGCCCTGGCCCTGCAGATCCACCTGGCTATTTTTTTACACAAACCCCAGCCATCCGTGTGCACATGCGAGAGGGTCGCCAACCAAGCTAAGCCCCCCGACATGCACCTCACGAATCAACTCAGCAGGCCGAGTATCTACGTCCCCAAGCTGGTTCTTGGGTGGTGGGATTGTTTGACCGGTTGAGTGGTTGATAACATGATGAGGAGGACTTCCACTCTTTCTGGCTCAGACCTAACAGCCAGAGGGGCCAGTACGCCTCACCCACAGCAGTTTCTAGTTCTACTTCATTCTTAAAATTAAATTATCATGATTATGTTGCATATAGATTTAGATACATTAATTAACTCACTCGGCTGCACTTTTCTAGCGAAGGCAGTGGGGCCGCGTGCCTTCTGGAAGGCTCCCGAGAGGCTCCGACGAAGTCCGCAGCGAGCTGTTCCGCAGCTTTTCCGCAGATGTTCCTTAGCTGTTCCGCAGGGTGCTACTGAGGCGCTCGCACGCTCGTCGACAAGGCCCAGCGAAAAAGGCTCCGAGCGCGCTCCACAGCTGTCTCGCAGCTGCCTCCTACGTGACTCACTGATGGGGGCATCCTGCGCTGCCCCGTCCTGCGTGCTCCTGGCTGTTCCGTAGCGTGTTAGTTGGGTCCGCAGCTGTTCCGCGGCTCTTCCGCAGAGGGTTCCACAAGAGGCTCCGCGCCAGGTTCACTCAGCGGCGCGCACGTCTCTAGTCTACCCCAATAGCGATTGCTTCGGGTGTCTATTCCTCTGGCTGCGCCACCCCTTGCGCAAACTCTTAGCGGGAGCCAAAGGCAGCTCATTGTTGGTTCCCTCGCCCCTGTCTGAGCCCTTACCAGCACCAAACGAAACAAGCCGCCCGGATCTGTTTCGTGGCGCTAAAGGAGGGCCCAGCTGGCCGGCTGCCTGCGCCCCGCCGTTTTCACCTTGGGCTCTACTCCAGCCGGCGCCCCTTTGCTCTCCGCTCCCTCCTTCCTCCCGCCACCGCCGCGCCCTTCGCCACTTCTCGCGCCCCTTCCCTTGCCTCGTTTTCCGCTCTCGTCTTCCCTTCCCTTCGCTCGTTCTTCCCTCGGCTGCTTTTGCCTCCTCTTCCTCGCTCTCTCTCCGGAGTGAATCGCGATCGACATCAGCGGAAAATAGCAAAGGGCCATTAACTTCCAAGGAGCACATTGTGGAAGGTCAAGCACCGGAGCACTGCCTCTCCTGTCGTCGGGTCCCCTCTCCTCGTCGCAACCACCGTGGCCGTGTTCGATGTGGGAGCAACATCTCTTGCTGGAACAGCTGCTGCTGATGTAATACCAATTGCTTCTGGAGTTGCTGGAATTTCTGCTGGAGTTGCTGGAATTGCTGCTGATGTACTAGACGTGCCTTGGTGCAACAGATGATGTAGTTTGTTCTTCATGTACAAATTTGCGGCGCAGGTTAATCGCTCCAATGTAGCAAAAAATTATGCCGAGGGTTGATGCAAAGGCATACGGCATGGGCACCATGCGTGGCCAAATCTCGTTTTGCAGCTCCACTTTCAACAACATCACGACTCGTAGGTGCGACTCCAACCCGGCCAGCTGTATAAGTCCCCCAAAAAAGATTGGGCTGAGCATGAGACTTCCGCAGATCCTCCGCTCCTTCAGCACTTCTGAAAGGTCGTTTCCAATTCCAGCTGTAGATTCCGGCGCATGTGCAACGTCGAGTACACCTACGGCACAGCCCTGTCTTGCGAGGGTCACAGCGCAAACTTGACTCAGTATGGATAGCGTCTCGCTGGGCAAAAGCACGCGGCCGTCTCCCCCTGTCGTGGAGACAGTTCGCGGACGTGAACCGCGACTCCCGACGGCACATGATTCCGCGCTTCAAAAGGGTTGTCTCGTGATGACGTTCTCCATTCAACATCTGCGGCAGGCTCTTGGCTCTGGCTCCCTGCTTGGCAATTGTCGGCAATAGGAGGCGAGGAGGAGGCCTCAGAGCCCGCGACGACGAGGACGACGGCCTCTCCTTCGCAGTCATTGTCCTCACACCTACGGGCCAGTAACCTAACCTCCCCTCATTCGGTGGAAGCCTCTCCGTATAGTACGTACCAGGACCTTCATCTGTGTCAGAGGTCATGATCATCGGCGACATGGATGTCTGCTAACCGTATATTCTCACCAAGAGCTCACTAGGTATAAATAACTTGAGCGAAATAAATGGCTACGGAGATCTATCACTATCTACAAAATGGCCACGCCATAACAGATGATCTATCGCTATCATAGCGACACTGCGGAGCGAATGAGAACGAGGAGTCCACGATGATCACTGTTAAGGGGTTGCTGATTTTCAGATCGTGATGCGCTTTAAGCAAAACCAGAACAGCTTGTCGGCTCTCATACCAGATAGACGGCTCGGTCTTTTGTGTACTGCAGAGAAGACAACGTGCTTCCAAAGAAACGCAGCTTCGTTTTAGTACCTTCGCTTTTCGTTTTCTCCCTCCCTCTTCCAATCAAGCCTATCAACTCAGTGGTGTTCATGCAGACAACCAGACCCGTGTTAGCTCCGTCGTCTAGACGAAGAGCACAGCCTCCACGACGCGTCTCGGTCTCAAAGGAGAGATCGTGACGCTTCACGAGTACTTGACTTGACTAAATCCACTGAGCAACAGGAAAAGGAATAGCGAGTAATTGGACATAAGCTCGTCTGCTGCTATCTTCTTGTTCTGTAAGTAATCTCCTCGAGGTGGTTCTATACATTATCAACTACTATTTTCTATTCTCAGCAACCTATATCCATATCACACACTAGCCATGACCAGAGCAAACAAGAAAACTACATTCCTCGTCGACGAATCCTTCCCCCTTACAGAAATCCTTCGCGAAGGATTTCTATACATTCATCGGTATTTTTTTGTGAGGGCATCCGCAGGAGAATGAGAAAGCTTAGAAAAAATAAGGATGAAATATTGAATGCGATTCTGGACCATGATCAAAAGTGAATACATGTGTTGGACTTCCACCTTTGTCTACCTCTCAGCATGAGAAAGACGCAAGGCCGTTCCCTTATTATATAACGGTCGAGGAAAAATATTCATCTCCACATTATTTTATTACCTTCGTTCTGGACACATAGCGAAAACAATCAACAAAAAAAGTACTTGGTATTCGTTTTCGTATTCAAAGAAATTATGGTACTTACAAATACAAGTGATGCCATGCTTACCTCAGTCATTTTTGAGGTACTTGCACTTGGGAAAAGATAATGAACACATAATTCTGCAACGGCTGCCTACACCCGAAAATGCATGTACTCGACTACGACTAACTTACTTCTTCATAACCGCTGAAGACAGCGACGCAACATAAAGTAGCTGCACTCGCATTTCTAATTGATTCTCCACTCCAAAAAAGCAATCTAAACTCCAAAAAGCAATGCACTCATATACAACAGAGCATAACCGATTAGAAAATTTGAAACAAAAACTTATACATAGGAATGGAGATGGCAAACAATCTGGCTCCTATCTGCAACTGGTGGCCTTCAATATAGAATCAGCATTTATTGGTGACTGTTGGATCATAGCAATTTAACGCACAAGGAAGTGAAAGTGGTCCAAGTCTGGTATATAACATCGTGATGTTGAACGAATTTTCCATCAAGCCTAAAAGTGAGACGAGGTGAAGAATAACACTGAAGTTCAACGGTTTTAGTTGGCACGACAGATCATTTAGGGTTTGAAGCTTTTAACCAACAATATTACATCAGTGAAATAAATAGTACAAAAGTCATCAGACATTGAAATTGGTAGCTGCAACGCTATCTCGATAATACAACGAGTGAAAACGAAGTGAAAGTCGATAGAATTACTATGAAAATAGAAATTTTTGGAAGCAGGTACTACCCTAATGAAAACATGATTTGCTTAATTATGATGTCGAAGCCGTCAGCCTGACGATTTGCCATTCGCTTTTTTCTTTTCGAGGTTCTGCGCCACAGCCGCATTTTCGGACAATCGATCAAAGAGTGCTGGAAAAAACCTCAGAAGATCCTCATCGAGTTGGTGGGGCCAGTTCTGTGGCTGCGTCAATTCTTGTCGTGGCAGGATGCCATTCGTGCGACGGACCTGGATTTAAGACGGTCACAGATATTACAAGTCAAAAAATAAGAGGTAAACGAACCAGTACCAGCACGACTAGGAGTATTTGACTATAGCAATACATGGGGGTATTTTGGATTTAAAATGCAGTTGTCAATGACTACCAGCACCAAGGACTGGCGGTAGTGACAGGTGGTGATAGTTACTCCAACCACGACTACTAGAAGCGCCACCGCTATCTAGTACGAGAAGTACTTGTAGTTCTATTGCCTCTAGTACGAGCACTATGGCTACGATGATGACATCCTAAATTTTGACGAGGAATGTACTTTTAGTTATACCAGAAAGAGGACATAGCTATTCTGCGAGACCACCCTGTCCTCTCGGTCTTTTTGCGTTTCGTCATCGTCGAAATAGTAGTATGTCTTGTTGATGGGATGTCTGCACGTTGCAGTGTAATGACCTGTTTCGATGTCGTTCCCCACGTGATTCGCGCTGCACACAATGTCTCACTTTAGAGCAGGATGAGGATGGATTGTTCTTGAAAATGTCGGTATGTCGTAGTTCAATGTGTAGTGTTTACTTGAATTTGAAATTGAATCATTGTGAAGCAACAACCTCCAACAACAATAAATATAGTGTTCATCATAGGTAGACACAACGATCACCACTGTTCCCTGTTTCGTCGTCTACTGATAGGTAATTCGGATTCGCGGACGTCTCTATTTCTGCTAGGTCGATAGGAGTTTGACTTTTCAGCTTCACGCAGTTCTTGTTCCACTTTCTCTTAGCCTGGTCGTACTCGAATCTCTTCCAATATGAAGGAGGAGGAGGCGGAAGAGGAGACAGTACCGGAGAGTACAGAGGCTAGAGAGGATAGGGGAAGGTGGATCGAGTCGGACAGTTGGAATAAATTCTACCAGTCCGTCGTCGCCCAATCTTGATCCTATTTCTCTTGCTACTAGGCAAGAAGCCGAAGACGAAGAGAGTAGTCACTTATAGTTATACTATAACATGCGCAACATAAGAGATGCAGGACGAAAACGAAAGGAAGCTTCCAGAATTCGATTTTTTTTCGCGCTGGCACTTTCTGTCTGCAGTTTGGGCAATACCAATGCGTGTCTAAGCTTTCCTCGACTGAAAAAGCTCGTAGCGCATCCATCAGCAGCATCTCCTCGTTCGTTAGAGAGGATAGCAAAGTACTTCCCTACAGCGGGAGCTTCATGTTCTGTTCCTCGACGGTGAAGAACATGAGGATCACTAATTTCTGAGTGGATAAAGATAATCTCCTCGATACATAACTTATCCCGCTTCGATGACGAGCTCGATCCTTGCATGATGTTTAGGCCCGACTTCCGGTTGCCGCCGTTTATAGGTAGAGACGTCGTAAGGAAAGGCTCATAACTTCGGCTAAAAGTCTTGCACCTGGAGCACGTCACAGTTGAACGCAGCTGGCCCTGTGAGGAGAACATGAAGTAGTAGACGAACAGAATGTAGTTTCATATGCAGACAAATACTGAGTATTTCCACTTCCAGTAAGACTACTAGAGATTGATCATTCAGAAATATTGATTACGATCGATATGATTACCTGAAAGGTATCGACGATGATGCCTCTGTAGTTCGTCAAATTTCTCGCCCAGCAGAGAGCTGCCGCGGCTTCACTACCAAACTCGTTCTCGATTTTTAACAGGTCTTCTTGGCGAAATGCCCGCTTCACTGGTCTGGGTATGGATGCGACGGGACTTTCACCAGATTTCACTAAATTCAAGTCCTCGTGTAAGACGTCGAGAAGCCACGCTATCAACTCCTGCACGTCTTGCTCCTGCTGTAGCTCTATCTTTTCCGCAAAGAGATCCTTATTGTGACCGCCTAGTTTCCGAAGATACCTAATCATGACAATCGTAATGAAGACGAACATGGTCGTGATAGACAAACATGAGGAGCATGACGACGAACTCTCAATTCGCAGGAATAACAATATGTAACGAACCGGATACAGCAGGAGCATCCCCAGCCACGACGACTTGTAACAATGTTACGTCAAGCATCATTTTTTTTACTATCACCAGCTGCGCCGTACAAGTAGTAAAGATAAATGTTTATGTACCTCTGCGGCTTATACTCCACGTAGCTCGTCACGCTGCCTCTCGCAATGAATACTGTCAGTTCTGTATTAGTCCGTTTTGCATTGGTTGAAAGTGTTTGCGTCCGAACTTTGCTACTCAAGTCGCCCGGGCTCATCGGAGAATGCGGCTCACTTCCTGCCCGTCCGTGCCATATGAAGGAACAAACATACTAAATATTTACATGGGAGTATGATCTATCTAGATGTGAAGTTCTCAACATAGTGAATTGTTTTATTTGCTTGAAATTAGATTGTGTTTTCTTTAATACCTCAACAATATTTTTGCATAAATAGTTGCATGTTGTTTCGGCATGCGGATGGCATAACCCATCTATTTCTAGGTGCCTACTTACTCAGAAAGTGTTCATATCTCTATCTCCTCTAAAATCGTCGCGCTCGAGGTTTATGGACGATGTACTGCCCACGGCTCGCGCTGCGAGTTGTTCCGCTCTTTTCACCGGTGGTGAATTCGACCCCACGAGTTCCGCGGCTGACGCATGAGGCCCGTATCCTTCGTCTACTCCATTAGAGCTGCCTTTGGCACTCTTCCGGAGCTTTTCCTCTTGCTTGTCAAGCAAGAATTAGATAGAGGTAGGCTTTTGGTGTTTGCTTACCTCGTTTGTCATGCCTCTCTCCCTTGAGAGCGGCAAAACAAACGGTAATGTGAACGCCTTTAACCTACCCTTAAAAGAAACTTGGACTAGACCACAGGCGTAGGAGCATCTCCGCAAAGCCGATACCTAATGTCGCCTCTTTTGAGCCGTACTTGGCATCAAAATTCAGTTCCGCTTTAAACCTCCCGGTGAGGAAGAACGCGACCAGAGGTTCTAGGTGCGCGAGACACTGCAGGCCTGTATTCAGAAAACACGTATTCCCCATATTTGTGAGGGAATTTTTTCCGCCGAGTGCTAGCTTTCTAAAGAATGTTTCTTCATCTAGGGAACCAAACATGCGCTCGAGACCACTTGACGGAACTCCTGCGCCGCCCGCTGTCATAACCGGGGCGCTGGCCGGAGACGTGAGCGCAGGGCTGCCACTTGGGTTCAGCAAGTTTTGCTGTGTCAGTGGGTTGCGACGATCTAGGATCGTCCAGTCTGCTCCAAGGACACTGCGCCATGGTCCTAGGAGAAACCGAGCTATATCGTCTGCTATTTTCTTACGCTTTCCTGGGTCCTGGTAGAATTTCCTTTCATGCTCCCGAAACAAAGTATGAAGACAGTCGCGCGCTTCCTTTCTTCTATGTCACAATGATAATGATAATCCACGTAGAAGTTGTGGCATAATCTTAATCATTCATGTGTATCCCTCTCAGCCGATGACAAATGATCAACATCATCACCATCATGCACAAACTAGAACAATGAACACCACCAGGGAGTAGCCTTTCACCATAATGCTCTATTTCCTGCTCTACAGCATCTCGTATAGCTGGACGCAAATTTGCTAACAGATACTCCGTATTTTCCAATGGATTCCCTCGGGGAACACTGTAATCACCATCGTTGTTCTTAGTAGTGAAAACTTGTCGCTCCTGTTCGTTTGCTCCGTTGAAAATCTAATCTTGCACAGTTACAACTTCCTGAGCAAGACTGATTTGCACATGATGAGGCGTATACATAGTAGTACCTCTGGCTAGTACCAGTTGTACCCCTAAGTGCAAAATTCTACTCAAAAGAGACAATCGACAAATGACACTACAACGCATGAAATGATGAAGCATAAGCGAGCCGCCATTTGATGCGCTCGACGCCCCGTCTCTGGTGATATTTCTGTGCCTTTTTCCTGCAGACGGAGGGCCTGCGCTCGTCCACCCGGCGCCTCCACGAGGCTCTGATGGTGACGAAGCCGTAGGCGGCGTCTCAAAATTTGGCGGGTGTGGTTAGAAGAAGAATCAACTAACAGTCGTAAATAGCTTGATACCATATACTTACTCGCTTATTTAGTGGATCTCTGTCTGCCACAACTACTTGTTGTAGTTGTAACGCTAAGTATTGGTATTCTGCAACAAAAATGTTGTATGTATTATTAGTAGTTGCCAAAACTACAGAGGAAGCGGTGACCAGCATATGCCTCCAGAGGACGACAGTCGTAGCTAGAACAACGTACTTCAAGTTAATTCAGGAAAATCGGAGACTCATACTTCTTAGTCATAATACGCTGCTCCGTGTCCCGGAAAACTGAAGTGTAGGCTGTAATTGCTTCCATCCGAAGGGGCGAATGCACCTCCACCAGTTTTTTTCAGCTGCGCAAGGTCCGCAGAAAGTTGCCTTTCCAGGTCGTCATCACAAGAAGGTAGAGTTTGGGGCGCTCCTCGGATGCCCATACGCTGAAACAGCTTACTTGTCATTCCTTTTGTTTGACGCGATTGAAGCTTCAACTAAATCGAAATCGTGACAGGATGCAGCTGTTTGCTGCCCTGGCGTAATTAGATCCTTGTAGTGCGTGAACTCTTCTACTACGTATCTTCGCGGTCCCCTTCTACTGCAATGCGCCGTGAGCACTACCACTACGTGATGCGGCTGCCGTTCCTCTGCGTCCTTGTGCTCTACGAGAATGGTGCTTCGTCTCCCTCATTGTCTTTGGCTATTGAGCATTGAAAGAAATGTGTTCCGGTCGAACATTGGTCCAGCGTTCCCTATTCCGCAATATCGCTTGAAGAGGAGGCGTGGATATGCGCTTGTCGTTGTTCATCGCCGGCCTCTCAGCTTCAAAAATCAACATGAAGCATAGGCTAATGAAATGCTCCAAGGTATTTGTAGCTTGACATCATCTTCCAACGAATGTTGTTCGCGGATTTAAAAAGTTAGACCATGCGGATCACGCCGTGAACAAACACGCCTAAAGCACCTACTTATAATCATACTTGAAGATTCTAATCTCCTCCAGTAATGTCTAGAAGTAGGTGGCTGCTAGCTTTATCAAACATGTTCGTATTAAGAGGCTCTCTCGACCTTACTTCTCTCCAAGCAAGCATATGAATCTGTCAGAGTCATGTCATGTCATGTCATGTCATGTCATGTGTCTCCAATCTGACCTGCCCAATCAGCTTTGAGACCAGAGGACCCAAAGGGATAACCTTTACATTCAATAAAAAAAAAACCATCACACTCTCTTCAAAGCGCCTTCATTCAGATGATAGAATAGATCGCCACCTCTTTCTTCACCGCGCGCACGACCGACCCTACCACCAGACGCAACTATGCAATCAATCTGATGCGAACACTTTGCTGTGAAGATCTGCGTCCTTTGTCGTTTTGAAGTCGATGGGACGACCACTTCGTGGTCTAGTGACACTAGTTGTATAGATTTACGTCTAAAGGTATGCTCAGGTCAGTGGTGCCAATAATTGGGAGGCAACTAAATGCGTTTTTTTTCAATGGCACAACGACAAAAAAGGCTATCTCGGTCTTTGATCACACCTCATGTGTCGTACAGGTAGCTGCGCTTCTTGAATACCGATGGATCGCCTGTTGTACAACTTGAATAATCAACCTTCCGCTTCATATAGTTTGGGAGCTTGAAGTTTGCCTCGCTACTTGCAAATTAAAAGAAAATTCTGACAACACTGACTGATCTGCTGCTCTTGCTGTGCGTCAAGGAGAAAGCTAAGACTAAGATTAAGAGTTTTCTGGCTTGCGATTTTTTGCAGAGCCCATGGCTCCAGAAAGTCTGGACATCCGAGACTGCTGTAAACTCTGTAAGTGTGAAAGTACTAGACTCGCAATGATTAGTGCATCTCTTATTCGACATCCCTCACGTGGGATAAATAAAGAAGGAGCCGACACCGAATTTCAACAAAGTTGGATCCCTTCTCTTGGTTTTCACGACGCTCAACAATCGCTTGGAGGTGATCGCGAATTAGTACGTAGCGAGTGATGTTATAGGCCAGCGCGTTCCTGATACTGCCCTTCCCCTGATGCTTGTTGGCAGCGGTTATAAGAACTATGACGATCCTTCACCCCTTAAGAGTTGAAATTGAAACTTTAGTACTCCTACACATGTTATTTAAATATCGATGTTTGCAAAAGTAAAGAACACGAGAAACACAAAGTAACACGCGAGCATGCGAGCCTGGAGGGGGATAGAGTATGCGTCCGTGCTCATGCATTGCTTCTACTTCTCAGGCCGAATATGTGTCTCGTGCCCACCTCCCTGGGTAAAGCTAAAGCGAAACGATAAGGGACTTCAATAATATTGAGATCGTGCTTGGACAAGGGCTTTATGGGTAACAACTCAAAGTTCATCAGATTGTACCTTGCGGGATGACCCTGAGTCTCATAGGTGCAGTATACCCCTTCTAGAAGGCCTCAGCATGACACTCCAGAACGTATGTCCAAGAATACACATGACTAGTACAAGGTTGGCACTTATCAAATCAAGATCATAGGTGGTACTAGAAAGACAAAGATCAGATCCTGTAATTTGACAAGGAACTCTGTGTCTGCATCTGATTCTGAATCTGAGCAGGTCAGAACCAGAAGACAAGAAAAGTATCAGTAAGCGTGTTGAATGCCACTATATTTTCTACAACTAGTGAGTCCGCTGAAACGCGCTTCGTGTTCTGATATTCGAAGAACGAGCTTGACTATATGTCCGTCGCCACCTGGTCCTCGCTAAAGACACCATCTTCGCTGTTATTGACCTAACACTTTGTGCAATGCATTGTGTACCTAGTAAGGCGTGATCGTGCCTCTGGTGTCCTTCTTGTGGCGCTGGCTCTGGTTGCGACGAGCAAGTCTGGTGTCGTCGAGAAATCAATACGAAATCAATGAATTAATGGCTCTCGTTCTCACTGCATCGACGAAACAAAGACAGCCAAGATATATCAAATCTATTCACTTATAAAGTTTGGCCTTTGTTTTCTTTTTTCTTTTTTGATTTTGGTTTTTCTTGTTTGATTTTGATTTCTCTTTTTTGCTTTTGGTTTTTGATTTTGATTTTTCTTTTTTGATTTTGGTTTTTCTTTTTTAAATTTGATTTTTCTTTTTTAATTTTGAATTTACCGTTTGAGTTTTGATTTTGTGTTTTGATTTTAAATCTTGAGACAGCGGAGGAAGTGCGAAAACGCACGAGATAAAGCTCCCCAGCAAAAGCCCCGAAAGTTAGGGCATGAATTTTGAAAGTTAAGACACGAACTTTGAAAGTTACGACGCGAATTCTGAACGTTAGGGCATAAATTGTGAAAGTTAGGACATGAGCTGTGAAAGCTAGGACATGAATTGTGAAGATTATGATTAGGGCACGAATTTTGAAAATTAAAGCGTAAACTTTGAAGGCTAGGACAGCGTGAAGCCTGAAAGTTAGGACATGAATTTTCAAAGTTAAGACGTGAATTGTGAAAGTTAGGCCGTGAATTCTGGAAGCTAAGGCATGAACTTTGAAAGTGAGGGCATGAATTTTGAAAGTTCGGACATAAATCCTGAGAGCTTGGGGATAAAATTTGAAAGATAGAGCATCCATGAGTCTTGAGGGCTAGGCCATGCATTTTGAAAGTCAAGGCATGAACTTTGAACGTTACCTAGGGCATAAACGTTGACAGAAAGTTAGGACATGACTTCTGAAAGTTATAGCTAAGGCGCGCACTTTGAAAGTAAAGGCATAAATTGTGAAAGTTAGGGTATAGGCTTTGAAAGTTAGGACATGAGTCCTGAATGTTCGGAGATGGATTTTGAAAGTTAGGGCCTGAGCTTTGAAAGCTAGGGCATAAACTTTGAAAGTGAGGGCATGAATTTTGAAAGTTAGGACGTGAGTCAATTGTGAAAGTTAGGGGATGAATTTTGAAAGTTAGGGCATGCATTTTAAAGGCTAAGGCGTGAACTTTGAAAGTTAAGCCGTGAACTCTGAAAGCTAGGGCGTGGATTTTGAAAGTTAGGGCATGAATTTTGAAGGTTAAGGCGTGAACTTTGAAAGTCAAGGCATGAACTTTGAAAGTTGGGGCGTGAATTTTGAAAGCTAGGGCATGAATTTTGAAAGATACGCCGCGAATTTTGAAAGATAGGGCGCGAATTTTGAAAGTTAGGCCATGAATTTTGAAAGTTAGGACATGAATGGCATGAACTTTGACAGTTACGACGTGAATTCTGAGAGTTAGGCCATCAATCTTGTTCACCCTTGCAACTCCTTGCTGTTCCTCTTCTTTCTTTTCCCCCTTCCTTGTGTGTCTTTTGCGTTTCGCGTCTAGCGCGTTTCTCGTGTTCCCTTCGACTCCTTCCCCTGGGGAACCACTCCAGGAAGCTAGTATTAAATAAAGCTATTATATCGTAGGAATATTTAGAGGACCACGCTATTCACCTGCTGAGTCCTGTAGATATTACAACATGAATGGCGGCCTTGCTTCCTCAGGTTAGAAGAGAGCTGTATGTCCTTCTCGACAAAGAAGGTAGTTGTGCGACGTATTGCAAATATTATTTTTGGTTTGGGTGGTTGTAGTTGTACACATCGATTTTTCGACGAGTACGCATCTTGCGTAAACTATAGAAAATGGTCTACACAATAACCCGGCATGATCTCTGAAGACTTAACAACATCTATCATCAGTTGATACAGATGAAGATCCACCAAGCCCACCTAGTCGGGGAATCGTATTGACATTGAGCAAGCAGCTACATATACGTGGTTATCTCCCGTGGTCTCCTAGTCCCAAGTATGATATGGATGTCGGGAATGAATAAAAGCAATCAAATCCGAGAAACATAATTCACCTGAACAACAAGAACTAGTTGTAGAAGTAGCAGGAAGGGAAATCTTCTAAGGCAAATTCTAGGATTAGATTCTGATTCAAACCATCAATCTTAATTCATCTACATCTCCACCTCCAGGCCTTGCCCAACCCACCACCCAACATTGTTCAACAGAAGTTTTATAAAAAGCGGCGTACCACGCTTTTTGTCCCGCGACGTTAGAAACTCAGCATTCGGCATGTTTGGTTGTTCTTCTGATCTCGCCCGCTACACCATAGAATATTGACATCTCATGCATCACCTCCGCAGCTTCAAGTACTTGTATTTCAACATTCAAGTAGGAAGTTATTAGGCGACACGCATCCCCAACAAAGAAATTGAGAGGAAACAGTCACATATATAATTTCTTAGAAACTCGCGGTTACGGATATACATGATGGTGATATACATAGAATACAAATCATTTCAACTACGAGAACCACCCATCACTCGTAAATTCAATGGATAAGAACCCAGTGGTCGGTCCTAACAATACCCACCACAAGAAACTTCAATTACTACACTTCATATATTTCAGCACAATATCGTGACCTTCATCATGTTGTAGCCCCCAGTAGTAGCATTAGGCTACCCGCGGGACAGCAACAAATTTCTAGCAAATATAAAATTGAACGACTACACTATCATCCTCTCACCCTAATACTGACTCATTTCATGATCTTTCGAGATAACGCGATGTGCGGCGCACTTTGACTTACTATGCTTAGGTCATTGTAAATCCTTTTCTATAACCATTAGCATCCATTCATCTACTAGCAGACACCTGTAATACGACTAGACAACAAACATCACACATCATCAGCTCCATCATCTTACCTGTCCTCAAGCCCGAACGACCCGTCTCTCCGCGACAAAAGCAGGTCACTCCTACAAATTCACCACTCACCTCGACAAATAGTGTACTTTCGTATCTGGGTCGGGTCACATTGAAGTTCTAGCTCCATCAATATCAAGGGGAATATGGGTGTGGCTCTCAAAACATCGTCGTCATTTTCAGCGACGTCATATTTTCCACGTGTAATGCTGGTTCGAAACAAATCCTGTCCCTGTCCGTTACCTTCTTGAAGGAGCACAATAATTGAGATGAAATTCTTGTTATTGCCTGCCCAGTTTGTTAACCTTGATCTTTTACTTTTCATGCCTTGTCATGCGAGGAAAATACATCACTATCGCCTTTAACCACCTCCATGTTCACCGTTCTTTGAACATCAATAATGTACAGACCCTCAACATCCTAATTCTAGTATGGAATCCATGTATTAAGAGGGGACTCCGCTTCCGCCGCGGATGTCAACAAAGCTGTAGCAGCTGCTTGCAATCACATTAATATCACATTATGTTTTGCTTAAATCTGAGTAGCTGACGTAGTCGGTCGTGGTGGCTAGGTAAATTGTTTACAACGAATAACTCCTTCTCTCATAGTTATCTAGTACAATACGAATCACACAAAAGAAGAAAATGGAGGTCATTCGTTTGCTGGACTTCATTGAAATACGATAGGCAGAGCGATTGATTCGTGGTTCTACACACGTTTTACAAGACCTATCTGCTCTGCACAGATATCATGTCAACAAGAACATGGTGCGTGATTTTTAGCCTTTTTTGGATTGTCCTTCCGTCTATAATTTTGATTCGCCTGGAGTGAACCATTAAGATAACGATAGATATGTGGTCTTCAGGTACCTACAAAATGGAAACACAGTTTTCCTCCTCTTTGTTAAAGCTAGAGAGTTGTAGTTTTGCATTGACGACTGCACACTGAATAAAGTCAACGCTAACTAACCATCACCACTTGCTAGGAATGCTTTCCCCATAAGAGTCCCCCCCTAGGTCTGTTTTCTCGAACAAAAAAGAGTATGTGTTTGGACCCAAACCTGAATGCATGTCTATGATCATGATGGGTGTATCTATTTTTCCTTATCTTTGCAGATTGAGTGCTTCATACCCTGCAAACCGTCTCGAAAATCTCAGTGATTCCGGTAGCTCCATCATCTTGTAGTCTTCACAGTCTACAGATCTTGTAGCTTCATCGGACCGATGAAGCTTTATGACATAAGAAGATCCATGCTAAGATGGAAGAAAAAGTGAGTAAATCCATCTTAATATTCTACAAAGGCACGACAACATATGCAGGTGGATTCCCTTTAAACAATTGTAGTCCTATTTGAACCTCTTCCATCGTGTTGTAGCACATCCCTAGCTACAATATCTCAACGACTAGCTACAAAAAACATTCACCTTCCAGAACCTGCACTCAGTCGTCTGATTTCGCAAAGAAGCGTCCCGTCAACCTTCGCTTCGTCTTGGTGCGCGCGGCCGCCAACTGCCAGCACTCCAGCACTGCAGGCTGAAATGGTTCTTTCCCGCCCTCCAGCATGAGAGAAATTGCGGAAATCGGGGAGAAGGACCAAAAAGTGCAGCATTCGATCACATGTGGAAGGTTGGTCTCAGCATGCACGCGAAAATCGAAAAGACCGAAGTCACGACCGTGCAAGGCTAGGTCTTAGAAGGAGAAGGAGTATAGAGGTGAGCAAATAAGAGGTATATTTTTCTCATTTTGACGATTCTCTTTCATTTTCTCCCCTAAAACGAAGAAGATGTTATAAGTACTCTTGTTGTTACTTTTGGTTTATCAAAAGAGGAAATCAGTTTTGTTACGGCCAAGGAAGCCAAAAGATGTAGATCTAGATGATTGCTAACGCACTGTCATAATCAAAAGCACCACGAGCCTGGTGGTTTAACTCCGCTTCGAGCTCGCGAGAAAGGACAGCCGGGATCGCTCGAGCACACTTTGTCTGCACGAGATTATCTGTCACCTTATTCCCGTTTTCGCTGTTCTTGGAGAGATTAGACATTTCCACAGGCTCTTTCGCTCTTCTACAATACAACAGCCGTGACCAATAGAAGTTTACACTCATCGCCGATTGTTTGCAGTTCCTCATCTATCTTCATATTTCAATGTGTATCAGCACAACCTGTTCAACTCCTTTTTCTTTAAGAGTGGTGGAAGTCTTCTATTTCTTCTAGCTATCAAAAAAATCCGTAGAAGACCCATAAACTTACTCGTGAGCTTGTCGGTTTCACCACGGATGGGCTGATCCGGACTCGTCAGGAAGTACTCGATTGCTGCAGGTAAAGGTCGGGTCACCAGTTCGCCATCAATCCTTTGCTGCAAGACACCGCATCGCATTTCCCTGAAGGGAAGTGGAGTGGAGTCGTTACCAGTACTACTACTAGGTACGACATGCTACATGCTTGTACGGTCGCTACTAGGACACTCGAAATAGGCGGAGAGCAGGAGTAACGTCATGTTGACGACGAGATACTTTGAGGACTCGAATCATGTTGTTGAAGTTCTTACCGAAAAAATGATGTATCAACTGAAGTTGAAAAACAAATACCTTCCAGGAATGACCTCTTCGACTACCACAGTTTCGCCATATTTGAACGCATGGAGACACTTCGGGAGTATGTCTTCGTAACACTTCACTAGCCCCACTCCTCGGCTGTTATCTTCACGGCTTGGCTTTACGACGATATTTAGAAGGTGAAAGAGTTGGCTCATGTGATGGCTATTCCATCCTTCGATGAGCACACACCTAACGATGCTAGTCGCTTCTGGTTTGGCTACGACTTCCCTCATGAATCTTCTCTCTCTGAGTTTTTCTAGTGTCTACTCTGATGTTGTGAAGAACAAGACGTGAGGCGAGAAGGAACGCGCTACTACAACTACTCCTACTACTTATCTTATCTATCATGACCTAGATAAAAGACTATAGTTCTTGACGTAAAAATGGAGGCTGCATTGTGAGTTGCCCTGCCAGAATATTCTCGACCTCGCGTTGAAACCACAAACGTCTTTCCGTATCTTCATCGAATGACGTGGACGACGTCCTCTCGCAAGGAGGAACATTGTTGCCCATCTCTCGATTCGGATCTTCGGTAGTAAACTGAAAACCACGTGTGACAGTAGACTTGCAGCTAGCACCAAAAGGAACTGACGACTGTGAAGAGGCAGCGTTGCTTGAGCTCGTGAAAGGGCTTGACGTACTTACTTGGCCATCCTCGTCTTCCTCTGATGCTGTAGTTAGAAAAGATGAAGTCGAAGTCCTTCCTTGTATTTGAAAAATGAAAAAGAAGTTGATGTTGTATGTGGTGAAAAACATTCAGCGAGGGTATCATCTACAACGAGCCCTTTTTGGTGAAAGTACTTTTCAATGTCTCAAATGAATCATTCATCAAGTTGAACTTGAATCAAAAAAAACCACTCAACAAGGTCTACTGGACAGCCTCGGGTATGTGATTCATAATCTTCCTTTTGCGCCTGCATCGCCACCAATGTTGATGGGCTGTGGATCAGAGTCATCCTGCCCACTAGCACCTGAATACGTCGTGCTGACACCCGATGTCGAAGTGGTTGGACTTGAAGGAGGATGCTTTTCCCCACCACCAAGCGACGAAGCGTTGTAGTAGTTCTTGTCACCTTTCGATGCCAGCTCCTGCTCAACCTGGTTTATCAAAGCAGGGGAAGTGGCTGTAGGGTTATTTTCCGACGCCGCTCCTTGCACCTCTTCCGATGCAGTACCGGTCGATGAAGTCGTGGTTGTACTTGTAGTGCCAGCTGATGTTCTTTCCTGTGTCTTTGTGGTACTTCCTTCAGTAGTCGACGCGGGGCCTTGTCCACCAGCATAGCCACCAATCCACTGCACTTTGCGGTGCCAGTTGGTCATGACCAAGTTCTGACCGTTGGGCACTCGTATACCAGCTTGCTGCAAAACCGCTCGTGTTATAGATTTGTCCTGCGCCATGACGTTATGCACCATTTCGGGTCCGGCGCATGACACCCCGCTTTATGAAAGTAAGCATGTTGTTGAGGTAACAAAGATGAAGAGTAAATTATTATAAGTTGATAGATAAAAAACATAACAAAAATAAAATCTATATTAACCTATATTATTAATCTATATTATTAATCTATATTATTAATCTATATTATTAATCTATATTATTAATCTCGCCATTGATCGCCGCCATAAAACTCCCCGCCTAACCCACCGGAGATTAGTCAGCTTCTTTCGCGAAGCTATTGCCCATAGTCTCCTGCCCTTTCCCCTCAGTCTCAAGCCCGATAGCCTCCGGCCGTTTCCTTGTTGGGATTTACGTTGCGGCCCCGTGGCAGACCACCAGAAAAGAAGGCAGAAAAATGGCCGACGGGGGTGGGGGCGCAAGCTGGGGAGAAAAGTCCAAAGAGAGACAGCCAACGAAAGACCGCCCACCGAAAGGGCAAAGACCTTGGACCAAAGACACATGGACCAAAGCCGATCTTTGGACCAAAGACGAGCTTTGGACGAAGGGCGACCGTTGGACCAAGGGCGATCTTCGGACTAAAGGCGACCTTTGGACCAAAGACGACCTTTGGAGCACAGGCGATCTTTGACCCAAAGACGATCTTTGGCCCAAAGGCGATCTTTGACCCAGGGGCGACCTTTGGACCACAGGCGACCTCTGGACCACAGGAGACCTTGGGACTTAAGACGACACTGGGACCAAAGACGACCTTGAAACCAAAGACGACCTTGGGACCGAAGACGACCGCGGGACCACAGGCGACCTCTGGACCAAAGTGCGGCGACCTCTGGACCAAAGTAGGGCGACCTTTGGACCAAAGTAAGGCGACCTTTGGACCAAAGTAAGGCGACCTTTGGACCAAAGTAAGCCGACCTTTGGACCAAAGTAAGCCGACCTTTGGACCAAAGTGCGCCGACCTCTGGACCAAAGTAGGGCGACTTTTGGACCAAAGTAAGGCGACCCGGCGACCTCTGGACCAAAGTAGGGCGACCTTTGGACCAAAGTAAGGCGACCTTTGGACCAAAGTAAGGCGACCTTTGGACCAAAGTAAGCCGACCTTTGGACCAAAGTAAGCCGACCTTTGGACCAAAGTGCGCCGACCTCTGGACCAAAGTAGGGCGACTTTTGGACCAAAGTAAGGCGACCCTTCGACCTCTGGACCAAAGTAGGGCGACCTTTGGACCAAAGTAGGGCGACCTTTGGACCAAAGTAAGGCGACCTTTGGACCAAAGACGGCCGCTGGACCAAAAGCGACCTCTGGACCACAGACGACCTCTGGACCAAAGCCGACCTTTGGACCGAAGACGACCTTTGGGCCACAGGCGACCTGTGGACCACCGGCGACCTGTGCGTGGACCAAAGACGACCTTTGGGCCCAAGACCTCCGACACGACAAGAGTGAGACCCGCGACAGCAGACATCTGACGAACGACCTCCGCCAGAAAAACTGACGCGAGGCCTCCCTGTGGCGCGAGGCCCTTGAAGATAGCGAAGACCTTTCGCGAAGGACGTCAGTCCGGCGAACGCGGTCAATCTGGCGAAGCACGTCAGTCCGACGAAAGAACGGGGTCAATCTTACGAAGGAAAGACATCCGCAGCCCGAAGAAAGGCCCCGCTCAGCCTGTTCCCTCCGACGCAAGGCAGACGCCTGGCGAAGCATTGCGCCGGTCTGGCGAGAGGCCTCACCTGGCTGGCGAGTGCATCAGCCTGACGAACGGCGCCGAGCTGAAGCAAGCCATCAACCTGACCAAAGGCGTGAGTCTCGGCCCGGCGAGGAATGTCAGCCAGGCGAAGCGCTTCAGCCTGACGAGAGACGTCGCCCGACCCTGACGAAAAGCCTCAGCCTGACCCAAGACGCCTGCCGAGGGGCGCCGGCCTGCCCGACGAACGCCGCCAGCCTGGCGCAGAGCGTTGGGCTGACGAACAGCATCAGCCTGATGGAGAGCCTTAGTCTCCAGCTTGGTGAAAGACGTCAGCCAGCCGAGAGGCTTCAGCCACAGCCCGAAGCGCGACGCCGCACGACCCCGCGAAGTGCGCCCGCCTGTTTCTGACGAGAGACATCTGACGAAACAAAGAAGCCCCGCCAGGTGTAAGCGCGTAGAGAGACCCAAGCAGCGCGGCCCTGCGTTGCTTTGTCTTGTTTGGCCCATCAAGGTCGCCCCTCGTTCTTGCCTGGCGCCACCGCGAGGCGCTTGCGTGCGTTGGGGCTTGCGGATTCTTGTGCGTGTCTGGTGGCTCTCTTCTGGTTTTTTTGTTGGACTGCCGTGGGGGTCTTGCAAATTCTTAAGAATTTGCATGACCCCCCCGGCAATCTCAAAAAAAAACCGAAGGCAGCGCAATGCCCTGCACATGAGTCGACGCATCTGAGTCGGCCACCGCGGGCACTCGGCTCCTGTCGTAGTCAATTCGTAGGGTGCAACAGCTCACCCGCGGGCTGTCTCTACTCTAGCGGCTGTAGCCCGTGGGAGGCCGCAGGAAAGTGCTAAAGTAACTTGAAGCCGGGCGAAGCTTGTGGAGGCTAGTCTACTACGGTAGTGAGACTTACTTTCTTGTAGTACTGAACAAAGTGACAAAGCTATCAAACGAGTGTAGAAAGCTGTAGCTCACTTCGAAGGATTAAATATAAAACCTTCTCGCTCCTGTCCTCTAACCATAAAAAGTAGTCTTCAACCATTGCGCGCATGGAAGTCATGCCAGGAAAATCAAAGGTGTGCGGGACAATCAGATCCAGGTCTGTCTCCTTTGTCGAAGAATTTTGTTCAATTGTTCTCATGCATTGCCCAAACGTCATAGGTCCAGAGAAATGCTTGTTTTGGACGATTTCGTTGTTGTCTTTCTCCTTGGTATTGTTCTGATCTCCTTGTTCAGCTGTTTCTGTCTGGTCGTTGTTAGAAACCTCCTTGTTCTGATTTTCCTCTTGTTCTTGTTCATGATCTTCGACTTTGTTGTAAGCAAGTAAGTGGCGCACAAAGTCTTCGAGAGAAACGCTGTCCAAGGAGTCCTTGCAATAGAACCAGGCACCGTCAGGGCACACAATGGCGTATTGGTTCCGCACCTGAGTCGTCGGGAAAACGTGGCAAGCTTTGGAGTACAAGAGCGAAACCTTGAAATAGAAATCATCGGTGCTACTTCCCAGCACATGGAGGGCCGACAGCGCCCGAGTAGGTTGCTGTACGACCGCATTGATGTCGTCAGCCATCCCTTGCTGTGTACCAACAACCGGCACACTCATCTTCGTTGAACTTGCGGCTGCACAGGCACAACAAGAAACACGTATCAGCGATGTTGAACAAGATGTTGTGTTGAGACTTCTAATGACAGAACTTGCTCCTGTAGGTCAGGAATCTGTTGTTGGGTGTCGTTCAGTTTGAGGTAGTTCCTTTTGGTGATATTTACTGCTACTGGCCAGACCAAGTTCTTGTGGTACTACTGCTATGATCCTTGTTCTTCAGTCGTTAACTTGATGTTGTTCGCGAGGTTTGACAGGATTTGTACTTCGATTAGCTACCATGAAACAAATCATGAATTTCGACGCTAAGTATTGTAAGTCGTGCTTCTCCTTCTGCTTTTTGAAAATCTTACATATACTTAGAAGCTCGTTAGGCAAATACTGATACACCTAAAAAACAAAGCAAATGTTAACACTGGTCTGGATATTCATATTTCTCTTGTGTCCTTTACAGGGGAGCTTACTGATGCTTGTTGTTGTCGATGTCCAAAAAAATCGTTTGTTGATTGAGATACTTAGTAATACACTGCAAACGATTGTTCTATTATAGCAGGATCAATTGTTATACTCCCGTTTCACTTTCACTTTCTAGAAGTGAAACAGGAGTCTTGCCAGAATAGATGCAGAAGTGCTTTCTCCACTGCGTGGCTTCTCCTTGTCCTTCTCGTACAAATCTTATTAATGATGTTGTAGTATGCTCTTTTACTTTTTATGATTAAAGACCGCCTAGGGAAACTAGGAAAAAAATGCGTGCTTTTACAAAAAAAAAGATGCCAGACATTCAAAAATGGTAATTTCCGGCTATGATTGGTATTCCAACAAAATAGTTGTTGTCGTCGTGTTGTCAAGCCACGAATCAAAGCAGAGATTCTAACTCGTTCAACGCGGCTTCTACCAGCTTGCTCTGTTCTTGGTGCACTTCCTTCGCCAATATGCAGAAACAGCTGCAGCGATAGTGCCGCGGTGCTCGTTGGACTCTAATACCGTTTTGCCTGGGTATGCCGTAGTTGACCAGGTTGAGGTTCAAGGAAGAGGTCCCACTTGATATCCACCTCCTGCTAGTCCTCTTCTTGGTTGTAGGCACTACATTGTCAGAAGCCACTTCGTCTTCGTTTTTATTGTTTGTCCCCACTAAAATTCGTTCCTTCCCGAAGGGTTTAACGACTGCTTTTAGTCCTCTCTGAGGGAGGTCACGACTAAGTTGCTGTGCTGACGAGCTTTAGCACTAGTACAACGGTTGCTCTTCGTACCAAAGCGGTGAGGACAACAGCTATCGACGTGGAGCAAGTACTCAATAGTTTGAGTTCTGTTGTCGCTTTAAAGCTTGAGAGCTGTCAGCTCTTGTCTTCTTGGTTCACGTTGTTGATGTCCTTTGGTAGTTTGGAAATGTAGTAGGTTGTCTTGGACAATCACGATGAAATAAGACTCGGTGCACAAATTATTAAGGCGGAGTCAAAGCACGCAAATAGTCTAGAAAACACTCCTACATTGTTTCTTTTTTGAGGGAGTTTGGTATGGAATTGATTCAATGATTCCGACTAACTTAAACATCAAATAAATAAGTTCTGGTGGACAACCACTGTTCATCAATTATGATATAGAATAATAATGTTAATGTGTAACCTAATCTTGCATGCTTGATTTCACTACTGTAATCAATTTTCTCTGCTGCGGTGTCAGATGTCATTCCACTTATCAATCGCATCCGTGCCTGTCAAAAAATTTACTCATCCAGCTTGTCTTCGGTCGCAACGCGAAATAGACAAGAAAAATCAAATGATGGCTAGCTCAGGCATGCAGTGCGTCGTTCCCAACCCAAGCACTGAAATTTTGAAGGATTGAATATCACAAAAAAATCGATCAGCATGAGGGTGGATGAAAAAATACATGAGAAAACAACTACTAACCCAATACATAGTTTTTGACAGAGATTCAAATGTGGATGAAAAACAAACATGCAGCCTAGCACAAGAACAAGAAGAAGCAAAATAGTTAGAAAAAATAAGGTCACTCCACACGACGCGATTGGGATTGGAGTTGGAGGCTCTCTGGCTTGCGATCGCAGGGGCCATGGCTCCAGAAAGGCTGGGCTTAGGAAACATTGCAATTGCATTACAATACCGTGCAATACAATACAATAAATATCGCACAAGGTACAGGGCGGACTGCCATAATCGAATTACCCAACGATTCTAACTTCTACGCTTGATCTTGGTAAGATTTCCCAGATACGAACGAGCTACCCCGTCGCGTTATGAACAGCAGCACCACGACTCTTCTACTTCCAGATTTGACGCACACGGGCGACCTGTGCCTCCTTCTCTTTTCGCCCACGAACAACGCTCTAATCACATAGAGAACAGGCAGTCATGCCTTTTTAGTCGTGTTTCCTACATTCTCTAAGTCATCCTTGTTCTTGTTTCTCGTCGTGAATGAATGTATGAGGTTCACGTCCTCCAATCACCTGTTTCCTGAAGAGAGAACAATTTTGTGACGCTGCCTTCTTGACGTATTAGAAAGCTTGTTCCACCTTGTTCCACTACCCACATATTCTGTACAATGGTGTTGCAGGTTGCTCCGAAAGAGAAACATGTATAGTCCTCAAAGTTACAGCATGAGAAGTGAAGTGATTCTGACGCACTACCAGCACATGAATCTAAAACATCTATTTCTGTGCATGAGATTGAAATTATAGCGACAAAACGAATTCTCGATTCCAGCATGTAAGCATCTGCGACGTGTCGTGCACTTCTGTGCAGAAGCTAAACACAACATCTAAATGAAGTCTCAGCACTTGCTATTACTTGCGAAAGTGCACGATGGCGTAGAATAGGTAGGCCGCTGGAGGTGATGCGACAGTTAGAAAAGCCGCAAGCGCTCGTCTGCGACTCTGGTGGAAGGGATACATGCAGATACGCCGAGAACGCGCCACCAGCTCGACAGCAATAGTTGACGACGACCTGCGGGTAATACCAGCACTCAGAGACGGTGCGCTGCTACCTCCACTTGCCCGTCCAGGAAGTCGAGGACTATTCTGCAGTGATGATGATTCTTGCGCCCCACGACCCTGTTGATGTGACAACAAGGAAGATGTACTTGGTCCTGCGGCTGCTTGGAGCGGTGAAGTACGGTGCACCCTCGGTGGAGGTGAACGCGAACTCGATGAGGCAAGTACTTCGCGATCATCCTGTGCAGGTGTGAGTAGAGCTTGTTGTGTAGAGGCTTGTTTAGGAGACCCCTGCTCAATGCTGGAGGTCTCCACTTGATTGTTCTTGGACTCATCTTCTATAATCTGCGGTGTGCTCCTAGCGCTGATAGCAACCGCAACAGAGGTCGTTATTTGCGAAGCCTTGTTGCTGCGCTGTCCTACCGTGCTGCTTCGACCAACATTAGAACAAGCGACAAGAATTTCGCCCTATGCGATTTTCACCTCAAGTTCAGTTAAGTCGCCGAGTATTCAGGAATCCCCATCGCCATCCTTCTCGGATTCTGTACAACTAGCCGAGAAGTCCAACTACTACTACAACTACTTACAAGTTTTTAACCATCGCGATTACAACGATGAATCTTCTTGCACAATGAAAGCTTAACTTTTACATCTTCTTCAAGATCGTCCTCCTCCAACAGTCGTCTCCGAAGATTTCCCCCAAGTAGAAAGAGAAATGTTGCCGAGAAGACTAGAGCACCACCCAGCGCCTCGAACAGCGAGACGTCCTGGTGTCCAATGACAGATGGCCACGGTAGAGTTACAGCCAGAAGCGTTCCAAGTATTAGAGAAAAATTTTGGTGAATAACAATTGGATGTGCAGAGGAAGTAGCTATCTTTAGTACAATAGATTGAATTTGTTGTAGAAGATAGCTTCATTGAACAGCTTGATATTCTTGAGTGAATTCTGCTACGGCGACAATCGACAATATGTAGAAGTCAATAGTACCCCAGCGAAGTGCGCCCGTCTGTTTCTGACGAAAGACATAAGACGAAACAAAGAAGCCCCGCCATGTGTAAGCGCGTAGAGAGACCCAAGCAGCGCGGCCCTGCGTTGCTTCGTCTTGTTTGGCCCGTTAAGGCCGCCCTGCGTTCTTGCCTGGCGCCATCGCGAGGCGCTTGCGTGCGTTGGGGCTTGTGGATTCTTGTGCGTGTCTGGTGGCCCTCTTCTGGTTTTTTTGTTGGACTGCCGTGGGGGTCTTGCAAATTCTTAAGAATTTGCATGACTCTTCCAGCAATCTCATAAAAAAACCGAAGGCAACGCAATGCGTTGCACATGAGTCGACGCATCTGAGTCAGCCACCGCCGGCGCTCCGCTCTTGTCGTAGTCAATTCGTAGGGCGCAACAGCTCAGCCGCGGGCTGTCTCTATTCTAGCAGGTGTAGCCCGTGGGAGGCCGCAGAAAAGTGCTAAACTAACTTGAAGCCGGGGCCGGGCGAAGCTTGTGGAGGCTAGTACTTATATATGTTCCAAGGCGCGGGGCGACGGCCCCCCCCCTACCCCCCCCCCCTGGCCCCCTTTTGGAGGCGTCTGCCGGGGGCGGAAGGCCTCAAAAGGGGGCCAAGGGGCTGCCTCCTTCTCGTTTGCATGTACCCTACAGACTTGAGGGGCCACCGATGGCGGTGGGAGGCTTCAAAAGGGGCCCAAGGGATCGCCTGCGCCCCCGTCCAGGTGCGGGCCTGTGCCCTCAGTGCGTCCGTTAGGCTTCGCCGCCGCATGAGTGCACCAGCAACGGAAGGCCTTCGAAAACGGCAAAGGGCGAGGGGCTGGACCCCCTGAGCCGTGCCGCCTGTACCCGCCGGGCCCTTGGTCATCGGCTTGCTTGCTCTTGCGACCGTGGGCGCCTCCGGCGGCCTTTTACCCCAGAGGCCTCCCGCCTGCAAGGGTCAGCAGAGGCCAGCCAGGCGGTCCCTTCGGAACACGCTGAGAGGCCCAAGGGGATGCCCGCGCCAAGTTTTGACGCCTCCCAACACTAGTACTAGACTCCGCGAAAAATCCGCGCGAAAAAGCGCGCGGGCGCGCCACCACAGACCAAACCACAGGGGGGGGGGAAAGGGGGGGGCGTGCGGCCCTGAGTCGTATATAAGTAACGCCGTTTCACGAGAACAACATCGATCTGTATATTTTCAGTCATAACAACGGCAACGTTAGTTTAAAGGATACGAATAGCAGGAGTGCTCCACCAGGCGACGCCAGAATGTACATCACGAGAATGTTCATGAAGAGATTCAGGGGAGCATAGCACTGCAAAGTCCAGAAGAACGCCTTTCCATTGTGCCAGAGCTCATGAAACGCGGAGGACCAAATCTCCAAGACTCCTACCTCGTCTCCGAATTTTACTTTTGTGAGAGTCCAAATCGCAAGCGGAGCAAACAACGCGGAAAAAACGTTAGTTGCAGCCGCCACTAGAAACACGTCGAGCGTGTGTATCTTGGACGGGGTTGATGAGCCTTCTTCCTTGTTTATATCGTCGATACTCAAGTCGTACTCAGTATTTTCAATTACGTGACCTTCAGGAACTTGAGGATTTGCCTCTTGTCTGGCTAGCCCCGGTGCATTTGGAGGTTGGTTTCCAGCAGGTGGTAATGCGGCATTCGCTTTTGCGCAGGTCGTGCCTGTCCTCTTTTGCACGAAGCAGTTGTATTTTTGCCGCAGCAATTGTCGCTCTTGCCATCGGTAAAAAACGACTTCCTTGAAGACCATAAAGGGCGTGGCGCAACTCAGCAGTGTAATCAACACCGCTGACAGACTATCAACTTGCGCTGCACCAAACGCCTCACTTTTTGTTTTTTCCGATGCAGATGATGGCGTGATCACAGCGACGAGGCTGTCAGATTCAGAAGATGGAAGCGCAGGGCTTCCACGTGCTGGAGCTGTTGGCGAGCTCCGGTCGAGGAGGTCAACCCTGGAAATAGTGTCGTCGACACCCGTGAAAGTCAACAGTGGAGAAACGATGTTGACGAGCGCAATACTCCTATCTTGTTGCACGTCAGAAGACGAAGAGCAATTGTGTTTGTCGCCTTCAGACGAAGACAGTGTGGCAGTGAGGTCCAATATGGAACCAAAAACGGCCAGACAGAGCGCGGCGACTTCGTAGAAGACATACTGCCTTCGTAGAAGTAGCATCGACCAACACGCAGTAAAGACCATGTTGCTTTGCGTCACGAGTGCTTGCGTAAAGACGCGCATGTGTGGCTGGGTCAGAAACCCCAGTATCTCGGACACGCAGTTGAAAACTCCAGCGAAAGCAAGGAGAAGGACCATCGGCAAAACGACAATCTCTTTCGCGGTCGAAGTTGTTGCTGGTGATGTTCGACCCCCAGCAGTAGAGGACGACCCGGTCGTTGCTGTACTAGTATGTTGGGAGCCGCCGTCCCGAAGAAAGCAGCAGCAACGAAAGCAGTGCGCCCGTCCAAATTTGTAGCATTTGAGCAGCCATCGCTCGAAGAAACCATAGCGCGCGATAGTCTCCCGATTCATGTCTTCCTCGTCCTCTTCATCGTGAGTACTCCTACCAAGAATCCTCCCTGAAGATGACGCGGGAAGTAACAGAGGCACATTAATGCTGGTCCCATCCGTCCCCGAAGGTCTTCTAGGAGTGCTACTAGGTGACGAAGACGAGGACCACGGTCCGACCTCGTCTCGCCCTCGTACGCTCACCTGCACGTTTTGGTCGTCTTTAGAATCTCGCAATAAAAGCCATCACGAAAAGTACCTCTAGTACTACCGCCTTGAAGATACTGAAGAAATGTCCAAATTGCTTTTCAACCTCAAGATGATGGATTTTCTGGAGAATCCTTAATCATGTCTACCACGCCCGGTACTGGCAGGCCTGTATTTCCAACACCTTCGGAGTCAGATCCCCCCGCAGAGACTTCGGCAGGTGGACCCCCAACAGCCTGTTGTTGTCCACGATCTGTCGTGGAGGTGGTTCCTATCTCAGCTCTCCCCACGCTCTCGTTGCTTCTAGAGACGGTCCTGCAACAGGTATTAAGACCCTCAGGCCCCCATACGAAATCGACTTGCTCTTCAGACACACTACGGTCCTCGCTCCTTCCGGAGTCACCTAGAATGTTCCGTCTATACCGGTAAAGAAAGATCGGCCAATAGACGATCCGCCATTAGAGTCAGATGAAACTATTGATCAACTTGATACAAACGACATTGAAATGCGTCTCCGTTTCAGACTCATCTTGAAGATTAAATTTGTATTTGATCCTCCTCTTGAGAGCTAATCGAACAATTACGCAAGAAGTCTTAAAGATAGCCCGCATTCATGACGAATTCTGTAACAATGAAGCTGTAATCTCCCAGGTATGCAGCACGCACCTGCCCTACGCAGTTGTTCAAGGATGCAATGACGCCGAAGAAAAAGACAAAACAAGCTTGATACAGCAAGCGGCTATTGATAGTTTCGACAATATTCGCACTCGGCTTCGACTGGCCGCCAATAGCAGATGCCGATAAACCGCCGGTGCCTTGGCGATCTAGAGCTGACATGTTCATTTTGCGACTGGCTCACTTAATTACCAATAGTGATTCTTGACAAAAGCAAAACTTTCAAAAATGCGGTTGAAAAAATTAATCTGCTAAAAAATTTGATTGTTCGTCTTCTACGCGGTACTTACTTAGTTTGTTGTCTTCTTGTCATTTTCTGCAATTCATACCAGTCGCATTATCGGCCACTTCATGATCTGTCACCTTTTTAAATATAGTCAAGAGCATTCGCAAAATGGCACACGTAGCCAGCAATGTGTTCAGAGCTCAGCAGCGTACGGAATACTTTTTCTTGTTGACACTCCATGACCGACACGGCTATGTCATCTCAAGGATAATACTTATAAGCGCTTTCGTCGCTTTTGTCAGCACACCCTTGATAAGAAGCCTTTGTCCCGATCAGGATTAACCTTCTCCTGCGCGAATAGATCGATCCCTTGTTGACAAGAACACGGTAACGCGAAGCGCTTGTCCTCCCTCCAAAAACGGAAGATTGCCGCAGTCCGTAAGAAGGCGCGCAGTTTGAAATTATCGAGAAAGAAACGCTGGCTCCACACAATTACAATCTCCGTTGAGAAGACCATCTAGCTTCAAATACAATTCAACCTCCATCTCCTTCACTAAATACATTAACTCGGTTATTCGCATCATTACTGGAATCCCCGTGCTCCCACGCACCAGCGGGTGGGTTCGACCTCCTCTACTACCACCATGGTACTCATATGGCACGGGATCCCACAAGAGCCTCAATAAAAAGCTCTTGTCATCACACCTGTGTAGTTTCAGTCGCACGCTCGTAGAAATCCCTTACCATACAGTTTTTCGATTTACCTGTATTGCTTCCTGACGCGGCCGAAAAACTTGACTTTCTCCTCGCAGGTTTGGAAACGACCGTGTCCGATCTTGGAAGAGGTGTCGATAAACTTGAGCTTGATCTCTTCTAGAGCAGAGCGCTTGGTTTGCGGCAGCAGAGACTGGCGCAAGGTGACGCAACGCTTCTTTGTCCCCATGATGGATCCCTTGATCATCAGCCAGTCCTCATTGATCACACCGTAGTGGGGGAAGCCACCCATCGGAGTAATGCTCTTTTGGGTAAGATCTTGCTCTGTCGTAGCATCATTCTTTTCCTCCTGAGGTTGGTTATACATAGGGTACTTACAAGTGAGAACAAGCATCATTTTCATTCGAGGTGGAAGACTCCTAGTGATTCTTCTAGATCTAGGTTTTTCACACCACTACCACGCATCAAGAAATAACTTTTAAATTTTTACATAGTCCTCTTAGTCACAATTCTATCTTAGAATCAATATGAACATCAAAATGTTGCTGTTAGAGTGGTGAAAACGTTAACGGTGCGTGATAATGACCGCTTGCTGCAATCCAGTACCTTGGTTGCGAGTCTGTAAATTTTCTTGTTGATCTCGGTGCGGTGGTGATATCCGTTTTGACCTGCACGCGGAACCTGGAATTGCACGCGCGCCGGATGCCACGCTCCGATACAGGCAACCTTGCGGAGGCCACGATGCGTTTTACGAGGCAGCCGGGTAACGCCCCAACGAGTTACCACGCCATCCGTTCCGCGACCCTTAGTGACGCCAATGATGTCAATCATTTCGCTTTGCTGAAAGACCGAATTGACGCGGACTTCCTTTTCGAACAGGTTCCTGCAGAATTCAACCTTTTCCCCCACATTCTTGCCCCCGTTGACTTGTATTTCTTTCAAGTGTCCCTTCTTTTGTCCGATTTTTGCCTTCTCAACTTGAGTGTGCATCAGCAGGCGGATCACAGTGCAGTACTTCTTGGCTCGGTCCACCTGGGCGTCCATCTCGTTCGCTTGGAAGCGCATTGCGTACTTGGCAAAGGCCTTCTTCTTCACCTTATACCAGTTTTTGTAGAAGCGACGCTTCACGCTATCCTCCAGGTGTCCGGCAAACACGGTAGTCAGCGCACGCAGGCCACGCGGGGTGTCCACGTAACCCACGAAGCCAACAGCGCGCATCGGTGGGGCCTCCAAAATGGTCACCGGCTCCACCACGTCTTTCTTGTCCACCTTGCTGCCCGGGCGAGCGACCTGTCGCACAATGTGCGTCATGCCAGCCTTGAAAGCCATGAAGGCAGTGAGATGGCAGGGCTTAGACGGATCCTCCTTCGGAAACGACTTGATCCTCCCATGATGGTGCTTGGTGCGCTTCTTCGGCAAGAAACCGAGATTTCCATGGCGCGGACATTCGAACTTACGATGCGACATTTCCGGGATGCGTTAGTGCCGAGTTAAAAGCCACCCTTCCCTGTTTATGATCGAAAAACAAAGGATCAGTCTGAATGTGGTGATGAGATGAAATACCCAGTCAGAAGACGGGTCGGTTGTTTTAAAGATATTATCATAGAAAGATAAAGATCCACTTTCATCTTGCATCTTTTTGTTTTAGGATAGGATAGGATAGGAGTGGGCTCACCTGCGACAAGGTAACCGTATAGGAATAACGCGCCATCAAAAATGTACTCAATTCTAATTGGTTATAATATTAATAGTTACACATTTTGTGTGTTCGTTGAGTAAAGTAATGGATCAAGAAGATCAGCTAGAAAATAGCTCGCTTCTCAAACAGATCTATCAAGACTTTGTGTATTCAGAAAAACATCACTGAAGGGCGGATCTATGAGGTGTTCCTGTTCTTGATCCTCGTTGTTGACCCTTACCTTGCTTTTGTCTAGCCAGATCTGACCGCTTCGTCCTGTCTGGTTGGATCCTCTTGTTTGCACGTTGGATCCGGGTCCCAAACTACAGATACTAAAACAGAAGTATGATCTAGCAGCTCTAGTCAATTATCGGATCTTTGCGTGTATCATCGACTCTACCGATCCACATGATCACAGGCGGATCTACATGCGCTTTCATGGTACTACAAAACGGTGGAAAAAAGTTCTGGTACCCTGCATTCCACTGCCTACGTGGCATTTTTTCTCCATCGTCCCACAGCACTGACGCCCGCTATCCAGAATCGTAGACTTTGGCTATTGCCTGCTCCGCTTTTTAGCTTTAGCAGGTTTCTGCAACGCAACATACAAAAGCAGCAGTGCCGTTTTTATATCCAAATACGCACATTTATTACATTTAGGCTAGCTCCATTCGGGCCATTCATTTTCACATAGATAGATGGCACAACCCGATAATTATACTTTTTCATCTTCAAAAATGGATTTTACCATCAGAGGAATAATGACAGAAGATGTGCCCAGACGTTGTTATAAGTACTTGGAGAGATTCTTAAGTAATTGGTTTCTCAAGTACGAAGATATGATCACAATGAATTATAAATGATACCAAGACTGTCCAAAAGAACTAAAGATCAAACTGAACCTCCTACACAATATGAAAAAGACTGAAGATAGATCATCAAGAATCTAGATAAAAAGTTCGTTGGAGAGACTGATTTTGCGTGACGATGGATTGACCGCGACTAGTGTTGGCCGATGGGGACCGAAAAGCCTACTAGATAAGTACTTGTAAAAGTAAAAACTATTCAATATCTGAACATTAAACTCATGTCATGTGTTCGCTCCGTGTTGTGATCCTTTCTCGATCACCTAAGGAGCTGTATTACATAGACTCAAAGTCAAGATCAGTATCGTTATTCAGATCTCTAGTACCCGTTGTAGCGATCGAGCCTAAAATCAAATTTAGTCAATATAATTGCGTAGCAAGTGCAAGAAGTAAAAAACCACAAGTACATTCATTTCAAAATATCTTTTTCTGGTATTGAATCTTCCTTGGAATAGGCCGAAAGCGGAATCAAAACAAGATCGATGGATTAGGTAAATATATTATAATGGATAAGTACTACGCGAATATCGTCGTTCAACTTCAAAGATCATCTAGCAGCAGGACACTGATTGTTATTTCATCTCGCTTGGTCGTAGTATCAATCGCTTGTAAATTTTCTAGGTCTCCAATCTGTGCAGCAAGAGTACCAAACTTGTCATCTTCAGAGAATAGTATAATCGGGAGTAGTAACTTCTAAATTCCACAGTCACAAATGTGTCAAAAGGAAGTCGAAGTACGAGTACATTTTCTTTATCTCAGTCGCTCTTGTTCATCGATGCGATAATAATCCTATCTTGTCGCTTCTTGCTCGGCTTCAACCCCAAGTTGCTCTGTCGACAGTACATGATGCGGCCTTCTGTCGTCGTGTAGTAAGGCACGTGCCGGTCGTCCTCGTCGGATCTCAAGTATCGCACCTCAACTACCGGAGAAGCAAATCCGACACCAAGTGCATCATGTTCACTGTCCATTCAATAAAAGCGACTTAGTTCTGCCATTCTGCCGGCATCACGAATTTGATCTTTCTTCGATATTTTTCGCGATGCAGTTCACGTTCGCGGGCCACTTGTTTCAACTTATCTTGACGGAGTTTATCGTCATAGACCAGCTTTAGTTCCGCAAATTTCAACTCCTCTGCTTCCTTGCGTCGACGGTCTTCCTCCTTGCGACGCGCATCTTAGAAGAAATGAGTGCAGGAGGAAACATATTAAACGTTAGGCAGATCCAGATTGTTCAGCTTCAATCAAACAGTCAAACTAGAATGCTTCTTGTAGTAGTGCCCGTATTTTGCGACTAATGCAGAACAGATAGGTCATATTTTTCGTGATGGGAAACCAAATCCATCTTCATCGTACTTACCAGTGGTAACTGGTAAGTTCACAAGCTGTCATCCTCCAAATGGTCCATAAAGGTAGTTCTTCCGATCCCTTAGCTGCTTTTCCACATAGCTTCGACGCTCTTCCTCTATAGCCTCAATTTTTTTGCGCTTTTCCGCCTGTTGATGTCTCAAAGCTTCTTCGCGAGCTTCTCGCCATTGCGTCTTAAGAGCACGCATCTTCTCTTGTTTTTCCACCCGCCAGGTCTCTTGAAGCATTTGGTTCAACTCGGCGAGCACATGCTGCTTGCGGGCCTGAAGGTGAAGCAACATGGTGTTAAGTCATTATTTTGTCGTAGAGGCAGAAGGGTAAACTTCTATGTTTTTATGTCCTAAAAGTACGAGAAAACGACTTTCAGTCCACCTCCACATCATCAGCGCGAATTCAGAATACAATATGATCAAGAGTAGAACTATTAAAAAATCTGTATTTCACTGCTTACGAATACGATCACAAGAAGAATAGAGGTATACGACAGGAACTAGCTAAGTAACAACAGTACTTTATCAATCGCTTTCTGCATCCTCATAAACTCAGGCACCCTGGCTTCAGTGTTTCGCGTCCTCCTGCTCATACCCGACGCAGCTGTCGGTGAACGTATCAGCGGTACAGCACTCCTGAAAAATATATCGAAATTTTTTCAGATTTAATTTATTTTGCTAGTAGGGAAAAGGTAGGCATTGGATGGACGTGCTACAAGCATTGTAGCCTAAAAAAATATGTGTAAGTACCTTTCTCAAAGTGTAGATCTAAAAGACAAGTGATACTCATACCCTCCTGGTGGTAGCATGGCGTTTTGGTATTCGTCGTAGTACTCCTCAACCTTGTTGCGGACGTCTGGTGGAGGCATCGACGAACTCGTTTGTGATTGCATACCTCGTGCCTCCGCTTTGTTCCGCGGCCGCACCCCTTGCCTACTCTGCGTAGGACGTGCAGTTGACGCAGCACCATTTTCTGGTCTCGGCTTCTGCTTAGGACCACCATCATCTGTGCCCGATTTTACTGGCTCCTGACTATCGCTTGAAGCGTGACCACCATCTTGTTCTACATGATCACTGTCCTCGACTTGTTCCGGAATGACTGTTGGAGACAGAGCTGCACCGGATGTTGTAGCTCCTTCTGTATGTGTCGTATGATCCTTATTCTTGCGAGTTGGAGACGCGTTCGTGCCAGGTCGACTAGGACTGATGCGACGCGGGCTTCCCAAATATCCCGCCTCTGAACAGCTATCCATGACCTTAGAAGCCACGTCTCTATATTGGGGGGGCAGCCATGCTGGATCCACATTCTCCGTCGAAATTCCAGTGTCCAATGGAGCCGCCTTCCTGCTGGAACCGGGGCTGTTGTGCGTTGCGGGTGGAGTGACGAGTACTACTAGCAGAAATAGTTGTTGTTGTTATAACTGAGTATGTACTATCTATGAACTTGAAAATGCAATACATGATAGTACTACATGAGATTTGAAGTAGATAACTCAGTGCTTGACCTTGGCCTAGAATGTAGACCTATTAATCAAACGGTCTTAGTAGTAAATGTTTTATAGCTGGTACCGTGAAGAGGGTGGCACTGGTTGACGCGGAGCCGGACCACCTACGGATGCTGCACTTTGTTTGACATTTAGCTGCGCGGTCTTGGCACCTCGGTCGGCGACGCGCCTGCTCAGTGGACCGCCGCCTCCCCCTGCCCCACTACCAGCCGCTCCTCCCCCACGAGAGATTAGACCAAGAACCTCGAATCGTCAACTTCGTTACAACTTTAACTGCTCTATTTGTTTCGTAAATATAATTTGGATCTCATTACACTAAGGAGCCTCGAGGTGCAGAGACTTATCACCCATAAAAGAAGATTCTGTGCGTTTTCGTGCGTCAGGATGACGCCTTTGGTGCTTCGTTCCTTGTGCGTTGGTGCCGGTCGATAGACTGCCGTTTGAGTCGGCAATTGCGAATGTTGTGCTCGGTTCTTTCCCACCGGACCGGCCTTCATCGGCTTTGGTCGTCCACCCAGCATAACAACTCCATTGTTCATTGGAATCAGAGGCGCCGCCGTCTGTTTAGTTGACGCACTACTGCTACTGCTACCTGGCTTCGCGGCAGGAGTACGCGCAACGCCACTTGTGCTTGAAGCCGCAGTGGTGCCAGAGCCAGTGTCAACCTTTTTTATTAAATTCATTTGCAAAAATCATGTTAATCATGTGGATTGATATTCATGAGTTGCAGGTGTTGGCACATGAAATCAAAGCATTAAAAAATCGACAACACCATAACAAATATTCCATGCTGTTGTAAATTAGTACTTTGTTCTTATGCGACGTGGATGTCAGCGATCCGTCTGCGACATCCTCAAAATCGTCAGAGTACGCATCAACATTTTCGTCGTCCGCATAACTCTGTGCAACATGTGCCCCCAGTACAGGTGCTCGTTTCTCTGGACCTAGTACGAGTAGTCGAAGTAGGTTGAATCATAAACTACATAATCTGAAAACGCAAGAAAAGCTATCACAGTTTGTTAATCTTGAAACAGAAGAAGAAGAAATTTACTTCTGGAGAATAATTTCTATCTCTATGGGCTTGCTACTGCGAAGGATAAGCATACCAACTGGAGGTCCAGCGCGTCGTGCTCCCACCGCATTACCTGAAACGGCGCTGCGATCCTTCTTTCCAGGCTGATTTGCGTTCTTCGAAGGACCCGACGATCCCCCTCGTGGCCGGCCCTTGGAACCGTTTTCCTGCTCTACATTTCTCCTACTTGCACTTTTCGGGTCAGCCTCCGCAGATGCATTTTCTGGTCCACGTTGTGCGCTGCTACTGGAAGCAGCGGCCGTGGAGACACCAGATGGGCCTTGCTCAACAACAACTACTCCCGTAGGCGCTGCACGTTTCCTGTCGCCAGCCTTGCGCTGTTGACCTTCATCTGGTGCTGCTGATACTCCCGTGGTCTCTGCAGTCTTTTTTTCTTTCGCCGTAGTATTTGTAGGAGCTGCACCAGTAGCTGCTTGTGCTGACGCCTCATTCGCTGGTTTCCGTTGTCTGCCCTGCGGAGCCTCCCTGCGCCCATCTGTGCGCCGACTGGGTCTTGACGGTGGCGGTGTCCCCATAATGCGATTGATCTGCGTAATATCATCTTCCTCCTCTACTTCGTCAGAAATTTCTGCTACGACTTCATCTTCCATGTTAGAAATGAAACCGAGACCCATGCGTAAACAAGCACAAAGCCTCCGTAGATTATACGCCTGAAAAAGTGCATGAGAGACGGACCCATCGTGTCGTACACACAGAATAAGGAAAAGCAAAGACACGAAGAATATGATGACATGAAGATAGGACATCAAAAGTATTCATATTGTTGTGATATTCATCCGCAACATAGCTACAGCACCTGCCCCGGCCTCGTCAATTACTTCCCCATTAATCTCCCTTCGCCGTCTCCTCAGTAGATCATCGTCATCGGCGTCTGGACGCTCTTCGTCCGTAACAATGCCGCCCGGCACGTCGAATTCCCCTACATCGAACTTAGAATGCACGCTTTTAAATTTAAAAGGATAAGTACATATCATAAAAACGTAAGCCAAATGAATCAACAAAACTAGACCCACCCCCATGCCCTTCATCCTGCCATGATCTAATTGATTCTGAACAAATGTACATCGCCTTAGCAATGAGTGGTGGCGGCATGCCAGGTGAGTGAAGGCGTTCCTGCTCTTGAAAAGGTTGCATGTAGTTGACGGTTGCCACTTTTTCCACGAAAGACCGGTCGCGTTTTTCCGACGCCGGTGACGAGGCGCCCAAGGTTGGTGCTGCAGGTGGAGGTGCCTCCTCCACGGCCACGGCCTGCTTATTTGTACTAGAGGCTGCAATAACCGTGCTCTCGATCCCAATCGTCACAGCGCCCTCGTGATTGTTGGCGCCGGTTGTTGTTGATGCGGCACTGGTAATACCCGTACCGGACACGACATCTACTTTTTTGTCTTTATCACCAGCTCCCGCCGTTGTACTATCTTCAGTGTTTGCAGTGTTGAAGGTCCGCTTTTTTTTCTTTTTCGCGTTGAGGAGGCTCTCGAAGTCGATTTCTTCTTCATTTCCACGACCCATGCCAGCACCATCGGCGGGATCCGACAAGCCGATCCGCGCTCCGCCTGCACCGGGAAAGGACGGCGCGAAAGGATCCAGGTTTTAGAGATCTTCTTCTTTCATACAAAGCTAACCGTAACTATTCGATTAACTACATCGAAATCGACCAAGATGAAGTTTCATCTCAAATTCGTTGAGTAAGGAAAATGCACATCACGCCATAAATGCGAGCCGCTGTCGGTTTTCCTCCGCCTAAGGATTCCGCCGCCGAGTTTGAAGCTAAAGTGAAGAGATCCGCCTCTGCCACTGATCCTATAATATTTGAAGAGGCCGGATTCTGATTTTGTTCTCCTCTATCTCCAGGCGCCGATGTTGCCGAACTTCTTTTTTGCTGGTTCAAGATCAGATCAAGATCGATTTCTTGTTTCTTCTTGTCTTCTTCCAAACCTGAGGAAGCTTGAAGTAGCTCCACTTTTGAGCGTATCGCTTCTTCCTCCTCAACCTCCTCCTCGTGTACGGGGACATCAATCGCCTTCCGTGTCGCGAGTCTTCCGAAAGTCTTGTTCTGCCTATTCCCTCCATGGCTAGTATTGGACTTTGAAAAATCGGAGGAAGCGTTCTCCTCATCATCGGTCAGTCCCATATTATTTGCTCCGAAAGCAATATGAAGAAAAAGAAGATGTGAGTAAGTAAGTAGTTTTTTCCATCTACTTCTAGTACACTTGACCATTATGCCCTAGCACCAGGCCCCCGATCTTCTTCTTCTTGTTTATCAACAGAAAAATTACGTTATTAACCAAGAACGGATGAAAATTATCGTTCAAATTCGTCCAAAACCATAATCAAGAATCCCTTCTTCTCCTCCGAATCCTGCTCCTGCAGCTTTCTTTTCCGATACCAATTCCTCTGTGGCCATTTTCGCCTCCTCAGGACTCCCACCAAAACTCTGCACCTCATTTTCTCCAGATGGTGCAGGCTCCTCGGCTTTCCTCTCGGCTTGTCGGTTTGCCGTGGACTCGTTTGTTAGAAATACAAAATACATCAACTGATATCAGTGAAGCAGAAGATAGAACAACTCCTTTGTTATCAAAAAAATGTTACAACCTTCAACTTCAAGTGACTCAACTAAACCTACTTCGATTTTGTTGCATTTAACTTTCAGATAATATGTGCAATTTCTCTCAATCATGATGTTAGTCGATTCGACGGAACTTCTCTCACAATTGAAAGCCATACTTTTGACCCTGCCACGCCGCGGATGCCAATACCTGGTGCTCGGAGAATCGCGTCGTCGTCGATCCCATCTTCATCATCCGAGAGTCCCTTGAGAAAATCTGGAGAGGTAGGACTTTCGGGATCTTGTCGCTGAGCTGCTTCTCCCTCGTCTCCTGGCTTGCTAGGTGTCCGAGGTATCTTCTCTGAAGCCGCATCGTCAGGAGGGGCAATAGTTGTCTTTTCTGTTCCGCGTTGTAGAGCGAAAGGAGCAACTGCAACATCCTCCTCATCCTCTTCTTCTTCTTCTTTATCTTGCGTACCCGTACCAAAAGTGAATATAGCTGCGTCTACTACATCATTGTTGTCATTCTTATCACTTTCGAGTCCAAACGCTGCGAATCCATCTTCCTCGTTGTCTCTTCTCGAAGCACTAGTGGCAGTTGGACCCTTCAGGTCGCTAGCTTCATCCTCATCCTCTTTTTTCCCTGCAGCTTTTGCAGGTTCTACTAATGGTGACGGGGCGAGGAACGAATCATCCGCCTCAAAATCGTCCTCGAATTCCTCGATCTCTAATTCATCCATTCTGGTTCTTGGGTCTCTCTATCTCTAATATCATAGAAATCGTCAACAGCTGTGGTACTCATGTTTTTCATTCCAGCATAGCGGAATGCGCATGCTTTCTTCATCTGCAGTGGCTCAGGCAGAGGCAAGCCACCACGTCTATAATCATACTAATTTTTTGACGAAGATGAAAATGAGCTCATTAATAGGTTGCATTCTATTTTGGTATATTGTTTCGCGTTTTTAAGTTTTGTTTCTCTTTGGCCCTATTTTTTCGACACCTCTCCTCATGCTCATCCTTTGATCTCTAACGAGAAACCGAGGCGCCCATAGACCATTTTTTGGCACAGCCAGAGATGCTGAAAGCCGATATCCTCGGCGCACACCTCCATCTGGTGTTAAGAAAACACTTAGACCTACGGGGGCAATGTCAAAGTGGACCAGAACTGATTGATATTGATTACCTGAGCGGCGGGTAACCAATGTCGCGCAATGCTGATACTTGCTTAGGATTAGGATGCGATCCGCCGTCCGCAGGGTTTAGCTGCATTCTCAAGCGGATTAACCTAAATTGCATGCTTAAAATTGTAACGAAAAAAAAATGACTGAAGATTCCCACAAGAGTCTTGCTGTTGTTCTTACTGTGTACTATGCTCAGCCCTGTACTATCTGGTAGCTTTTTTATCCTTAACTCGTAAGTACGTTCGCGCAGCGGTCTATATCTCTCACTTTTTCAGGCTCGATTGACTAAAACACTATAGGCTGGAAGCTATCTACGTGTATTCTCTTCAACATCGCACTTTCATTCTGCTTTTCTACTTTTGACTAGAACTACGAAAGACTAAAAACACTGTCCTGCTCTTTACATCCGAGAAAGCCATGTCGCACACAACATAGTTTTTCTCGTGATTTTCCTCTATTTTTTTGGAAAAAAATGAACTAAACTGAACCATTCCAAAACGATTGATTAAGGTAAAAAATTCAAGTGATAATGCGCACGCTAAAAGAAACAACAGAAGTGACAAAAACTAATACTACGCAACATCCATCTCGATGAAGTATGATTTTGATTAGAAATCTAAAGATCACCATCTCGTGATCTTTAGATTTCAATTTCTAATCAAAATCATACTTAAATAATAAATATAATTCAATACTGCGATTGTTCGTTTCTTCTTTCGGGTTCACTCTCGTCCTCAATAGAAGTTACGTTTGCTTGGACTGCCTCCTCCTGGCGCACCGCTGTAGTGGCGCGATGCTGTTTTCTTGAGGCTGCTTCCGAGTACAGAGCGCTCAGATCTTCGAGGTTCAGAAAATTGACTCCTCAGAGATTGCATCCTCTCTCCCAGTCTTGTGTTCATGGAGTGCAAAACACTACTGCTTGCCCCGGCAGCTATGGAAGACACCGAACCTATCGCATCTTCATCGTCATGTTCACCTCGATCCTCGTCCGGAGAGTGCATGATATTCGCTCGTAGTTGATGCGCTGCGCTCTTTGGAAAATCGTCCACGGCAATATCAAAACCAACTTCGCCCCTGAAAACTCTCGACGAAGACGATGACGAACCCTGCTGCTGAACTCCTGCTCCTAAATGACCGGTGTGCAGTAGCTCGATCGCAGCTGTGTCCAAGTCTGTTGAACGACCTGCATCTAGGTGAGTAGATCCCTCTACCGACGACCCCGACAAGGCAGCACCTCTATTTTCTACTTCGGCGTTGAGAGTATTATCTGCATTGTGGTATCCACCATCCGACCCCATGTCGCTCCCAACCGCATATGCTGCTCCAGCTCTTTCTTCAGGGTCGTGGATACCATTTTTGTTACTCAGAGAATGTATGGATTCGCTTACTAGTTTAGCTGCTGTTGACCTTTTTGTCTGCAGATAGTCAAGAAATTTTGACCCTCCACCGGCGCGTCCATTCTTGCTGTGCGACGAACTTCTGGTCACTCGCGCTCCTCCTTCTACAACACCAGGTTGTAGCCCACCTGATACGCCTGACGACGTGCAGCGACTCGATGAGAAAGAGGCTGCTGAAGGTCCATCACCTGGACCTGCGTTCGTAGTATTTCTACCTCCACTACCTGTTGTTGTCGAGGTGACCTTCATCTGATCTCCCTCACTTTGCGTCCTCAGTTCTGAGCTGCAAAATTCTACTTCAGATGAGAAACCAGAGTTAAGCTCCCCACCAGGAGTTTGCTGAGCCACTTTGTCACGACCTTTCCGCCTGCCAACAGGCCGACTCCCATCAAACAAGTGAGGCTTTAACGCTGTTGATGTCTCGCCAGTCTGGTGCCCATCAAACAAGTGCGGCTTTAAAACGGTCGATGTCTCCACAGCGTCTAACGTTACAGCCGCAGGTTGTAGGTGCTTCGACGCCGCAATTTGATGTTTCTGGCTTTTGTGGTTGGCACCTCCAGTACTAGAAGATGATGTTGTCGTGTTTGTGTAGAGATCTTCGCTATCATTTCTAAAAAACGAAGAAGCCGCACTGGGCTCTTCCGTAGTTTTGTGCGACGCTTGCATATTGTCTACGACCATCGCAGTCTCTCCTACGATGACAGAAACACTTTGCGACATGTCCTGTGTCAACTGATGTGCCGCGTTTCTTGTGTCGCTCTTCTGGTAATCTGGAGCTCCGCCTTCTCGATGTTGTTCGTCTTGCGTCTTTTTCTCTCCCACCCTGTCTTCATTCGGCCCAGCCACGACAGCGGCTGGGCATTCTTGTGGTTGTGCTGCTTCGTCAGTCTTTGTCCAACCTGCAAAGCGCGCTGCCTCTGTTTCCGGGTACACTTGCTGCTGCAGCTCGGAGGAGTCCCCTACTGCTGACGCGCTAGAAGAAGTAGGCGCCGCCGTTGTTGATCTTGATGTGGCCTTGTCATCTCCTGTACTGTAGTTAGGGTTGTGCTGCTCCACTTCAGCATGTTGTACAAGTGTGCTGCTCTCTTTCCCAGCAGCCGGGGCCGGTGACTTATGCAATCCGCTTGAGTACCGCCGCTTTGATGCCATTTTTGCTGGCGACCCTTGATGAACGAAGATGCCTCGTTTATGCGCCGCCCGGTTTGGAGATCTTGTGTTCGGCGACAGGGCGTTTTTGGCTGGACTGTTGCTAGTTGATGAGGACACCGATACCTCTGTGCTCTGTTCCGCACCCATTTGTTCTACTAAGGATACGCCGGGGCTCCTGCTGTCATCCCCTCCTCGGTTTCCGCTGCTGCTGTGACTATTGCGTCGACCGCCTCCACGCTCCAACGCACCTTCAACCGTAACGGAATTCGATCCCGAAGCAGTCGCACTACCTGTTATGCTCTTTGTCTGATTGCCGCTACAGACAAGTCGCCTCGTGTTGATAGCGTCTTCGAAGTTTCCGAGTCCGAGCATTGTGCCGCCCTCAGTTACAAGCGGTGAAGTGCTAGGTCCTTGAGGCCAGCATGCTCCACTACTGCTACCAGCGCCGCCCCCAGTACTATTGGGGAAAGCAGGTCCTCCACCAACCTCATGAAAGCTATTTCCCGTGGTGGCACCAATGGGTATGGCGTTTCCCGCACTACCTAGGCGATGAATTTGCATGTTTCCGCTTTTACGATTACGCGTTAGCATAACCTTACCCGAGCGACTCGCAATGTCCCTGAGCCGTCCCTGCGCGCCGCCAGGTGAGACCCCTTGTCCGGTCTCGGCGATCTCTCTCAGAGCAGGTGACATACCATTGCCAGTCGCTTGCTGGTGCATTTGGTCCATCGGAGAAAGCGCGCTGGGCAGAGAGCCCCAGGGGCTTGCTCGGTACGGCGTGTTAGGTGTCTGTAGCGCACGCCGTTTCCGTGCGGCCGCAAGTACCGCGTTTTCCACGCCAGCCTGATGTTGATGTTGCTGTTGATGTTGTTGGCCAGATGCGCCGCCTGCTCCAGGAGGTGGTTCCAAGCCCCCTTGGGAATTTAAGTATAATGGCGACTCTACGTCACACATGCCGTACAAGTGCTGCCCCGTCGCATCTGTACCGTCCAGTGGCAAAGAACTGATGTTATCCTTGTTGATGCCACCAGCATTTGGATAACTACCTTTTATCTTGTTCTCACCTGGCTTAGCAAGTTGCTGTTGCTGAAAGGTTTCACGAAGTACCTCATCCAGCTTGCTTGGATCTGATACCGAGACACCGGATTGGTGCAGGGAATCCAAGGATACTTGTCCTCGCGCAATTTGCCACCACGTCGCATTGTTCTGTTGGTCAATGCGATTCTGCTGCGTTTCCGCGATGCCACGAGATCCCAGAAACGAACCCTTGGTAAGTCTAGTCGGGAGCCCGAGCGGCCCGCCCGCACGATTCCACGCCGCTGCGTCATCCTTGTTGGGTGAGGAACCCTGCTTTTTGTTCTTGTCCCGCACAAGGGACCGAACTCCTGATGCCAATCGTTGAAAAGACTCCGAACCCATGAAGCGATCTGTCTTTTTCAACCGTCGCCTCTTGTACATGCCACGCTTCTGCATCGGACAGAGAAGCATTTGCTTGTAATACGATAAGGCCTGCAACTTCCGTACCTCGCGTACTCCCATACGATGATAGCTAGCTGCACTACGAGGGCGCTGCGAACCTATTATACTAGCATTGCAGCTGCTTCCAAAGTTGAAGTTCTTGCTCGCTTGATATGGTACCGTTTCTGCTTTACTATCTGCCAAGCTCTCAGCATCTCCAGTTGTACGTGCAGTCTTCGACATAGAAGTTTCGTCCTCATCGCTGCAAAATTCGTCGTCGTCGTCGCTGATGTCGACGTAGTCACGAACCAAGCGCTTTACGTTCTTTCGCAACTGGTCGTCAGAATCGTACTCGAATTCAGGCGCTAGTGAATTTTGTTGCTCGTCGCCGCTGGACTCGAACTCGTCGATATACAGGTCCCGCACCGCGGCTCCTGCCCGACTCCTCGTACGCATTACGTGCTCGATGTCAATGCGCCCCGCACCCGACTTCGCCAAACTACTACGGAAGGTGTTGCTCAATTGCTGCGCGGCCTCCGCCTGTCTGAACAAGGGAACCGTCACGGCCTGCACTAAGGAACTTGGCGGAACATGAGTCGGGTCAAAAGAAGACGCGATGCTCCCTGACGCTGCTATTTCCGCGTCTTGCAACATTGCAGATACTGTTGTCGTTGCTTTAGAGGAAGAAGATGTCGACCACACAGTCTTTCGCGGGGTATTTTGTGGTACAGCGTCCGGACAGAGCAGGGCGCTTGTCATCGTTCTCAGGGCCTGTTTCGGTTCCCGAACGTACACGCGCGCACCGTCACCCAAAGCTGAAACGGCTTTGCAATTTAGTTGCGCAACTTCGCTCTTTAGAAGTTGCTGCGACGAAACTGGCAGCTCTTCCCACCGCACCCGCTTAGCGAGGCCAGGATCTGCGAGCATCTGCGAGACTAGATCCTGCTGCAGCTGCTCTCCTAGTCCATCTGAAAAAGTAGACTGAAATTGCTGTGAAAGGTTGGCCCCTCCAGCCCCACCGGCACTTTGCGCGTCGGTCATTTCATTTTCGGGAACTGAAGACATCATGCCGCTTGCACCAGGTGGGCAAACAGTCTGCAACCCAACTTTCCCGTCGCTTGAATCCAGCGCGCGAGAGACTGCGGCGTTTAGGCCAGGGTGCATGTTAGAACCGTGCAGCTTCCGCATCAAGTGTGAAGTTAACACAGCGGAGTCTACAACGCCACCAGTCCCTGGCACATCGTCTTTGGCCGAGCCCTCGTTGCTCACACTCTGGGAAGAAGCAGCAGTACCTGCGTCCGTCTTTCCGCGAGCTCCTAGTCCTGGGTCAAAATGGTCGGAGAGAGCGGCGTCATCGGGCAGCCCGTGAAGCAGACTACAAGGACCTTGGTTCACTACATGCGCGACGCTAGCTCCAGTAATTCCGTCTCGGCCGCCGCGCTCTCCTAGACTCCATGCAGGAAGGTCGTCGTCATCAGAGAATGTAATGGATTGCTGTAGCACATCAATGTTTGACGATGACGACCCGCTTCCAAATGTCGTTGTGCCTCCACCAGAGGACGCTGATGCTGATCCGGTTGTATTTGACGAGCTTTGCTGGTGATGGTGGTCATGCTGTTCCGTCAATGCGGAAAGCTGCACTACTTCGCCGAAAAGTCCTTTGATTGGACTTGCAACTGAGGCTCCTCCACCTCCATTCTTGGCGGCTGCATTGGCAGCCGAGACCAACTGCATCTGTTCTAACGCCGCGATCGCAGCCTCATGGGTAAATTTCCACGCCAGCTTTTTGCTCAGCACCCGAGGCTCTACTGATTTCGGCACTTTCTGTCGAAGAAGACTCTCCACGTCATGCCAAGGCATGTGCTTCTTTAAAATGCCCAGGTCGTCAGTATCAAAAGGCAGCAGCCCTCCGTGACAACATCGCGCCGTGCTCAGACTATGGCGCGCACAACAAGATGAACCGGGCCGATAAGCGCTCGGGCCAGTACCTCCACTCGAGGGTGTAAACGTCAGGGAGAGCGTTGTGGGTTTCAGCCGCGACCAGCTGGACGGCCGCTCCGCCACCGCTTTCCGCGCAAGGGCCTGGTCTCTCGTGTCCTTGTGGGGTACATTCTCGACGAGATTGAGCGTGACCAGCGCGATCCACAGATCAAAGAAAGGGCGCGAGAAGCGGCACTCGCGAGGTGTCGTTAGCACGCCTGAGGAGCGCATCCGATGGTGGCTCTGCAAATTCCCGTACAGGCTTTTAGCCCGAGCGGCTTGGCAGAGCTCCCAACTCACCTGCTCCGCTGTCCGTGGTGTCCAGGGCCTGATATCCCGCCGGCAAGCCCCCGGACAGCCCTGTAAGTCCCTGCGTTGCTCCTTCGACTCTTGGTCGTCGTCATCCTCCAGCATACCACTGAGGAGTCTCCCACCATCGTTCACCAGAAGTTTGTAAAACATGAGACCCAAAGCTAAACCAAAGGATCCGAGTCGGATGGAGCAGAACGGCGTGCCTTTTCCGAAAAAACGGTGGAAGTCACGGTGCGCTTGCAGGTAGTCCAACATCGCGGGGCGCCCGTAGGCGCGCTGGTACGGCCGAGAACGCTTGCGCTGTGTCTCAGCCCGGCTAGTGAGTGACGTGACGCCCCACATGGAAACCTCCAGAGTGAAAAAGCAGCAGTTGTGCAATTCTGGAGCGAGCGCCATCCGAATATTGGAAAAAACGGTAGACGCGGTTTTCGGCGCTTTAGGCAAACTCGCTGCTCCGTTGAGGGATCCCTTATGCAAGGATGCAGTCGAGGCCCCCGAACTCAGCAACTTCAGCACTGCCGCAGTTTTCTTGCTCGGTGAACCGATTTTCGATGGACTTTGCTTTCCTGGTTGTCTCTTACTAGGGGAAGACAAACTCGCAGTTGACTGCGTGTGCGCGGCCGGCGTGCAACCACCAGTGGCTGTAGAACCAGCAGGCGTCAAAGCTCCGGCGGCCATGTTGTCGTCATCGCAGTCATCGTCCACGTCGTCTAACTCGAACTCCTCTTCCTCGAGATCGCTAGCATCTTCTAGAATCTCAGATGTTGCGACCTCATCTGCCTTTACTTCGACTCCAGCACTGGAGGTTTCAGCTTCTGACGATGATGTTGCTCCTGCACTTGATGAAGACTTATTTCCGCCGGTTTTTGTTGGTGATGTGCTAGATGACGAACTATTCTTGCTACAACTCGAGGAGCTTGAAGATGCGCTAGACCCACTGGAAAATCCAAAGGGCCGATCTGCGGGAACCGACGCTGGGTCAGCCGCTTTACAGTGCTGGCACTTCTCTAAATCGAGATCCATCGAAACTTTTCCTAGAAAATCTGGCAAATAAGAGAGTTTCACGTCGTGCCGTTTTCCGAACTCCCTCAGCTTCTCTCGCCTTCGGCGCTGTGTCTCCTCATCCATCTCCTCCTCTTTTGGCGCCTCGCCGCCACCCCTCAACGAATTGCTAAAGTTGTCGCTTGCGTTCGCGCCCGCGCCAGAAGTGGTGGAGCCACTAGACCCCGCTGCGCCAGAAGCGCCGCCAGTGGATCCGCCTGCTACATTTCCCGAAGTCGTACTCGTTACTGCGTTAGAAACCGCGGCTGCTGAACCGCGTCGCCCAGTGTTGCCGCTCTGCGCCGCCGCTTGCTCCCCGACCGCACCCGGTGGCGGCTGGTTCAAAAAAAGGCCTCGGGCAGCGAAATTTGAGTAGAGTGATGGCGTCATAGAGAGCATGATATCGCGTCTGCTACCTTGGCCCTCCACATCGATTAGCGATACTATCTGCCTGCCCTCAACGTTCTGGATGTAACGCAGACGCTCGAAAAACGCGGCCACGACAGGATCTGGCTCCACCTTCTTCTGCGGTTGGTATCTCCCGGTGACCGCAGTCGATGCACTAGAAGGCCCACCTCCGCATCCATCCTCGCTGCCAGGAATTGAAGAGGACGAGGTGGCTCCACCTGTCGCTCCAGCATCTAGAGAAGGCACTCGAGTCTGCTGTCCAACAGAGGAACTAGAAGATGCAGTAGTTGTAGCTTCTGCGGGCAGCGATGCCGATGTTGCAGCACTGCCACCTGTTACACCTAACAATCCAGCAACTCCTTGTGCTTCTGATGAAGATGCCGACGATCCGGCTGAAGCTGATGTCCTAATAGTACTTGAAGACGACGCTTTCTCTTTGGCTGCCAGATTCTGGCGCCAGTTTTTTTGCAAACTAGGGCAAGAGTATCCGCTGCACCTTGTGTGGCCTGCGACAACGCCGTCAACGTTTGCCATGGGTAGAAAGACGAAGTCATAGGCCAAACGAAGGCGCTTCGCACGAACCGACGCGCCCAAGAGGAACCGCATAAAGCCCTGCATCACCCAACTACTACTCGTGTCGCCGGCTGTTTGCCTTGCGACAACCGCTATCACTTTTCTAGTTTGCATGTGGAATCGCGGCAGCTCTGGAACGGCGATGTAGCCTTTATTGAGAAGATGTTGCGGCGAAACAACCTGAGCAGCCGTGACATTGCTAGACGTGGCGGAATGTGGTGCTGTAGTTGATCCTTCTGTCGCAGCGCCTCCACTTGTTACTACCGCTCCAGAAGACGAGGATGCGGCAGAATTTGTTGCGCCAGCTGCTGTAACGGCTGCAGAAGTCGTATCAAGTGCTCGTGCTGTTGAACCACTCGACGAACTTGCGGCACTTCCTACAGGAGCTGATGTTGTGGCCGAGGCCGCGCCTCCCGCTGTTGATTCAGCACCTCCAGATCTTCCTGCGCCGTTCTCAGCGATGGATGGTAGGTACACGGAGGCTGCCGGCTCTGCCTCGTCCTCTGATGAGTCGCTACTCACAAAGCTGTCGTCCTCGTCGTCTGGATGTTGAAAATCGCGCCCGCGGGTAATTCTCACAATGTCCACTGGAAACCGGCCTCTTGACAGGCAAAGCTCCTCTCGCGTGATTGAGACGGCGTCCTTGTCAGCCTTGCCGGATCCACCTCCACCACCGTATGTGCTGTCTGCGTCTAGCGTCGCAAAGGCGCAAGACCACTTGAGAAAGCGGCGAAGGTGTGTGTGCGTGTACGGCAAACCGTACGCGAAAAAAATTGTCTCGTTGTCGTGCGTGAATGTATACTCGAAGGACAGTGTCGCTAGCTCGCTCACGTCCGGTCTGTAACGGGTCACAATACGAATATGTGGGAAAAAATAACGAACAATGCGACCAAGTCTTGAACTTGATCAAATGTCTTCTACAAGGAAGTGAACGTGGTTCATTCTTCAACAGAGAACATTCCAAAGATGCGCCACATTTTGGTCCTATTTTTCCTTAAATATATAGATACTATAGTGGATAGAGTACCTGAATTCGAAGCCTTGCCTGCTCAAAACGTCTTTCGCAATTTCTGGATCTGTATTTGAAACTGTGACGTTTTTCGTCCGATTTCCGTACCAGGTTGGATGATGAGAACTCCAGAAGAGGGGTCCTTTCTGGTGCGTCGCGAGGAGTTGGGCGGCTTTTAGGCGGCTCAAGTTCGGGACTTCGTACCGTACGTTCCGTCCCGCGCAGTTGCGACCTCCGTAGACCGCGAAATAAAACCACTGCGCGACCGGTCCGGGCCCGAAATCCTCTCCAGTAGAAGATGCACTTGAGGACAGACTGCGTCTTGTCGGAGGCCCTACAAGTTCAGCAACAGGATCGAATTGCAGCTCACAACGGAACACATGGTCTGCCGTTTTCTCCACGAAATAGAGATTCGCAGACTCGAACGCCGAAGAAAACTTCACCTCCTCTGTTGGGACCTTGCAGGAGAAAGAGAAAGTTGACTTTGACATGACATACGTATGTCGGTAACAGGCAAAGGACAATCAACACGAAGAACGACAGTAGTTGCGACGAGCAAGCAGTACTGGCCGGGGATTAAAAAAGCATCTTCCACAGAAATTCCGTAGAATGACGTGATTTAGATGATCATCTACTTGTAAGTAACTACTACGTTGTCATCCTGAGTACTACCTTATGCGTCATGAAACTGACGACAGTGGGCGGGATGCACCGCCAGTGTTCTTCTTCCATCCACTGAGCCTCATCTTGTTGACCCAAGAAGCACCATGGCCCACTGATTGACGCCTCTACGCGACGCAGCTGGTCGTACATGATACTCACTTCGTACACGATCAGCCTCCCCTCAATGCGCGCCTCGTCTTCTAGGTCCTTCTTAAACGACGCCAGAGCGGTCATTTCACTGTTAGTGGACGTCGTAGCTGCAGCGGTTGATGCTGCCGCTGCTTGACCCGCCATCAGACCCCCGGGAGCAAAAACGCTCGAGGAACTACCAGCATTTGACGAAGATGCAGAACCGTCTGCGCCAGCACTAGTACCTTTCGGTGCCGTGATCGCATGGGTCACTGCTGGACCCCCCCGCTGTTTGGAGGGACTGCTCGCAATCGGCATGCTCTTTTAGTGTCGCGTTCCTTTTGTCACATTTATATCCCTCTTTCATCTAATTACGAATAGTAGGTGCGTATCGCGCCGACCAGACCCGTCCATTAAAGTTAAAGTTAAACAAATCAGGGCTACGACGTGACCTCTTCTATCGGGGAGTGGTTGTCGTCCTCAAAATGGCTACGCTCGTATTCTCACATACACACCCGCAGGGAAAAAAATAGCTAACACGCAAGATGGGGTGATACCTACTGTAGATTATGATCATTGCCTCCAAAAGAGAACCTATCTACATTCTGGCTGCAGTTACACGTGGGAGAGACGCTCAAGCTCAACCTCAACGCACTCGATGTCGCGGTCGCTCAAGCTCAACCTCAACCGAATAATACAAACATAAACAATTGTAGAGTCGCCTCTGGTGCTTTTTCAAACCACACTACCTCGTCAAAAGAAACCGATTTGCGGCACCGAAAGTGAAGTCATGATATAACGATGGATGACCCTTCCGACAATTGATTGAGGAGCCCAGAATTCAGTGGTGCTCAAACGATCTCCGACAGGGAATTCATTGCACATGATCCAGCAGATTAACACAAGATCGAGACTATTGCAAACAAAATAGGATACTGCGAACACGAAACAACAACGCTAGGGCTAGCTACCTTTTTGGATTATGCGGGAATAACTTCAAGAGCAGTGACGGAGAAAACGCGATCGCGAAATAAAAGACAATAATGTAAGACCGTTGTAGGAGTTTGGCACTTTTAACGAGAATAGAGGCTTATCGACATGCCATTTGGATGTACGGGAGCATTCATCTTCTATTACCTGTATAGTTAATTTCATCCGAATACTCGGCGAACCATTCGTGATTCTTGTGAGGTAATAAATTCACGCAAAAATCAACATCCACCGATTCGTCCACCAAATGTCGTGGGGTTGAGAGCGCGGAACAGAATATCAAATACCGGCATCGAAGCCAACTAGTGATAGTCTCCGATTACATCCAGACTTGAAATACTTGTTTCGCCGCCCCTTTTACTTCTAACACACTCAATCAATCAAATCCAGGATATTAAACGAACAAAGACAAACCACAAGAATGCTCATTAGGAGGGAGTTGATCGGAAAAATCTAGGTATCAAATGACGACATCCTCTGAATAACTTTCTCTTAGTTGTTGCCCATCTATCTACCATCTACTTTTTAGGTAGAGTGGCCACGTTTACGGTCAAATAGGTCAGTCGGTCCAGTCGGTGAAAATCTGCTCTGCAGTCTATTCGCAATGCCAATTCGAATTCACCGTCCCTGAAGATGAAGGCAATACAATTACAAGTATGGGTACCCTCATCTGATTCTATGACTTATTGGATCTACTTAGTATGGATGTCATGTGTATGCCCGTGATAGTGCTGTTCATAGCACCCGTGGCACTAGTAATCTGTTTCCTAATATTCAACATTGACTCCAATAGTACCACTCAAGCTCAACGTCAGACAGACGGATTATACCTAGATATAAATGGCAGTTGTACTCCGGAATATCATGGATCCATAGCTCCTCTATTCTACTACTAACTTACTTCAAGAAGATGAAGGTCGAGCTCAGAGAGATATAATAGCTCCGTCTATCAAGACTTACAACATTTGCATTAGCTTTTTTGGTAAGAATCGGACAAAAGAGTCTACAACAATCAGCCCACTTCAAACTTTTCTTAGTTTGAAGATGCCCTGGAATGACGCGGCTACTTTCTGCCAATAGATGACAGAACAGAACTAGCAACTGCTAGCGAAAACAGCCCATCGGTCACAAACCCGAGTTGCTTCTCATTCAGTAATGTCAATAGCAAGGCCCGACTCAGTGATACCGCCTCGACATCTACTCATATGGTCAAGAAGACCACATTGGTTCTCATGTAGTATCGGCGACTGCTCCGAGATCGAGCACTCAGAGAATCGACTTCTAAGCAAGTTTGTTAGTACGTAGCAAGTCGTCCCAATACGATGACCAGGAGAGATGATACGATTATCATCATTCCCGTGTGCCTGTTATACTCTGACGTTACCGCTGTCAAATGCAACGTAACAACCGCGCTGCTGAAAAATGCGAAGGTCGCGCCGTTCTCCGAACAAACAGCATTCGCCGGTTTTTGGGGCTCATCGTCAGAGTCACCGGTTCTTCATCCCGAAAAGAAGAAGTTCTACTGTCTTTACTGAGTTGTCGTTTTCTCTTGTAGTACGGTTACCTGGTGTCATCTACGGCTCCACCTTTCGCCGTAGTTCCAGTTTGTCCGAGTGTAATCATCACGAGGAAGTTGACGTGGTAGGATGTCCAAGTCCTTCTCTGTTGATGTTGTTCAAGAAGATGTTATCATCTCATCGTACGACTACATATTGATGTAGTCGGTGAACTTGAAGATGTAGTTGTTGTTCAGGTGTTGTGAAAATAAGACACTATCAATCATGTGTCGAGTCCTCCACTAGAAAGATCGATCTTCATCGGAACCAGCATGCTCGCATCCTTGCTGCACTCGCATGTTGGTTACCGACGTCCGCGTGTTGACAAATGTACTTGATAACCTTCAATTACATGAAATCCTCCTCCTCTGCGATGATCGCTGCTCTATGCTCTTCTCCTGTCGCATCTCGAGTAGGCGTGCCGCGTATCGGGGGCTCGAATTGCTCCCCTCGCGTTTTCGATCCGCTTGCATTCGTGCGACTCCCGGCACCGTGCTCTGGCGAAGTAGTAGAAGCCGTAGCTGTCGAGGAATTCAAACCACCCTGCTTTCTGCAGTCCGAAGAGCCACAAAAATTAGAAGAATTGAAGACGGAGTTAGTGCTGTGAAGGTAGTTGTACAGAGAAAATGACATAGCAGGAAGATCAACCCAATACCTATTGAGGTCCTTCTCCTTGTCGAGGACTAGTTGTTGAGTCGGGCTCACAGCAAATTATCACCTCGTAAAGCAGAGCATGATTTTGATCCTTTTTCACAGACGAATTTAGATTTACCGTCATTAAAACTGCTTGCTCTTTCTGATTCTCCTAGCTGTTGGTAGTGAAGTGAACGATTAAGATTCAAATCATAAATTCCATAGGTGATTCGCAGAAATCATCCGGTAAAGTTGGAGAAACGGGCGGCGACGCCCTCTTTTCACCTCCTCCCGCGTTCAGCAGATCTTGAATCTTTGACGCAGCAGAATGCTCGCTGGAACCCCCAGCAGCTACTGCGCTCAAAGCTTGCATGGCTTTTGAAAGCTCTTGCTGTCGCTTTGCATCGGCATACTTTTCAAGTTCCCGACGCTCTTGCTCTACTTTGATTTCAGCCGGCGTTCGAAAACGAAGGATATGTCGCTTTTTCTCCTCTACCATCTTTTGCTTACTCTCCAGTTTCTGGACCTTCGCATTGTTCTCCTCCACAACACGCATCACCTGCGCTAAGTGCTCCTCGGCACGCTGCACCTGGCACCTGCATGATGAAGAAATCAAAGTCGAAACAAGCTGTACCCGTAGCTGATCGCTAAACATTAATTATCAAAAAAAACACGAAAGGGGAACGGATTAGACCCCAGGTACCACGCACGTCAGTCACTTGATAGAAGTTGCTGTCTGTAGAATCGAGCCTCGTCACCCCAGACGGAGACGAGGCTTCGCTCAGTCCATTCTTGGATGACCTCGCCAAATAAAATGAATGAATGACGTCGAACCAATGAAATATATTTATACATAGCAATAGGAGGTATGGCAAGAGGACCGTAACCAACGAGCGCAGATAATAAAGAAAAACAGGGACACACCCAAGAAAAAGAAAATCGATCATTTTTTTGAAGAACCTGTTCTGTTCTCCTCGCTGCAGTGAGTAGGCAGTCTTCGTATTTTGTAGCTTCTCCTTCGCGAGCGTTACTTTCTTCATTTCTTTTGCTTTCTCCTTTAGAATTTCCGCCTTTTCCGTGGTCACTTCCAAAATCTCCGCATCGAAGCGCTCACCCTCAGAAACGACAAAAAACAAGGGATCCTCCTCCAGCCGCTGCTTCCAAGCACTGTCATCACTGGGCAGCGCGATCCACTCCCAGTTGTTTTTGTATTCGCAGAAACCTGTGATGTGATGATGAAAGCGGCCGGTGGCGCGTTGTCGGAAAATTAAACGTTGCAGGTAGATAATACAGTAGAAGTTCCTCAAAAATTAGAGAAAAATACATAGTGTTCTTCTTCTTCCGTAGCTTCCCCCTCCCGCATGAAACTTCTCCTAGTAGTACCTTTCTCCCCCGCTAGCCACTCGTGTACCGTGTACATGTTCTGGGCGCCGCAAAAAGGGAATTTGATTTTCGTCCCGCTACCGGAAATGCGCATATACATTTGGTCAAACTTGTTGCAGGGCATGCGTACTTGTTGTTTCCCGCTCTTGCTTGGGTGTTCGCTACTCCACAAACGTATCATCTGTCGGACCTGGTTCAGAAATGTTCGCCACTCCAGTTCTGTACGCCATTCTTCATGCAGGGCTTCCGTGTCCTCGTCAAGCTCCGGTGATGTCGCTTTCTTGTCAACGGGATTCATGGCAGAAGTGCTCTTGTTCGTACTATTGATGTCTCCGGCGGTAGAGGTTATGCTATCTACAGAGGAAGCGAGAAGAGCGTCAACATTCGATGTGGAAGAAGCTTGTTGAGTAAATGTGGTGATTTTCGTTGCTGGAACTCTGTCTGCTGCATCCTTCTCCCTTGCTTCCTTCTTTTTCTTCTTTTCCTTGCCGTCTTTGTTCTTCTTGCGCTCACCATCCTTGCCGATGGACACAAACCCACCGCAACCCGGTGGTTGTACCAAGGGCGCCGTACGGCTAGTCCGGGTTCCCGATACGTCCGCGATTCGATCACTGCACATACGATCATAAGTGTCGTAGTCGCGATTCTGCTTCGAGAGATGCTCCTTCCATCGCCGCTCCTCGTCCGCAGCCGCTTGTCCACTATCCTGCTCCGGCCCCTTCATCCTCTTGAAGATGGTGCACCTAGTGCTATCGTTCTACCCTCTTTTACCTCTAGGTCTGCGAAAAATCAAACAAGTAGTTAAATAAAACGGCTTTATTCGGACGGTACTTCAAAGGAAAAGAAGCAAACACTTCATCGACGGAATTTCAGGCGAACCAATGGCAATGATGATGAATACTTCTACAACTGGGAATCAAGCTCAAAAATCAATTGTAGGAGGGAATTCAGAAAGATGACTCCAAAAAGTCATGGGAAAAAATGAGAGTGAAAAGGACAGGTGAAAAAGAAAATGAATTGAGGACCTGATGAAAAATAGAACAGAGAAAATACATGCAGAGAGATGCATCGAGCAACGAGATGATAGGGTCGAAAATGAATCAGCGTTCTAAATTTTGATCTACAGCGACAGAAGATAAAAATTCAAATCCATTTTATTCCGGTCGATTCTCGAGAACAAGAACGCAGTATCTCTTTGCTGTACAGCGTTACGATAAAGATGCGCTCAATATTTTTCTTCACTTGATCCTCGCAGTTAAGCTTTGTTAGGATAGGATAGGAGGTGGTTCGCCGTCCACAGTGTGACCTGCATCAGGGTGTTCAACACACACATAAATTACAATCAACTCCGCACCAAGCGGCTTACGAGCGCCCTCTAGCCTAAGTCCTTACCAATTTGTTAGTTCCTTCCAAGAGAGTCAAGGATTTTCCATTCTTTCATCTTTATTTTTGTGAAATTTGGTCAGGTCGTAAAAGTTGCTCTTGTTCAAAAGTTATGCGCAGCATGGGTCAGTCCATCCTTCATGTTCGTGAGGCGATAATATAAGCGAATCGTAGAGGTAGAAAATACATTAGACAAGTAGCAATTAACATCATCAAACAGTAATTTATCCTTGAAATCTATCTCAAATCATAGCCTGATGAGGTAAACAATTATCGACCAAAGAGTAAACTACAAGAATCTATAAGCTCCCCCTTGAGTATCCTTGATGTTTCTGTAATATTATGTACATTTTTTGTACGTTAGTGTCCAAAACTACAAAGAAGATTTTACACGCTATGAACCAAAACCATGAGCTAGATACGAAAAATTGTCTTAAGACTGATTGAGGACCCAATTCTTCTCTTCGCCCGCCCTCCTGCAAACAACGGCAGCTGCACGTCGTCACAACGACCAGTTTCCAGACAGAGATCAAACGTACATTATCATAGTTCGCGTCACTTTGTTTCGTCCTGAGGCCGCGCTGCCATGAGAGACCACTACAGTTTAAAAAGAGTTAAGGATGCATTGCTTTGCGGCGCAACGCGAACACTTTCTTTGATCTTTTGCTTGTCAAGACTACTAAGCGTACACTAATTTCTTAATCTTGTTCATCTTCATGCTTAATATACCCACCATAAACATACAAGCATACAACCTACCAGTGACACACACGTTGTAGATGAGACCCTTACAACATTTGACGTTTGGATTTGACATAATGGTAACAATTTCGCTTAAGTATTTTGGTTCATTTGTAGACTTTTCCGATTATTATGAACTAGCACTTGCTTTTACAGCTTTTGGTTCTGAGTTCATTTGAATAACAGTTCCAGGTTGATCATGAGTAGAAGCAGTAGATTAGATCAAGTAGGTTTTCCGTTTCTTACAAGTTCGAAAGAAGATATTCTTTAACAACATTCATTTCAGTTCCAGTAGCAGTAAGTATATTGATATTGAAGCCATCATCATCTGTTCTTGATGAATAATATTTTCAATCACCTGTGTTTCCTTGTACTCGATGATTTTCTCATACGACCTTGTGCTTGTGGTCGCAGATGCAGTCCTCAGTCGAAGTAGAGTACGTCGTCATTGGGTTCGAACATCTCCTCCACACTGCGATGGCGGACGATGTTGCTTGTGGCATTGAGGTACGTTCTCGGTGAGATGAGGACTCTGCTGTCGTTCTTTCGCCAGCTAGGTTCCGGCTTTCCTTCTTCACCCATAGTGTCTGTCACTTTTGGAACCTGGGATTATACTTGATGAAGATTCGCATTACGATTACAGTAGTAGCTCGAACATGGAGATGAAAACAAGTAATCGTTGCATTTTTTCATTATTGTCATGTCATGTCGCCTTTGGCCCTAGAATTTCTGTCATTATTTTGTTCACTTACCACTTTATAATTTATAGAAACACTAAGGTGTGAATAAAACTAGTAAGTATTTATAGAAGTCAGTACCCCTCCGACTTTGTAACTGCGCGGCAATCGGGTGCGGTTTGCGATTAGCGGCTCTGGCGGACGCGGTCTATCCTCTTTTCGCGGTTGTGGTATTACCTCATTTACAGCGTTGCAGTGCTCTACTATCTGCTTGCTAATTTCTCCCGGCAAGAAAATCTTGCTCCTGGTGTCAACAGTTGGATTGCGATTTTTGGATAGGTCTTCGTCTTACTACTTCTGTTCTCATAAGGTTCTTGTGTCGCCATGCGTATGAAACGTGTTGAAAAACTTACTGTAAAGCATGACCCCCAACAACAAGAAGGAAAATAGTATCACAACAATTTTTACCCTCCTTGTGGCCTCGTTGGACTCCTGACTCCATCCCGCTTCACATTATCGAAAACATTGATTTTCGCATCGTACTGGAATGTAAGGATGATAGTGCATGAACATGGAGATGAACTGCAAAAATGATCCTTACTGTTGAAGAGCTTTTACAAAATGAAAAAAGTATTGGCTCAACAACTCGGTGGATGGTAGTACTCTACCTAGCATTGATGATGATGTTACCCATTGATGCAGTATTTTGATGATCTCAGTACATTTTTCATGGACTCTGGGACTACGTACGGCGGTATGTAGGGTCGAGACTCGAATTTTGCTCGCACTGCTTTTCCGGGGAGTGGTCTGGCGTTCTGATGTGGACCGAACGTTCGGGTACCTTATTTTATCATACACACGTCAATGAAATGTATTCTTTTTGATTCTTGGAAGGGGAGAATCGGTCCATAATGTTGAGCAAACGATGTCTTTTCAACTAGTGCTCTCCGAAGTTCGTTCATCAAACTCAGCTTCGATTGGAAACCACAAGAGGGATTATCCTCCAAACTAATAGAAAAGACAGAAAAGGTATGATAGGCAGCAAAATACAGAGATTGCTTCCAAGATAGAGTGTCGTGGACTCCGTCCGTATTGATATTTCGTCCTCATCTTTTGGCTTTGCGAATGCTCCATTTCGAAAGTAGAAATCATTACCAGCTGGTTCGAATTCGTAAGAGCCTGCTTTTACCTGAGGAAGCGGGTGAATACGTCAGGCACAAGAGCTGGAGTAGTATCATTAGATGAAGATGCTATGTTCATTTAATAAACGTAACACTAGAAGTAACGTAAGTTGAAAAACGGAATGTGGAGATAGGTGTGTGGCAGTGGTCTCTACTCAGAATAAAAAATCCGATGCCGATCCAACATTGGAATCAATGTCAAAAGAAGGTATCCATACCACGGGCTCGCCGCCTTTTAGTCGCTGCTTCGCTTCCTTTTTGCTCGTGCCTCCGTAGGGCCATTGACAAAATGGCGGCTTGAAATATCCTGGATAATGGATTTGGTACAAACTTATGAGCAGAAGAAACTTTATTCGACTGGAGCATTAACATAGAACAAACTACTGCAGGTTGTACAATGTGTCCTCGGTGTCGGTAACCACCTTAAGGTAAGAAGTTTGTAGTACCCACAGTCTCGTTGCGTCGGAATGTTTCGTTTATATTTTCTGCGTTCCTAGGTTCCTGTGGCATGTTTTGTGCCCCCATTATGCTCCCTAAGGGAGCCCTCCATGACGCTACGTACGCCATTTCTGAGACGAGTAGCTTGTACTTTCAACAAGCACTTTGAGTCAAATAAGAGAGGGAACGAGGATGAAGATCAATCAACAAATACTAGCGGCCCGTTCGGACCGACTGTAGTGAAATGCCTGCGGGCTTCGCCTTTTGCCCAATAAACGAAAGATCCAATTCAAGAAAATGTTTCCGAGGTTCAAGTTTGATGATTGGCGGAAACCAAATTTGCGAAAGCGAAGGAATGAAAAATCATGTCAATCATGTAGTTACGCAGCTGTGGCCAAAAGGAAATTGATTGAATCACATTCTGTTTAAAAACTAACATGTGTGTCTGTATGGTTCGTATACTATGATGAGAGGTAGAGCAGCGACATCGACATTCACAAGCACTTAGAAGGGCGGGGTCAAGATTTCAAGATTATGTGCTAGTCACAGTCAGTCAGCACAACCTGGCGAATAACTGACAGATATTTCATCCCGGTTATATCTTTCTTGCTCCCAGAAGACTTGTCGCGACATGGACATCAGTGGCTCACGACGAAGACAACGAAGATGCCATAAAAAATACAACATACTTCACTCGGCCTGCTCTCCAGCTTACTTATGGTCATGAGGGAGGCATATCAATACACGTTCGACAGAGGGATAGCCTCACCGATCTTAAACTGAGAATACCGACAACAACCACCGAGGAGAAAAAGGCACAGTACAGAATGTACTTACGTATCATCAATATCGTACCGATGCTGGGACTTTGACCAGATCCCTGGATATTTAAGGGCACACACTGGCTGGAAATACTGCAGCAATACTCTATCTTCTACATCTTGCCATAAAAAAGCGCGTGCACGAGTTCTCGTTGAGATACCCACGCGGCTCGAGTGTAGCTATAGCAGGTGACCCGTACGGTCGTGGCCACAGACATGGACATCTCAAGAAATTTGACTCTTTTCCATTTGCGTTTCTCATTAACACTAGTTCCAGTAAAATGAGAGTAGTCCTAGTCTATGCACATCAAGATCAAGATAGATGAAACATCTACTTCCAAGTACTGGCCGGGGAAAAGCGCATAGCCTCACACGTGTCATAATCATTGATTACTACATGGGCCGATACCTTTGTAATATGCACAGTTTTCTTGTCGGCAAGACTCAATCCGCTCTTCTTGCTCTTGGTGTGAGGTTCATTGCATCAAAAATAGAAGTTCTGTTCAGTTCGTCTGTACAATTGTTACTATCGAAAGCCCCATAAGATCTTCGCGTTGAGGTTGACCGCATAAGATTATACAACAAATGACTAAACAAACGAAATGTAAGAAAACCTGAAACTTTGCTTGGTTAGCTCAGCTAGGTGGAAAGCCAGTCCGCTCACTCATTCGTCTCCGAAAAGAGCGCACTGTAAACAAACGATTCGATAATATAGCGGGTTCATTTTAGGATGACATTATGGCTTGAAATTGAAGAATAAAAGAGAGATTGAAAATGAACTAAAGTTTCAATTTTTTCTTGGAATTTCACGTATCCGCGCTGCTAGGAAAAAGCACACCTCCTCTGGCTCTGTCTACTTGTGGCGCCATTCCACTAGACCCTATCGTTATGGAGGAAGTAATCGCTCTCGTGCTGCCTCTCCACCGCCTACTGCACCACTACCAAAATCTCTTGCTGTGCTTCTTCCGCGTCCTCCCTCTGTTGACTGCATAGTGCTCCCACGTCCTCCCTGCTTAGAGTTCGTCCTCTACTGTGTCTTACTTGTATATCTAGTACTACCGAAGCGTTGAAACAGCACACGCAAACTTGAGCATATTTTCTATACATACTAGTACATCATTAGCATTACAGAAGATGTAGATATTAACTTGTCACCGCCAAGTGCCATATCTGATTGTTCGCTGTCCCTTTCGCTAGTACCGATGCCACCCGCGAGACTTCGTTCCCTCTCTGCAGCACGCAGGTCCCGCATATGGTCGATGAAGGATCCATCGAAGCGCGTTCGGAAGTTCTGTTTCATGTACAGGAATTCCGCGAGCTCTGCTTAGAACCAGAAGGGGGTACACTAGCTAATACGTTGCTCTTGTTCTCGCTAATACGTTGCTCTTGTTCTCACAATGAATAATATGCTGAGCAGGAACGAGATGGGGAGATCTTCCTGTAATCTATTCTTCTAAAAAAAATTCTAGTAGAAGTAGTACTGAACTATTTTTCCTCATAAGTCAAATCACGTAGTCACATCAACAAATCATTGAGAAACTTTGACAAGCCATAATCTTCCGGTGTGACAGTTATAGCCTCGAAATTTGCAGCCATGCGGGATATTATCTCGTGGTCCACCATGCCCGCTCGCTCATCAGCGAGGAACCGCGCTTCTCGCACTAAGATTAATGCGCCGAGCCGTGGCTCCTCGATGCGAAACGAGACCAAATACTCAGACAACTTCTCCCTTGTGTACTCGTCCACGTGCTCACCATTGGGATGCACCTCAAACAGCGACACCAAGTCATCCTTGGAGATCTGCCCGTACTTGATCACGTGTCTCGCTGTCAGCATGCGCACAAATTAGAGGCACTATAATCTTGAGTAATCCTTGATACAATACATTTTGCAATGGTACTAGCAACTTCGGTAGCAGAAACTAGTATAGTACAAACACGAGCGGTAGCCTTTATTCAAGCAGACACGAGCATAATTGAAATCATCGTGATGTAGGCAGCCTTCGCCAGTTGAGTCGAAGACCAGCCACCACTCGCCAATTACGATTTCGCTATCATCGAAGCCCAGGTGCTCCATACATTCCTTCAATTCTGTTGGATTCATGCCCCTAGAAGCCGACCAATTATGGATTTTCCATCCCGCTTCAAATAAATCCTTCTGATCCTGCGAAAAAATCACCTCATACAAGTCCTCGAGATACCTGAGATCGAATGAAACACAGTTAGGGCATTCCATCGTTGACTATCCAGTAGCAAAACACTGTTCGGTGTATTGTCATACAGTGGCTAGAAAGAGGACGACAACAACGTACACAGCGCAGGCGAGGAGCAACGCACAGTCTTCAACCACGGGATGTGTTCTTGGTACATGTAGAAGGTACATACAACTGTTGCGATAGAAAGTAAGGGTTGTACTCATGGAATTCTTCCACTAAATCTGGGTTTTCGAGTCGCTCCTTCATCGCCGCGATCTGCGCCATCTCCAAAAGCTGTGTAGACAGATTATGGTGCTCCTGTGAGTGTTCCTTGACCACGGCGTGAATCGCCCGCTTATTCGGCATCAGGTGGATCGTACTGGATATGAGCAACAGTAAGACGCACTCGGGAATGATGTAGAATACGGCGATTGCGGCAGCTGTCCAACCGACGATGCTGTACCAAAGAGAGCCCTGCTCGTAGTTCGCTACAAAAGAAAACGACCGCAAGAGCACTCCAATAAACGCAGCATAGAGAAAAATGGCTATCTGCAAAACTTGCAAAATAGTGCTGGGACCTGGAGGTAGTTGATGCGAAGGTACTCGTGTTGTTGAGGTGTCTCGATGTACGAAGCTCAAAGGCTTTCATTTCTTTGACTGATCAATGCTTTGTTCTTCTCGATCTCGAAGTTGAAGTGCCTGATCATAAAAACCAATATTAAGTAACCAATGACAACAAGGGTTCAAATTTTAGAGTCAAAAGAAACAACTATTACCTTTCCGCCATCTGAAGAATAACTGTTCCTGCTGGTTAGGCGAAAATGTTCCATACCACCAATAGAAAAACTTAGTTTTCTTGGGCGCCTCCTTTAAGTACGGAACAAGCCTGAATGGTGGTAATAGGTGTCGGTGTGGAAGACGGCCTGTTGTCGTTGGGTCCAGGTGCCGGATATTAGCAGGATCGTGCAGGTGCAACCTAGAGATAACAGGACAGAGAGCTGCTCTGGACCTTTTGTGTCTAACTGAGTCATCGGCAAGAAACTTCTCTAATCCACAAGACATAGGATTAGGATTACAATTACATGGACTCACCTCTACTGTTCACTAGAGACTTTTCAAATTCCCGCGCCATAAAAAGCATTGCAGCTGGTGGCGGCGTGAGCATCTGCACTATGCGCTGGAGATGAATGTAGAAAACAGCCAAAACCGCCAGCAAAACCCACGACCACGTACACGTAGACAAGCCTATAAGTGCAGCATGATGGGTCCGGCTAATCGTCTCCATTTCTAAGAAGCAGTCCACGGCCGAGATAAAGATTAGCAGACCGAGACCCCACGTGGGAATTCGAAACAGGCTTTGCTGTGAAAACAGAGTGAAAAGAATGTGAATCAAAAATGTAATTCGAATGCTCATCATTCAGAAAACTATATATAAAGACAAAGACTATTTCAACAAGCCGAAGATCTAGCACAAATTAGTAGTAATTTCCATTTCGTCTAAAGTTACAACTCAAAAGACCAAAACAAGGAAGTGTTGTAATTTCGATTTCTTGTCAACTATTTAATACCATATACTGCGCCAGCACTTCCTGCAAGTAGTGGACAAAAGAGAATTCTTGTAGGGGATTCCGCAAACAGTTGAGCTCCTCTGGCCGATGCCCCAACATCGGTGTGACCATTGATCTGCGCCATAGCAAGAAGGAGACCTTCTCAACCGGATTATCGTCTACATGCACTTCATTTTCCGCCTCGCATTCGAATCGGTGCCACTTACGGAAGCGAAATGTTAGCTGGTTTTTTAGATTGCGTCAAGAAGTATCATGATTGTGAAGACGGCTGGAGGAAAGGTCGTGATAGAGTAGTTTTTACATTTCAAATACAACTTCAATGTTGATTGTCGAGTAACCAAGCAGTATCGATTTGAGACAGTATCAAATAATACGTGCAGCCCGATCATGGTGAGGCAGCCGATGTAGATGAAAATTAAGACGGTGAGGAAGACAATCAGGTCTCGCAACATCGTGCTGAACTCCGGAGCTATGAGTCCTTCTCGGATGTCGTTCGATGCATATCGTGTCAGGTCCCACTTCGTATGGTCCTTTTCTGGGAAAAAGTACCTATCTAGTCTTCGCTCTAGCGACACGGAGGAAAACAGAAAGAGCAAAGCCGAGACGAAACCCAAAATCGTCATCTGCTCGATGCCCTTCAAAAACATCACGTTGATATACCGGATATTCCGGAACTGTCGTTGGACGGATTCGAAAATGCTTTTCGCCGCCCACACGACGAGAGCGAGACCTGTACAAGATGCATGTGACAGAGAAGTCGCGCATAGGACTAAAAAGCATGTTGGCGCATCATAAGTGGCCGAGTCGATCTATCCATATCATCTAGACATTGTAGATTGATAGTCTTGAATTTCTACAGCCATACACGAGCTACAACAAGTACGACAAGTAGATAGAAGATAATTATTTTGAAAAGCATCAAATTCAAAGGAAAAAATACCGAGCAGCATCATGAAAGCAACCATGGCCCGCCTTTCGAGATGATACGAAACCAATGCTTGCTCTGCCTCTGTGAAAGCACAGGAATACGGGTCTTGTGGCGCCAAAATGCACGTCGGTGCACCGCTGAACGGTTCGACGGTTCTGTATTTCGTTGTAGCAGGAAAAATTCATATTTTATCCATATTTTATTTTAGCATTTCGATTCTTTATCATGTGTTGCACTTAAAAGATGGGAGTCGTTACGACCCAACATTCGTGCTATTATCAAAATCAACAGAAAGAGCAAAGTACGCGCCGATGTCACTGGTGTGATCCAAACCACCCAAAGCAGCGTCCGTCTCCGTCTGCACTTGCGTCATTGACACAGGGCCTGCATAGTATGAGGGCCCACCTCCGCGTTGTGGTCCGAACCTGTCTCCTACAACTTCTACAAACGAACTCGGATTTGCCGTCCCAGAGTCACGACCTTCTCTTCTCATTGTTGAAGCTGTGGTAGGCCCATCATCACGCCTCGTTCGTCCACTTTTAGAATTATAGACTGTCGACGCTGGTGGTGCCACGTCGCTCGCTTGTTCTCGATCATCCGACCACGCATCCCGCTTTGTCGTCCTCTCGGGCTCTCCAACTCGAGATAAGTAATCCGAGTCCTCAAGCATCTCCTCTGATCTATCCTCACCGCCCATTGATGTCCTCCGTGGCCCAGAGTATGCGACTTCAGCAGACCGTAAATCCGCATCTGTTCGCAGCATCTGAGAGCTGTAAGCCATTGATGCTGGTGCACCGAGAAGGCCCAACGTCGCAAACCGCAGTTCTGCACATCTACGTAGGCGCACGTGATTCCGTACTATCTCTTTCCTCGTACCCACTTTCATCGCTGCGCGAAGACGCGTAGTTCGCGTCCTTTCTATTCGCCACCTGCTTGTCGGACTTGTTCCTCCTTCTGGCGATATTGCTCCGATCGCGTTCGGAGCTGCGGGTGGTAGCGCTACATCAAGGCGCACGCTGCTGCAACTGCTGAACGCGCTTCTTTTCCCCCTAGAATCATCGTTGCGCCCGATAGCAGATGATGAGGAGGTAGACGGAGTTGCTGGAGTAAACGCTGGACACGAATACTTCCTCTTCGTTGACAACATAAGCAACGACAAACTCGCGGCGCTCGCTTGCCCCCGCTCGCTGCAAATCTTAGTACCACTTTACTGATGCGATACCATTTTTCCAAATAGAGTACCTGCGCACGACTAGATATCTCATGCACTTTAGCTGGCTAGAAACTTCTAGCTCTTGTTATTCTTTTCTGTAACACGTGTAAATCCCACAATTACGCCTACCTCGTCAAAGTGCTAAACGCATCAAAAGCAAAGTCGAGCTACGCAGAAAGTCTAAGTGAGCCAGAGTATTGATTGGGCTCGCATGCTTGATGACCCGACAAGCTAGTATGCGGGATCGAGATCTTAGGCACGACGAGCGAAGACGAAGGCAGGCGAGACAGACGAGTCGAACGAAATGTTGCTTCTAGATTGCCACTGACGCTGACCTAGCGGGTGGGAACGAAAGAATTCGTGGCAAGAAAAATGTCGCGAGAAACGATGGACACGGTTCCCGACAGGCAATTGACGAGTATCGCCAGGACGCAACGACTGAGCTCCTGTCTCAGCAGAATCCCTTGAGAAGAAGACCTTCTTTATCCTCGTGTAAAAATAGATCAACATGTCTTACTAGGTATAAAGGACTCTACACAACATGTTTCAGCCAAAATGGAAGTTTTCATCACATAGAGCTGCGCATATCCAACTACAGGAGTAGCCATCATGCTAAGCGTCTCCCTTGTCCTAGTCTGACCTTCTAAACTGCTCCCTTGCTAGAAATGCTGCGAATAGATGAATCAAGATCGATGTCGGGCGTTTTATCTGCATTTCCAGCAGCTCTCGTATCTCGTCCTCTGTCAAGGGTAGCTCCTCTTCATCCCCCTTGTCCTTCACACCAGGCATATGATTGTCTCGCAAATACGCGTAGGGGTCGTTGGCTCCTCCTGCAGGAGATGTGTACAGTCCCACTTGCTGCGCTAGCACATTCGTGATGGTGCCCGCTGCCGTACCCGCAGCAGCTGCCGCCTTTGCGCCGGGACTCCTGTTGTTTTTCATCTGGTTCTCTGCGGCAGTGACCAATTCTTCCACTTGACCTGACGTCTTCTTGAGTGTGGCACCGCCCACACGCTCTCCGGCTCCGCTTCCGCCCTTGTAGTCTAGTATTAGAAAAAAAGGCTTATTTTATTAGCAAGGTCGAGTTCGAAAGAAACTGAAGAAATGCCTCTGCTTCATCTAGCATTAGACCTACGCAAGCAATAATGGTCAATCAGGTTTTGGACCTTCTACTTGCGCACTACAAGAGCTAGTCCAAATTTCCTAACATCAACATCGACCAACATCAGGAAACTATGATACTAAAAGTCTGTTTTTACGCAAGCCAACACAGCTTCAGCATAACCTCAATTTCCCGACTACTAAACCGGAGAAGGAAAAGAAGGATGAGAGGCTCCAGTCCATGTCATCCGCTTGTACGATGTCTGCGTCGCCCTCGTCTTGACTGCCAGCCCCTTCGGCGAAAAGGTGCGCACGATAAAGCAACTGCTTGGCGTGCCTCTTTGCTTCGTTCCGTGCCATCCCGACGCTTTCGAGAATCGTGACCATTTTCTGTACGGATATGTGCGTCGCAGCTTCGCCTACGGTCTCACCACTGTCTGCCAGGTAAATCAAAGCTTCATCAATCTCGCGTCGTGGCATGCGACCATGCATCGTTCGGAAATAGACCGACACCAAAACCTCAAACTCGCTCTCCTGCAGTCGCGTGCGGTCCCCCGTCAGCTGTAGCATGTGCACCGATGCTTAGAAGTAAGGGAGTGGCGTTTCAGTTTCATGTGGAAGAGTCACATCTTCTACGCCTCCTCGTCCACTTCTGTCGATCCCCAAATTATGAATCACCTTAAGCGTGGAGCATTACGATCATCCTACCAGCACTAAAATCAACAACGCAAAGACTCACGAGCATCGTGATCAAGGAAACAAAAAGAACAAGAAGATCAACACGACAGCAACAGCAAGATCATCAACATCAGCACCAGCATCAACGTGAAAGGCTTTTAAGATCCTCACGAAGGTCTTTACTAACGTGCGAAGCAAAAAGATTACAGAGATGACGACGGTCGCGATCTACTTCTCCTAGTCGGATGCAGGGCGTTAAGCCTGAGGGATCCGCAAGAAATTACAACAACAAGAGCCAACTATTTTGCCGTCGCATTTTTCCCCTGTGCTTGTGCAGCTTAGCACTAGCCACAGGACAGGGGCGACATCGCGAAGGATGAGGAAGGACATCATCCAGAACCGTAGCCATTGGGCTACCTTAAGTTTTATCTAATCTCCATGTTCTCATGGCCGCGACAACTTCTGTTAAAGCAGACGCATAGATGCATAGTTTGTTACATTTTCCTTTGGTCATCGTCATGATCCTACCTATTGTTGATCAAAACGGTTGTCCGTCCTGTCTTAACATTTCAATAGACTGTGCCCTGCCCGATCCATGCCAAGTTTGTGCAGAAGCTTGGGTATTTCCTCTTGCGAGAGCCCTTGCGCCGCATCAGCCGCTATAAAACGAAACTCTTTGCTGATCACTTGCTGCTCTCCCGTCGTGAAATTGCCCAGATAAGCTCGTCGATGCTCGTTCATTGCCATTTCCGCGTTTTCATGAACTTCCTTGTATAAAACATGCAGATACAAGGCGGCTAAAAACTCCTGCAAAGCTGCGTCCCCAAAGTAAGAGCGCATGTTCAGTACCGCTTTTATCAGCCGGTCCTGATCAGTCATCGTGTCGGTTTTTGCTGCTAGAACCCAGTCGGAGACAAACCCTGCTGCGTCGTAAATCACCAAGTGCAGAGTTAGCAAAACCGTAAAGCCTATGCACCTGTCGTGGTCAAGAGAAAGAGACATCAATCGAAAGAAAAATCTGATCTGTTCTCGTAACACTTGTATTAAAACAATGTAGCAGACATCACAGCCGATTCCATACCCCTATGTATACAACTACCAGCACAAATGTGATGGAGGAACTTACAACTTTAGCTTTACAAATCCATAATATAAATATTCTCAATGAATCATCATCTACGACCTTGAAGGAAGCGGATGATCTAGCTAGACAACCGAAACACAAATGTAGTAATTACGCGAGCGGTGGGAAGACTTTGAGCCAGTCTCCAGCTTCAAAGTTCGACTGTGTCAACAGTATGGACAGAACGCCGCCACAGTTGAGAGCTGCAAAGAAGAAAATGTCTTGCATTGCTGCACGAAGGGCTTTTGGTCCGTTGCGCAGTCGCGGCCACAACTGTTCCTGTCTCGTAGGCTGAAAGGTTCCATACCACAAGTGCGATACCCAATTTCGCTGTTTCGTATAGACTGAATTGTTTGATGTTTGTTCTTCTTTTGTGGTGTTCAGTAAAACCACAATGTATGCGTGTGGTGCGCCGTACCGAGTAACTTGCTTTAATAATATGGGCGGAGCCAATCTAACTAGGAAAAGTAAAAGAAATGAATAAATATAGATAAAGGATGGAGTAGAACAGATATTACTGTAATGGCCATGCTAAGTAGGGTCCATCTATTTTAGGCGCCGCGTGTCGCCGAACAGCCCTGAAGGTCTTTTCATCGGAGGCGGCCGAGGCCTGTGCTTGCCTCAGAGAAGTGCTCGGCTCTCGCGCTATGCGCACCCACTAGTTCGCTCCAGGGTACCGGTTCACCAAACTAGTGCCCAGCGCGAGAAATAGGACGTATAGATAATGGTTTTAGTCATATGCAATCCTTTATAGTAGTTTCATATATTAGAGCCGGGCCCGGTTTTTATTCCTATTCCATCAAGGAACTTGTATTAATAATTTCTAAACAATCTTCAAGCTCAACATCCGTCCATTTCAATTTCTACTGATTTCAGTACCTTGTGGGGCGTACTTCCATTTCGGTATCAGGCTCACCGGAAGCGGAGTGTCGATCAAATGGCGACCACCGTGGTGCTCTGCTTCTAAGATGTAGCGAAAATACCCATGCCGCGGCACCATCTGCTTGAGAACCTAGAAGAAAAGTGTGTTTGTACGCATCTCTCCGATACGAACAGGCGATATCGAAGAGACGCACTAGTCTACTACATGCACAACCACCCTTCTCCTTCTCGCGTCGCCCCCGGAGGAGCATTTTTACCTACAAAACCGCATGTAAAAGCACCAACCGACAACCCTTGCCCTTCTCGTCGCGTCGCCTTCGGGGGAGCATTTTTACATGCGAAACCGCATGTCAAAGCACCAACCGACAACCCGTCTCGCATTGACTTCGGAGGAGCGATTATCTTGCACACGACACCGCATGTAAAAGCACCAATCGACAACCCGTCTCGCATTGACTTCGGAGGAGCGATTATCTTGCACACGACACCGCATGTAAAAGCACCAATCGACCATGTAATCAGAAGTTTCATTCTTGCTATGCATTACTTAGTGTAAATCGCGTCTAGTTTTTTTTACCTCTCCAACCAATCGTCTGACTTGATAGGCTGAGAGTTTGAGGATCAAGGCCACGACTGGAGCGCAGTAGCACAGCTGCAAACTCGTGAAGTGCTCATGCAATACAGTGAAGAGACCCAGCAGCGCCCCCGCAACTAGTAATTGAGAACGTTGAGGCCACGTTATAATCGAACATCCGCAATCCGCGAGTTCGGGTCGCAAATACATCTGGGAGATGGTGATGAAGAATGAAAAGCATAATTATAAGGTAGAAAGCAAGGTAAGGCTTCTAGGTGTCCTCACGCCAACCCTCTTTTCTTCGGTCGCCATAAGCATGGCAAAGACGAGTAAGAAAAGCGGAATACGCATTCCTATATATCATTTCGAAAATATTGTGCAAGTACGTAGAGCAAAAATTGGTGCTGCGGTCGTCGCAGATGGTCGAAGAGGGCGTCGTGCTTTTCGTAGATGTGGTGTGGCGTGATGTAGCTCCTGCGCAGTGAAAGGTAGGTGAGCATTTCTTGCGGCAGGTCATCCTCCGACTCCGCTGACTCGATTGCTAGCGCCAATACGCGCTCTGAAAACCCAGAAAACTCCCAAGTTTTCCACCGCATGAGTACGCGTTCCAGGCAGTGGCCGAGTACAAAGACAAACAAGAAATAGAAGGGGAGAGCGGCCAGAAGCACCAGCAATGCGTTTAAGGTTGTCATTAGAGAGTAAGTCAAAATCTATATCTTCATTCATTGTCAAGTAGAACTTTGGGATCCCCTCTTATTCGGAGGAAAATTTCACTCTCCGGCAGCCACGAGATCTGTCGCCCAGATTTGAGGGCGCGCCCTCGTGTTTGAGTTATAAAGCGCACAAGCCTCTTGTCGTCCATAAGATCACGACTGACTCTGAGAATATCGCGCCTTCCCGGATGTCACCGATTGAGTACTGCGCTAAATCCAAACGCGCCGGTGGGGAGCGCCCGAAAAATAGGTAGCCCACCTGATCGACAACGCGTAGCGCGATAAGAACTCCCACGACGGTCGCGGCTCCCAGCACAACCGCCCCTTGGGTTAGACTCGTGCTCATGAGTTCGCCGCGAACCTTGCCACTACCAGCAATCGACGCCCACCAGGACGAAGTAGCTGCGGATTAATTAGACAAAAAACTCTTCACCTTAAATAAACGATAACTGGTTTGTAGGATGCATGCAGAAAGCGATTTTACATTCACTGAGTTTTCTTTCGCGCCTTTTTCGTAGTTACTCCTCTTGTTTTTATAGTTCTCCGTCATAGTCACTAAGACCAATTCGTTTCTCATAATGCCAACTGCTACGTCTTTCCTTGTTGTCACGACGAAGCTTTGAAACGCGAATCCAATAGCAATGAGAAAAACTAACATATAGCAGAAGAAATGCTGCCGCATCAGCACGTGATCGTACATTCGCTCTCGTTCATCCTCATTGGGACAGAGAAAAGTTTCATCTGCGTAAAGGATGCAGTATGTGTGTCGTCTCACCTTCTTCTGGCTTTTTTCTTCTTTATCGTCGTCGATCGTCAACGCGTCTGTCGTATCATTTGAAGCCGTCTTTGCGCTCGAAGACACGCCACTCCAGGAAGATGGTATTCTCGTCGCATCGGAATCTGCATTAGCCTGTTCCGGTGTCACACCACGGCTGCTTCGCGTTGCTTGAACATGGTCTTGTCCGGCACTGTTCTTACTCGTTCTTGATGATATACGCTGTTTGTCAATTTCGATATGGCTTGCAGCTGTCGATGCGCTTCTTCTAGCGAAGGATCTGGATCCTCCAACTCCTTCATGATCATACGATTGCTCCGCGTTCCCCTCGAAGTCAGAAACACGCTCCTGTTGCCGTTGGTGCTGCAAAGTCTGAGGCACGTGCGCATGCCCAGCGTGGTCTACTTCGCTCCGACGGATCCTTGTAGCCTGTCGATGCCCTCTCTGTGATGAACGCCGCCCGCTCGTGCCACGCGGCCGTTGCGTCGATCGTGAACTATCGTGTTCATCTGGAGCATCGTAAAAAAAGGTATCCTCCTCATTCTCCCTGTCGCCTTCTCTTATTGCGTCCTCTCGCGTGTAACGGCTATCTTCTTCTTGTTCCGGCAAATTTTGGCCATCGACATCATCTTTGGTGTCATCGATAGAGTCAAGCTGCTCCTCGTCTCCGAAACGGTCCTCCGCTCGCATGCGGCGCAAACGTCTGTGACCTGTCGTGTGTCCCCATGTCGCCGACGTGAAAGCCAACAACAGTCGCAACGGTCGTCGCTTTGACATGTTGTTGTACCTTGAGCGAAGACCGTCGACCCGTTGTAAGCGAAAAATTTTGTTCCTCGTTTCGTCACACCCTTCTTTGGCGTCTATGCTCGTTGTGCGGCGTGCTTGTTCGCCCGCTGATGATAGGTCCCTCGTGACGGTTCTCGCTTGATTCTTGGAAACAAAAACAGAACCTTGTCGTTAGAACTAGGACGCACCCGCGAGAAACCGTTGGCGAGGTATGAAAATCATATGATAAACTGATGATTGAAGATTACTGAGTAGTTGAAAAAAGAAATCACGCATATCCATCGGGGTAAGTACGTTGAGTTCATGTAAAATTCAGAGTTATTTTTGCTTCTCCGAAATATTGTTTCTACCGAAAGGTGACCAAGAGATGAAACCAAAGGAACAAGAGATAAATAAAAATAAAAGGTACGATGAAAATCAAACACGATGAAGAAGAACAACGGACGACAAGTGTACAACACAACGATCGAATAACACAACGATCGAACAGCGGGGAACCTAGTGAGGGGATTGACCGGACGAAACCCGATTATAGCAATTTTTTTTGGGACGACCTTTCATACAGATGAGATGCACACGACGAAACGTTAGGACAACTTCCTCCGTGATTTTCGACGCACGTTTCATCCACCTACTTTTTGGTCACCGCCCATTGTTCTCATCTTTGCATGCACAATTAGGCTGGTTTTCCTACCAGCATACCCGTGAAACTGTTGCACGTTTTCAGCCTCGACAGATACTGCGCAGTTCCACCACAGCTTCAAGAAGATCAAGATGATATATTTTTACCGATACGAATACCCATACGCGCGAATTAATTTTTCTTAGCTATACCGATTCTTGTGAGGATAAAGCTCCTGCGGATCAAGTGTATTTGACAACATGCTTTCCTACACCATTTTGTGAAGAGATTCGTTCGCCCGCCATGCTTTCGCGCTGGAGGAACGCTACACCATAGCAGCTGAGAGTTTTGAAACTTCGTCGTGTCTGCATATGCATGTGCGCATCTTGTAAAGGATCATCGATCGATTGCATTATCGAGAATTGCAATCACAGAGAGAGAAGGTTCTATGAATTGATCCTGCAGCTGTGAGTCACATCCTTAAGTGTCCACCACAGCTTCTACCTGCGACAGAACTCTCGTGTTGTTGATCGTAGTTTTCCGAAGTAGTGGTCGTTCATTCTCTGTCGTGATAAGATCTATCCGTGCTATGAAATTTGACTTTCTTCCGTAAAATAGTAGAACGTGTGAGGTGTAATTAATGTTCACGCTGAGAAAAACCTCCAAACCTCACCAAAAACACGACCCCCCCCCAGGTTCGCCTTATCTCGAAAAATCGAGACTGAATAAATGAGCTTGTCTTTATTTGGGGTTGAGAGGACATGGGTATATTCAAACACATGACAAGAAAAGTCCATGAGCGAGTCAACATCATGTGAAACAATAGACAAACTCAAGACCACATCCATCATCGTTACATCATCTGCAAAATAGCAAGAGGAGATATATTTTTTTTGGGGCTTCCTATAGAGCACAGGCGATCTTGCGGGATCTTTTCACTTTCCGGATGCGTGCACGAATCGAAAAGCAAAGTCACGCTTCGCGTCGGCGGCATGCCTCTTCGAGCAAGTGAGAAACCTGATGAGCAGGGACGCCCGGAACCACTCCGCCGTATCGCTGGCGCGCCATCTCTCGCGCTTCAAACGGGTCGGCGCCCGCCTCAAGGAGTAGTGCAGCTAGCTCTCCAAGATGGCTCTCGAACTCCTCTTCGGATAGCCCATGCCTCGCAGCGGCTTTCCGCGGAAAGAAGGACACACTGAAGACAACATTGTTCAAGGCAGTGGATGGCTGCCACAGTTCTTCGTTTCGGGGGTAGTGCTGAAATTCTGGGTCTAGTCGAAATTCTGTAAGCAACATGGAAACCGTTTCCAACGCGTTCGCCGTAGAGGGGTTTAAAAGCGTGACAGCCTGTGAGATCGCGAGTTCCAATGGGCTACCAGGATGACGGAAAGGGAGACTGTATTCAGGGAGTCGCAAAATATAATCCTCTGGCATCTCTACCACAAATTTAGCGCACTCATCATATTCTTCTCGCGTTAGAAAGGGAGACGCTTCTGCATATGCATGGAGAGCCCGCAAGGCGACGAGGTCTTGGCGCTTCACAGAATCCAATAACTCGCAATATCGTGGCAGCGACGGAGGTTTGACGGCGTCGCACGCGACGTCAATCTTTTTCTTGAGACACTTCCGTAATTCGATTCGGTCGACCCGAGGAAGCAGACGCGTGTCCAGCCGATGCAACGTAGGCACTATTTGCGCGTCCGCAGACAGGTCGGACACAACTTCCTGCCATTCGTCCAAGGCCGACCTTAATTTGGGACCAACACGGCTTCGGAGAGAATTCGTCCAATCCAAGTCCTCGTCATCCGCCCTCGTGAAGAGGCGGAGATGTTTTCTCACGGTGTCTACACGAAACTCGCTTTGCACAACAGCTACCCAACTCGACACGCCTTTTTCGAGTGCACTCCATTCCAGCGTCTCGTAAGAGCGGTAGACTCTCCCCATCTCTTCTATTGCTGGGTCCCATGGCCCTCTCTCCTCACTGCCGATTGTAGTAGTGCAGACGGGATCTTGCTCTGCCACCACTTGGGCCAGCGCTAGCGCCTCACTGGCAGCGTCGGGGAAGAGAACGGGCACGATGTGCTCAGAAATGACCCCTACCAGGACTTGGTTATGCGCGCAGTCGAGCCCCACCAACCCTTCAAGGGTCTCCATTGAAATGTTGGCGCGGCTCCCACTCAGGGTCGAGATCTCCATTTTCGCATCGAATTCACAACGTGGGCCTAAGTCTACTAGTTTAGTTTCTTATTGATAATGGACCTACTTCTTTAGTTAAGACGAATCCATAATATACGTCTTTATACACGGGGCCGTCATGCACAACTTAGAAGGTTAACAAACGAGGAAGGCTAATCTAACAGGTGGGGACTCGATGAGACACTGTTCCCTAGTAGTGAGACGCACGCGCACTAAGACATCTTTAGGCTCGAAAACCCAGAAAACACCAAGTGCACGCACCTCACTCGGACCGCACACGAGACAACAAGGCAAAGCGCAGGCGCGCACAACAGCCAAAGCGCACGCAGCGAAATTGGGCCTCACGGAAGCCGATGAGCAACAACAAACAGTGCCAAAGCGGCGCAAAAAGAAAAGAAATGCAAGGGAGCCCAACAAGGCTCTTAACAACTACGTCAGGCGCAAAACCTGTTCAACAAACGTGCCCTGCTGACACAACCCAAGGTCCGCAAGGACGCAACAACTCTACTCAACAAGAACATCACGAAACGAAGCTAGTACTGCTACAACCAAAACTACGCGTGAGCTTCTACAGACTCTTTGCACTCACGGCCCAAACAAAACACAATATTGCACAACTGCAAGCAAGATGACTCAACAACCGAAGTGGCCTGTTTCTGCCGCCTGGTGTATAAACAGAAATTTAAGCAAGCTCAAATTCCATATATACTTTATAAGTAAAATACTCATTCACATTCATCGGGGCGGTCGTCGCCGTCCCTAGTAATGGGAAAGCAAATAATGACAACAAACCGACTACAAAGGCCGCTAACTATACGTTTCAATGTCGGGCCGCCCTCCCTGTGCGGTACAAAGTCAAGGTTAGGTAACGGATAAGCGCAACACATGATAAACTTCCTATCTTTCGTCCAAGGCCGACCTTAATTTGGGACCAACACAGTTTCGGAGAGAATTCGTCCAATCCAAGTCCTCGTCAGCCGCCCTCGTGAAGAGGCGGAGATGTTTTCTCACGGTGTTATTACACGAAACTCGCTTTGCACAACAGCTACCCAACTCGACACGAAGTCTTGTCCCTATACCTTAATACATTGATCAAGATCGACGTTTTTTAGCACTACGGGCAGCATTCTACCGGAACCGACTGTGCCTGAACTGCATTGATTTCATTTTTCAGCCTCAAGGACCAACCTCCTTGCTCCTTCGTTCTAGCTGAGCCCGCAGCCAGTGACTAGCGAGAACGAATAGCGCGATCGAAACCTACATGGGGCGTAGAAAACGACTCCGATCTCCTGAATTACTTCATTCGATTTCGTGTGGGGGTGCACGACCTCGAGCGATGCAACCTCGGGAACGAGTATGATTTCACTTGTGTGGCGACCCCTTCAGAGGGGCTCGCGTGCTTCCAGAATTACGGTTCCGAAAATATGATAACAGTTACTAACATGATTGACCTCCCGACCATAGAGGGCCGAGAACTGTGGAAGTGGATCTCCCGCTCCGCAGAAGAGAAAACTACGCCCAACCATGCTGCTGCTTGCGTCCGAAAAAAGACAATTCTTACAAACACAACGAAGACACGCCGCCTTTGAGGGCTTTTTGGCTCCCTGTCGTCGCTGGTCGATAATTAAGGCTATCATCACTCATGGATACTTCTGACTGTAATTGACGCAAAAGTTTCGCAAAGCTGCGGCTTTAAATGAATCTCAGTCTTCCCGAGGGCGATCTGTGGGCTTCACATACTTTCTCCAGCAACAGAATGCAACGGCAAAACGACACAGAAATCGACTATGGAGGCAACTGCAATGTTGGCTTCGGGAAGAAATGCTCGGAATTCCTGTGCTATTCCATGCTGAGGCCTCTTCTTGCTGCAACCTTCTGCGTGGGGATATGAACAAGGTCGACCGGGATAATGCTGAACAAGTGAGATGCGACATGTTTTTGAAACGTTCTGACTCCACTGTCAACATTCTTCAGCATCAGCACCACGACGTTCCTTCCATAGCAAATTGCGGGTATCAATTTGGATTTGCAGGGGGGAAGAGCGGACACCCAAATCGCCTACATGTGCCTCTACCGCAGAATACTTATGATCTTTTTTTTTGTTAATTTCACTGGTCCCGCATCTTCCCTGTTCACGAATGAGACTTGTTCTCCATCCTGGCGCCTGTTCATCTTGTCGAGCCGATCAGTACTTGCATGAACTAGAAGGGACACAACTTTCACCTTAGGCCAGTGAAATGATATAGCTCGTCTAAAATGCCCTGTGTCACTCTAGCGATTTCAAGCACTTTTAACTCTCTTTCCAAAGTCCTTTTCATCTTTACCGCTTGATTTGGCATATGCGTAAGTTATTGGGTAGCGACAACACCCGACAGCTCGGGCCGGCCTTGGCTGATCGGATACGTGGCCGCCTGAAGTTCTGCCCTCTCATGGAATTCCTCCACTTCTACGCTGCTCCCTCTGCTCTGGATAGACCCCCCGAAGGCAAAAAAGTGGAGGTGGTCGGTTGCCCTATCCCCTTGTTCTTTATTTGTCCGACAACTACATCATGGAATAGTAAACAAGCAAGACCTGATCCGGCTTCTCTGAGGAGTGCGCCAAGACGACTCCTGACTACCTCTCGAGACAGACGAATGAAGAACGAAGAATGACTTCCCGAAGTAACACCCCATGGACAAATGGGTCCTCGTGCGATGAACACTGTTACGAGAGGATGGTCAAGAGACGTGAAGCGCCGTCTTGCTCGCGTACTACGCAGGAGATGGCGACCTTATCTTCGTGTCTGATTGAACAGCCAAAGCATAAGACCAGACTTACTTTGTGAAATACTTCGAAGAACTATTGTTTGGATTCTCCCTTTCCCGACTCTTTCATTTCATTCTCATCAATCGACTGCTTGAAGAAGCCCGGGTCTAGTTGCACAGACGCACCCGGGAAGTGGGGACTCAAACTACATGCATTGATTGCGAACTCGACCTGTGACGCAGTAAGCTTGACTTCTTCGAAGAGCTGCGGATATAATCTAAGAGCGATCTCCATCAAATCAGACCGAGAGAAAATGTCTGCTATGTTGAGCTCTGACGGGATTCTCGACAACCATCCCGAGCCGTTGATGAGAGACAACGAGCTCCAAAACAGAAAAGCTGAAAAAGCCATGCGTTGCTTCTGGGATGACTGATTCAACAAACACAATTTTGCGGCCTCATTGTCTATACAAAAATTGAAAAATCTATTCTCAATATCCTTTTCAAACACTTTTATCGCCAACGACGGCGCCGCCGCTTCTAGGAAGGCGATAGGCTGGCGACCCGTGGACCTGTGCAATTGATCCCTACTGACTGAGATGGAGAACCAAAAATATTTAAACGACCCATCTGGGAGGCGTTTCGGGAGCACCCCCGACAGCATGCCTTCGTCATTAGCAAACGATGCATCTGTATAAACAAGGTTACCCACACTCCCCTCGGGGAGGAACTTGGCGAATCTTTTGAAGGGTTGTTGGACTAAATATTTCAGAATATGGAGGCACTGCCTCAAACGATTGGCGATCTTGGTGGTTTTGTCCACCTCCTCCGACCTGTTGATTAACGGTCTCAAAACTGGGCTCATAGCTCGATCTACGAGCGACACAAACACAAAAAATACTTTGCCTTGGAGCTTTCTGGCTACTGACGGCAATAGACAATCTTCCTTAAAAATAGAATCTATCACTTTGACTAACTGCAAAACCCTGTCCTTGGAAATATGAAAATATGGCCTACCTTGAACATTGAAAAGTAAACCCAGGGCTTCAACATCCGACCCAATTTTCACCTTCTTCTTCGCGTAAGGCACCCCCAGCGCATTCAACAAAAAGATAAAACAATCTAGTAATTCTTGCGCAATTCTCGCTGGCGCTATGCCTGTGAAATCATCAACATAAAGCTCGATGAGAGCGAAAATCATCCTTCTAAAAATCATGCGGATGCCCCACGAGATGCGGATCCACGCCGTCACGCTGTGGACGTTGCCGAACGCGCAGACCAAGCATTGGAAAGCGAAGAAGCGCGCATCTTGTGGGGACCAGACAGCAATGCGATTAAACATCAAATGCGACAACTTGATAGGAACACTATTATAAGCTTTGAGAATATCAACGACAAATAAAAGCACAGCTATGACAGCAAACGAAGGAAGTGGACTCATCCGGATTGTCCCTATTAAAAGCTGATCTCTTCTTACTACTGCTACTACTACCTGCACCTTCTTGGCTTCGGTTACCCTTGTCCGCGACTTCCTCGACGGGATGGAGAAAGTCCTCGCCTGGAGCTGGACCGTTATGCAAAATATGGCTACACACTACTTTCTCATAACTCGCTTCTTGAACAAGTGACTTTTTGATGAAGGTTTTGCTCATGTTGATCACTGGCGCATCAATGAGATTAGCGTCATGCATGATGGTGGCCTGAGACAAAATTTCGGACGCGGAAGTCATAGGGGCCCCCCGTTCTAAGATTGGACATTTGTTCTGTGGAGCGAGGGGGTCGATCAATCTAATTTTATTATTTTGGACGGTGGGGAATCTTCTGGTAAGAAGATCCCACCCCATGCCAACTGCTTCGCCAATGGAATAAGGACCCTCTAAACTACTTGTTCCTATGGATTCACCCCATAAGAACTTGTGAAGCAAGTTGGCGAACGCGCCTCTTGCTCTGAGAGGAAGTAATTCAATGACCCCACTCCAACCCAAAATGACATGAGCTTTTTGCATAGAAAATTTTATAGACTCCTCGCACGGCTCTATGCATTCCATCACTGAACCTTGCCAAGTGTACAAAGCCTCCGCGTCTCCCCACGGAGGTTTGACTTGATTCTTGTATGTCTCTATGTTTCTAGGTAAGGTAGCAATCGACTGAGGTTGCTTCCTTTTCCTCGACGGCTCAGGCCAGTACTGCGGTGCATTCGTCGGGCCAATAGCCGTGGCACCAGACTCCAACGGCTCATAAAACTGCTCATCTTCAGGTAAGTAAAAATATCCTAAAATACTAAACAGCCCGAGGTTGAAGCGTTTGCTGAACTTCTGGATATGAGCGGACATCTTGGCCTTCATGGACTTATCCTTCCCCGACGATGCTGCTATCTTCTGACTGCCCTCTTCCTTGAACGCTGGTAAGATAGACCCTGGCCTCTTGAACCTGATCTGCCTCACGCAGCGACGAGTTTCTGGAGCCAGTGGGACGAGCGGGAGTTTCCTCCTGGCGTCGAAGCTGACCCTTGCGGTCATGTGTTTCAGTTTTGAGGAGAGCTCCTCGTCTGAAACTCTTTTCTCCCCCGACATCTCTAGTATTTGACTTCCAAAAAAAAACTAAGTGAATTGACTCGCTAGGACACTCTGACTTGACCATCTATGACTAGTTCTTTTTTTTTACTTATACATAAGAAGAAAAGCTCCCTCGTCCAACTTTTCTTAGAGCCAAAATTTGTGGACTCTCGTGACCATGTCGAACCTTTTGATAACTTAAAATCGAACAACCTGGATTGACTAACAGCGAGCATGTGACTTGTTAATCGTTTGGCTGACAAGTGAAGACGAAATTATTGACTTGAAAAATTATTCGGAAGATGTTGGGGAAACTATTGTGTGAAGTCCTTGAGTAACTATTTGTCAAAAAAAAAACCAACTTCATTAGCTTGTTGAAAAGAAGCATATGAAGACCATAAACCAACTATCATCCTTCGTCACATGACCCAGCTTTACGCAGCCGGAAGGTCCTCATAGTTGAGGCCCTTGACCGCCCACGACAGCCTGCTGTTTTTCATAGCTTCAAACTCATCTTTAGTAGGGATGTAATGAGGGTGACTGCAACTGGGATTAGAACACATCCCCCAGAGGTTGTCAAAGCAAGCTTGAGGAGTCTTGGCTTTGCCCTTCCCCTTTTTGCCATCTTTCCCTTTTTCTGAGTTATTCTTATCAAACTTATTCTTGCCTTCGCCCTTCTTCCCATTGCCCCCTTTATTTGACGCATCGCTCCCGCGATTGTTCCATCCATAGGGGTGACTCCCATAACCTCCTCTATTGAGGTTTGCTTTCTTCCATGGCTCGAGTTCTGCCTGCATTTCCTTGATCTGCTTCTCATTGGCCTCCATGGCCTTCGATAAAGCGGCTTGCGAGTCTGCGGCGTGTCTCCACAACAGTGGGAAAGACACTTGGGACCTGTGATGACAACTTGATGAGAAGTTGTAACAACATTTAGAGGAGTGATGGGAAGAATCTTGAATATTGAGATGGGAGAGAAATGACCACCGGGAAAGAGGAAGTGCCACAGCGTCATCCTCTGTCTGTATGCATGAAAATCGGTAGGAGCCAGAGGATTCGGCTCGACTTGGTCCGCAGAGAACAGAATCGCTTGAGCGAAGATCTTGTACTTATCCACCTCAGACAACGTGGAATTCCTGACCATGAGGACCAACTTGCTGGCGTCACCGAAGTTCAACACTGCGCCATTCTCTCCACCGAAGGCGAGAGCGTATAAGAGTCGCAGAATCGATTCGGAAGACTTCTCCTCAATGCCACACTTCGACACCAGATGGATCTGCTTCTTGAACACCTCCTTGTTGACCTGCAGAAAAGGACCAGATTAAGGGATTAAGTTTGACGTGGCATGAAAGCGAATCCTAAGATAAAGAAGACTTGTCCTGGGATTGAAAATAAATTTCCTTTTTTTTCCAAACGAGATTGACACTGCTACGAGTGAACAAAATATACACGACAATGACAACAAGGTAAGGACCTTTCGACAAAGCTCCAGATCAGGCTGGAGCGAAATTTCGGAAATCTGGCCGATGCACACACCATGTGCTTGCACTTCGACGGCAGTGCCAACAGCGCGATTATCTTGCGCTCTCGCCATCTGCTGTTCGAGGTCATTGACCTGCAACTGGATGCTAATCGGTTGAGGAGCCATAGCTGGAGCAGCTGCAACCATCTGTTGACCTCCAGCTTGACCTTGAGGAACTGGACCTGCAGGATTGGCACCTTGACCGAGAGCAGCTGGATTGCCGCCTTGGCCATTTGCCGCCGGATTGACTGCTGGGTTTTGACCCGCAGGGCCTGGATTCTGGCCTCCTAGAGGGCCTGGAGGTGCCGGTGGGGCGATGCCCGCTGCTCCTCCGTTGTTTGCCATACTTTGTTTTGTTGTGACAGGCTGGAATAAACAAACTACAAGATAATGGATTTACTCATTGACGTGGACAGCCGCTGACAGGCTGAAACTTTTTTTTTTCGCAGACAACCACTTTTTTTCATTTTGCGGCTTCTCTTTTTTTTCCGAACATGACGATAACTGCACGCGATGCTACTGCATAACGCTTGCCGTGTAACCTTGAAGCTTTTTTAATATTGAATGATGACAGTGTAGTGAAAAGCACTGTGGTACAAGACAGAAACTGACATTCTAAAATTCTTGGTTTGCGGAGGCAGGACAACCGGCTTACTCATCATCTTCATCAAGGATGAGATTATCAAAATCGAACTCTAAGTCTAGGTCATTATCGTCAGTGAGGCCCACCAACGTGGAATGGAGGACAGCAGAATTTTTTATCCAATTGATATTATTGGACCAATGAGGAGGCCGACTATGCTTTTTACTATTCCTAGCATAGTAAAAAAGCATAGTCGTGTCGCTCCATCGAGCATGATGAATAATTTGTTCTGGAGCGATCTCTAGACTAAACAAGTGGACAGCGCAGCCGACGCGACAGCTGTGAGTGGCGAATTTTGCAGCTTCTTCTGGTGACAACTTGAGGGCCTTCAGCAGCGTGTTCAACGCCCACAAAACATCTAGGCCGCCGTGATGGAGAGACTCGACATAAGTACGAAGAGGACTGCTATGGATCAAACAAAGTTGATCTGTTCTGCCATCGGCCTGAGGTCTATCTTTGGCACACGCACAGAAAATGCGAGTCACCTTGGAACAGCGAGGACCGCCTTTCTGCCTAAACATGGAGAAGTCCAAGACCAACGACTCGTCGGAGTTGTCGTACTTGATGCCGATATAATCCGGCGAAGGTTTTCCGTAGACGACAGACGCTGCTTCACTCTTCCTCATCGCCCCATAAAAGGCTATGAGAAGAGTGGACGCTACTCGTGCTATTATTGAAGACGATGGAGCATCTTGTGAGTACTTGAGCCTTCCGATCATCCTCAGCGTCAACGCCTGTTTTTGGTTGCGGTCGCCAAAGACTCCTTTTCGCCTGAGACGTGCGATGACTTCTCTTGTTCTCAACCCGATATAGTCCTCCAACTTCGGGGACGCCGCAAGGACGTCACTCACGATTTCGGGGGTCGGCGCGTACTCTGCTGCCACTGCGATACCTATAAAGGTATACAGTGAAACCTCGGTAGCAGGCCAAGGCTTGATAGCAGTTTTTGACATGATGGCCTCGTATGACTTGATGCGGGAGTTAGCGACTGCATTGCTGCGAGAATTGATGAGCATGTTGTCCAGACTCGAAAGGGCATTACCCAACTTCCCTATATTGGAAGCTATATCGCATGCGACTTTACGTTTTCCAGACATGACGATCGCCTTTGGCTTCGGAGCTGCTTTGCCTGTGGCACAGTGTGCCGGAGGCTTGAAGTATGGCATGGGCTTCGCCGTGTTCGAGGAAGAAGATGAGCCTCCTAGACCAGCTATGGCTTGATTCCATGGCAATCGTCTCGGTTTTGCTATGGCTAACTTGGGGCCAGGAGCTAGAATCCCCGTTAGTGCTCTGTTGAGTCGATTCCCATTCTCTTGTTGTCTTGCTGCGTCGACAGACGCGGACTTGTGAAGTTGAGACGACAATAAGTTCAACATAATTATAATTATAGGAGTGGGAGGGCGGGAAAAAGAAAACTGACTTACGAATCTGACTGGACTTTGACTTATCTTGGACTGGCCAGTATGTGAGGTAGGGCGCTGTGCTGCCCTAACGACTTAATATGCGCAACTTCATCTACGATACGATAGCCATTTTTAATAAAGCCCGTTTTTCGAATCCGTTTTTTTCTCTTCTCTCGTGGACGCTCTTGACTCTCGAGCGCTCTCACGACTCCTATGGATTTTTGGATATGTTGTTATTCTTATGCGACTAAGATACTTCTTCGAGATGCGAGGCGAGCCGGAACACACGGAACCAAAGACGAGATGCGCGTGAACAACAGACGTTCTCACGCGGGTTGATGATGGTGCGCTGTCATGACAAATAAATAACGCGATAACGCGAGCGTTATCGCAATTATTTATTTTTATCAATTTCCAAGATGCACGGGCCTAGGAGGTGCTGAGGACGCTTGTGCATGCCGCCCGCCCCAGCTTGATGGTGCAACTGGGTGGGAAGGCCAGACCCGCGCAGCCGTCTGAAGTGAATGCATGAGCGGAGCCAGATGGTGGCCATGCGCCCGACCCCAGAGTTAGATGCTGTATCGGTCGCAGATGACAATCACAGAACCCGTCAAGCTATGCAAATGAATCGCCTCAGACGTAACAAGATGCAGAATGTCCGACGGTTTCGCAATCAAACCGGGCAAAGCGCGGCGATTACTTAATTGGTTCTGGTCCCGCGCTTTGCTCACGTACCACATTGGAAGCTGGCAAGAAATCGGCGTCCGGTGGAAGGGCAGGCCCATCGACATGCAAATGGCGACTTACCACACGCACCAATCGCAACACAAGCCCAAAACCAATCAAACTGGCTTAAACGACAAGGACCAGGGACGAGCAAAATTCGGTTAGTAAGTTACCAGCAGACGCAAACAACTAGGCTTGCGTCTCTACACTCGCTGTGCGTTTACAGGTCCCTGCGTCCCTGGGTATCTAGTCGAACAAACTGAAACGCGATGCTTCTGCCTGC